TTAACGAACAGAACGACCACCATATTGTTGTAGTTAATATACATAATAATAATCACTATTAAGCATTCTATATAGACCAAACAATACACCTTAGTTTTCATTTTTGATCAAGCTAAAGGGTTAACCTTGTTACAAAATTATTGGTCTTGGTTGTATAGTGTAGTGGTTATCACTGTCGGTTTTGATCCGACCAACCCCGGTTCGAATCCGGGTACGACCTTTTTTTATTTTGATTATCTCTTTGATATCACATCCGACGATCAACGTAAGTTCTGAATATATTGTATCATGTATGCTTACGAATTAGTGGAAGAACAGTCAAACACTTTACATATTGCCATAAATTAAATGTTTAACACTTTGGGAATGTCGGGGTTTCAAGGCTGTTACAAGAGAATAATTTAGCTAGCACTAATACAACCAATTCGACTGATGAAACAACGAATTATATGATAGAAAGTTAATAAAGTTTAGTTCTTTGGAAGAAAAACCTCTATTCTAAGGTCCTATAAAACGACTACATGAGAGATTCGCTTTTTGAATTACATGATAAAATGTGTTATAAAACAATACCATTGATCCATCTTAAGTACCCACAATTAACAATTTCGAGTAATAAAAAAAATCATACTCTATGACTGACTTCTAGAGCTTTTATTAGGACTTCAGCAGTAAATATTATTACCTAGATTAGATCAATAGGATAGTTTCAATTCTCAAAGTAAAACGATTACCAGTACATCGTCAAAAAACCACTTTTTATTTAAGTCACATTTTCAAAATTTTCTTTCTAACAGATGACTACTTGCTTAAATTGACTACTATTAAGATATATAAATGAAAAAAGGATAGTCACACTGATAAACTTATAACTCAATTTTACGTAAAGCATGCCAATTTTTTGTCCTCCATTGAGAATCCCTTTTTGATTTCTGAGGTTGAAGGATATATAAATCCAGAGGTTTAGCTTATTTCAAAAACTAATTAAAAATTATGCGTTTATATCCTTGGTAATGAAGATATATTTACGCCCGCCAACATCTTAACATATATATTTTCTTATAACTACGTAGTATATTGCTTTTCCTGGGATATACACAAAAGAAAATAATTAAAGTTGATTCTTATGATTTGAAATGGAACAACAGAACGATTAATAAAAAAAACAAATACACTGATATTGATGCCTCTTTAAGATGAATGAAGTTTTTAATGAATTACTCAAGAAAGTTAAGGCTTTTTAGAATCAGCTTATTAAACCTCCAACTTTACAAATCCAATGAAATTGGAGTTCATAATACTTAATAAGTAGTTTTTTATCAAAATTTTTTTTCTCAAAGTACTATAATGGCGATTTATGACAGAACTGATTATTAAATTAATCTATATATTGAGCCTCATGATAATATATCTTTCCAAATGTAGAATCTGCCCTCTATTGACCGAAACCTAATTTACAGTACAGCTGCAATATAGCGAACATATACACCTTGAGCCTAGGTCCTGTGAAGTCTTGCTAGTTCTGAATATTGTGGCAAAGCATACGATTACTTGAATAGTCATCTAATATGTGTCAACCTTAACCCCGCCTTTTTTTTTATTTCCGTTCGGGTGACAGCAACCCGAGACTGTTTTCTGAAAACTTCGGATCGAAACTAACAATACACAGAAATAACTGTACAAAATGGATAAATGTAATACCGTTCTCATTTTGATTATGAAAACAGTGAAACAAATTGAACAATTGTATCTAAGAGTAACGAACAAAGTTACCTACTTGAAGGAAAAAAAATACGCGCCAAAACAGAAAGGATTCTTGAGATACAATTCCCAGATGCAAATCATTTCGAGATGTATTCTCTTGGCAGCTCTTTAGTAAATTTTTTAGTTTCCATGAATAGGACCGATGAAATCAAAAATGAGCCAGCAAGGGATGTCGTAGCAGTTCACTCTTATCCAACATATTATATTTCAAAATTTACAGAAGAATAATTTTTATTTAATAACGGTAAAGATACCTTTGATGCGGAATCTTTTAAAATTCTTTGTCCCTAACAATGAATAACTGCATTTTATTATATCTTCTAGCATAAGAAGTTAAAATTGACTACTAAAGGACAGAACATTGATTATTAATTACTGCCAAAATATTTTTTTTACATTACTTCATAATAAGACTGACAGTTCGAGAAGGCGTACAGTTGTTTTGTTCTTCATTTAGATCAAACTAATAGATTTAGTAAAATATGTCTAAAATTGATTTGGGCGCTGCGATTTATATTGCATTGAAACCGATCTTTAAGATTTACACAATTATATTTGTGGGTTTCCTACTGGCCAAATACAATATTGTGTCAATGGAAAATGCAAAAGGTATTTCAAATATGGTCGTCAATGCAATTTTACCCTGCTTGACATTCAATAAAATTGTTACAAACATTTCATGGCATGATATTAAGGAAGTTGGTGTTATTATCTTATCTGCGATCATTTTATTCACATTCGGTGCTACAGGTGCACTAGTAACCAACTATACAACACCTGTTCCAAAAACATTCTTTTGGAGTTTTATCTTTGCTGGTTTATTCCCAAATATATCCGATCTTCCTATTGCATATACGCAGAGTATGGGTAATGGTGCAATATTTTCAGAAGCAGAATCAGAAAAAGGTGTTGCTTATTCCTGTATCTTTTTATTCACACAAAGTTTCCTAATGATGAATTTTGGGATGTGGAGAATGGTTGGTTTGGATTTTAGAGACTCTAAAAAGGATTCCGACGATTTGGAAAGTCAAGGTAGTTCTACCAATATATCCGATGTTGATACACATCAGGGAACATCCATAATTACAAACGGACCAAAGGATGCTTGTTTGGAGACAACTTCACAGATACCAAGAGTCAGTGTTTCAAGCTCAAATGATTCAAATAGAACCAGCATTTTAAGTAGTTTAAACAGTAATGTAGTCGATGATGATAATGGATATTCTACTGGAAATCATGATTATATCCAAAAATATGGCAAAGATACAGTAAAACAGGCAAGTACCCATTTGGAAATTGAGAAACCAGGCGAGGCACATCTAATTGGGAGCTCTAATCAAATACGGCGGACCCATACTTTAAATTCCAATTTCGAGGATGTAAAGTTAAGTGATGAGAATGATGACAACCTAGGATATAATGATTACGATAGCGTCATGATGAGAAGAAGAAAACCTAGGAAATCATCTGTTCATGATGTCATATCATCCTTTAGTGCTGTTGATCGTATAAGAACAGGTGAGTTGGATCTTACTCGGCCACTAAGTATGACAGAAGAAGTTGGTCGTGAAAATACTACGGTTGGTGTTATAGATAACAATACAGAAGAAACCGGCATCGTCGAAAATGCACTCAAAAGTAATGGTGATTTGCAATCTATATACTCGGAGAAGTCAACCAAGTGGACTAGATTTAAAAAGAGAGTATCAGATTTCATTCATGAGCATCATTTAGAGTGGGTTGCATATTTTGCAATTAATTTCTGTAGACCAGCATCTTTAGGTGCATTACTTGGTATCATATGTGCATTAATCCCCTGGATTAAAGCATTATTTGTTCCAACATATGTTCATGTTCATCAAGCTCCTGATGACCTTCCAGTGCTAAACTTTTTAATGGATTTTACAGCCTATATTGGTAACGCATGTATCCCATTGGGATTATTGTTATTAGGAGGTACATTAGCAAGATTAGAAGTTAATTCTATTCCAAAAGGGTTTGATAGATCTGTAGTATTGATGACAGTCTTCAGATTAATTATATCGCCTATTATTGGCGTACTTTGGGCTAACAAACTGTACGATATGAATTGGCTAGATTCGCGAATTGGAAAATTTGTCATGATCCTTACATGGTCAATGCCATGTTCTACATCTCAAGTTTATTTTACAGCTTTTTATACACCTGTTGTGGGATCTCATGTCCAAATGGATTGTCTATCGGTATTCTTTGTCGCGCAATATGCAATCCTATTTATCACGTTATCATTTGTCGTCACATACACATTGAAGGTAGACCTAAACGTGTAGTGAATAGCTGCTCATAGTACAAACTCAGACACAGAGGTTGTTCACTTGACATATATTCCTGCTTATATAAATAAAAAATAATTTGTACACTATAAGACTTTAAAAAATCAATACTCGTAGAGAATGATCTTGGAACACGAAAAAATACAGCATTTAGTAATTAATCTCTGGCCGGGTCTTCTCTAGAACTCCGATGTGGTGACTAAGAAAATAATGGCATCTTAAAAGGGGGAGGGGGAAGAACAATACATACAACCCAAATACAAAAGAAACCATCAATCAAGAGAGAGCAAGGTTAAGAAGGGAGTTCTTCGATTGTGGATCGGTTTTCATAGTGATATCTAATTAATGTTTAAGTCTGTCGAGTTGTTGAAAAGTTTGAGTCATTTCAAGTATCATAGACAATTTGATTTAAACTCTGTGTGGCCATCAGGTCGCCGATCGGCAGTTTTAGTGTTGTTATTCATTGGATCTAGAGGTGAATTACGTGTTCTATTAACAAAACGATCAAGAAGCTTAAGAAACTTTTCAGGACATGTGTCATTCCCTGGTGGTAAAGCTGACAATGACAATGAAACATTTGAAGAAGTTGCCAGACGAGAAGCCGAAGAAGAGATTGGATTACCAAGAGATCCTCTAGTGCTGTCTGAAAAATTTGAGATGGCCATCGAAAACATCTCCTTGGAATTCCCATGTTACATATCACGAACATTACTTAGTGTAAAACCATTAATCTGTTTCTTGCATAATCATGTTGGAGAAACATCATCTGATTCTATCTATGAGAGTCCTCTTGATATATCTAAATTTTTTGGAAAATTAAATCCTGGTGAAACTTCTTCTATATTTTCAATACCATTAAATGATTTAATCGCTGATACATTTCCGAAGGCTTTAGGATATACTCCCGAATATATTAATCATAAAGAATATGTTGGAAATTGGGGTGGTATCAAATGGGATATTAGGCATCTGTATTACCCTGTAAATAACCAAAATGAAGCCATTTGGTTAAATGAAGTAGAGAGTCTCAGTTCTGATGAAGAATACGCAGATATGGGAAAAGTAAGAGATGTTTGGGGACTTACTGCTAAGATATTAACAGATATATCAAAAGTAGCAAATGGGCTTAATGTAATGTCCCCACCAAGCAAAAGTAGCCAATTACATTTTAATCATGAAAAATTGTTACATGCATTATTTTATTATGGGAAACAATTACAACCTACAGGCAGATCTGAATGGGAAAAACAATTAATAAATAATAACAATAATATCAGATACGAAGATAAGATACCAGCATTCTACATGGATTATTTACAGCATTCAGGTAAATTCTAATTCATTAATCGAAAAGAAATCTTCCAAAATTTGCAAATCCATTTTCACTAAAGTAATTAGAAGTATATGTGTATATATATAATATTTAGCATTCATAAACAAAGTAATATGCATTTCAAGTACTTTTTTTTTTGTTTATCCATAGATGTGACAATCCGTTATCTATTGTGATAACGAAAAGATGTATACTGATCAGGATTGTTTGTACAACTCAACCATATGAGCACATTTGATATATATATATGCAGTGCCATAGTTCATCATCACCACCGAGCACTGAGAGATCTTATACTTGCATATGCACCATTATTAGTGAAACAACCTAAAATGCCTTTACGGCCCCTCTCCCCTCTCTGTGTATCTTGCGTGAGCAATGCGCATTGTTAATTATTCATAAATGCACCAAATGGAACAAAGACGCATTGAGTGGCAGCTGTTAAGTTTTCTTCACAAGGGAAAAAGGGAAAAGGAAACTATATATATACATATATAGATACGAATGAAATTTGCATGCAACAGATACTTCTCTTATTGCATTTAGATGAATACCTAAAATAATTAAACCACTGAACAAAGATATATATATATATATACGTATATCAAACAATAAACAGATAATAAAAGCAACCAAGAAAAAAAGGGTGTATCGAAGAACTTTTTTCTTGAAAAATTATTTATCCAAAACTAAAACAGGAGGAGAACTAGAAAAGATAATGGTGACAGAACAGATTAGAATCACAAAACGTGTAGGTACTAACCCTGAATACACTGATAATGGTAGTAAACCGCTGCCGATAACATCAGTTGAAGCACAAAATGCTGTTCATATGGTGACACCGGAACGTATCTCAAAGATGTTGGAGACAAGAGGTCCCTTAGCAATAAGGTTTATTACTCAAAGTTTATCGGAAGAGATTCCATATTTCAAGAATTTAAGTACTTCAAAACAAAGACGTTTGATTATGAATGTAATGGAGACAGGTTTTGAGGAACAATCTTTAATATTTGAAAAAATTGGTTGGGGTTTATGGACTGTAAGGAAAGTTTTACCTGAAGCATTTAGACAAGAACGTGAAATGACAAATAAACTAAATGCAAAAGTTAGAGATAATAGTAATAATCCAAATGCGCCAGAGGTTAAAAGAAGATTAAGTAGTAATAACACAAGAAAGAAATCTCAAGTGGAGAGTATGAGTGTACCATTGTCTCCAAAATTAAAAGCACAAGGTCAATTACCAAATGGGGCAAGATCAGTTGTATATATAGATGAAAATGTTTTACAAACTGATGAAGATGATAATGATGTCTTTAGTGAAGAGGATTATGATGAAGGGCATGTAATGAGTAATAATAATCATAATCATAACTCTAATGGTAATAATAATGTTAATAAAATTAAAAATGAACATGAAGATTTTGTTCATGAAATGATTAGACCTAATGGTGCATTTAATTTTAATAGGCGTAAATCAAGTGTAGTATACGATGATACTATGCCTGAAGCATTAGAACAGGAAATGTTAGCACAAAAGATTAGACCATTATTAAAAAATAAAAGTCGTAGATCTAGTTCAAAAGGTCGTCCTGTGCATATTTTTAACAACAGTAACACTAGCAATAATAATAATAATAATAATAATAATAATGGGAGTCATAATACTGAGAGTATTATTGGTTCACCATTAAGTGGGAAACATATATTAGACAATGAAAATATTCCACCTTTACCAAAAGTGTTATACTCAAGTGAAGATTCAAATATTAATCAAAATAATTTCCCATTGCGTAAGGGTTCGATTTCTGGATTAAATAATGATTTAAAACCTGGTCGTAATTCATTTAGCGAAGATGTATCACGCAGATCATCTTCACGACTCTCTGTGTCTAAGGAATCAGGTATAAGATCCACATTATTTCATACACTTAATGATATTTCTGCACAAGGTTCAAATAATTCTGCTACATCCTTAGGAAATAGATCTCAAATGGGAGTATTCCAGTCGCCTGGTCTCCCAATCATAGAACAAAAAGATCAAATCATCGCTTTAGCTAATAACAATAACAGCAAGAAAAATGTCAGTGATAGTAACATCCCAATGACAAATACTAATACTATCGAGTCACCACATTCGGATACAGATGAGGAAGACTGGGCCAATATCGGTGCAGAGTCCCTCAGGACCATGAGTAACGACATCAGCCCCATTACTACAAACAAGCTAGCAACTCACACAAACAATACTGGTGATGCAGACGATGCAGCAAGAGTCCTGCTCAGTCTCAAGTAAATAACTTAATATCTTTAAAAAAAACTCCTAATTCTTTAAAAAAACATCTATTTTGTAAGTAAAAAATAATGATATTTCACGTGACTTCAAAATAATGATTTTTTGTTTTGTCTTCCCGCCTCCCCCCCAAAAAAAACAACTCCCGCACAGAACTCCCCGCACAACCGCTCCCCCGTTTCCAAGGGGGGAGTTAGCGAGACGAAATTTCTGCGTGAAAATTAAAAGGGATGCGATAACAGTAATCCTTTCAGTGAAAGAAGTTTAAGGTGAGAAGCAATGGAATGGAAGTATCGCTCATAGTTGGAATGCTTCAAAGGTCAACTGAAGGTTAGTGAAAAGGCAAGATTTACTTACAACAGTTTGTTGTTGTTTTAATCAACTATTCTCTGGTTCAGTTTAACGAAGTCTTTTCGGAAATGTCTATTGTTTAACAACAACAATAATATATATATTTTGCTCTGTTTTTATTTTTTTTTAAGATTGCCTACTTCGAGTTAGGGGATTCCATTTAACGTGGGAATGAACGACAAACTACACTAAAATATAGAGATAGAAACAAATATTTTATTTTATTCATAATATATATATATACACCTATATATATATTAAAAGAAAATAACTACAAAAGAGTATTACTTAAAACCGCTACAATTCAACAAAAATTTATTTAATATTACCTTAAAGAAAGAAAGAAGATAAATACTAAAAGAAATGACTATTGTGGGAACTCCGAGTGGGTTCAATGAATGGGATGGAGATTCATTAGGTTCCATTTCAGATAAGATATATCAAAATTATTTGTCACCGAATTTAGAATTGTTTGATGCAAAAGTGACAATTAATCATTGGCAACTTAGAGATTGCATTAAGCCATTTTCAGGTAGTTCAAATGGTGAATTATATTATATATATGATCATTCTATTAGATCATTAAATACAGACTCAAGATGTTTATCGTCAGAGCAACAATATTATAGTGATGATATAGACGACACTGATAATAATGATGATAGTCTAAAAAGTAAAAGACAAAGAATATCAAAATATACATTGACTGATTCAAATAATATTAGTCATAATAATAACTTATATGGATCACCGACTCAAACAGTGGTAGATTTTAATTTTAAACCACGGTGTTTCACTGAACAAAATGGATTAATTGCATGTGGTGGTCTGGTGGGATCAGACGATAAGGGATTTCCAACTAATTGGAATCGAGTTGATCGTGATGAATCTCAAACATCTTCGTCAGGATCGTCTTTATCAACTACTTTGCAATCACCTGCACAACCGATATCAATGTCATCAAGAAATATACTTTCTGATGGTTCGAATTACGGGAATCCAAATATATGGAAAGGGATACTTTCAATTTATAATCACGAAACAAAATTTAAAACATCAGTAGTATTAGGTCAATTCATTAACAATTGTGTTACTGTACATGGTAGAACTACCCAGAATTACAACCTTTATACATGCAATAATGATGGACATATTTACCAATGTGATATAAGTAACAGATCTGTGGAATTAATAAGGCGATATTCAGATTTAGCATTCCCTCTAAATAATGCATCTTTATCTCATGATGGTAAAACTTTGATTGTATCCGGTGATTCTAATAAATTTGCTATTTATAAGCAAAATGAGGTCATCAACCAGTTTACTCTTAAATATGATAATCAACCAGAATGGGGTAATTCAAGAGCCAGTCGAGTCGGAATAACTCCAAGATTTGATACTAATGATACAACTACATCCATTGATAATAACGTCTTTGAAACAACAAATGGTGATCACGGATTTTATAATTGTTTTTCAGAGAATGATTTACAGTTTGCAACTTTGTTTCAAAATGGTATATGTTTAATGTATGATATTAGAAATACATCAAATCCTTTAGCAGAAATAATATCAACTAGACCACAATCCCATAATGGTGCATTCAGAGTCTGTAGGTTTAGTTACGGCTTAGATGATTTGTTATTTATCTCAGAACATCAAGGTAGAGTACATGTTGTCGACACAAGAAACTTCACAAATCATCAAGTTATTTTTTTACCAAATAAGATCAATATTGAGTCAGATGATGTGAATTCAACAAGAACTAGTAGTCACTCGTTAAACACCCTTGCCAATGGAATGCGTTCATATTATCCAGGATCTAGGAGTGCAAGAACAAGAATATTGACATCAGGTCCAACGGATACAGCAAACGGTAGAATCAAGGAACCTTATACTACATCAGCTTGCAAATTACCCTCAAAATATTTAGAACCTTACATTTTACCTTTCCCCAAAGCAGTTAATAGGCATTCAAATCATTTTTTCGGTCATACTCAACATTATAATAGACAGACAGGTTCTGTTTCATCAATAGATTTGATATCTGGGGATTCTGACACTAACAATGAAGCTAATGAATTGCAACAATATTCAAGGGAAGTCGATGAAGACATGAAGGAAACATTTAAAGTTAGAAGGATCTCAACGGCTTCTGGTCAATGTGGGAACAAGATAATACATGATATGAATAATGAATCAGATATCAAGATGGACTCTTCGAATCTAAGTAGGGGTTCAGGCCATCATTCAAATATGTTAAGGTTAAACGTCGATGACACCCTCTTCGACAATGAAAGCGGCAGGAACGCCTTCTACTTAAATCAGGATAACAGCTCAGATGATTCTTCAGCTCTTGAAACTTACCATAGTTCATTGAATAGGAGTCTAATTGATCCAATAATCGAACGATCTGGTGATAGCTGTTTATCCGAGGAAAATAATATATCTGGTATAACTTGGTTAAACGACAGAGATGGAAATTCTTTAATAATAGGTACTGACTACGGAATTGTTAAGTGGAATATAAATTCATCTGCAAGGAGAAGTTTTGCTAGTTACGACTTTTGTTAATGGTTCATCACTTCGTCTTAGAAGCCTACAAAAAAACAAAGAAAAAAAAATGTTGCTATCGTTTATATCTATATACTTATATATTCATACCAGTTAATTTAGTTATAAGTATAATTATATATTCCATTTATTCATCTCGGTTTCATCTACAGTGAAAGAATTATCAATAGTATTGATATTCATATCGCTACATAAATAACATTTAGTTGTTAATAACATTTCGAGTTTTGCTTCAGTGTCTTGGTCAAGATGATCATTCTTAATTGTCCGAGTAAGTTTCTGAATCTCGTTTATTAAGTTATAGTCCGTAGAATTTAGGATCAATTTCATAATGCAGTCCTTATGGTAACAGTGGTTACATGGGAAAATGATAAATTTCCGACTTTGAAGAAATTTATCACAGTAATTACATGATTCACCTGGTTCGATTATATTATACTTCTTGTCAAAGTTTTGTATTTCATCTTTTATTCTTTCTTTCAACAGAATAGATCTTTTTATATCTTTAGAAATTATGTTCATATTCTCATTATGATTTTCTAAACTCTTAATCAATTCATCTTTAAGATTTGCAATAGTTGTGGTCTTCTCACAGAGCATTAATAAATCTTTAATTTCTAGGATGTTATTAGACTCTAACAAGAGAGATTTTATTATTTGTTTAATATCCAATGAGTCAGAGGATATGTTGGATAGCATGTGACTTGCAATCTTTAACCATAATCGCTTTTTCAATTTCTCTTGATCCAACTCTGCATCCTCAGTCAAGTCAATCTTACTGATGATTGTCTTTGCTTCTTCGATTATACCATATTTTATACCAATGGAAACAGCTTCTTCATAAAGTTTTAGTTCTGACAACAAATACATCGCAACTTCATGACATCTGAATTTCATGCTTATTTGTAATATAAAATTTATATCATAATTTCCCTCGTATGTTTTCAAAAAGCCAATTATTTTCTGATTCTCCATTGCAGTGGATGAAGTAACAACATTGTTGGTTGCTAACATAATGTATAGTGTAGTATTGTATAAAATAGGCGGTACACTTGAATTAGTTGAGATTCTGTCATCAATGTAATTTAATAGGTAAGTCAAGGCGTAATTTTTCTTTGGTGAACGTTCATGACCAGTAATGGCCAGGTTTTTTTGGAAATTTGTAAAGAATGTTAAGATTGCGGGTAGTAAATTGACAGGATTCAGTTGTTTTATTTTCATCCATGCATTAATCGTAGCGTCAGGCGAACTAACTAATAAGATAGTAGAGTATTTGTATACAGTGGGTGGATTTTGGTATTTCAGGAGGATTTTTAATGATTCATACCAATTTTCATGCTTGACCCAATAGGAAATCATATATTCATAATCATCGATTAGATTTGCAAAAAATAGTAAGTCATGTGTACGGTTTTGGTTGGTAATGATTTGATACACGGTGGGAATATCCAACGCTGTCACATTTTTTGTCAAAAAATTGTTAAAGGATTCTTGTAAATCGTTTCTTTTGGCTATCAATAGTTGTTCATCAATCTGTACATTGAGACTTATTTTTTCATCTAAACCATTTAGTTGTTTCATGAAGTTCCAAATAATCCAACTTGACAGTAATGTTCGGGGAACTTTGTTAGCATTCTCATTATTTGGTTGATTCAATTGGCTCATTTTCATTATTAAATATTCTTGTAAAGCATTTGTAGCTGTATCCTTATTGTTATCTTTATCATAGGCCATATATTTTAATGCAATTTCACCAATTGTGGCCGAATCTGATTGTCCAAAATATTTGGCTGCATTAACTATATCTTTCTCATCCTTGAATAAAAAATTACCTTTACGAAGATTTATTAAGCTTCTTATCCAATCATTTAGTCCTGGTAAAGCTAATGCTTCATCAAAGGATTTTTGTTCACAAAGTAAATCCCACACTGACAGTGGTTCATTATTCACGATGATTTCGTAAATATTAGTATTGGAGTAGCACCAAAACGTAAGTCCCTCAGCTTCATTGTAATTATCCACAGTAAGTCCTATAAATTGCTCATTTGTAGAACTCTGGTTATCTGCTGGTGACTGTATCGACTCCTGATATGCAATTTTGTTGTCTAACTGGTTAACCATAGTCAATGTGGAATCTCTCAAAATAATGATATGGTAGTTTGTTAAAACAATATCTTTTATAATTATATCATTCATTTCATAATTTTCAACGTTATTTTGTAATATTTCATTATTGAATAAGATTTTTGCACTATTTAGTATGCTTTCGTTTGGTGTTCGGTTCATGGATATATCACCATATACAATTGCGGAAGATGTTGCCCAAGCAAAAATACTATTATTTAAGGAAGTAAACCGCGTTCTAGTATCACCATGTGTTTGTCTTGTAGGTTGATTTAGATATTTAAAGTCTTCGTTCTCCTTCGGTTCTTTCTTTAGCAATTCTATAGGAGAATCTCGACAACCAATATCAGATTTCCATAGTAATAGTCTATTTTTAAGAGCAATTAAAAGATTTCCAGATTTGGGGGAATATACTAACCCTTGGATCGGTTTATTTCTATTTGATGTCCAACAGTTATCAATGATAGGATTCTTCAACCCGCTGGTAAAATCAATGCTTATTATTTTCCCATTGGCTGTACCACAAAGAAGTTTGTTAGTATCCAACCATTGGACATATCTAATATCGCATTCTCTCTTTGGTAGTTTCTTAATAACGTATATGCATTTTCGTTTGTTATCAGGGTTTATTTGTAGCTCCTTAAGGTCTACCACATAGTATATACCAAAATTTGTTTTGGTTAACACCTTTGTACCGTCTGTATTTAACCATGACGCTATTAACTTTTCGTTATTGGCTTGGTTATTTTCTATAAGTGGAATCTTGATACTATTGATTGTAGATGGTTTATCTAGATCGATATAGTGAACATTACCATCCTTCAAGGCAAAAACAAATGAGTTTGAATCAACTTGTAACGAGCAAATATTTTTGTTTATTCCCTTGATGGATTCCAATTGCACATGTTCAATGTGTACATCCATAGTCGATCAGATCGATTTCGTTGAATATACGCTTTCTATAAGTGGTTTATTTCGTGTTTATAAAAGGGGTCGATGTATCTCTTGTATTCTTTGGCAGTTAATTTTTAAGGCTCAAATTTCAATATATTTGCAATCCGTTAACAATTATTCTTTTTTTTTTCAAATTCTTCAGCTTTAGTAACTATTTGAAAGTGTTTGAACAAGAGAGCAGAAAACCATTCAAAAGGCAAGCTTTAAAAGAGTTGAACCAACTTGTGATACGATATTAATAAGAGTTAATATTACCAATATTATAAAAATGAGTAATATACCTGTAAAACTATTGAATGAAGCTCAGGGACATGTGGTCTCATTGGAATTAAGTTCCGGGGAAACATACAGAGGTAAATTAATAGAGAGTGAAGATAATATGAATATACGATTGAAAGACGTTACAATAACAGGAAGAGATCAAGGTGAAGTGTCGAGGATGGATGAAGTGTACGTTAGAGGTTCACAAATCAGATTTTTCGTGCTCCCAGAGATGTTAAAGAATGCACCTCTCTTCAAGAGTAATACCAGACAATCAAAACCCGTCCCACCTATTAGAGGTCCAAGAAAGGTAAACGGTAGAGGATAATATCACGGTCGATAATAATTATTTACGATTATATTAAGGCAATGGGTCCGTACACCGTTTCGGTGTATATGTAATATATAAAGATAAATAAAAAGCATTAGAATATACAAATAAAATTAAAAGTTACAGAATTACATTCATCCCAGTGGGCGGGCGTTTTGTTTTCGTTGAGTGTTCTTTTTTCCATTATGATTCTCTATTATTGAATACGTTCATCAAGAACAGTAGTGGTATTAGGGACGGTAACGTTTGCGATACTAGAATCGCAAATTTCACAAAACTCATCGATATCAGTCCTTAAATCCTTATTGATATCAGTGAATTGAGTGAACAAAGACGTAATATCCTTTTGAAGTTGTTGTGCCTCCATCAAAAGCGAATCTAGATCACTATTATTGTCCTCTCTCTCAACATCATCATGAACATCAATATCTGTGGCTACAGGTGGCCACCTCGTGTCGCCCCTGCTTTCATTAAAACTAGTATTAAAGGATGACATCAGCACATATGCATGCGTCTAACAACCATACAGTTCCTCAACTTATTAGGATCGATCATTATCACCAGGGGTCTCTGTTCTCTTCCTTCTTGTAAATCAAAGGATCACTATCGCCAGCAGTTCGAGAGATTTAGACATTTTTTTTCCTTGAAAAATTTCGCAAAAATGAAGAAAAATTCAGGAAAGAAAAGAAAAAATTTCGATGAGCTTCTGATCTCCCAACTGGGAAACTTTCAATCAAGGTCAAGGGGTGTGTCTCTATATGAGGTTTACTTAATGCCTGTTATTGATATCGAGAGGCATGAGCCACTACATGTAGTTATAATTAATGATTCGCTAATCAAATTGTTTCACCTGGTAAAATAACTCATATTTTCCAGAACTCAGTCACTTGGCATCATAATATTTCAAAAAAGATGACAGAATTTGCACACGAAAGTATAGTGGACGGTTGGTTCCGTGAGGCTAATGAGAGTTGCTTCCCAGGGCAAGCTTTTACTTTGAAAGTGGAAAAGATCTTATATCATGCTCATAGTGAATTTCAAGACATTTTAGTCTTTAAGAGTACCACTTATGGTAATGTCTTAGTCCTTGATGGGATAATTCAATGTACCGAACGTGACGAATTTGCATATCAAGAGATGATTACACATATTCCATTATATTTGCATAAGAACCCGAAGAGAGTCTTAGTCATCGGTGGAGGTGATGGTGGTGTTGTTCGTGAATTATTAAAACATGAATGTCTAACCCATATTACTCAAGTAGAAATTGATGAGACAGTAATTAAATTAGCTCGGAAATATTTCCCAGGCATGTCATATGGATTAGATAATCCTCGAGTACAAATAAAATTATGCGATGGATTTAAATATTTACAAGATTTAGCAAATGCATCCGTTGAAGAAAAATACGATGTAATCATTACAGATAGTTCAGATCCCGAGGGGCCTGCGGAAGAGTTCTTTAAAGATACATATTTTAAATTATTGAAAAATGCATTAAAGGATAATGATAGTTTAATTATTACACAAACTTCTGAAAATATTTGGTTAAATATTAATTATTTACAAAATTTATTAAAAGCTGCTAAATCTGTCTTTCCAAACACAAAATATTGCTACACAATGGTACCAACTTATACATCAGGCCAACTTGGTTTAATGGTGTGTTCTCCAGATGAAACATTAGAATTAACCTCCCCAGTAAGAGTCCCTAGTGATACTGAACAAGAAAATTTGAAATATTACAATAGTGAAATACATAAGGCATCATTTATACTACCGAATTGGTCAAATAAACTACTAAATAATTTTCATTAAATAGTAATAAAAATATAAATATTAATTAAAAATCCTTTTTGTTACCATCCTTTACATATATAATTAGCATTACATTAGTAGGATAGGCTACAGGTTAATTAACCATGCACATGCATGTCTATACTTTTATTTATTTGTTTATCTCTATCCAAATATACTATCAATAGCAGATTTTGGTTTCTTGGATTTACTTGTTTTCTTCTTTTTCTTCTTCTTGGAATTAGTACTTTTCTTCGTTATCTCTTCTTCAATTTCCATCAAAGGAATGGCTTTAATGTCCACAATGTCTTTCTCTATTATTATTTCTCCTACTTCTTCGTTGAACATTGTAATATCATCTGATATATGAATACCGTTAATGGCATCATCCTGTTTCTTCACACTATTTGTTTGTTTGAATTTACTAAATTCTTCACTGTGCAAAACGATAAGTTTGGCAACATGATTATGTATTCGACCTAATAACCCTATAAGTACCACTCCCAATGTCGGGAACTGGCCCAACGATATTACACCATTAAATTCATAATACATTTTCTTAACCTGTGTTCTCATAAATTTATGTGTTACATGATATAGTGCATTCACCGGTAACTTATTCCGATGTTGGAGGAGAATCGTTATTTGAGAAACAACCCTCTTTAATGTGCAAAACTGTCTCCACCATACCGCTACACGATGCTGGTTCTTGTTTCTGTGATGTATTAACTTTATAAGCCTTTCCTCTTGTTGTAACGATGTCATAAGTTCCATCGGCACTTTTGATACAAACTTATCCTTTTTGAAGCTCTTCATTTGGACTTTCTTATCTTAGTAAATATTTGTCACATATACTATACACTCAAGTATGTCTAGGATATAATAAGTGAAACATATGATTATCCTCAAGAGGCTCCTTTTGATTGCCTTTCACTGTTATTTCAGCAAGAGGAGTGCTCATCGAAGAATTTTTGTTCTATCAATAAAATAATTTTCAGAGAACGCATCGAGCCGTTTGGCTTGAAGTACAATTCCCCTATAATAAATTAGAAAGAGGTTAATACATCAAGAATGTTGACTTATCACAATTAATTGAAGTATGAGTAATCCTTGAAAAATTGACTTGTTATATTTGAATGTCGTTCAGTGAGAAACCCACGATAAAAGGAAGATCAATAGATATTTACATAATTTTTTCTGAGGGGCAAGAATGAGTTACAATAGACCACCTATGCCACCACATGGTCATACAGCGAATAATGATAACCAGGCCAGTCATAACACAATTACGAATGATGTTCCTCCACCATATAGTGAACATGATACACTGAAATTACCTCCACCCTTACCTTCAAGGCCATTAAGTCCAAATTACTCTGGAAACGAAAACACGCCGCCTTTACCCTCGAGACCAGGAAGCTCTACGTCTGATTCACAATTTGCACCAGCTTTGCCTACACGACCTCCCAGTAGCAATAGTAACGAATCAAGGGATAATTACTCTGGAAGCAACAGACGTCGTCAGATGCCGCCTCCTATCCCTGCTAGATCACCTAACAATTCGAGCTATTCACTTAGTTATAACGAGACATCTTCTACAAAAAGAACTCAACCTTCTATTCCATCAAGAAACTATGAAACCAGTGGATTCACAAAATGTGTATCTTCCAGTAATCAAGATAATACAATTGATACATCTGTAAGCACGCGGATGGAACAGATGACGTTAGGTGATACCAATCTACCAAAGACAATGATAGACTTTAGTACTCCAATAAGCACGATGGCTCCACCATCAGATATATTCAACTTTAAGGAGCATCCAATACCATTACCAGTTAATTATTGCAAAACTACAGAAATTCCGACTGTTGAGACAAATAAGTTCTATGGAAATATGTTTTTGGGCCAACAGAGATGCCCAATTTGGACACATCCTTATTCCTTATGGTTAACCAAAGAATTACCATTTATTGGGATTGCGACGACACACATTCGTGAAGAGCAGCGTGTTTTTGATGATAAAAATGATCCACCGCAGTTCTTCTTTTCTCCAACCAACATAAAGACATTTGTGTTCAGTTCTATTGAGTTTACCAATGCTACACCCGATCAAACCTCATTGAATTTTTCTAATGTGAAACATATGTCTGTTCAGCTTCAATTGAAACTTAATGACACACAATTTGTTTGGTTCCCAATTGTTCAAGGTATGGGTTTTGTTACCGCAATTTATTATAACCTTACTCCATCCTTGCAAAGTGCAGTCGGATATAGATCTATCGATATAATATGGAGCAAAAATCAAGTTACTAAATACCATATAAGATTAGAAAATGATGTTGTTTGGACATTGTATGTGACTTCTCAAGAACCAGTAACCATATCTGTGGTGGAAAGGAACAAAATTTTGGCAGATAGGAAAGTCAACGGGTGTATTTTCCAATTAGTTGCAGATACAAATGATAAGATAGATTTAGCAGCAAGTTGTTACCAAGTCGATGCAGAGTTGAAGGCTTCTATTTTAGATGATGATCCAAGCAGAGCCCACTATAGTTTCAATTATGAGACGAATGGTATTTCCTCTTCAGGGAAACCACTCTTGTATGCTTTACCCCATCATTTCGATTATTTGACGCCAGAAACATTAAATACGAGCATCAATTCTCAGTTGGCATCTACCGTTTATGGTAGAATGTCAGGGCTTGTTACAGATAATATCGAAATGGAGATCGTAATTCCAAATGAAGTGCAATTTGAACCCTTTTCCACAATCCCAAATAGAACTAAAAGGTATAGTAATGAGGTATTGGATGCTATGAGTAATGCAGCAAGGAAGGAAACTCAGGGAGATGTCATTAATGAGTCAAACCTAGATTCGATGTATTTCTCTGGGAAAGTCCTTGCCAAATATGCATGGATTTTATATTGCTGTCATTTCATCCTTAAGGATAAAGGGTTAGTTTCTAATTTATTAGATCAGCTGAAAGGTGCCCTTCAACGTTTTATCGACAACAAACAGATTCTACCATTAGTTTATGATATCACCTGGGGTGGTCTAATATCATCCGGGAATGAATCCCAGGATTTTGGGAACCCATACTATAACGATCATCATTTTCATTACAGTTACCATGTTATTGCGGCAGCTATTGTTGCCAAGGTTGATGAGGAAGTTTCTGGAACACATCAATGGTTGGAAAGAAATAGAGAATGGGTTGAACTCTTAATAAGAGATTATGCAAATCCGTCAGTAAATGATCCATACTTCCCTGTTTTTAGATCATTTGATTGGTATAACGGTCATTCCTGGGCAAAAGGTTTATTTGAGAGTGGTGATGGAAAGGATGAAGAGTCTAGTTCTGAAGATGTAAATGCATCATATGCCCTCAAACTATGGGGGCTTACAACACACAACCAAAATTTAATTAACATCGCAGATATTCAATTAGGAATATTAAAAACAAGCTTAAACAAGTACTTTTTATACCAAGATAATAACACTGTCGAACCTTTAGATTTCATTCGTAACAAAGTCAGCGGTATCTTATTTGAAAATAAGATTGACCATACAACATATTTTGGGAATAAGATAGAATATATTCAAATGATCCATAGTATACCCATCATTCCTCCTTCATCGTTTATAAGATCTCCGGTATTTGTCAGAGAAGAATGGGAACAAATTTTAAAAAAGGTGGTGGATAATGTAAATGATGGATGGAAAGGTATAATTATGTTAAATGTCGCTCTATTCGATCCTGATTTATCATACAGGTTTTTTTCTGAACCAAATTTTAATGTTGGGTTTTTGGATAACGGTCAAAGTTTGACATGGTCATTGGCATTCTGTGGGGCTTATACGTAATATTTAAGAAGGGTTTCTTTAAATTATACATTAAGATACCAATATTATATAGATATTGTCAAAATACATATATTATTCATATAGACCATACTTCTTTGCAAGTTCATTCATCCTCTTTAATGCTTTTGGTAAACGTTCATTTTCATTATCATTATGATTCGAGGGAGAGTCGCTATCATCATTTGTATCACGGTCCTCTTCATTATGACCAAGTATATCTACGGTATCTGACTTATTGATAATATAGTCTTCATTTTCGGATAGATCATCTCTAGGTGAAGCAGGGGGTGATGACATTGGAAAGTGATCTGGTGACTGTGCAAGGTCCATGTCATATTCTTCCTCTTGGTTTGACTCATCCACTCGACTATCCTCATGAATATTCCCCAGTAGTGATTGTATTGTAAAAGTACTACTTTTAATGCTGTTTAATACATTATCTTGCTGGGTGGTGATGTTTATATTATCAACCTCCTTATCCGAGGTAGTTGATTCTTTCCTCTTCTTAGGCACCTTTCCAATAATATCAACTGCTTTCCTCTTCCTTTCTTCTTTTTCAGAAATCTCAGGAAGCGTAACATCTACAGTTACTAGATCTGTACCCACGCTAATTGTCTTACTGTTTGCTGTTTTTGAATCATTAGATGGAATTGAATAGTTATTACTGTTATTTTTTGCAGATTCAAGCGCCGCTGTTTCCTGAATACTAGAGCCTTCCACCCAATTATTTTGTGGAGATATGCTATTATGAGCAACAAGAGTCTTGCCTTTCAAAATATCCATTTTAGTCGCATTTGCATTTTCAATCTCAGTTTGTCTGGGAGTAATGATTGTGGTATTCTCCGTACCAATATCCGGGTTAATTATCTCATTTTTGATTGCTGATTGATTCTCTGGTGATTGTTGGATGTTGTAGGTAGTCTTTAATGGAATTATTCTATCCTTGGTGTCTATTAAAACGGCATTTTCAGGAGGTACCCTCGTTAGACTATTATTGGCTTTGGTTTTGGTTTTGGCGTCGACATCGTTTTCGTTTTGCTGTGACGACGGTTTGAGGGGTTTTTCTCGAAGTTGTATATTATTAGCTAATGAAATATATCGTGACTGTGAATCCCTTTGAGGTATTTGAATACTTTCTGTGTTGGGTATGATTTTGGTTTTATCATTTGATGTTTTAGATTTGTCTTTATTCCCGTATGTAGAGTAACTATCGGTCTGTGGTATTATAATATCTTGGGTGATATCTTCTGTTGGCAGGTTCTTCGTTTGTGGTGTGTCTCCTGTTGCACTGATACGGTCCGTTATCATTGATTTTAAAGATACTTCGGGTGGGTTCATAGTAGAATTAGTCTCTACCCTATTATCTTTTTCAGTGATTGTAGAAATCTTCTCATCCATTGTAGGTATTCCATTGTTCTCCATTTTATTTGTCTCAATTTCATTCTTTGTAGCATTTATATGGTTCTGTGTAATTGGTATTTGGAATTTGCTGGGTTGGAACTTGATTTGACCGTCCTCCGTCGTTTTAACATTTTCAGTAGTTGTGATATCAGTATTTTGAACTAATGCTTCAGATGGGTTCTCTTCACTTTGACAGTTAGGTAATGTTGGATTCATATTTTGTAGCCCAACCATCTCTTTCGGTACAGGATCAGTCGATGGAGAATCCATTGTGACGGTTGAAGCATGATTTGCAGCCTTGCTCGAATTTTCCTTCTGAACATCTTGACTATGATCCATATTCAACCCTGGAGTGTTCGATTGAGCAGTTTTAAGCGTTATATTTTCCTTTGGGCCATCGTGCATATATTTGGTGATTGGTTTAATAGGTTTGGATGTCACCTTTTGCTTTGGTTCATCTTGCACAGCTTTGGTAATTGTCGAAAATTTTGTTGTATATTCCTTCATGACGTTTTGAACTAAGGGAGAAGGTGCATTCATATCCAACTCTCCTTTCCTTTCAGATGACTGATCTCTTAATGATTTGATATTTGGCTCAATATGATCCGTCGATAGGGTGGACGGATGATCTTCTTGGATGGTCATTTCACTTCTTATAACACTTGCATCTAGTGTATCGAAATTTTTAAGTGGGCGTTCCAATTTTTTACCTACTGCGTCCATTATTTCAGGTTGAGTTGGAATTCTGTTTAATTCTTGTTGTTTGGGGACTGCAGAGTACGAGCTAAGTTTCTTTTGAGCATCTTCTGGGCTCAATCTCCCTGAATATATGTCATTGATGAAGCCAGAAGTTACGATTTCATGATTTTCATATAATGGCGGTTGATTAAAAGCACTCCCGACACCATGAACATTGTAAAGTTTATTAAAAAAGTAAGCCATGTCACTATACTCTCCAACTGTTCTATTCAAGAGGTACATAGGAACATTGTGGTATAGATGATCCTTTATATTACGCTGCATTGGGACCTCCCATCGACTCTCTTCTCTCAGTTTTCTTTCTAAGTTAATACGTCTCATTAAACTAGGGTTTTCTCTCAACTCTCCATCTGTCGTATTTGCAGCATCTATAATTTTGCGCATCTCTCGTGGTATGCTTAGTCTACTAAAAGAATTCTCAGACATCTTCAGGTTTCTGCAAATAGCCAGTTAAATTTTCAGAGCCCTCAATTAGTTCAACTAAAGAATTACAATTTTCGAGGATATCTCTCGCAATTAACGTATATTTGAAAACTGGCTAACTTTATGAATTTATTGCCCTACCCTATAAGGTAGATGTTCACAACCATTTTAGCTGTATCTTCAACTTTTTAATTTTAAATCATTTCTTTTTTCTTTTGCTCTCAGCCCTCCGCAGAGCCACTTTTGTATAACAATAACAAAATTATAAGACTCCGATGAGATCATAAGACAGCGATAACTAGTAATGGGTACTAGATAGATATATAGGTATATATTAAGAAACAAATAATTGAAAATATAGACATACTGATATTATATATTAACAAATATTTGCCGTTATGTGGAGACCAAATTGGTGTTCCACACCAAAGCAATCAAATACTTGGTCTACAGGGCAGGCTGTAATCTTTGCAGCATACTTACTGGATTGGATATTCTCATAGTCATTGAATGTCACTGGATTAAAATACAAAGTGATGTTGGAAGAGTCCCTTGTATTTTCAAAAAATATGCGCAACTCCTCGCTAGAGTTGCAGAACACTGTGGTAAAGGAACGTTCGCTGTTTTCCGACACCACAGTATTTCTACAAAATGATTCTGTAATGGACAATCCTTCAACATTGGTTACAAGATTTAGTAAATCTGCCTCCCTTTTTTTGTTCTCTTCAAAATCAGCACTGTTTGTGTCAGAATCATATTCATTGGTAACCTTTAATTCTTTGCAAGTCACACCACTCCACTCGCATAGCGCACCTCTTGGTAACTCTGACACTCTCACGATAATCAAACACTCAGTAGGATCCTCTTCAGTATCCACCCAGCGGTCGGACTTTATATCCATTTCAGAACAGTATAATCTCCATGTATTACACACGACGTCTATTATATCAATATTTGCAGTATAACAGACCATAGAGAGTTGATGAGGAGAATTCGTAGTTTGCTTCAATGTATCAAAATGTTTTAATGAAAGTACAGTTTGACCAGGTTGATCTGTACCACTAATTAGACTCATATCACATGGGTTTAATGCAATTTGACCACTAATATAGGTAACCTGATTTATATCTTTATTGCTCCATATTGCTTGGGAATATGGGCCAATGTTGCAAGGCGCCCAATAAGACCTGCCTTGAACATGTAAACCATTCTTGTCGGTATTAATAGTAATAGGTATATTGGTTTTAGATCTCTGTATATGTTCGACCTTGTGGGCTGTGTTTACAATTACAGATAGTTGAACAAGGATCCTAGGGCTTAATCTCTTTGAACCTATACACGATCTCGATGGCGGAAGTGGACCCCATCTGGATGTATCGAAGAATTGGTTGTAAATTGAGTTTACCTTGGCAAAGTTCTCCATATCTGAAAGAATCAACGATGAATTCAAAATCTGGGACGGACAAACCCCATGTTCTTGTAGTATATCACGAAGCTGGGCAAATATATTATGGGTCTGTTCTTCGACAGTTGTTCCCTGACTTTCAGAACTTTGAATGTTTGAGATGTATAGAATTGAACCATCCTTAAGGATTGAAGATGCAAAATTAACACATTTATTGTTTTCTTCGAATGAGCACTCTTGTGGTATTACATTCTGGTCACAAAGTTTAACTTCCTCCAAAAGGTCGTTCCATTTATCATCAAATGTAGAAGGGGTAGGCAGAAGCTCTAATTGATCCTGCAAGTAAGTGTCAGGGAGCGTTCTTTTCTTAAAATTTACCTTAAGGTTAGCACTATAAACACCATCACCGTTATTGTTGCAGTTAGTGTCACGTATCACATCTTCTAATTCAAGATATCCACCGTTAAAAAATGGCGAATCAATAACCATCGATTCAAACTCTCCTCCTTCCCCACAAATATGGACATCGTACATTCGATTGAGTTTAGTCATCACAGGTAGGATCTGCGGTAATGTCTTACCTAAATGGGACTCATCCAATCCAATAGCTGCAACTTTGATTATTCTAGCATCCAGCTTCGCACACTGTGTTTCATTAAGCTCATCATCTTTTTTTGACATGAGGCACATTTCTTTCATTAATTCTTCTTGCGATCTTTGCCATAGATAACTGAGAGCTGTCAAATTCAATCTCTGACAGACATTCTCAACTCTGGTTCTTTGATAGGAAGAGAGGATTGCCCCCACACTAACTGCTTCTAAGTCCGGTATATCTTGTTTGACCTTTAACAAAAGAGTATATAACTCTTCAATCTCATCATCTTCTGTTTCAATGTAGTTAAGATTCACATTCTTTGATGTATTTTTTTTGATGGGCTGTCTAAATAGTGGTACATTGGTAATACATTTAGTAAACTGTTCTACAATATCAAATCCAACGGTTTGAAACATAAAACTATCTAACTCTTGTACGTTAGTGGAAGGATAGAGGTTAGCAATTGCTACAAGTTCATGTCCCTGTTTCAAACAATGGATGATATTGAAACAGGAATCTTTACCACCAGATACCAATGCAACAAACTTCATTTAAGCCTGAGTAACTGTTTTAGAAGTTTTGACGTATTGTGGAGAAAATCTGAGCTTATCAAATGATGTGGTATTCACCTTGAATTATGGATATACGTTTATTCAGGCGATTGAGATCCAAAATGTACAGAATCCTGAACTGATTATAAATAATTTGCGATGAGCATTCAAAAAAAAAAAGGCCAATTAAAGACCAAAAAAATCTCCGCGACGGGGAATTGAACCCCGATCTGGCACGCGACAAGCGCCCATTCTGACCATTAAACTATCACGGACTTCGTGAAAAAGTGTAACGAGGTAGGGCTTATGTCCGCGTAAATATTTATTAGTTGAGTGGCAGATTACCCTAAATCGTATTAAGGATATCTACTAACACTTGTTGGTATCTATGTTTGCTCTTATACCAGTTAAGGGATTACAAGGGGCTTATTAAATATATTGCGTGTATAGGAAGACTTGTAGTTCACTGATGGTGATGCTATAATCTTCAACGGCTTAATGTATATTTGAAATAGAATGATCGATTGCGATTATCTTGCTTAAAACTTGACTGGTTTCTTTCAACTGAAAGATGAACATTAACATTTGGAGATAGGAGAGTCCCTTTTATAGGAGTGCTCTCTATCCCAGCTGACATGTGTGTGACGTCCATTTGGGTATGTCCCTCGTTGCTCAGGATCGGCATGCTGTGTCCCGAACAACTCATCAACCAGTGTCAGACGAGAGCTCTGATTAGTTGGATCTATACGATGTGTCGAGAGAACTTCGTTCTACGACTCTTTCTGAGTGTGATGCTCATTGGGCTGTCTTTATAGCTAAAGATGCCACTGTCATGGAATAAAGTGTCAGTAATGCCTAATGCGGTTTACTGATCTTATTCACGTGATAGTTCTATTGCAAGATGCTATCAGTAATGCATAAGATGCTAACGAAGGTTAGTTTACACCTTAGTTTTCATTTTTGATCAAGCTAAAGGGTTAACCTTGTTACAAAAAGTTGTATTTAGAAATGATTAAGAGTAAGTAATGTTTAGTCACGTGACAATGAGTTGAGGTCTCGCCTAATCGACTAATTAGGAGTGAATCATGTTACCGTTTGAAACAGGTTACACTGTGAAACAAAACCCGTACACCATGAAACAAGTTACAAGAGATCATGCAGATTTATAAGTGTTAACAAGTTTAACTATATTGAGTATATAAACATATATAATGAGGGCTAATCTCAGAATTATCTGAATCTGTTGGAAATTATATAACAGTGTGACACACAGTGATCTTCGTACAATGCGATATTGCTGTGAAAATTTCTGTATATAAAGGAACCCTTTTTCCAAATTATATAGAATTATATATTACACTTTCTCACATCTCTCTCTGATAGGATGGAGAGGAGCTCTGCTGCTAACAACGGACACATAGTCCTGACCTACAGTAAATACATATACTATTATTATTCTCTAATTCCCAGTTTTCCGATAGTTTGAAATACATAACCTGTATATGAAATAATTCTTTCCGAAATACATTAAGAAGAATTATCTGTAGAATATCTGTATAATAAAAATGAATGAAAATAAAAATATAATCAATGCTCAACAAGATAGAAACAAGGATTTCTATGAATAATTATAAATAATTTATCGTGTAGGTTAAGTTACAAAATAAATTGTAACATCACTATCATTTTTTTGTTTACTGTGGGGCCATTTTGGGGCCTTTTTGAATGTAGGGCGGGCACTTATGGGAGGGCCCTTTTTGAAAATGAAGGCCCTCCCATGCCTACTTCAAAGACTCTTTATCAGGTTTATGTGTAAGGGAAGCCACGATTGACCAATTTTAGTGAGATGATTGTTTACGTAAATAGGTAATGTGGGTATGTCTCAAAAAAAGGAACACCAGTATCTTTCTACTGCTCACGGTTGCTAAATCATATTTTTTACGTTCCATAAATGGCGTCCAGTATTACTAAAACTAGCTTAAATATTATTATCCCCATTTTCATTATCTATTTGTGAAGATATATATAGAACTACTGATAAGCTACCCCCGATACATATTTTGTCTCAACACATTATCTTAATAAAATAGGATCAAATCTCTAACAAATTCATGGTTGCATAATAACTGATAATATTTATATATACATAGTTGGTTATTACGAAATACAGATAGGAATACAATGAGCACAAAGCCAAAAAAAATAAGAATATCAAGGTCTTCTTGGACCTTGGTTGTTTGCAATTTTTTAACAATATTCTTAATTGTGTTATACGCTTACACGCCAATTGATGAACCTACCGATGGAAACCCAAAAGTAACACATGGATGCCTATCATTAATTTCTAGAAATAGGAAGCGTATCACCAAATCTGCAGTTGTGATTAGTATAATCGGAACGGCAATTTTAGGTATCAAAGTCGTGTGGGATCCGATAGTGAATCCAACGCAGGAGTAATAATGACTAATATTAAACATACTTCTGTCGTATAATCATTAAAGATGTGTGTATTCTGCTTTTTTTTAAAAAAAATTGCCTAATATCAATTGATATAAAAAATGTAATGTTTGATGGTCTTTCTTTTTCTATGTAACCTTTGAAGTTTAATATAACATCGTATAAACTGAACGATATAAGGGGAGGGGCCACTGACAATCTTTTTAATCTATATCAAAGTTTCAAAATGATTCCTATGCAGTTTACGCGTCCAGGGTTTAGGAAGATGGAATATTTTCATTCTGGAATATGTGGGATGAAAAAATAGTCTTGTAATTCTACTAATGAAATTTACTTAACCTGTCAAAGTTGATAGAGGTGAAAATGATCTTTGAAAAGAGTCTGATGGGAATTTAAAAACCCAGTACAATCATAAAAAAATCCAATGAAGTCTAAGAGTCTATTAATAGAAGTTCAATTATCTTTAGTCAAAGACTAGTATTCCACTTTTATTAATATATTGTATACTCAAAAGAACCATTAAACGGAAGCAACTTTTTTCAAAGGAACAGCCTAAAAATTCTGTCATCTTATGGGCCCACTAAAAGACAATACTTCGATCAATAAAAAACAGATATTTAACATTATTAAAAAAGTCAAAGATGGAATTTTTTTCTTCAATGAACTCCTTTATGTATGAAACCTGATCATTATTTTTTGGAATGTAATATTCATAATATATAATGTACATGGTTAACAGTAATAACATTATATATGTAACTGGCATAAATTTTACTGTAACAATAATATCTCAAATGCATTACACCTGATAAGAGTGGACTATGTACTAAGAGCAATGTAACATTGTTGACAACATTTCATTAAGCATAATGCAATAAGTAGTACTTATTAAATAAGAGAGAAGACACAAAGTTTTCAGATAAAGAAAAATGCTAAAAGTGAGAAATATTTGTGAATTTACATTTGAAATGTACTTCTATTTCTTCTATAAACCTTATAAAGCACTAAAAATTGCTTTAATTTAACATATTTTACAGTACTTTTTGTTCGACTCCATTACCTAACAATTGACAACGAATGGTACTAACTGTAACTCCACTATGTTTGCGTCAGCTCAGTAACCGTTATTAAACTCCTATTTTTCAGTTCGTTGGTGATTTTACTGGATAGATATACTGAGTAATTACATTCGTTGACTACTTGATTGGACTTGCCGTCACTGGTAGGTTTACGCCACATGTGTGTGTGAGAATGTTTATTTACCTCGATGCTAATGAAGCATTAAGGGTGGGGTCTGAAACAAAGAGGAACTTATTGTGCCACTTAGTCTTTAATATGAAAAAGAAACACTTGGCAATATTATGGTAACTTCATGTGAGATATTGATCTATAGAAAATTACGATTCAACAGTTTTCTGTTATTCTAAATTGTTTAACACACTTAGTACTGTATTGTTGTGGGATACAAACGTGTTATTTATATATGATGATAAGGGAGATGGTTACATTTTTGTTGACAACGTCGCCTAAGAATAGACTCCAAGTATAAGTAATGACCGTACGGTATAACTTGTGTAACAAAAATACGTTGTATACAAAAGAGGACATAAGACTTAGAAACAATTATAATTACAATAACAAGGATAATTAGCCATTGTTTTAATTTCAATAATTAAACGAATATATTGGCCCTTGGAAAATATTGACATTTAATGTTTGAATTTTTTCGTTAGAATTGGTTATTCTAGAGTGAAGAGATTTTATTCGTAACATACAATATATTCTTTGCGGTCCTTTTATAACAATATTTCTAGATGCGAATTCTCTATAGAGCAATAACATGCGTTTGTTAAGAAGTAAATGAAGAAACTAACGTAACTGAATAGAAGTTTCTGACAATAATAAAATAGGCCCGTCCGATTTGATTTGAGATGAGGTGATTTTAGGGAGAATATGAAAATACAAAACGTATATAAAAGGAATAAATTTTCGATGTCCAGAAATCGTACGTTGACACTACTTAGAAAGAAACAACAGAGAAAACACTGTATGAGATAGTATAAAAAGTTTACCAAATAATAATAACGTACTCTTTTCAAGATAACTCTGCTAAAAATGCTAGTATTTATAACGATTAATTTCAAGCATGGCCTACATTGGAGTTTATGAATATAGCTGTCTTTATATATTTTATTTTTTAAGCAAGAGGTCACTTTAAACTATTAGATCAATTTCAATTTTAAAACACTAATAACTATATGCTTTTGCACATTATTTAAATTTTCTAATACGACACTTAAATAATATTAGTTAAGTCTGGTACTTCTAATAACTTTTGACTCAGGGATAGCTTCTATAAAAACTATGAATGTAACCATTATTTTTCTAGAAGACTGATTCCAAAACTAGAATAACTTCGTTTTGGCGGTTCAAATCCTCGTCCCATCCATGCTCATTTGGAATATAGATTAAGATTATTTTCAATGGAAATGTAGACGTAGTTGTTAACGTTCACATTCGTGAACTTCTTATTCTAGTATCGTCGTATAAGCCTATTCAATTATAATAATTGTGCACAATAGTCTTTGTGTTATTTAATTAATGTTAATTTTTTATGCTCATGTGAATATTTCATACTATATACAATAGAACATTCAGCTCAGTAATTTTTTATGTTTTGTGCTGGTTTAAATATTTGTGCTGGTCTCTTTACAATATTGCTAATTATTTCTTTACAATATTTTTGGACTAAGAGCTACTATAATTTACCTTTAGTTTCTGAAATAATCATTTTGATTTCAACTTAACTTGAATGTTAATGAGAAAAAAGGACTCCAGTATAAAGATTAGAGCAAACGAGACCATTCTAACCTACAATGGTCGTTAAATATTGGATTTTAAAGAAAGGAAGACACACAATACAAATTAGTTTAGAAAAACAATTTTTCCAAATTTTTAACTACATATCCTTATTTTAATTGATAAGAAACGAATCTTTAGAGGTATGTATATGATCAACAATAAGATATATGTATATATGTATATATTAATCTGTAGGTTTCTTTATTTGTAAAACTACTTTCCCCTTACATTTTCCAGTGACAACCCTATCAATAGCTTTTTGGAAATCTTCAAACTTATACACAGAATCAATTTGTGGATTGAATTGTTTCTTTTCGATCATTTCATTAGCAAGTACTTCGACATCATGATTTGGGTAGCACATATTGAAATAATAATTATATGCTCTCCATGGTTTAAATCTACGATAAGGTTGAACAAACAATCTTAACTTCAATAAATCCAAAGTATTCAAATTTTCATAATCAAACACAGAATCCCCTACTACAGTACTATAATAAGAATTTGTTGATTTAGGTTTTAAAAAATCATTCATTATTGGTAAGAAATCAGCAGATCCACATGTGTCAAAGATAACATCAAATTTTTCACCGTTCAATTTTGTCATCATAATCTCTTTAACATTTTCTACTGTTTTGTTGTCATTATAGCTAACTAAATAATCATAACCAAATTTCATATTATAATCTATTGAATTTTTGTTACAAACACCAACAACATTTTTCACATGGAAATGATTTTTGGCAATTTGAATAAAACAATTTGCTACTTGTGTGGAGGCACCTAGAACCAGAACATTGTTAACTTTGGACCAATCTCTACCTGGATGAAATATACCAGCATAAGCAGTACCAAATACAAGAGGCCATGAAGAACTAATATCAAATTCGTTATAATCTGAAGTTACCAATGATTTAGTTTCAGGTGCAATATGGATCATTGATGGAGTCTTTTCAGGGGTAACAATCAAATAGTTTGAGAATGTACCATGAGGTGCATACACATAACCTATCATACCATTAACCTTATCACCAATCATCCATTCATCCGAAACTTTATTACCTTTTCTAATTATAATACCAGAAAAGTCTCTTCCGTAAGCCTTTGGATTTGCAGAAGATAATCTTGCAATAGCAGACTTGTGTAAAACAAAATCTATTGGATTTAAAGAAGCTGAATAGATTTCAACCACTATTTGATTATCTCCAAAACATGTGTCTAGATCAATTTCTTCGGTGGTGATAGTAGCAGGAGTATCCCTATTAACAAAACTTACAGTCTTCCATTCAACAACAGACATCTTTTAAATTGGGTGTGAGTGTCTTATAAATAAATGTAAAACAAAGCAAAAAAAATAATTAAAACTGATGAGAAGTATTGAAATTTCTAAATGTTCAGTCGAATTTTCTTGTTCCTCCTCCCCTTCTTATAAACTATTGCGTGTCAATCTATTGGGAAAATCTCTTTGTTTTAACAACCCTTTATTGTTCATTGTGACATATCCAAACTATCCTCCCCTTGACACCTTTCCCTTTTCCGATGGCGCCTCTTTTTGTTCCCGATTACATTATTTAAATGGTTAACTCTCATAGTTTGGTTCCGCGGAGTTAACGAACTTTCACCATATACAGTATAAATATTCTTGAAACCACTTCTCTGGAATTACAATTTGGTTCTATGAAATAATCTTATTGATATTATATCTACATAATGGTTCATTATGTAGCTCTTATATGATTACAAGATTGATGATACCTTTCACTCTCTTGAATAATTAAGTCCTCCTGTCAAAACCAAGGGCTTTGGATAAGGGCTGCTGTTCAAAGTCTGGTAGAATATCGGGCTCTAAGCCTGAATATGCAGCACTGGTTATATTAGATAACGCAAATTTAGTGTCGTCTATCCAACCTCAGTTTTCATCCACGTATGCTCTTTTTAATTTTGAAAAGGATGCGTCCGTAGTTACTGATGTGATTATAAGGAAAGTAAGTAACTCATTGCCACTGGGAGGTATACATGATAATATTTCACTTCGCTATTATCCTTCGTGGTTTCAGCTCGATATTAGTGCAGTATATCTAAGTATACCCTCATATTTAGTAGAAATCTATCAGTATCGCTAAGTTTAATCGATTTCTTAGCACACATTCTAAAATAGTTGGTCACATCTTGCTCTTCGTCCTTTTCAATACCTTCCTTTTCCATCTTTTATCCAAGTAGATTTTCAAAATCTGATTTTGAGAACAAATAGTATTCATCAAATTCAAGAAGTAACGTTTAAATAATTAGCTTCCTTAACCACTCGTGAAAGTTACCCTTAGTGACGAGATAGTCATCATCTTGATATGCACCTCCATCTAATAAATAATCATAAGAATTATAATGCTCTGGACTACTCTTTTATTTGAAATCAGAGAGAGACATTATAATATTTACAGTCATATCTGTGAATTTACAGCTTTCATGGAAATAATCTTTAAAAAGTGTGGCTACATCGCAACCTGGGACAGGCAAAAAACAATTTAACGTTTAAAGGTATTCAAAATCATTCCTTACTTCCTCCAAATATTTCTCGGCAAAGGAAATTGTTGGAGTAAAGACATTATTAGAATATCCCATTCCTCGTAGTGCCGTATTTGCTTTCATTATATTATCTCTAGTATAGATTAGGAAGGCTAAATTTACCGGAGCTAAACTGACGTTGTTTGATATTAATCTCGTTAATTCGTCCTGGACGTATTTTATGAATGTCTTTCATATCTTGATAATAGCATTCGAACATACCTTTCTATAGTCTCCTGAGGAAATGTGAGGAAAACGGGACCGAATTACTCTCTTGAAGATCTGCTCATCCCATTGGGAGAATGGACTACCTGTCATCAAAAACGTTACCATAAGTCTTTCCAAATCAGAGAGCGGTTGAGTTTGTGCCAAGCCCTTTCAGTCAAGGATGTAAAAACTTCACCATATATGTTTTTGTTATCCAAAAAAAAATTTTCTGGTCTCTGCTTCCCATGAAGTTCAGAAGATGGATCAGGTGATACGTATTTAATTGAATGCTCTTTTTTGATATGAGTATCATGCTTGCTATCACTTGCTTCTCCCACTTCGTGTTCATCACGAAGGGTTGGGAAGGTATCGTACATATCACCTCCCTCAAAAGCCTGATGTTATCTCCTAGCTTTCTCATCTTCGAGTGTTTTTTGTCTTTTCCTCCTGCGATCTTCAAATATACTTGTTAGATTGCGTGAGGTTTTTTATTTGAATTCTTTCCATTTTCTTTGTTCTCTGCACTTTTTGTAGTTATAATTGCACCATTCTCATAATCACATATCATATTTAGTTGTATCTGCTTTTAGTTTAGCAATATTTTGGGCTACCAGGACAACTCCTGTTCTATAGGTTATTTAATTTTTGTTTATCATTTTTTACTTTTTGTTTACAGGACGCCACATTGGTTGACCTATGTATACTGGTGCCACACCTATAATTTTTTTCCTATCAGCCTCGAAACTGTTAAAAAATTGAATCAGCTTCTACTTATTTCCAAAAGAGGCAAACTGAACTGCCGACATATAACTGACATATTTCCTTAAGCTTTAAATGTAAAGATTTAATATTAATTAGTTAAACATTACAAATAAAATTGGAGCTACCCAATTACTAGGGGTCTCCCTTAAAGGTTAATTGATACAACCAGTATTAACATTTATATAGTGACCGAAAAATGTAATACTACCTGTATAGATAAATACATGGGACCATGTAATGGCTATATTGTGGAAGTCACTATATTCAAAATTTGAGAAAAATTGTTACGATAGCTATAGGTGTCACAGTTTTGTGATGACGATTAATAACAAGAAGGGAAAACGTCCTCATTGCATCATAAGAAGTTATTGGAAATATATTACTTACTGTTCATTAGTATTACTTTTATTCATACAAAATATTTATATTATCTCTTGACGTTAGATATGTTATGACTAACGGGATAGATATTTATAATTGGCAGACACAAAAATATAAAATTCTGTAACAAAAATTATATCCTACCATTACTACCTCATTATTAGGCAAACAATCATATTGAGCTCTTTTCAAGAGCATCCACCACATATACAGTATTACAGTATTATATATTAGGCTCATCTGAGTCTTTGTTTTGTTCTCGGAAGAATTCTGAATGGGTATCAATAAACGTCCCAGCGAATATATATTTCTGCATTAATATAAGGATAATTCACTACATATATAAAGTAATTTATCTTAATGTAATAGAATATTTTTTTAAGTTTTAAAGAATAAATATAAGTAAAAGAGAAGTAAATATGTATATATATATAATTTTATTGAGAAAAAAAAGTCCTCTCAATCTTTTCCTGATGATCTTAAGGATAAGAATATAGATTTTAATAATGGCCAGCCATTATCAGCTCTTACAGCGTCACCGTTTTCTTGTAATCTTCTCAATAGATAATCTTTTGTCTCAATAGCGGGACCCCATGGGACATATTTAATAATATTTTTAACACCATATGTATTAATTAAATCATGAGTAACGTTATCAGCCATACCTAAAAGTTGACCAAAGATAACGTTATTTTGAACATAATTTTTATTTGATGATTTGGAATTATTAATTAAATTTGTGGCAATTAATTGAGAATGATAATTATGAGATGCAATAACTAAATGTCCAAAAGTTGAATTTTTACCATTTTGTAACATATCATTTGTTACAAAAGTTGCGACTTTATTATAATGATTATCAGTATCCAACTTAGTATTATGAATAATCAAATCTCTTTCAGGTTCTGTATGAATATAAGCACCTCTAACTAATTTCAAACCTAACTTATAATTACCCTTTTGAGCCAATTCTTGTTCATTAATAATATCCTTAAGTGAATCCTTTAAATATAATTGCCATGTACCAATACAAGAAGCAAATTTATTTTCCATTGAATTAAATTTTTTAAATAAAATTCTTTGTAATTCATAAACACCATTTTTTTGTAAATCATATTTTTCTGCATCTATTGTCGAAACAAAAAATGGTGATTGCCTATTTGGATATTTTTCTAATAAAGTTTTATTTAATTGACAAATTTCTTCTGTAATCTTTGAACAATTATCAATTAAAATTTGTCTTTGCTTGTTCCAATGTGGATCATTAATTTGATTAAAGTTTAATAATACATCTGAAGGATTTTTCACTAAAGCAGATGGTTTTAAAGCAATATAACCAGGTGCAATATCATTAATATTTGATGCAGTAGCATCTAATTGTGATAAAAAATTTGGTAATAAAATTTTATGAATTGAGGCAATAGTTTCTTTAACAATATGATTAATGTCAATATTTTTTGTACCTTCTGCATCTTCAATAGTTAAAGATAACATCATATTTGAAATACCTCTCTTTTGTAATTGTCTACCACATTGTAGGACTTCATCCATTGTTTCACCACCACAATATAAATCAGAAATAAAAATTTTCATCATTGGTATTGGAACGTAAGGAAATAATTTAATACAAGTATCTAAGAAAAATTTGTTCATAGTGACCATACCAATCATTGATAAAGAAAATAGTTGATTTTTTGGTAAAGTTCTTAAATAAGTCATTGAAGCAGGTGCTTCAATATCATAAATTCTATCCCAACTAGGTTCTTGCAGAGTTGAAGTAGTATTCGGGATAGCAACTGCACTTGTATTTACAGTTGTAGCGACAACTGTAACTGAATCAGTTGCAGCAGCAGCAGCAGCAGCAGCAGCAGCAGATGATGAGCCTAGAATACCCGAAGGGTCTAGATACATCATACTTTCATTTTTCTTTGTGTTTGTCTTTGAGACATAAAGTCTCTTAGTATTGTAGAAAGGGGATCTACTCTTTGTAGAGATGATAGGGGAGCGTAATAAACTTGAAGCAGGAGATTTTAAAACAGATAGTTTCATTAAAATATTTAAATTTGAAATAATAAATTAAAATTTAAAAGTAGTATGCGTTGTGTGTTTGAGTATATATATATATATATGACTAAATAAAATTAAATAAAATAAATGAATTTCAAGAAAACAAACTTTAGTAATAAATAAACGTTTTATTTTATTTTAAACCAAAGAGACCCTTATATACATTTCGTCGATCCATTAATAATATACCCAAAAACTAATCCTCTTTAGACTAAATCCTCAGGCATTATATCAAATCGACAGAGAAAATACTGTAAAAAGTTTTTCTGCTTTCCCAGCTTATCTTATCATCAAACTCTAAAATCCATCGCAGTTAGTTGAAAAAGTATATCTTCTTTTCAGTTTCAGTTTCTTGGTCAGCGAGGGGTACCCTTTTCTGGCTGTTTAAACGGAGAAATCGGTGCAGTCAGTGGAAGACTCTATCTATTTTTGCTGGTGGACTCGGCGTTGGGTTCCCGATGCACAGCCGTATCGGATTTTCCCGGTGATCGTTTCCCGAGAGGAGAAGAGTTATTGTTGTTCTGATTTTCGATAAAGCTGCGCGGGCGTAATTTTTTATTTTCAGTCCAGTTAGTGGCGCGGGAACCCAGCGCCGAACTGCACCGCGCGCGCTCATCTTTTCAGTATGAAGGAATAGATTGTTTGGCAGATTTGGGAGGAGAGCTCGGTGTCACGTGCGTCGGTGGCCGCGTCGAGCTCGTCATCACGTGCCTCGCGGTTTTCCGATGGTATGGCATATAATTTATCGTATTCCAAGTGATCGAGAGTAGTCTGTGTCGGTGCAAAGGGCTCCAGTAAATCATGATCAATATCGTTGTTATTGTTGGTCATTAGTGAAGTGGTTTGGTGGACCATCTCGGGAATAATGCTTTCACGAACACTACGTTTTCTAAAGATATTACCATCAAGTGGTCGATAATGAATTTCATATTTATTAATGGTATCCATAACACTTTCACCTAACGTTTGAGTATGTTTAGTATTGCGTTCATTCTTCATGATTGTAATGGCTTTATCGACTTCTGTGGAAGTAATAACCGTTGGATAAATAGTTAATTGATCGTTTTTTTTATTTTTCTTCTTCTTATGTGAATGGTATATTTCAATGATTTCATCATCGTCCTTTTGTGGTTTATGTCTTTTATTTTTATTAGATTCATCTTCCTTAATAAGGAATTCTCTTAATGATCGTTTTGAAATTTTTTTATTTTGAATTTCAGGTAATATTGTATACCATAATAATCGACGTAATTGTTGTTTTATTAAAAGTTCCATATATTGAATACTTTGTTTATCAATTGATATATTTTGACGTCTTATTGTTTGAATTTCTTCAAGATGACTCTTACTATATATCAAATCCCATCGTTTCTTCCAATTATTAATATCAATTAATTCACTATTAACATTTTGTTCAACAATATCACCGGGTTCTTTAGTTTCAATTATTGGCTTCGTACTCATATATTCTTCCATATCAATGAATTGTTCATCCATTTCATAAGCAATATCCATATCTGCAATTTTAACTAAACCTTTAAATTTTTGTCGACGTAATTGTTTTAAATTTTTTTGTAAAATCTTATAATATTCCATTATTTCAAATATTGATTTATCATGAAGTATATGACTCCATTCAGTTATACGGTGTATACTATATCTTGATAATAATTTGAAAAAAATACGTTTTTCAACTCCTGTCCAATAACTACCAACTGTATCATCATCATCATCATCCGATTCAAGTTCTTCTTCTTCTCCTCCTTGTGGTTCATCATGTGTGCGTTCTACATAACTTACTTGGCTTGAAGAATGTACTCGTGATGACCGTACACTATAGTCCCAAGATTGTCCAATTTGGAAAAATTCTGTTACTTCTTTATTGTACATATCATAATATCGTTTAATTGCCTCCTTTTGAAGGAATTTCATAGAACTCATGTTTGCATATCTCTCTAAATATATATATATTTGATAGATTTAATGCCATCAACTTTAAGTTTTATTCAATTTAAGAAGTTTTTTGTTCTTGCTGATCACGAAATTTTTTTTTTTTTTTTCACTATTTACTTGATTTTCAAACTGCATTTTTTTTCCAACCCTTCGAAGTCGATCAATCATCCTTTGTTAGATTTTATAAAAAAAAAATTAGAAATATACTACAATAAGGGAACAGAACCCCTGTTTTCAACAACTACAAAGGTAGATCCAGTCACAAACGCATCCCTCCATTCTGTTTCTTCAATACTTTTAATATTTTATTTCTTTGAGAAATGAAACAATATAATTTGATTCAAGCGATTAGATTATATTCTACTAGAGGTAAAAAATTAAAACCAACAAAACCTCAAATCGTGGTATTGAATCCAGAACAATCGGGTTTACTTGTTCATCGTAATAGAAGAAATACAGTGACTAATCACAATCATACTAATAAAGATAAATTTTCAAAATCTCGTTATGATCATAATCTTAGAACTGAAAAAAATTCTTTATTTGAAGGTATTGAATTAGAACCAACATGGATGAAAAAAGATTCAAATAATAAACTTGGATCTGATTTAGTCAAAGATACAGAAAATTTATTAAAATTTCAAAAAAATTCTTCATTTGAACAACTTTTCCATTCAATAGATTCATTAAAACCAACATTAACAAATATTTCACAAGAAAATTATATTCAATTACAAAAACAACTAACAGATTCTTTTACACTTAAACAATTACGTGCATATATTAATACATTAGATCCTAAACATGAACTTATTACATCAAATAGATTAGTTAAACATAAATTAATAGAACAAATTTTTACAAAATTATGGAATGGTCAAATTTCTCAAAATCTTTTAGATTTACAAACTAAAACAATTAAATTAACACAAAGACATTCAAAATTGCTATTATTAACTCAAAATGGGAAAATTCTTAAAAATTTAACACGTTTAAATCCTCATTTGTTCATCCAACTAAATTTGTCTCAAAATGAATTAAAGATAACCTCAACAGTGGATATTCTAGAATTTATCGAAATCTCTTTAAATAATATCTTAAACAATGTTTGTGCTACAGATTGGTCCCCTGCAATAACTTTGTCAGATTCACAATTGAATTTAATAACAAGGATATGTGGTGTAGATATATACAATAATGAAGTCGCTGCATTTGGTTGGAAAAGAATAGAATTAGCAAGAAGATTGGTCAGATGGTTGATATCAAAGGAAGATTCTATACATAAAGAGGCTAAGTTTGAAAAATGGCTATTTACTGAAGAGAACGAAAATAATAATAGCATTAAGTGGTTCCCATTTAATGACCTTGATTGTTTAGATTGGCTTGATAAGGACGAAGTTTGGGGAAGACTCCAGAAGATAGAATCAATGGTTGAAAATAAACAAAATTTGGAAACTCCAATTTTGGCACCTAGTACTTTATTATCCGAAGAAAAAATTGAGAAAATCTATTGTTTCTTCAAAGATTCTCCTTTGCATAAAACTAACGTCGATGTCTCATCTGATGTATCGAATATTATTAGTGTCTCATTTGGTTCGATACTCGAAAATAAAAATAGTGACAAAAAAATCTTTCAACCAAGAGTCTCAAAAATATCAGAAAAGGTGTTAGCACTACCTCCAGATTCTGAAGATAATGATACTGAACCAAGTTATTATTTGGAGTTAAACTTTACACCATCTTCAAAGAATTTAAAACAAGCACCTCCACTTAAATTACTAATTCAATTGGATGAAAAGAATAATATAATATATGAGACAATCCAATGTCTAACATACTTATCCACTAGCGATTATTATACACAAACACCACAGGTAAAGCATGATTATAAGATATCTCATGATAAAGTGTCTGACATATTTATGTATGATGATAATGGAGAGTTAATGAATCAACCTGGTATCGATAAATTTCTAAACGTATTCAAATATACGCCGCAAATCCCATATGTGAATTCTATTGATACAGTATCCTTTAATTTACCTACAAAGGATTCTGATCATTCCAATGTTGATTACGAATTTGTCTCGATGAATCATCATTCCGTTAGAAGATTTAGATACCTTGACAAGTATTCAGTTCAATTTTCAAATGTTAACGGTGGTTCCTTAGGTGGATGCTATACCCAAGTTGAATTTGTTAATAATGATAAAGCTACTGAATTACCTAGTAAAGAGGAATTTGGTAAATTCATGAAAGATATTTTCAAATTTGATTAATAGAAGTTACCTTGTAAATACTCAACATCAAAAAAAAAGATACGTTACTGAAACATTTTTTTAGACATACATAACAAATATGTAAATATCCGGCATTCCTCTAATAAATGAAATATTCTTTCTTTTAGATGTGTTAACTTATTAATAAAGAATATAAATATATAAATATATAAATATACTAGAAATATTATTTTTTCAATGCTATTATATGATGAAGGGATTACAATCCCTTAAAAACTGCTCACCAACTCAGAAAATAAATTCTGTTTCGGAGAATATGCTTAAGAAACGTCTGCTTATGTTTTTTTATCAATTCGGCCCCTTCTTCAAACTAAATTTCTTGGCTATCGAACTCTTTAAGTTTTGGGTTCTACTACCCGCTCTTTCTCTACTATTAACAGTAGGAGTAGGCTCCTCTTCTTCATCATCTTCACCACCTCCTATTGGTGCATTCGTTAGACCCAATGCATTCAAACGCCTCTGTCTTTCAAACTCAGTCTCAGATTCATAATCAGAACCATCGCTTGTTTCGTATTCGTAATCATCATTTGTTTCAATTTCATCATCATCATCATCATATTCTATACTGTCATTTTCATCGCTTGTATAATCACTACCTGATTCTGATTCTTTATATGCATTAGCACGACTTGAGGAATACATCTGAGTTGGAGCAGGTGTAAGAATTCTGTTAGTTGCTGGTTGTTTTATTTTATTAACAGCAGATTTTGAAATAGATTGCTTTCTAGTGTTCCCATCTTTAACAGGTGGGCGGCGAGCAGAAGATGCGGCACGACTTCTTAAACCGACGGCAGACAGAGCCTTTGAAACAACACCAGTGTCGTCATTATTATTTTCATTCTCGTTTTCGTTTTCGTTTGCATGAGGGTTGATTTTGTATCTTCTCACGACATCACCTTCTTCATTTTCAATAATTAACAGATTATCAATCTTATATGCATGATATTTGTGTTTAGTCTCACCATCGGATGAACCGAGAGAGATTCCACCAACACTTGAATGCCTACTTGCCGTCTTCTTTATGACATTACCAACAATGGATGGGACACTTGTTAAGGAAGCAGGTGAAATAACGTGTTTCAAAGCCCTTAGGCTTGAGCCTGAATCATGAGATGTAACACCATGAAGTGGGGGCTCACCTTCGTATTCTTTCAAACTACCTTCAACATCATCCGGTGGAATATTTAATTTTGCTTGATCTAGAATTTCACCATGTTTATTTTCAATAATAATTTGATCACCTTCCGTATAAGCCACTTTACCAGTATTTTCAGCTTCCTCAATCTCTCTTTGTCTCTGTTTCTCAAATGAAGTCACGGAACTATCACTAGAGCTTCCTTGTTTTTCATTATATTGAGCATCCGAGTCATAAGGAACGTTATTTGGTGAATCTGTTGAATGTAACTTGTTAGAGTAAGCATCACTTTCAGAACGATATCTAGTTTGCGGTTGTTGTTCTTGTTCTTCATCGTCATCATAAAGTTCATGATCTGAGTCAAATGCAGGATATGTTGGTAATTCCTGGACATTTGGACTTATTAATTGACTCATTTGTGATCCAGAATCATTTTCATGTACAGTACCATTTGAAAATTCAGATGGAGAGACACCTAATTCATTTTGTTGACTACTGCCTGTTATGGTAGATTCTTGTTCATCAGATTGAGGTGCAACAGAGGAACTTAATGCAAAAGTAGCGGCACGAGCTTCTTTTTCACGTTGTAATCTTTCTCTCCCTAAATCATTTAATTCATCATCATATTCATTTGAATATTTTCTATATGATCTAGAACGGAAGATTTCACGAGGTAAATGTCTATGTCTTAATTTACTATGTTTTCTACCATGTTTCTTATGTTTCCTTCTTCTTGTCATCCCACCTGCATGTCTTACAGGGACACCACTTGTCTCTACAGTACTCGTTCTTGACATTACTTTATTTTCTCTACCAGGGATCATCTTACCTGTAGTATCGACTCTTTGTAATGAGAAAGATCTACCTGCTTTATCCAATGATGGTAATCTTTGCATCCATGAGCTTTTCCCACCACCACCTCCAAAAGTTTGTGTGGTGAAAGTTTTTGTTAATGTAATAGTATTTAAATGACGACCTAAAGTTATGATTGCCACTGAAGAACCATGAACAATAATTGATGTAACAATAAAGAAACATACAATTGGCCAAACACATGCAATTAATTGATAATGTTTTGTACCTTTTTCAGGTAGATGTTTTAAAGGAGTTTCTTCTTCAGAGACACTTGCTTCTAATTCTGATCTTGAAAGGATTGCAGCAAAGATTGCACCAACACCAATAGGACCAAAATGTCCAACAAATAAAGCTTCACGCCATGATTTAATATCTGGAATAAATCTTCTCATTGCAAGCACTGCAGGAATTCTTCTTAAGAAAATAACAACAAATGCTAAAATAATTAATCTCCAAACGTTACAACCAATATCACCATTATTAAATTGTTTCCAAGGAACAATTGCACCAAAATAGATGAAATATGCATAATTTAATAATAAATCGATCACAGTAGAGACTTTACTTTCTTCAGTTCTCTTTGAGAACCAACCATCCCAAGCAAAAGTTGCACCAGCAGAAAATGAAACCAAAAGATCATCAACTCCAAGGATAGAACCAAATCCTGCACAACAAAACGATAAGACAACATAAAATGCTAAAAAGGATTCTCTATCAATAATATTTTTCTCTTCGGCAAATTTAATTGCACGTTTCCCAACATAACCAATAAATACACCAAGGATAGCTCCAAATATACATTCATACAATATTGTAACACAAATCCAATCTTTAACAATTTCTCTAGCGTTTCCTGGATATAAAATTAAATTTAAGGATAAATAAATAAATGGGAATGCCATACCATCATTACAACCAGATTCAGCAGATAACAAATTTCTTAAATGACCTGGAACTCTTTGAGCAAATTTACCTGATACAACAGATTGAGCTAAGATAGGGTCTGTTGCTGTTATACAAGCAGATACTAATAAACTTGCGGAAAAATTTAAACCTGGAATTAAAATCCAGATAAATAAACCTATAATTAGCCAACCAATAGTCATTACAGGAATTAATAACATAACAATTGAAAGCCAATGCTTTAACATATATTTTCTCGGTAATTCAACAGCCACAGCAAAAATTTGTAAACATAATACAATACGAGTAATTTCTAATGTAATAGAATCTGAATTCCCCCATTCTAATGGATTAAACCAATCTAAACATACAGGACCAACAATAATACCAAATATACCTGCTACAGTAGATTCACCAATATATAATTTTTCTTTAATAAAGAGGGAAACCAATGAGAAAATAGATGAAAAGACCCCTACACATGCATATGCAACATGTGCTTTGGATACTTCTAATTGTTCCCATACAGCCATGATTATTATTAGTGATAACCGGAAAAGAACCAAAAATAAAAGTCAGCTGTGATTAAATTTTCTTCTCTATCTTTAATGCAAAAAATATGTCAATAGTTTATAATAGTAGTAATACAACAGAGAAGAAAATCAATAAAAATGACAAAAGAATAAAAAGTGTGGGAATTAATAGTAATGCAAATGAAGTAATAATTAAAAAACACTCAAATATATATTTTATATATTAGTTGATTTTACTTGTTTCTTTACTTCCTTTTTAAAATATCCTTTATCTTTTGTGCGATGAGTAAATTCACTTTATTTCCTCGTTTTGTTGTTATATTATATTTATATTATTTTTTTCTTTCTGCAGTTCCAGAATGTAATTTTTTTTTTGGGCTTTTCCTTCCACTAAAGAACAATAATAAAAAGTGATAGGAGTGTTGCTGATAAAATACAGAAAACACAAAAGGACTTAATGACTATCGAATTTCTAAATTATAAGATGATTATAATACTAACAAAAAAAATACTTAAAATAATTATCAATTCTTTCTATTGTATCTCGCGATATATCCAAAACGAAATAAAATACTTTATATTCACTTTAAACTTCAAACTTATCTACAAATAATCCTATTAAATAAGCCGTAAATCATTATAACGTCTAACGCTGGTTGTTCTCGTTGTCATTGCGATTATCTCATTCAGCGTTTCTGTTGTCATCGATCTTCTTTTCTTCTCCCCCCTCATCAGTTCAGTTCAGTTCAGTCCATTTCGATTCGTTGCACCAAGAAAGGGACTTTCCCAATATCTGCCTCGCATTGAATCTCGCAGAAAACACGGTACAGAAACGATATGCTCTCTCCCTCCCGCCCGCGCTTCTGGCCGTGGTCGACCGAATTACGAACGTGGCTGAACAATCCAATGAAAGAGCAGAATGTGAAAACGGTGATAATCCCCGTAGCAAATATATACGCGCAGCGAGACAGAGAATATGTTCCGCGGTACGAACTGTGCGCTTATTTCCATGGATGTGAGATCTCTTCAGTTTTAAACCCTATATTAGGGTTTGGATGCTTGTTGTATCTTGAATATATAGAGAAGAGGTGAGGTGAGATGAGATGAGGAAAAGACCGTTTGGATCTGGAGTATACTCAGTGTGGTCTGTCTCATTATATCAAGTAGAATGCATACCTTGATGCGTCAAGGGAACTGTCTGATATACTGTAGACGGGTAATTCATGGTTGATGATAGCTTGTTCGAGAAATTCTGTAACTATGTCTTGTGATCTTAAATGTACACCTATAAGACATTTCACCTCTTGTATGACAGCTGTACCTTTTGTATTCTTTGAAAGATATTTTCTCAAATTTGTAATTGTGTTGAGAAATGGTTCAATTAGGTATTCATTGTATATTACATCCATAGCAATTATGTATATCGTATCACAATCATCTCTAATTTGATTTAAATATGGATGATTAACAGAAATGTCAAATTTTTCCCAATCTAATTCTTCAACTTCAATAGATACAGTAGAAGTTTTCGAGGCTCTATTGTATCGTTTCTTATTTTCATTTGATTCAATTGTATCAGATTCATATTCTATTTGAATTTCTGATCGTTTTATCTCTAATGATTTTGATATACATTCACGTCTTGATATTTGTGATATATTTTCCTTAATATTTTGTTTCAATTTATTTAATATACCTCTTTGATCTGTACAAATATAATAATCAACATGATTTGATAATATTACCGCCATTAATGGTGAGATACCTGTTCCTAATTCAATTATACCAACTTTTGTATCATTTATTTCACTATATATAGGTGGAATCTTTATCATATCTTGATCAATATTAACAACTTTTATTGATTCACTTGGATGACGCAATGGTTCTGATTCATCATTATATAATAGCCATCTTAAGAAAAACGGTGTACTCGACCAAAGAACATACCCTGTTGTGGAATTATTATTGGATACACTAGAATTTAGATCACTTAGAGATTGTTCAACGACAACGTTATACAATTCAATATCTGTTCGACTCCCATTTTGCTTCACTTTATTTTTCTTCTTCTTCCTAATTGTTTTTGTTGCCGTAGTTAATAGAGGTGGTTCAATATCTATCTCTATTGTAGTTCCCGTTCGAGATTGAATCCCTAGATCTTGTTTTAAATTTGCAGAATTTCGTTCTAATTCAACGTATCTTTCAAATATGTGCTCATGTAACGTATCTTCATCCAGTGATAATAATTGGAATACCATAATAATACCTTCTTTTCTTATTTATTCTACTTACCCTTCACGTACTATAACTAGTAACTTCTGTTTCATATAGAAAAAGTTTCATGTATACATTCTTTTTTTTTCTTTTCTGTTTCTTTTATTATAAGCAATGGGCATCGCTGAAAAATACACACATACACATTTAACTATACGTCATAATAAAATACCACGACAATCTCGTAGTTTATGCTATTGAATTGTCTATATATATATATATATACACTCAAATTAGTATAGTGTCCTTATCCTTAGAATATTTTTAACTACGTTTTAGACTAACTCCATTGGCGTCTGCCCAGCTTTGTATTGTTGACTCATCAATCAGATTTACCAAGGGATCTAATTCATTTAACTCATAAAGAAATGTCTCCATCAAGATAGGTTGGAAGGTTTGTATCCTCTCTAATAATGATGGCTCGTTTTTAACCAATTTAGTCAAATGATCATACAACGCTTGTCTTGTACCAAAATTTCCTTCGATAACTGCCTCACCTAGGACTTGTGACGCATTCTCTAAAGATTCAATCATTTCTGTTTTAGACCGAACAGGCCTCAATCCAATCTCCTTCATCTGTCGCCTAAGGTCTTGAGCTGAAGACTGAGACATTATAACATTTGTTTCAACTGTTTTAGATTCTGATACCAGTGCAATCGGAGGCTCTGATGTAGCTAATTTCGGCTCCTCTTTAGTTGAATATTTCAATTCAAATATATTCGATTCTTGATTTCTTTCACAATCTGATTTATGGTTACAAATATCGGAATCATATATTATAGTATCATCAGAAGCAGCCTCGGTCTTATTCAAGTTTGAATTCCTTGTGAATTTAAAAGGTAACTCACCATTACTTATCCTTTCGCATGTAGTTTCTGATAATCTGGCATTAACTACAAACCCATCCTGGGATACTTTGACCGATTTCTCACTGCAGATTAATGTTGGTGCACGAGTGGCAGGTACTTGAATTTTACTAGAAAATTTTGTTCGAGGAGAAGCTTTCCTCGGGGTACTTTCCTTTGGGATTACTCCCTCAGATTTTATCGGAGAAATTAGCTCATTAGATACAGTGAATGATGCCTGTGTTAAATCGACATCATCCTCTTTATATGTCTTATCTGGCTTGTTAAAAGTTTCTATTAACGGTGGCAATGTTGCTGTTGTTGGAATAAACTTATATTGATCCAATTCAAGTTGTTCCACATTAGGAAATTCAACCTTCATTTCGTCCATACTGTCATATAGTATAATATCCTCATCGGAATTCGAATTACCTTCAGCACTTTCTACTATTTTTGGAATTACGTCAGTATCCCTTTCTGCAATATTATGAGGCTTTGTTTCGATAGTGCCCACATTCCTGTTGGGTGGTCGTATCACTGATTCAACTTCGTCTTCCTTCAACTTTCTATCGGCAATACTATCCACCGAACCACTATTAGAACCTCTTAGATCAATTCCATTCTCCACATCTTGCTCATCCACCACATTTTCTTGAGTTATATAAAGGCTTTGTTCATCAGATGTACTAACATTTTCAACTATATTTTCATCAACAATTAATAGACTCTTTTCATGGTCAGTTGTATCTTCCATAACTTGTGATAAGGTTAATAATTTCATCATATCTGCGCTGCTGGCAGAATCATTTTTTTTATTCTGGTGGACAAAATTTGACTTATTCTGTTGAGATTGTGGCATAAACTCTTCAGGAGGCTTTTGTGAAGATCCCCACATATCCAATGTATCACAATCACCATATAAATAAAAAAATACATCCTTCACATCTTGTGTATTACTTCTTGGAAAGTTCTTCAATATTTGAGAAGAAATCGTTTTCCATTCCTCGGCATTATACACATCAAATGATCTAGAAGGTTGCAGTTGCACTTTACCTCTAGAATTCTTTTTATCTGCCTCTTGTTGTCCTTTTAATATGTCACGAACCTTTCTATGCTTACCAGATAGTTTTTTCAATAGATCTTGTGCTCTTGTTAAGTTGGATGGAGCTACATCCTTCTTTTGCGAACAAGTCTTAGTCTTCTTTTGTTTCGATTCATTAGCTATGAATACTTCAGAGGCCAGCCTCTTACTGTGTCTTGCTATGCCATTAAGCTCAGGAAAAGATCCAGCGCTATCACTGATAGCATACCTGAATTGACTCAGTTTGCCTTTTATCTCAGAATCACGATTAATTACATCGAGTCGGCTTTGAATCTGTGTACTAATTAAAACATGATCATCTTGCATTGTATTACCACTATGAGCCTGGTTTCCTGGTGAAATATCACTGTTCCCAGCTTCGATATCTCCGTGACTGGGAATGTGTCCTTCACTATCATTTGGTAATATATTACCTTCGTTATGATTATTAATAATAATACCATCTTCAACATTCCCAATAATTGTTGCTGTTTGTTTTTCTTTATCCTCATCGTCTACCTCTTTAATAATATTGGATGGGTCAGATATCAATCCCATTGTTTTTATTGGGGAACTTATTCTACTACTACTATATATCCTTTTATTATCCTCAGGGCTAGATGCTGAAGACTGTGAAAACTTTAAAGACGGCACCTGTGTACTAATAAGGGCTTCGTCTTCCTGGTTTCTTTCATTTTCTTGTAGTTCTGCAACAACTTTCAAATCATTATCAATATTATTTTCATTTACTAACTGCAAATTTCGCTGAGCTCTTCGATAGTCCATATTTGTGTATTTATAATATCAAAAGCTAGCCAACTAATAGCATTATACCATACAATTTAACGATGTTTTGTTATTTTATCTTTGTATAACTTACTTATTAAAAAGATGATGATATTTTGTATTTAGTTAATTATGGCACGCGAATTGCTATATTAATAACGCGCTTAAATAAGTAGACGCACAATAAATAATTATTACTAATATATATATGTGCTTTAATATAGACAAGGAATTTCTCTACACATTTACAACAGAATATATTTTAATCTGGTCGGTGCAATGAATTTCAAAAAATATGGTGTTCTCATAAACTCAGATCATGTTAACATCCAAAACATTAAAGTGTGTAATAGTACAATCGGATTCATCGATGATCCCTAACCCAACCAAATCCGACCAGAATACAGATATTTTGTCGCTGCAATATTTTATATAGTCGAAAGTATCGACATTAACACCACCACTATCCTCCTCATCCTGGTCCTCCTCATCCGTGGCAGTCGGTTGTACAGCATCTGCCGGTTCTTCTGTCTTAATTATATATATTTCACCATTAGGCCCGATAGATTCTTGAAGAGGCTCTTCGGTTTCTGGTTCAAATGTACCACTCTGTAAAATACCCCATATTGACCAAAACAACTGTACAGTTGCCCTCCATCTAATTATTGAGTTATAAAAGTACCTGACCTCATTATCAATAACTGTCTTTCTATTATCTTTATCACCACCTTGTAGATGAGAAACATACGAATATAAAAAGTTCAACATTTGTTCTTTATTTGGGAAAGCATCTGGGTTACATTTGTAAGGATAAGTTCCACTATAGTCATGCATCCATTCACTCAAATGATTAGCAAGATCATAAGCAGCTGGATTAGGACCAGCATATTCAAAATCAATAACCACAAGTTTGGAATCTTGACTTTGTTCTAATTTCGTTGGATTAATGATCTTTTCAACAGAGACACCGGAAGATGTTGGAAACAATGAGGAGTTAGAAGTTGCGGAGCTAACCGATGCAGCACTACTCTCTACGGGATTTACCGTATCTATACTCTCTACGACTGGTGCGGTAAATAATAGATTCCCGTATTGAGCATCATTATGACAGAATACCAAAGGCGGTTTTGCTCTTTCTTGTTTATATAGCCAATCATGATATTGATGAATTATCTTCTTAAAATGTTCCCAATTATCACATTTGAATGCTTCCTTGATATTTTCATCGATAGCTACCCAGTCTTTACCTCTCGTCTCAAGAATAGTTAACCATTTCAATAATTTATTCCAACTTGCAGGCCCGCATTCAATTTCTGAACGTAATAAAGGAACTCCCGAATGCAATTCTTTCATTCTTCTTGCTATTCTTTGAGAAGTTTTCCAATCTCTAATATTATCACGTCCTAAGGTTCTTGAATTTTCCAAATATTGTTCAAACCGACCATTTTCAAAACAGCCATATAAAGATGGTCCTATGCTTCTAATTGATAATCTTGCTAAAATTTGTAATTCATAATCTCTGTCAATAATAGAATCATTATTTTTCCCATAGACTCTCAATAAAAGGGAAGGTATTTTAGGATACTCTACTTTAAAGATTGAGTTCGTCATTGCACCAGATATCTTGGTTAAAGTCAAATGATCAGGGTTCAATTTCGATTCTAAAGAATTTTTAGAATGCCATTTTCTAATACGTAAAATATGGGCAACATTTAGTATATCTCTTTTCAAATATTCAGTAGGTAAAGTGCTATCCAAGGTAGCCTTAACGTAAGGAATCTCTATATATTCACTTTTTGATGAATTTTTAGGATTTGCAGAACTAACCGCCACTTTTAACCCACTTAAAATCGGTAGTTTTGATTCTGTCATTTCCTTTGATATTGAGTTATCTTTCAATTCTTCAGTCTTCAATTTTTGCAAAGAGTCGTTCAATTTACTTAAATCTAATTCACCATCACTAAAATCAAGAGCAACTTCTTTATGTCTATCAATACTAATTGTCTTGATAAGTCTCAGAGAGGATCTACTTCTCGTTAGCGAAGGCCTTCTCGAGCTAGAGGTTGAACCTGATCTCGAATGATGACCAGTGTGTGGTCTCGAATATATTTCCCCGGTTGGCATTTAATCGAATAAAGTATTGATCTATGTATGTATATGTATATCGATGTAAAGGAGACGGTTGCAAATCTCTCCAGATGATTAATTAAGGGAAATTCAACTCCAATTGTTGTATATTATCTGAACTTATCTTCAACAGTAGAGCGGCTTCTTAAAAAACACCAAATAAATCAAGACCACTCAAAACGACGTCTTTTTATACAAACGATATCTCGACCTGGCCTTATCTAATTCAACCGATTAGAGAGGATGGAACTTCATGAGTTAGTCTCAATTAGCATGTGAATCTTTCCACGTCAAATTCAGCAAGGAGGACGTTGGTGAATGGAAAGATTTCGCACTGTCGCGTGGGAAGTGACAGTAAAAACCGAAAACTTTAACGAAAAAGTTGATTGTGTGGGGTTTAGTGAGAGTGGGAGACAATAGAACCGATATGAGGTTTATCAGCGATGGATGATTATACGAGATGGCCTTCAATAAAGGGTTTTCCATTTTTAAACGGCTGTAGTGTTTTCGGAACCAAAATAGAGATATTCATTCGATGAGATAGTCGAATTATCTTGCTGCTTAATCGATTCGATGGATTTACTAAAAGATAGCTATAACTCATCGTCAGAAGAAAGTGATGTTAATTCAGAGGAAAACGAATTACCAATTATACCGACTGAAATTTTGAACAAATATCATATTGCCCCTAGTACAAACACTGAAAGTAATACGATGAATTACAAGTCCTCCTTGACTACAAAAATATGGAATACATTTATATATCTCGAGTGGAGACCGAACATGAAGGACCGTAGGACCTTAGACAAACTACTAGATTATTATAGTGGTGTCATGAATCAGAATGGGATCCATCTAAAAGTGGAACCGTTATACTGGTCGGACCTAGGATCACCATACCCTCTACATATTTCATTATCACCAAATATACGCATCAAGGATATAATCGATAGAGATAAATTGTTTCATAGAATCGAATCAAAACTCGATAAGAGCCACCTGAAACCATTTGAAGTGAAATTTGGTAACGTACCTATGTGTATTAGATCCATGACAAATCCCAAATCATGTTTCTTTACATTACCCATAGACACTACTACACAAGTGGGTCCGATTACAGACCTGGTTAAGATAATAGAAGAAAGTAAAAAAGGTTTAAATTTAGAGACATCATTTGATTTAAATATATCCATGACCCATATGTCTATCGGTCAATTGAACCCGGGGAATGGTGTTACATTAGACATGTCCGCAATTAACCAAATCATTCAGCATAGTATTTCTAACTGTGATATACCAAAAGTTTGCATAAACTCCATCAATGTTGATAAGAACAGACAATCACTCTCAATACGATTTCCTGAATGATTAAATGGGGATCATCGAGTAAAAACAAGTTGGTTTATTAAGAAATATCCAAAAAGCACGTGACTGAATTTTTTTTTTCAAGTTGTTCTTTTTTACCTAATCCGGTAACTCGTAAATATACGGATTAGGTAAAAAATTGAAGTACTCATTCCTTGACGAATACTTTCTGCTATTCCTTTGTTTAGAACTAAGAGAAATATGGATGGATTAGGTAAAATATTAGTGTTGATATGAGGAATAAAGAAAAAATCATGTGTTGACTGATAGAGATTAATACATGGAAAGGAATTTTTTTTCTTTCTTTAATTAAAAACAAACAAACTAAACTCCTTGTTACACTTAACATTTATAATAATAACAAACAACAGTACTTTTTTTTATTTTATTTAATAACTAACATTACCTTGTTTGTTAAAACAAAGCAACTTTCCCTAATAACAACAATCTACCAGCAAGCTTACGCAACTAAGGACATTTGAATTGCTACTAGTGAACTGCGTTCCATTCATTTCATATATTAATATTTTTTCCAATACATCCAATAAAGAATACCAAAAGGATACCGAATCAACTTTAGTTCAAGTTAATTGCCAAAAGGAAACAGCTTATTTCGAGTACTTCTTTTTTATATCAACCATAAAAGAACAATTCCCCGGTTATCCCTTTTCAATTCAGCATTAGGACTAATTACTTCAACAAAGAGATATTTAAGCATACAAATTTCTTCATCAAACTACATAAACCCTACTGATACCCAACCAAACGAACCTTAATTTAGAAACCAATTGAACGAAACAATGGATTCCGAAATAAGTTCATGGTTAATTAACCCACAAAATGTATTTAATGACAATATTAAAACAAATAATAGAAATGATGATAGCTTCCAACCTCCAAACTTCCTGCAAGATGTACACGACGAATCATTTTTAAATACTAGTAATAATAATGCGGGTGCTTTTGATTCACAAGTATTTTCAAAACCATTAGAATTCCAAGATTCAGCAAAAGATAACTTAAATCCAACAATCGATAATAATTTTGATTTACAATATAGTGATATTGATAACTTATTAACTCAAGAATTAAAGGACCTAGATATTCCAATGGCACCTTCTCCAAGTGGTAATGAGTTTGATTGGAGACAAAATAATATTATTACTACTCCTCAACAAGGTGGATTACAACATAGTAAGAAACCATCAATGGCCCATAAACGAGGGATGAGTGGTACTGCAATTTTTGGGTTTGCTAACCATAATAAGACATTAAGTATATCAAGTATTCAAAAGACTATCCGTGATATTTCAAAGGATCCAAACCTTAACAGTATTATTAACAATTACAATTCTAATAGTCCTGACTCAATTGAGGCACCAAATTATAATAATTTTGTTTCAAACCCCGTCAATAGCCTTATTAATAACAAAAATAGTAATTCTACAAATGAGCAATTGAGTCAAATGATCCTCAATCAACAACAAACATTGAGACTCGAATTAGAAAAACAAAAAGAGATGAACAAGAGATTAGAGTTACAACTGAGAGAAAATCAATTACAACAAGAAAAACTACAACAAGTGTTACATGAACAAGAGGTTACAACACAACAACAACAACAATTGAATAAAGGTATGAACCAGAACGCCGGGTCACCACTTCGTTCTCAAATTGTACCACAAATGATTCGCACTCCGGCCAGATCCCAAAAAGGTCGTGGTGAGGATGATCCATTGATTGTTACCAGTAATTCAGCTATGGGAACGTATCAATTCCCACCACCACCTTCAACTGCAACACCCCAACAAATCTTATCATCACCTACTCTTTCTAATAATATAATTAACGGTTCGCCTTCCAAAGGTTACAGTGTTGGACGTACTCGTAAAGGTCCAATTCCAAATTTACAATTAGAAAACAATGAAGATTTTACAAGAAGTAGTTCTGGAATCCCATGTGCTCCTCCTGCACCAGTATTCAATACATTCAAGAGCCCTTCCAGATCTCCACGCAGTAATAGTAATAACAGAGAAAAATATGGATCTCCTAAATATTTTGCTGGGAATACGATGAAATCAAGAAATGGTGATGTTACTCCATTTACACCACCATCAGTACGTGGATTCACAGAAGGTCGTTTACACACAAAGAAAGAATCTGTATTATCAAGCGCATCTACCATTCCACAACAAGAATCATATGACAATAACCAAAAAAATAATAATGATGGACTCCTAGGTCTAGGAATTATGATGCCTACGATACCAGGTTCTACAGAGACTACACCAATCAAATGCAAATTGCCACAAAAACATACATTCCAACATACTCCAGTAAAACAAAACGTCGAGACACCAAATGGAAGTCCCTTAACCAAACGGATGGTCATGCCTATAATGGAAGAACCATCAGATATATACACAAGATTACCTGATCCAGTTGAGTTTACACCAAGTCCCAAGAAGATCACTAAAAAACCTACAACGCTACCTCCTGGTTCTATTGATAAGTATGTTAAGGAGTTACCCGAAAAAATGTTTCAATGCTTATACCCAGGCTGTGGTAAAGCATTCAAGCGCCGTTATAACGTTAGATCACATATTCAAACTCATTTACAGGATAGACCATATCAATGTGATTATGAGGGATGTGGTAAAGCATTTGTTAGAAACCATGATCTAGTAAGACATAAGAGAACTCATGAAGCAAAATTATACGGATGCCCCTGTGGTAAACGTTTTAATAAAGAGAGTAGTCTAATGAACCATCGTAATAAAATGACATGTAGCGGTGGTAAAAAATTTGATACATGTATTACTAAATCTATATCGCCATCCAAACGTTATGATTATGATGAAAACAATAGTAACTATAGTATTACAGAACATCAGAGTCCCATCAAGACAAATATAGAAAGAGATAAACGTGGATACGTGCTGGCAAAAATGGATGAACAACTATCAAAGGAGATAGAGAAATATGGGCTGTTAAACCCTCCACAGGAAGTGATATCCCGATCGACACCTACCAAAAATCGGACGATGCCAAACAAGTTGTTTGTGACAACTCCACCGTCCAGTTTCAGTGACTTGGAGTCTCCATAGTCGCAACCTCCCCCCTCCCCCTATAAAGATGGAGAGATACAGAGCCGGACAACACACCTAAATATTATATTTATATGATTAAGTATATTTTAAATATATTCCTTAAACTTTTGAAAAGATTCATGTGTTCATTCTGTAACAGAGGTACAACTGAAGCCAAAAGCCCACGTGATATTCATGCACACATCACTTGGCACGGCACCCGATCCTATAACCTCGACGGTCATCCTGTCTCCTCATAACCTCGACGGTAATCACGGCAAAAAAAGAGAATTAGTTTTTGGCTGCTTTATTCCAGAGAAAACACCGTGCAACTCAATTTTAAACAGATCGAAAAGAGCGAATAAACAAGCTTCTCTTCCCATTTTCTATTGAGAAGAAAAGGAAAAAATGTGATTAATGCGCAGAGGAAATCTGCTTAGCTGATATTACTCTCTAATGTCCCTCTTTTCATGTAAATCTAGCTTACTTTCGTAGTACGTAAGCTCAGCTTCAAAGGCTAATAGGAGAGGAATTAGGTAATGGGTTTAACACTTTTATATATATAATTATATATTTGAAAAAGACTATTGCAAGAATGAACTCAGACTACAAAGTGGTTCAAAGAACAATTTGATATAATCGGTTGTATATCGTTTCATACAAGTTAATTGTTGAAGTGATCAGTATCAAGGACTCATTTTTAGTTGTTTTTCCTTTTTTACGTCAGTTGCTAAAATAAGATTATCGAATTTTCAAGTCATTTTATAACTGAAATTCAATACACATACACACATACATGATAGATTTAGTAGCTAGGGATTCGCCCACAGATACATGTCAAACGGTAAGTGAATACAATGGTCATCAAAATTTACGGATCCTTGCCGTTTTCATAATTATGATTTCATCAGGCCTTGGGGTGTATTTCCCAATTCTATCTTCTAGATATTCATTCATACGACTGCCCGATTGGTGTTTTTTCATTGCTAAATTTTTTGGTTCAGGAGTCATTGTGGCTACTGCATTTATTCATTTACTACAACCTGCTGCTGAAGCCCTAGATGACGATTGTCTTGGGGGTACTTTTGCAGAATATCCTTGGGCATTTGGGATTTGTCTAATGTCTTTATTCTTATTATTCTTCACTGAAATTGTTACACATTATTATGTAACAAAAGCAATGGGTGGAGATCCTCATGATCATGAGGCAATGATAGATCATGACGATTCAAGTTCTCATGATGAGAGTCTAGATATCTCTGCCTCATCAAATCTTAATGATACTGTCAATTCTAATCCTAATAATATTGAAGTTTTTTATAATAGAGAAGTGAGTAATATTGATGGAACTCATAATCATTATGACGATTCAAAAAATAATAACAGAAATTCTGCAGACGTTAGTATCTTAAAGAAAGAACAATATACAGAACATAACTACGAGTATAACCAAAACATAGATAAAGAAACTGGAGACTTTGACGATTATAAATTAGATCTAGAATCTGGGATGAACATTCCAACTTTACCCAGCCAAAAACCATTAAGCAAATTAGTCTCTGTTCCAGGTAAAGATCATTTTGGCCATGATGACGATCATCAAGATGTGTCACAGATAGGCACACCTGTAAATCAAAAGGAAAGAGAACAATATTTGAATCAAATCTTCTCAGTGACAATCTTAGAATTTGGTATCATTTTCCATTCTGTCTTTGTCGGTTTATCTCTATCTGTTTCAGGTGAAGAGTTCGAAACATTGTTCATTGTGCTAACTTTCCATCAAATGTTTGAAGGGTTAGGTCTAGGAACTAGAATCGCAGAGACCCCTTGGCCTAATAGTAGAAGATTCACACCATGGATTATGGGCCTTGCATTTACATTAACCTCACCAATTGCTGCAGCAATTGGTATTGGTGTCCGTAACTCCTTTTTACCAGGTTCTAGAACTGCATTGATTACAAATGGTGTCTTTGACTCCATTTCTTCTGGGATCTTGATCTACACAGGTCTTGTGGAATTAATGGCTCACGAATTTTTATATTCAAACCAGTTTAAGGGTCCAGAAGGTTTTAAAAGAATGCTCTGTGCCTATTTTATTATGTGTTGCGGTGCAGCTCTAATGGCACTATTAGGTAAATGGGCTTAAACATTACGATTTTTATTTTTAACGATTTTTTTCTTTTTTCTCCCTCCTTTAGCTCAAGATCAAACTATAGACCAATATACACATATTCCAGTTTTTATCTTTTCTTTTATGACTACAAACTGTCATACAACACTACCACTTTATACATATGCATTTATCCAATTTATATATTTACCTTCATGTTTATTATATATTTATACACATCACACTAATGAAATAATTTTATTTATTAATTACCTTTTTAAATATGCACTAATATATTTATATATAAAATGTATTATATTACTTTTGTGATGATATTATACTAAAGTCTCGAAGACTCTCTTCTTCTTCCCCTTTTCTTCTTCCTTTCTTTGTTCATACTCATCGACAAACTCAAAGTTATGTCTCAAGTTCCACTGTTGTTTCACAAATTTTAAACCTTGAACATTGAACCCTAAATCGTCTTCATTCTCTTGCAATTTGTTTCTTAATTGTGTTTTCACTCTAGTGATTTGTAATTTCAAAGTTTCATTCTTTTGTGCAACTAATTCCTTTTGATTATATCTTATCACAAAGAATAAGTTCTTACAAATCAATGGTAAATGATTACTGCTTAATTTCGGATCAGCTAGTGCCATATCAATAAATTGTAAAAATTTCAAAATATATGAAAATGGGAATACTAATAATGCATCCTCCATTTGAGATGGTTTAATTCTTACCAAGGTATCCATGATATATTCTATTGGAGTCTTCTTTATAGCTAACAGGATAGCATTACCCTGAGGAGCAATTGGTGCCTCACCGGCTTTCTTCTTTTTCCATTGTTTCATCTCTCTATCATATGTCTTTTTCTTCTCAATTTCAGATATACCTAAATCAAGAGCCTCCATCAATCTTTCACTGGCTTTTAAGGACTCTATTGTTTGTTTATGAACATCTGATGCTTCATCATCTTGTGCATCACCAGCATCCTTCTTAAAGGCATCGTCACCATGTCCTTCTTCTAATGAATTCAACAATGTTTCCTCATATTGTTCTTCCATTTCTTTATCCCTTTCTTCCTCTAAGAAAACTTCATCCTCAGTTTCTTCCCAAATTCTAATACTATGATCATGAGAAGTAGATACCACGAAGGATGCATCGTTAGCAATAGCTAATGCCCATACTTCGCTTTGATGACCAGCCAATTTTTGAATACACTCAAATTTATCACCATCCCAGTATTTTATTAAACCATCCTTAGAACAACTAAAGAAATTATGAGATTCAGGAACAAATTTGACATTCATAATAGAATCCTGATGTGCGAAAAGTGATTTGTGACAATCACCAAAATCTAGACCCCAAATTTTAATATTTTTATCAGCAGATGATGTAATTACTAACTTTGAATCAAATGAAATATCAATTGACAAAACAGGTAATTTATGACCATATAAACTTAAGAAAAATTTCATTGTATCCATGAAGAAAATCTTCACTGTATTATCTAATAATGAAACTGCCAAATATTTATCATCAGGCGATAGTTTAATACTCAAAATATCATCGTTTAATTCCATAGTGGTATCGTGGTGTAATCTTAAGGCGTTTACAAACTTATTCGTAGTCCCTGGAATCAACTGTTGATCTAGTTTGAATTCCCAGAACTTTAAAGTTTTATCGGCAGAACCTGTAACAAGCCTCTTACCATCATTAGTAATATCTAAGGACCAGATAGCTGCATCATGTGCATCTTCGATGTTTTCCAATTGAGTAGAGGTAGCAAGATCAAATAATTGCAATTCACCATTTCTAGTACCAACAATTACCAATAAACCACCTGGTAAAAATTTACAAGTCAAAGCAAATCCACATTCGAAGGTCCTTATACATAATTTAGTCTTTATGTTCCAAATCTTTAGTAACCCATTGGAAGCAGTTGCCAACAATTTTGTGTCATCACTAATGTCAATGGCCCTAATATCAGTTCGTAGACCTTGCAATTCAATTGCATGCAATTTGTTTGGTGCTGGCTGAGTCGGATCTCTCTTTTCATAAGGAATTGAATAATATTCGATAGTATTACTGGATGTTGTGACCACTAAATCTAATTTAGATTGAGTTGTATACGTCCAAGATGCAGACTTAACTTTGTATAATGATCTTACAATTTGGAATGGATGCATTATCAAGGAAACATATGAATTCTTTACATTCAATGCAATTTCTTCTTCTGTCATTCCTTTTTCTAAAAGTCTCTTTTCTCTTTTCTTCAAAGCTCTTGCAATTTCTTCCTCTTTTCTAATTCTAAATACTTCAATAGTCTTATCAGCGTTTTGAATGAAGAAGAATGTTACACCATCAGTAGTCGTTTTGAATTGAACATCTAAACCTCTTTGCTTACTTTGCTTTTCATGAATTCCTTTCTCCGCTAGCATTGAACCATTCTTTTCTTCTAAGTTTAATTGCCAGATTTTCACTTGTGAATCATTACCGGTTGTAACAACCAAATCATTATGAATTCCCATGCTCCAACATTCACCTGTATGTGCAATATGTGTTTCAACACATTGTTGAATTTTTAAATCCCAAATCTTGATCAAACCATCCTTAGAGGTACTAATCAACCAATTTTCATTTTCACACCATAATCCTGTTATACTGTCCTTATGTGATCTCAACTTGTAAAGACCAACTTCACTAACTAAATCCCATACGATAATATTAGAATCTCTAGAACCAGATATCAATCTGGTACCTGTCACGTCAAATTCCAATGCTGTAATAGCAGATTTATGACCGTTGAAACTCAATAAAACAGATTTTGACATCAAATCCCATACTTTAATAACACCATCAGCATAACCTGCGGCTAATAAATTTGTATCCTTATGGTATTTCAAATATGTGACTTCTGCAGGTTTGGTAGATTTAGCATCGATAGAACCCAATGGAATACCATCGGTTAAAAAACTATCCAGTTCACCAGTTTTGATATTCCATATATTTATATTTTCTAGTGCACTGGTAATGATTTTACCTGGATTAGTTGATCTCTCGGTAGATGTAGGCGGAATCCAAACGGAGTTAGCATTAGAGTCAATGACACCAAATACAGCTTCCTGTTCAAAACGTTGGTAAGATTTAACCATTTCAACAAAGTGCGTTGCTTTATGTTAGACAAATTGTATCCAAGTTTAAGAAAAAACCAAATATAAACTGTACAAATGAGTTTTAATTGTAAGATGTTTTTATTTTATCTACCTCTCTATCTAGTATTTCAACTTTAATTTAGCGATGAGCTTCGATTCAAAATTTCACTTTCAATTTTTTCAGCGACGAAAAATTTTCAGAATGGTTACCCGGAAATAAGTTAAACACATCACGTGATTGATGATTCAGAACCCTAACAAACCCCAACTTTTATGACTTTTTGATTTCTTCTCAATGACGTAAAGAGCCCTCAATCCCAATGAATCACAATATCAACAAAGGCTTGTTAATATTGCACGATAAGTATGCAGAATACGTATTTAAAACCATTAGAACCACCTGCTACTGGTAAAAATAGTGATTCCTTTTATACATGTTACCTCTTTTTTTTTTAATATGTGCAGTTACTAAAGACATTACAAATAACATAATCAATAAAAAGTTCTAAACGAATAAATTCTATAACATCATTATATACATATATGTATATATAGCCAACCTATTCTTTAAATTCCCTTTATTTCTTGAAGGTATTCATAAAATTCGTCGAATATGTATGGCCAAGGATCATTTTCATCATAATCTTCAGCTATGGCATCCAAAGTAGGATATTTCCTAAAGAATTCTAAGAGCATTTTCCAACAATCCTTAGTGATATCATTTCGATTTTCTGTCTCCAAAAATATGACCCAATCGGCTAACAGTTTTGGGTCTATCTCCAGTACGACCTTTCTCTCAAGATCCTGACAGAAATATAATTTCCAGTATTCAATTGCAGTTTTGAGATCTAACATTTTTGCATCATCGTCTATGATTAAATCAAAAGTAAAATTATATACATCAGTAAGGTACTTTGGGTCAGTTGCTAGTTTATTCTTCAAGTCTTGCATTACCGTCTTCATTTCGCTAATATGTGAACAACCTTGCATGTACCAGTTAGATAGAAATTGATCTTTAGTGATTAGATCTGTAAGTTTATTCCAACCAAGTAACTTAGCTAGGCATATTGTAACTATATCCTCAAGTTTCAAGCCCAAATCATCAATGAAGGCCATAATACCCTCAACATCAATTTCGTTCCCATCAGGTGAATATTTATTAAATAGATCAATCAATTCTTGTGGATATTTGATATCCTTAGGTGCAGTATCAACGAATCCGCCTAATTCTGAATCATAGAAATCATTCAAAGCATAATCGATATACCATTGGTTCCTTTGTAAATACTTCCTGGCTAACTTAGGTGTACATTCAGTTAAAGATATAAACTTTTGAATCTTTTTTTCCTCATATGAATTCTTCTGATTAAACGCTATTATATTTAAGACCCCTGTCTATTATGAGATCTCTCCTTAATGTAAGTTAGTATTCGTACTTTTTTTCTATCAGTAAAACCTGTCTTTAAAAATATAAACTATCATAGTACATACCATGTTATATCATGAATATTAACCATAGTTTCCCTGAGCACTAGGGCACCTTTCCATTCAACATATCGTTTTCAACCTAGGCCTGTGATCTTTTATTCATCATGACTGTCGTTAATCCCATCTCTCTCTCTTTTTCCTTTTCCCTTTCCTTTCCCGCCATAGTAAACAGTGAACGTTTGATTTTAGTACACACAAACTACAAAAATATAAATTAATAGAATATAAGAAGATCTAGAAGACGATTAGCCTTAAAGTTACTCAGGAAAAGAGTATTTGTACAAGGGGAGGTTATTTCATAGCTGTACAATGAAAAAAGAGGGACAAATGTCTCTTGAGCAATTGCTCTACAGTTTTCTTCCATCCAATGAATACAACGATGATTTAGATACGTTACTTATGTGGTTACATCCGAATGGCCATCAGAATCGACCACCCTCGTTAAGAGTTAAACAATGTATTAGAAACATATCCGAGATACAATCGCTAGAGTTTCCAAAATTATTGAATGAATACTACATGAACATTACACGATCTGAATATTTAAAGATGATAGAGATGATTGGCGCTGAGTCTCAATTGAAATTTAATTCGATCTTATCAATAGAAAAGAGTCTCAGTTATCCATGTACGTATATAATGCTATTTCAACATGAATTTGTACAAGTATTAAATGCTCTGCGACATTACTTAGTGGATAACTATCCAACATTTCGTAAATTGCTAATTTCAGATATTCGACAACTCAGTTTGAATGATGATTTAGATCTACTACAAAGTTATATTGATTGGATTGACGCATCCCATGCAATTTGTATATCTTCTAAGGATGTAATACTTGACGTAATCGTTGAGAAAATATATATTATGTGTGAAAGATACATGAAAGGAAAATGGACCAATCGATATCTAGTGATGGAAACGTTTAATAAATTTATAGAGACTTATTGGAGTCATTTCACAAAATTACTTGGTTGCTCCGAGAATGATCATAACCTCACCACAACTGTTTTCAATTGCTTTGAAAACACATTTATTGAAATTCGAACAGGTGAAATTTATGATATATTTTTAAAATCATATCCAACTTCCAAACCAACCATTCTTGAGCTTAAAAAAACACTCCGGAATAATAACAATAAAATTAAAAATTATAATAAGATAATACGAAACTATTTAAAACATTTCAACAAAAATATATTGAATCCAAGTGTTACTACAGTGGACGCCTTACTAGCATATATCAGAAGTATAGAATGCTTCTCAATATTAGATCCCTCGGGAAGATATTTGAAACCTTTGAAAAATTTCATACGACCTCAATTACAACAAAGAAAGGATTTGATCAACATCTTATTATATGCTATATTGAACCTCGAAGAGTCTGAATTCAAAGAATTAAGGATAACTTATGTGAAAGATATTGATAAGTTAACAAACGAATTGTCTAATAATAATGATAGAAATAATGATAATTTCGATAGAACCGATCAGATATATAATGAACAAAAGAGAAATTCCACAGATTATATCCAAAGAACTGGTATTAGTTTAAGAGATGCCCAAGATTTCGATGACGATATGAAAAACAACAGCAATAATAGTACTGATAAAACTTATAACGGTAAACTCATATATGAAAATGTATTGAAACAATTTTTAATATGGGTACCCGAGCCCAATAATATTGACGGAAGTTCAACAAATGATATTAATAACGATAATAATGATATGGATGATAATACAGATGGCAACGTGTCAATGCTTAGTGCTAATGATGATTCACAGATTATGACTCCATCATCAAGGGATACATCCAATTTATTAGATGTGCTATTAGAACTATGTGAAAGTAAAGAATTATTTATTTCAGAATTTTTAAATGTGGTTACACAGAAATTATTAAATTTAAAATCATATCATTTAGACTCTAAATGGATGAAATGTTTACAAATGATTAGAGATAAATATTCAGTGAATAGTTCAAATCTTATCTCTGAAGAAGAAAACGGAATCTTTAGCGGGAATTCTGGTATTAATGGAAATAATAATGAGAACAGTGCCAATGGAAGAAACACCAATGCAGATATGGATGATTTCACATCTAGTTTGAACAAAATAGGCGTTATGTTATATGATATGAAAATGAGTCAACGTGTATATAATAAAATTCAACATACTGACACTATATCTCATAATGAAAATTATATGATATTTCCAAAATTTATAACACCATTATACTGGGAACCTGAAAATGTAGCTATTGAAGATCAAATTGACAATAGGTCTACTTCAGCTAAATATCCGTATAATCCGGAGGTTCAAGATGAAATATTGAAGTACGCATATGAATTTTCAAGATTAGAACCTGACAAAGCTTTACATCTATGTAGAGATAAAGGTATAATTACAATAGAGATTGATCTTGTGGGTAAAGGAAAAGTCTCACTGACTGTCACAATGCCTCAATATTCTGTAATAAATAAATTCGATGGCGATAGTGGTGTCGTTGGATTAACACTCGAACAATTGTTGGAAGATACACGTATTTCAAAGGATGAACTTCTCACCATATTACATTTTTGGGTAGAGAAACATGTCCTATTGTACGATATACATACAGAAAAATATGTGACAAATGAGGCTCGAGAGATCAATTGACCGTCATGACACCAATTGACATTTTCAAGAATGTGTTACGAGTTTTTACATTGCTTGCTTTTTGTTACCTGCGTTCTAACTGACGACGGGGAGTAGGGATGAAAAAAAAGCAAGTAAGCAAGCAAACAAGAATGGCTGAACAGAGAAGAAGCGAAGAGCTGACAACATCGAATTTTGAATTAGCGATTGATTACCAAAGAGGCACCCTGAAAAGTTTTTTGCTTATCAAATTAATGAGGAATAGATAAATAAACATATATAAATATATATATATATATAGCTTGATGCATGAAAAAGTGAAGCATAAGTATTCTTCCACTTTAATATTCTGAAACATTCTTAAGACAAAAAACAGACAAAAGCAAAACAATGACTACAACTCATAAAAAAATTGCCATATTTTATACGGACCATGATGATGAGTGGACTGATCCCTATGGTAATTTTGTTGATATGGCTCAAAAATTATTGAATGAGACCAAAGACCACCCATCAGACATTGAATATAAGATGTTTCACATATACAATAATGAATTCCCAACATTAGAAGAATTGAGTAGTGTTGATGAAATGGGGAACAATAATTATATTGGCATTTTCATTACTGGGTCCCGTTATGATTCCTTCGATCAAACAACAGAATGGATCGTTAAGTTTAGAACAATGTTAGATCATTTATTAAATGACAATGACGAAAAGAAACAGTATCCACCTATCGTTGGTATTTGTTTCGGACACCAAGTTATTGCAAAGACCTTAGGTTGTAAAGTCGATAGAAACCCATTGGGATTTGAAGGTGGTGTGGTTCCAATCGAACTTAATGAAGTAGGTAAAAACATATTTGGTACAACCCAATTACATCTATCTGAAGTTCATAACGATATAGTGTTTGATTTACCAAAGCAAGATGGGTACATGAACTGGGGGTCTTCAAAAAAATGTAATGTACAAGGTCTATACAAAGAAAACAGATTATTAACATTCCAAGGCCATCCCGAGTTTGTTAATGAAATAGCAGCCAAGGGTGTTGAGAAGACAAGATCTTCATTGAAAAATCGCAATACAAAGAGTGTCAACTCCGATGCAGAGTTCGATGAAATGATTGTAAACACCAAGAAGTATCAAAATGACGGTAAACTGGCATCAGGAAAAATATGGCAACTCTTTTCACAAAGACTATAATGCTTTTCACTGCGACCATTACACCATCTCCACCAACCTGTAACCTAAATAACAATTCACCCCTCCCTTACGTTAACTGGAGCTTCCATCTACATATATCTGTACATCACTACATAACTATAACATAACATGGTACAATAATAAATACATTACTTTATCATTTAATACATATACATAGATAGACAGGTGCAACCTCATCATTTAGCGTTGCATTGCTTCGCCACTTCCAACGGTAAATCGACCTTATATCAATTTCGGTTGGCAATTAGCTTACCGTTTATGGATATTAGAAAGGTAAAAAGATCAGGCGTCTCCTCTCTTTGCGTGCGGTGTTTTCTTCTTGCTGCCACTTTTAAAATATAATGAAAGGGCGGAGCTGCTAATGGCTTTTCTTAAATTTTTCAGTTTCACGAATAAATTCTATATATATAAAGGGAAAGGGGAGAAGAACAAGAACAAGAAGACGTGAAGTTTTCTTTCTTTTGGTTAGTTCTGTATTACCATTTAGTTAGTCTATCGTTGTATTAATCTAGTCGTGAACAAGGTTAATTTTTATTTTACTTTTCAGTTATGACCAAAATTGCTAGTTTATTATTTTGGTTAGGTGCCGCAGTTAACGAGGCGCAAGGCTTTAACATACCCAAGGGATCTGCACACAGGGGAGACGTTAATCCCGTAAAACAACAGCTTTCAAAGAGAGGTTATGTCGGTTTAGAGTTTACTAAATCATATGGTGATACATTTGAAGATGCTAGTTCGGAGAATAAGCCAGAACTTTATTTGCATAAGAGAAATGACGGTTATGAATCCATAGAAATCACAAATCAGGCCACTTTTTATTCAGTTAGTCTGGAGATTGGTACTCCTGAACAAAACATTACTGTGTTGGTGGATACTGGTTCGTCTGATTTATGGGTATCTAACTCGGATAACCCATATTGTCAGAGCAATTATCAATCCTCGACAGGAATCTCATATACTGATACCATTGATTGTGATGAGTATGGAACTTTTGATCCAGATTCCTCTAGTAGTTGGTCCTCTAATGATACGTCATTCAATATTAAATATGGTGATTCAACTTTTGCTAGTGGTGTATGGGGCCAAGATAGACTACATCTAGAAGATTTAAATGTCACAGGGTTATCCTTTGCTGTAGCTAATAGATCAAATTCAACAGTTGGTGTTCTGGGGATTGGTTTACCTGGGTTAGAAGTTACATACACTGGTTCTGCTTCTACAGCATACCAATACGATAATTTCCCTATGGTTTTAAAGAGAAGTGGTGCCATTGAATCAAACGTGTATTCATTATATTTGAATGAATTAGATGCTACACATGGTACGGTGTTGTTTGGTGCGGTGGATCATTCTAAATATGAGGCTCCATTATATACTATTCCATTAATTAATACTTTGAGAGCCAATGGGTTTTCTTCAGCAGTACAATTCGATGTAACTTTACAAGGTCTAGGTATGACTTTCGATAATGGTACCTCTGACAAGACTCTAACTACTACTGCGATCCCTGCATTACTAGATTCCGGTACTACATTAACATATTTACCATCATCATTAGTTGAAATAATTGCCAATCAAATAGGTGCATCTTACTCATCTAGATTAGGTTACTATACTGTTGCATGTCCAGATAGTAGTAGTTCTTCTTCTTCCACTTTAGATGGAGTCAACTTGGTTTTCGACTTTGGTGGGTTCTATATCAATTCGACATTAGAAAACTTCCTAGTGCAAGCATCTGCTACAACATGTTTACTAGGTATTGTCCCACAGACAGCACACAGTGCTCTGCTGGGTGATTCTTTCTTAAGTAATGCATATGTGGTATATGACTTGGAAAACAAAGAAATTTCAATGGCACAAGCTAAGTATGATGTTGACTCTTCAGATATTGAGGTTGTATCTTCTGGTGCATCATCAATTCCAAGTGCTACTAAAGCTCCAGGCTATTCTCAAACGTGGTCTTCAAGTGTTGCATCTATCGGCACTACAGGTGACATTTTCACACTTCAAGCACAGGCCACAGTTGGTAACTCTGGTAGTGAAACCGCATCTGCCACATCTAATGGTAATGATAGCGATGACAATAACAGTTCCAGTGGTCGTTCGACCTCTAGAACCTCATCTGGGTCCAGGACTAGCGCAAGATCATCTTCGTCAGGCACATCTACAGGAAGAACAACTACAAGTTCAACCAACCGTCGGAACGGTGCATTCAAAGCTGATATATTGAATCCAATGAGTATATTATCAATAATTGCCTTCTATTTAACAATGATGTTGTAGTTCCACATTTCTCTCTCTCTCTCTCTCTCTCTCTCTTTCCCTTTCAATGGGATCAATGTGCAATTTTCACTATTGCACTGAATTTAGAGAATACTGAAATATTCCCTCATATATGCTCCTAATATTCATATAAATATATATATTACATATGTAGAGCTTAATTTTAAACATTCCATATTATGAGTTATCTTTCACACACTTCATTCTGCGAGTGTCTCGTAAGTTGTGATAGGGATTCCCAAAATCGTTTTGAGTTCCTTTACTGTGAGCTCTTTCTTGTTCTTCTCTCTGGCGCAGCGGGCTCATAACTTTTGTTTTTTTGAATCTGTATTACATAATACGTAAATATTGTAAATTTCAACTAACGAGAGATGGCAGTACTTAACTAATTTATTTTTTTCTTGGAACAAAGCAGAATTCTTTATATGACATCACATGGATTTACACAAAAGTTATATATTGATATTGTAACGTATAAACATATCGGGAAAGTAGTATACTTCAACAATCAAGGAAATTAATTTTAGAGATAGAGATAGTGCTTTTTTTTGAAAATTGATCTAAAGAAATATTGTTGAATCATTTTATCCGTTGAGTACATACATACATATTTTCGATATGAGTGGATCAAATCCTTCCACTAATGACGGTAACGGGTCAGGAAATGATCCAGCTGCCAATAATAATGACACTAATCAAAATAATAGTACTACTAGTAATAATGGTACTACACCAGCAACACCACATTCAAATAATATAACTTTATCTATACAATACACATATCTGCCAATCGATGGTATAAATGGTCAACCTATTCCAACAACTGGTACAAACAGCGATAGGCCGTCAGGTACTAATGGTGCATCAACTACTACCGGAAGTAATGTTAGTCATGGGGTAGGGACTGCCAATACGGCCACAACTACGAGAACAACATTACCGGGACAGACTCCTAATATAGGTGGTGTTCCGGGTGGTCCATTACCTGGGGCCCAACCTGGTATGTTACCAACGCCTGCCGGTGCGTTTGTTTTATCATTTAGAGATATCCCAAGCACAACACCTCAAAGTCGACTGGAATCTATTGTTGCCATTACCGCAGAGTTAGCAATGAGAAGATTTCAAGAGTTACATTCAAGACCTAAGGGAATTCCAAAGGAAGAATTTGAAAAATTACCAATTTTAACCATCGATGAAGTTAAAAAATTAAATAATGGTAAAGATATGGAATGTAGTATTTGTTATGATCCATTTGTTGAAGAACCTAAAGAAGATAAAACAGAAACAGAAAATAAAAATAAAGGAAAACGTAGCAGATCTAGTTCTAATGCAGAGGAGAATCATGGAGAGGAAAGCGCACAAATTAATAGAATCAAGAGACAAAGAATAAATGCTGATTCTAATTTTGCTCCGACACCAGCATCTTCTACTCCTACAAGTGCTGGAAACCAGACATCTACTAACACATCTGCCTCCCAAGAAGGAAATCAAGTACAGACAGAAGAAGATGAACCAACATATCTTCATTCTCCTGTAAAATTGCCATGTAATCATATTTTTGGTAGAGAATGTATATATAAATGGTCGAGAAATGAAAATTCTTGCCCATTATGCAGACATAAGATCGCTGAATTAACTCCTGATCAAATGCAAAACCAAGCTAATACAAATAATGCTACTATGCAAGAATTTGAAAGAATTAGAAACTTATTATACAACCCACCAGAAGCAACCGAGACTGGTGATAACCAAAATGCAGCTGATGATAATACAACGACTCCAGCTACGGCCTCTGCAGAATTTAACTTTCCACTTAATGGTCCTAATATTATCTTTTTATCACCTGATGACTGGAATAACGTATCTAACAGAGCTGCTAGAACTGAAAATGTTGCTGGTGCAACACCTAATGCAACTGCAATTCCAACTACTGCTTCCACCTCCACAGCTACAGGCACTACCAGTACCATTCAAACAGGGACCACAAATCCATTAAGTAACGTTCAACCAGGTTCCAACAATACAACCACCAGCACTGGAGCTAATGCTTCCCGTACAGGTTTACGCTGGATTCCAATATCTATGAGAAATTTGAACCCTCTGACCAATGACGAAAGGACCAGAAGTAACCCAGGACCAAATGGTGTTGCAAGCACCTCAACAACTAATAACCAAGAAGCTCCAACTAGTGAAGAAGCAAGATATAGTGGATTGAGAAGACTTTTCCATACTATGTTTAATTCTGCAGAGAGAGCAGAAGCCAACAATGCAACTGCAGCTACACCTAGCAACACAACTACTCTTCCTGAAAGAAATTTACCTCCAGAGCTTGCTGGTCATATCCGTAATATACACAATGCCCTTACAGGTAATACACAAACTCCTGCTAATTTATTTGGCACTGGTGTGGCTAGTTATAGAGGCCAAAACGGTGTCGTTTCTACGTTTGAACTTGGGAGCCATCACACGCCCAATACCCCAGTAAGTAATAACTCAGTTACTAATGCATCAACTTCATCTAATTCATCATCGAACCCAGACACTAATAATGACGAGACCGAACAATCTCAACCACAAAACCAAGATAATGAGACTAACGAATCATCACAGAGTAACGACAATAATGGTAACCATTAAAAGGTTCAGAAACCTTTTGTAATTCTTATTATTGTACTATATTTTTTATTATTATATAAAAATATATCACGTGGATTTAGTCCAAATTATACTAATACTAATTAGATATTTTATATACAACAATGCATTCATTTTTCATTTTATAAACAAACATGCCTAAATTAATTTCCAGATTATTTTTTCAAAGAATGCTGGCTATTCCAAGTCAGCATTATCTCCTTATTTAAATGATAATTTGTTCTTGCATCAATGTAATTATTCATTAAATCATCTAAATTAAACTTTGCAGATGTAGTATCCTTCGATCTTATATCATTTTCGATTTTATTGCTTTCAATTTCAAAATATGAGGTCTTTGTTTCAAGTTTTGATTTCAATGTATCTTCACTGTATTGTTTATTTACAATTTGATTGAGATCTTGCCAAAGTTTCGTGTACTGAGAATTTAAAACACGAAGACTATCTAATTCTGCATTTGTGGAGTCTATATTCTTTTGAAGCTCTCTGAACTTTTCTCGGAGTTCCAATAATGCATCCTTATCATTATTTAATTCATTCTGTAATTTTCCAACCGATTGGAATTTAGATATATAGAGTTGAAGCTTATCACTATGCTCTTTTATTAAATTTAGTAACTCACTGTTAGAAAGGAGATTTACAGACTCTGGAAGTGGAATCATTTGTGAATGCGAATTAATACGTGCAACTGTTCTACTACAATTCCGTCTTGTGGGTAATGATACGTTTCTTTGTATTTTTTTTTAAACTACTGAAACCTAGTTGTCTGATGGACCTTTTTACCTTTATATTTTCAGAAGCCCTTACAACCAGCTAAAAAAAAAAAAGTTGATGAGATACATAAAGGATAAAGACGCTACATACTCCATTGAAACTATGTTAGATAAACGATATATTCAAATAAAATACGAAAAATACTGTTAGCAATTTAACTATTTTTCAAATAATAACTCAATGGCACCATCAGGTAGAAGAACAAGTAAAACAAGGCTCTTGGCATATGGAGTCGCATTGACTGTAGCAGTTGGAACTTCTGCATGGTTATTATGGAAGTCATCAAAGGAAGAAGCAGAAGAAGATAAGACATCAAAAACTGTACATAAATATAAATCTAGATGTATTATTATGACCAAGTCAATATCGGAATCGCAGGATATAAAATGGGCCACAATTATGAAAGATCCAAATGTTGTTGTCATCGTAGCACCAAAAGTGGAATTCCCACAGTTAGTTTATCCAAACCAAGTTATTGATAATAATGATCTGTTTAAGATAATTCACTGTGATACTAACAATGGGGTGTGGGCCTGTGTTAAGAGTTTAAAGAAAGATGAACTTCTTCTTGTTTCACATGATCTGGAACATGAAATTCCCACGGATATAATACGCTATGTGAAACATATTAATGACATTAAAGATACACCTAATGTCGTATCTTATTTGAACAGTTATACACAATAGTATGTAATACAGATATTTGTTTAAGACAATGAACAATTTAATATGATGAATAATATATAGTACTTCATTCTTTTTATAAAATTCTATATGCATTTTAAAATTATAAGATATTCCTTCTTTGACCAAAGACGATACCTTCCGAACCTTGTGACGCTCCTTTCATATAACCATATTCTACGGTACTCCAACCACTCTCACCTTTTAAATGTTTAGGTTTTTGTTTAACTGGTGGACGAGGTTTTTTAGTTGCAATTTGAGGACCAAGTACAGGAAATAAATCAGGATGTCTTTTATTAGCATATCTTGATAATGATTTTAACGCTTGATATACTGAGGCAGGATCTTTTTCTTCATATAAATCAACAGTTTGAAACAATTCATCTTCTGGAACTCCATATTGTCTTAAAAATGTTAAAAATTGTGAAATTTGTTCCATTTGAACAAATGGCATTTTACTCTCTTTCCACTTTATTATTGAAGATCCAATATCTGCTTGTGAAAGTGTATTGGCAAGTTTACAAAGAGTAACTCCACTCTTTAATGAATCCAATAAATTTTCATTAGGAATATTTTCCTTAAGTACACTTGTATATATCCATCCTTGAATACTATTAATTGAATTTTGATCGAATTTTCCTTCTCTCAATAATCTTAAATCTTCATCGAGGGACGTAACGTCTGGTTTAATATCATAACTCATGATAGATCAAAGCAAGAAAAAACAACAAGAATTTTCAGTATTGTTGTATGATTTGCTCTGTTACTGTCAAATAAGTTTAAAAACTTTCATGTTTCTTCTATATTGGAAGAAGGCTGAATCTTTTCCTTTTTTTACATTCGCTGGTAGTATGAAATAATCCATTCCCCTTTTCCTTTCACTAAGCGATATTCTGTCATCGCATCTTATCTCATCTTGTTGTTACCTGTAAGAAGAAGAATAACTTTTTAAATGAGCACTCAGTACAACAACGCAAATCTTGATTTATATATGAGATGAAACACTGTTATAAAACGAACTATAAGAACTGCGAAATGAGTTCACCCTGAACAATGTTGTTGGTTGCAAAGTACTGAACATTATCTGAAAAGAGTGTTTACTTCAAAGAATGTCATGTCACAAACTGCCTCAAAATATACAATTCGATAATGGAACCTTCATGACAGAACCACTGTCTAGTCCGGCCACCCCTACCCTCCCATACAAGAAATTAAGACATCCTTCAAAGATTGAAAGAGGATGGATGATGTTGTAATGCCATCAGTAGGAATGCTTAATCACCACAGCTTCCCTCCATTAGCCAAAGACGACAGCTGCATTACTCGATGGTCGTTGTATCGATCGTTCCCAGTTCAGCTCAGTTAGTCACCACTGCCTCTGTCTGCCGTACGTTCAAAGAGATGAAATCAGTTTTCAAATGAGAAACATTCTGGAAACGGAAACGGAACGCCCAAAAACTGAAAACGATGAATCAAATCCCTCGCATAATGAAAAAAAAAAAATGATTCCGATCGGGTATAGGAAATAGAGACGGAGGGAGAAAGAGAGAAAATTCATTTTAAAAATAAAAGTGCCATCGAAACCTGCCAAAAGGACCCGTTTATTTTCCCACTAAATAACAACATGACATGCATAAAGGACAGTGTCTTACTAAGTTTCCCAGGATTTGACTGCACTAATACAAACCCTGTTTGGTTAGAAATAAAAGATTAACGATAAAGTATCTCTTTTTTTTTGGATCTGTCTGGAGTCTCCACAGAGTTACATATACCGATTAACTGATCAAAGTTTGACTTATTTGAAAAAGCATATTGTTATTGTATATATATCTATATACCTATACGAATATTATTAAACTAAACTACACAGTATTATTTGTTTTCCTGTGGAAATATTTAATAATAATAAGGTACTAATAAAACAAAAAAGGGAGATACACAAATAAATACAATACATTACCTATATGAGTGAAAATATTACCAAAATAGCGAAAAAGAGAAATAGACTTTCGTTTGTCTGTCAAGCTTGTAGACGATCAAAAACTAAATGTGATAAATTAAAACCAAAATGTTCAAGGTGTAAGAATCAAGATCTTTCATGTGTTTACGATATAGCAATTCAAACAAGACCAAAATGTGCAAGTAGAAAATCTCAAATACAAATGCTTGATAATGAATTAGACTTTTGGAAGAAAAAGACAAATCAACTGATGAAATTACAATATAAAAAAATTATTGAGTCAAAACAAACTCATCTATTTGGCGATTTAGAGGTTTTACCTGAAAGAGATTTAACAAATAATAAAAGAACAGTAAAAGATTTTTGGGATTTAAATGTAAATATTTATAGAGATGATACAAATTTAATAATAAGTCCCATTATGAAGACGGAAGTAACTCCTTTATCAGAAAATAATATCATTATTAATGATCATTTCATTATAACTTTAATTATATCTGTTATAGCTACATCAAATGAAAATGTAGCATTATTACCTGCTTATGCTGCAGAACCTAATATGGTTAAATATTGTCCCTCCGTGGTTAATACTATTTTAAAAAATAAAGACATTTTAGTTAAACATTGTCAAAATACCCATGAGAAAAGAAGAATTGAATATTTTACTAATAAATTATTACAAATCCCTATATCTCATAAAAATTCTGTAAGATTAGAATCTTTTTTGGCAGATGTAAATAAAGATTTAAGTTATCCTTATTTAGAAGATCATTGCACTTTAGAAGGTGGTTATTCAGAATTGTTAGAATCCTTTATCGATTCTTATGAACAATTATTACCACCATATGACGTCATATTACATTATAAAGCACATTTTTATGAAAACATATATCCATGTTTACCATTTCTAGATAAAAATTCATTTGAAAAAATGTTTAAAAGTATTGTATTTAAAGATCCTAATAATTTAGAAAAGATTAAATTGAATTTTGGTACATCTGGTTTAAGAGGCAAGATTGAAACTATGTGTCTTTTATCTATTATTTTGAAATTATCATATATGTCATTAATGTTTATCAATGAAAAAGATATTGATGCCAAAAATATATCATCAGATATATTAAAAAAATATCCCATTAGTAACAAAACAATTTCATTAATTCAAAAATGTGCTGTTTCAGAAAATTGGATAGCTTGTCCTAATGAAAATATTGTTGCATGCCTCCTGTATATGTGGTCATATTTAGTATTTTCTCCCGAAGAAGGTGATTTTTTTACAGCAAATCCTACTGATGTATTATGTAACCTCATTATTATGTTATCGACAACAATAGGTTTACATAGAGACCCTTCAGATTTTAGAAATTTAGATGGTGATTTCAATAGAGAATTAAGAAATCATAGACGTCTACTATGGTTATGTGTCGTTGGGATGTCAGGTATCGAGGTTATCTTAAAAGGTAGACGTGGAACATCAAAAAGTTTTATGGCATCATTTATTGATATCGATGATCCAAATGTGATGGATCAATATATGAAAAGAGTTAAGAATGATATGGAGGTTCCTGATGCTTTTGTTTTAAAACTACATGAAAATACTTTTAAATATGCATATTTGGTTTCATTACACCAAAGGATAAGTGATTGTTTCTTGAAATATAGTGGAACATTCAAATTAAGAGAAATTAATGAATTGAAGGAAAAAATTGATGCTTTCATAAAGAAAGAATTTCCTCTGGAGTCTCGTGCTGAAAATTTAAAAGATTTAAATATCAATACAACAAATGATGATATCATTAATCAATTATCACTAATTACAACAAAAAATTCAGCAAATTTTCTCTATACTGTTTTGAGTAAATTAATCATGTTAAGAGTTTCATTGGCATTGCTGTTTCATTTTGAAAAATGTTGTGTGCAACAAAAAAAAGATATGAAGGCAGCGAACAATAAAGACTATGAAAATAATATTGATTATTTACCATATTATTATCATTATCTGAAGGAATCGGTATGCTATACTGTATTATTGTCAAACTATATTGGGTTTTTCTATGATAAAGGAAACTCTAATGTTATATCGCCATTAACCACTTACCATATGTCTAAAATTATTCAATTATCACTTTCTACTGTATTATTAACTGCTTTATCCACTGGTTTAAAAGTTCATGTTTCAATAAACGAAGTAATGTCAAGTCCAACCTCAGTAATAATTGAAACTTCAGAAAAGATACAACTTTTATCGGAATTGGAAGTAGTAATGAGAACTGCATTGTTTAGAACTTATAACCTTGTATCTGAAAACTTAAGATTTACATACTATCCAGTATTTAAGATGCTAGTGTTGTTCGATGTCTTTATGGTGAAATATAAGAAAGATGAATTATTACCAAATTATTTCAAGAGTCTTGACACAGGGCTCCAAATTGAAAGACGTGAAAAATTGTTTGGATTAACATTTAATTATAAACTTGAAAAGGGTGAAAAAATGATAGATGATATTCGTGATAGAAACCTCATTGGAAATTTCAGTTGTGATCAATTGAAAAGTATATTGGAAAAGATCCATCAAACTAATTTAGATATTATACCGGATTATTCAGATCAAGACGTCAATAGTATCATAGATAATAATCCACCTATGCAGACACATGATAATAACAGCAATGAATCGAGCGGAACACCTATGTCGGAGATTAATGAGACACAAATTCCAATAAAAGCTTATTATCATTCTTCAGAAAATAACGGATTACCAACAAACAGCAATATTAATAACACTGTTGACATGATTAATCAAAGTTATTCTAATGAAACACAATTGCCTAATTTTCCAGCAAGCATGGCTGTACCAGAATTACCAGAAAATATGGTGGACATTAATAATATTGGATTTAATAATGAACACAATAACAACAACACCAATAACCCAAATAAATCAATGGATTACAATACATTCCAAAATCCAATTTCCCTCGCATCTGATGATACCTTAGAATTTGCAAATTTGTTCGGTGATGTCGATATATTTGGCTATGATTTCTTTTTTGGCACCGATTAAGTAAAATGAAAACAAAACAAAAAATCTCAAACGAAATTATAATGATTAATAATGCTAATATGTGGCAATAATACAAACATATAACCTTACTATAGTAAATAGAACAATGAACTTTTTATTTTTATTCTTTTGAAGTTATGAAGCGATTTTATGTAAATATCTATATATATCATTTTTTTAAAGATGATAAGTGATCAAACCAGTAAATTTGATCATAGAATACCTTTTCCTTAGCATATAGAACTTGTGGATTTGATAAGTCACCTCTAACTGCAAATCCATGATAAGTACCACTAAATAAATCCAATTGATATCTAGCACCAATTTCTTTCAATTTATCTTCAGTCAATTTTCTCATATCTTGTGGGAAAACTGGATCAGTCTCGGCAGCAGAAATCAATAGAGGATTCTGGCCAATGGCTGCAACTTCTTCGATGGTAACAAATGATGGATGTGCAATAGCAGCTGCATCAGCAATACCTGTGTTTTCATTAATTTGTTGAATAGCATATTTAGCACCGAAACAATAGCCAAGGACACCTAAATACCCGGGATTAATTTCTTCCCTAAATGAAGCCATGAACTTATCAACCATTGGTTTAGTTCTTGTTTCATTATGAGCAGCTAGCCACTTTTCACGATCCAAATTTTCAGTATTATCGGGATCAACAGCATCACCGAATAAAATATCTGGAATATAGACTTTATAACCTTTAGCAGATAATTGATCAGCAATCAATAAAGAATTATTGAAATGAATACCAAAATAGTCAGTAAATATGACCAATACTTTATCATTAGAATATTGTTCACCAATTACATAAGTTTCAATGCCAAATAGGTCGATGTATCTTCCCTTGGCGATACCTTCATGATATACACCTTCAAAGCAACATTTTTGAGATGGGTTAGAAGCCATTTTGTTTTTTTATTGTTCCTGGAATATAATTGTGAGAAATACAACCTGGTGATAGTTATTTCTTATATATGTATAAATTATTAACAAATAAATATATTTAAGATGACCAATTGATATTAATTTAAACGAAAAAAATTTAATCTCATCCCATCTCATCACCTTTTATACTTTTGTATTATGATTAAAAATGATTATTACATAATAGAGAGACAGATCCCCTTTTCAATGGTCAGCGCTACGGCCGAACAAATATTTTGTTTTAATCTCCGAGGATATTACCTATCTCCGAGGAGTTAAGATAATGAATATTCAGCAAAATATAGATAGATATTAAAGTGTAGGTCTTGATATAATGCAACTGTCGGGTGACATGATTCAAGATGTGTCTGACTACTAGTCCATACTTATGTCACGTATACATTTTCATCGTTTTTTTTCTTTTTTGTGATGGTTATTTGATATAGATGTGAGTGACAATTCTATATAGAACACTTTCAAATAAAGTCAATAGCAAAAAAGACTGGTATGCAGTAAAAGTACTATAGTATATAACAAAACCGATGTCATATCACAATAAAGATTAATATTAATGGACATAATCTCTAATTAGGAATCTGAGTACATGAAGATCACGTTGTACGTTGTATATGCAGCCGGGTAACTATCCACCATACAAAAGTAAAATTGCCGGTGGCGTTTCTTAGCAATTTTGGAGAGAAAGGAAAAGGTGGGAAAATTAAAGAAATAATTGTAGAATTTAGAATAAATCAATCTTTTTTTCAGTGGCAATTAGTACACATTTATAAAGGGAGCATTGGTATTTACCTCGATATATAGAGAAACAAAGTCAATTGATTATCAAATAAGGTAAACTAGCATTATATCTTTATTTTTAAGATTTGGGAAGTAATATACTACAATTAATTTTGCATAAAGTTCAAAAATATTTTAAAACAGTTTAATAATCTTTAATAATGACTTCTATCGGTACTGGTTACGATCTTTCTAATAGTGTTTTCTCTCCCGATGGTAGAAATTTCCAAGTGGAATATGCTGTGAAGGCTGTCGAGAATGGTGCTACTTCCATTGGTATTAAATGCTCAGATGGTGTTGTCTTTGCTGTCGAGAAACTAATAACGTCTAAATTATTAGTACCCCGCAAGAACGTTAAGATACAAACCATTGATCGTCATGTTGGTTGTGTATACTCAGGGATTATTCCAGATGGTAGATACTTAGTGAACAAAGGTAGAGAAGAAGCTTCGAGTTTCAAGAGTCTGTATAGTAGACCAATCCCTGTTCCTTCTTTAGCAGATCGTATGGGCCAATATGTCGAGGCTCATACTTTATATAATAGTGTTAGACCATTTGGTGTAACTGCTATCTTTGGTGGTATTGATTCTGATGGCCCACATTTGTATATGTTAGAACCAAGTGGTACATATTGGGGTTATAAAGGTGCCGCTACAGGGAAAGGTAGACAAACTGCTAAAGCAGAATTAGAAAAAATATTGGATAAAGATACAGAATTAACTACATCTGAAGCTATCAAACAAGCTGCAAAAGTTATCTATATGGCACATGAAGATAATAAAGATAAAGAATTTGAATTAGAAATAAGTTGGTGTTCCATTGAAGGAACTAAAGGTTTACATAAATTTGTTACGGGAGAACAATTAGAAGAAGCTATTGAATTTGCTAAATCCGAGACTAGTGTTGCAGACTTTAATGATAGTGATGATGATGACGAGGATGCTGAAAATAATGACGCTAATGTCTCTAGTGATGATGAAGCTGTAGACCGTGATGGTGATATCAACATTGAATAATTAAAAGAGAGGTAAACATTAAATATCTAAAAAAAGTAACACACAGGCATCAACCATATAAATATATAATTTACAATGAAATATAAGTATAACTCTGTGTGTACATATGTACACTGCCTTCATACAGAACAGTAATAGAACTTAGTATTATGACGAAGCAAAGCAGGTCTTGCTTAAGGACATCAGAATAGTGAGCAGAAAGAGAAATAGTAAGTTAAATACCTCGTTGAGCCCTACTAGAACAGCAATTCATTTGTGTACCTCTGTCTCATCCATAGTACCTACCTTCATAGCTAGTCCTCCCCTTCAATGGCAATAACATCACCTCTGTAAAGGATTCGTGAAGTATCTAATGAGCGCCGCTGAGCTTCATTTGACCTTTCAGTAAAGCGGGAAAAGTCAAAGAAAAATTTTTCACTTTCAATCGCGAACTTTTCGTCCAACAACTCTCAGTAAGCATAAACATATATATATTTATATCTATATCTATTTTACAAAGATAAAGAAAGAAACACCTTGAGGTAGTATATTTGCATCATTTACTAATAAGAGTTCATAGTATCAAGAGACTATAACTACAATTTACTATGTCTGCTGCTACATTTGACGATATTAAGCTAGAAGATATCCCTGTCGATGACATCGATTTCACCGATCTAGAGAAAGAATACCAATTGGAAGATGAATTTGAATTCGACCAATACGTTGTTGTCACTGGTGCCCCAGTTATCCCAGAATCCAAGGTTCCAGTCTTACAAAAGGCTTTAACCGGTTTGTTCTCTAAAGCTGGTAAAGTTGTTAACATGGAGTTCCCAATTGATCAAGACACCAAGAAATCTAAGGGTTTCTTGTTTGTTGAATGTGCTTCTCCAGAAGATGGTAAGAAGATTATTAAGGCTTTCCATGGTAAGAGACTTGATTTAAAGCACCGTCTTTTCATTTACACAATGAAGGACGTTGAAAGATACAATTCTGATTCCTTCTCTACTGAATTCAAAGAACCAGAATTACCAGAATTTGTGTCGTCAGGTTCTTTAACTTCTTGGTTATTGGATGAAGAGAACAGAGATCAATTTGTTGTTCAAAATGATAACGATACTACTGTTTTCTGGAATACTAGATACGAAGAAAAAATCGAAAATTCTATTGTTGAATCAAGAAAGAACTGGTCTACCAACTATGTTAGATTCTCTCCAAAGGGTAGTTACCTATTTTCATATCATCCACAAGGTGTTACTGCATGGGGTGGTGCTAACTTCGATCGTTTAAGAAGATTCTACCATCCAAATGTTAGAACTTCTTCTGTCTCTCCAAATGAAAAATATTTGGTCACTTTCTCAGCTGATCCAATTGTCTTAACTGAAGATCCAGATTCTCCATTCACTTTGAAGAATGAAGGTCATCAAATTTGTATTTGGGCTATTTCTTCTGGTTTGTTATGTGCTTCTTTCCCATTCGTTAAGGGTCCAAACACTAACTGGCCTCTTGTTAAATGGTCCTTCAATGACAAGTACTGTGCACGTATGGTTGGTGACAATCTAGTTGTCCATGATGCATCAACTAACTTCCAAGCCATGGCTAACAAGGGTTTGAAGGTCGCTGGTATTAGAGACTTTTCTTTTGCTCCAACTGGTGTTGAAGTAGCTCCATTCAGAAAGGGTGATGAACCATCTGTGCTATTAGCTTATTGGACTCCTGAAACTAACAACATGTCTTGTAAAGCTAGTGTTGTCGAAGTCCCACGTGGTAGAGTATTGAAGACTGTCAATTTCGTTCAAGTCTCTGATGTTACATTCCACTGGCAAAATAAGTCTGAATACTTGGCTTTCAATGTTACTAGACACACCAAATCTGGTAAGACCAAGTTCTCTAATTTGGATATCTGTCGTTTGACTGAAAAGGATATTCCAGTGGAAAAGATTGAATTTAAAGAACGTGTATTTGAAGTTGAATGGGAAAACAATGGTAACAGATTTATTACAATTTCTATCGATGATGAAACAGATGATGGTAATCCATCTATTCCAAGAAATATTGTTAGTTTCTTTGCACCAGAAAAGAAGGACTCTAAGAATAAATCATCAAACGGTGTTGTCAGTAAATGGAAACTTGCTGCTAAATTGACTGATAGATTCTTAAACACTGTTTCTTGGTCTTCAGCAGGTAGATTTGTTATTGTTGCATCAATTATTAAACCAAACATGCGTAAATGTGAATTGTTATTCTACGATATAGATTACACTGGTGAAAAGAATGCTAATGATGTTGAAGATGTTGACGCCTCTATTAAGGAAATTGCAGCTATCAATAATGCTAACTTCACCGATTTAACATGGGATCCATCTGGTCGTTTTGTTTGTGGTTGGTCTAGTGCTTTGAAACACAAGGTTGACAATGGTTTCAAGATCTATGATGTCTCCGGTGCTTTATTAAAGGATGAAGATGTTCCAAACTTTAGAAACTTTATCTGGAGACCAAGACCAGAATCCAAACTATCTAACGCTGAAAAGAAGAAGGTTAGAAAGAACCTGAAGGAATGGACTGCTCAATTCAGTGAACAAGATCATATGGCTGCTGATACTGCCGTTAGAGACTTGATCTTAAAACAACGTGCTATGTTGAAGGAATGGACTGAATATAGATCTGAATCTAGTGCTCAAACTGAACAAGAATTTGGTCACAAGACATTCGATATTGAGCAAGATAACTCTGATGATGATTACACTGTTGTCGAAGAATTCAAGGAGGAAATTGTCTCAGAGACCTCTGAAAAAGTCACTGAATAAATTAATAAAGTTTAATTAATATCTATCTAATTTGATATAAAATTTAATAAAATATGTATAAAAAACAAACAATTTTAAATGTAACAGCAATATTTAAAAAAAAAAAAAAATAATATTAAGAATAATCAAATAGTTTTCTTATCATTTTGTCAGTGTCATACCCTTCCCCTGATAGGGATGAATAGATGACTAAAATGGTTTATTCCTTGTCAAATACGTTAAGGACTATTCTCTTGTTTCAGATAGTGAATACTGTTGCATATAACAATACTAAAAGGTAGATTACCGACACTTCCTCCTCCCCCACGCCCCCACGCTCCAAGAAGAGTGGAGCACGAGCGTGGGGGACGTATATTCAAAGCACAGAACAAACAAACAAAAAAATCAAGACGTGGGGGCACGTGACGAAAAATAAAAAAAAAGCAATGCCGGGGTGTACCAAACAGGAAACACGAGAAAAAAGAAAGAACTCCCCGCTCGTCCGAGATACAAAGAATTTCCCGCACGGCCGCACCTCGAATTTGACTTTCGCAACCTACAAAAATTGCTTTTTTGTGCGCACCCCTCAGTGGAACATGGTGGAAGATATCCCGGGCCTGCGGCCTCTTATGTGAGGCCAAAAAAAAAGAAATTGAGCTCTTTCGCCCAAAAATTGCTTTTTTGGCAAGTCTCCTTCTTTCTCTGCGCGTTGTCACTGGAAAAGAAAGGAGAATCTGTGCGAAATGCACTTTTTCCTTGGTTTCTTTTAGTTTTCTGCTGCCCCAAAAACGATTTTCTGTTTGTTTAAAATGACAATTTAGCCATATTAGTTATTCCATCTGTAATTGTCTCTATTGTTAATTTGAAATAACCCTTTACAAAGTTATTGCGAAACTTTACTACACTACTATTCTTGTACTTTTAGTTTAATTTTGTGGTCAAGAAAGAATCAGAAACTGAATGTGAACTTCGAAGCTGGTGTCTTTTACAATGCAAAAGTTTATGCATTTATGATGGGGATTGCATAAACACAGAGGATAGAATGTAGTAAGCTTGTTTATTATCCCTTGAAAAAAAAAAAGGAATGCAATTTGAGTTCTGCCAAGTTAGCAAGTTTTAAGGCAATTAAATACATAATTTATTGAGTCTCTCAAGTGCAAATCACACTGCAAATATACCGAATTATCTTGTGCATTTTCATTCATTCTTTCTTTCTTTCTTTCTTAATTTCAAATACCATATATAGTTCAACAAGTTCAAGATAATAGTGGCAGTTTTAGAACCAAAACAAAACACGATTGATCCCTCGTTCGTTTTTTTCTTTAGCTGATAAATACCGAATTACCTATATCCCTACTCAACACAACTTCCAATATATACAGCATCAATTTAAATTTTGATTTTATATATATTTTCTCTCTTTCCCTGTTCTGTGGTGTATACTTGAAAAATCGAGCAAAGAAAGGAAAAAAAAAGTAAAAAAAGAAAAAAGAAAAGATTTTCAAAGACAATTTTTGACTTAAAGAAATTAAATAAAAAAACAAAAACTAAACCTACAATTTCTTTACATTTTAACCCCTTCACGAACTTCCTTTTTACTTTTATTTAATTAAACAATCACTCAGAATTCAATCAGAACTAGTATTTATTCTTACACTGATCTATTCTACCATCCTAAGAAGAAGAAAAACACATTCGTCTTTTGAGTTGCTGATTGTTTTATCTAATCATATATTCATTCTCAAGGCAAACACACATACATTATAAGAAACCATCTGCAAATATGTCGACATTGTTTCTAATTGGAAACGTAACTAGTACTGGGACAACAGTAGAGTCTAATAAAAATGAAGATTTTAGTACTCTATTGTCTGCATTAGAAGATTCAACTAACAAATATTGCAATTTGTTTCAAAGAAAATTGATTTTACCAGACTTAGATTCTTTATTATGGAAAATTTATTCAGATAGATTATTACCTTTGCCAAATAATTGGAATTATGAAACTGGAATTGCTTTAGTTGTATATCATTCAGAAAAAATTTTACCACAAATGAATATACGGCAAATGAATCATTTATTTAAACAATATTTTGCTACATTGAATATTTGTTTTATTGATATTTCAATTATGGAAAATTCTCCAAATGATTATATGAATATATTACATGATATACAAGACGATTTAGCCATCACTAGAAATCGTGTACTGAAAATGAATCATTGGATGAATCATTCTACAACTTCATGTAGCTCAAGTGTTTATTCAATGATGAGACAATTTAATACATATAATGATATTTCAAATAAAGATCGTGAACCTATTCCAAGAGTCATTAGAAATATAGATTTTCAAAGATTACTGGAAGAACATAATAGTTTATCAAATTTTGAAGATGAAGAAAAAAAATATATGGAGCTCCTTTCTTCTTGGAAATTTTCAGCATTAAACCTTAATACCATTGAATTAATTAAATGTGGATTTTATTTAATTAAGAGACTATCAAATTTTGCAAATGTCTCAATTACTGATAATAAACTTTATTTATTATTAATTACAATTGAATTATCATACCATCAAATAAATAAATTCCATAATTTTAGACATTGCATTGATGTTATGCAAGCTTGCTGGCAAATTTGTGAATATATCATCCCAGACGCTCATATGACTAAATTATTATTAGCTTTAGCTGCAACAGGTCATGATATTGGTCATCCAGGAACTAACAATTCATTATTCTTAAATTCAAACAATGAATTAACTCAAAATAAATCTATCTTAGAATCATTCCATTATAATATTTTCAGTCATATCTTAGGAAATCATTGGTCGAAAATTAATTCCATCTCCACTACTGGATCTATTGATAATATAATAGAGAAAGGAATTTTAGCTACAGATATGAGTCTTCATTCGACTTATGTAGATATATTAACACAAAAGAAAGATAAATCTGAATTTACAATGACAGAATTGATTTCAATAATTGTTAAAGCTGCAGATATATCAAATGTTACTAGACCTTTAACCATAAGTGCTAAATGGGCTCTCTTAATTACTTTAGAATTTGGTGATTGCGCACTTTTACAAAATTTTTATAAAAATGAAAATAATCCAAACGATGATATTAATTGTTTTGAACTTCTAAAGACTCATCCTTGTAAAGAACATTTAACAAAAGCTGATAATATTGATATGGATACTGAAATTGAAATTTATGAATTACTTAATCAAGTTGATTTTAATGTTGATAATTTATTACAAAAATATCCTATGATTCCAAATGGTCAAATTTTTTTTATTGATACATTTGCATTTGAATTTTTTAACAAATTATCTGTCGTATTTCCAAATTTAAAATTTTTAGTAGATGCAATAGTAGAAAATAAAGCTTATTGGGTTCAAAAAAAACAAGAACAAGAATCTTCACAAAATTGATAATCGATATATTAGCATTTCTTTTTTCTTTATATATATGTATATAATATACTCATGTAATACATTCTTCAAAGCATTAACCTTCCAAATTATTATTATTATTATTATATACATAGAGAATACATGGATTGTAGAAGAAATCAGACGCTCTCTATATTTTCATGTGTTTAGTTTTAATCCAAATTAATTTTATAAAAAGAAAGTACGTATATGTGTATAAACTTAATAATCAAATACAGTAATATGGATTTATATATGTATAACAATTCCTTAAAATGAGGTATCGAAGTAAGACAAACATCCCCTTCTGTCTAGTATGTATAGGTTAAGATAAGCAATGTTTTGTTTATAGTTTGTTTGTTTTTTTATCCTCTTTCATTAAACAGAATCTTGAGACAATTCACCTGAACCATTTGAGCCTGGTGGTTCTGAATGCTTCTTTTGGGTAAATGCACTCGAATCAATTTGTCCGGTTGATTTATATTCTTTAACAATAGCGAATGCTTTTAATAATTTTCTACGTGCACCAAGGGCTGCAACACCATGATTGTCAAGGAATTCATCGCTAAGTTCAATAAGGTCTTCCCAATAGAAATCTTGTAAAATAGCAGAGTATTTGTGAAGACGTAATGATTTCAACCATGATGGAACATCTGTTAATAGCTTTGGATCTGTAAGGTTCTTAGGATTCATTGATGCATTTGCTGGATTTTTAATATTTCCATGACCCATACCATTGTTATGGTCATCATTTCCATGTCTGTGTTTATTTTGATGAGCTCTTGTAAAAGAATAAAAATTATTGTAAGAATGTAACCCTGTGCTTGTATAAGTGTAAGGATGGTGCTGAGGCTGAGATTGTAAATCCTGGTAAGTCTTTCTTCCATTAGAATTAACATTGTTCCCATTAATACGATTATTGCTATTATTATAAGAGATTTGTTGATGATAAAGTTTATTTGGGGAAGTACTCATACTTTGTTGTTGCTGTTGTTGCTGTTGTTGCTGTTGTTGTTGAGGTAAAACATTATAATTCTTGTTGTTATGAAGGTTCAAATGGCGAGAGTTGGATATCATACCGTTGGAGACGGATGTTTGATAAGTAGTTGGCTCTGCTGACTTTGGTCTCTGTTGTAAAAGAAATTGTTGCTGTTGTTGTTGTTGCTGATCAAGTGTAGGTTGAGGAGACCAAGGATGGAAAGTACCATTCGAGTTAACTGCTGCGGAACCTGCCGCTACAGGACCTGCCGCAGCTGATGATCTTTGAGTATTAAACATCGAGTTCATATTACTCATACCATTAGAAGAAGATCCACCTGTGAGTTCATTTAGTAGTGGTACAGATAACGGTGACGAGATCATAGGAGGTTGTGGCGGCGAGGACAAATAACCAGAATTTGTAAGACTATCTAGTTTCAATTTTGTATATTGAAGAACATCATCCTTCAATACAGAGATAACGTTATCCATGACCATATTTTGTTGAGCGCTTGACATGTTTGTTAACCATTTGCAAATATTGTTAATGTCTTGAGTCAAGTTGATGAGCCCAGAGGAATGTCCAGTGGTATGTTGACTGATATTCACAGCAGAGCCAGCTGCTGCAGAGTTCGATTCTTCGACAAGCGTACTGCTGTCATTAGAGATGCTCATCCCACCAAATGCAGAGGTAAGACCCTGACCACTTGTGTGGGAGGATCCTACACCTGACGGTTGCGGTGAAAGCAGCACTACACCAGGATGAGCTGCCCTGGTTGCGACGCCATACGGTGAGTTATAATCCTCGTAAGCGTCCATATGTAGAATGGGAAATAACGGTAAATGAAAAGAAAAAAAGAAAAAAAAAGGGGGTAAAGAAGCTGTAAATTTGGAAAAGTTTTCCAAGTATTGATATCTGTCAGTAGAGGGTAGATGTATCCCTGAGTGATCCTCTCCTTGTTCTTCTCTTTCTTTGCTTCTCTTTATATTTTTGTTTTGTTAACGGTTGTTACGTCAAAGTTTATTCAACTTCTCGTCTCTTCAAATATTGATATTTATCAACAGCCCAGGGCGACGACACGCCATCGAGCACAGCGAAGCGAAGCGCATTGTTTGCTGGGACGAAACATTCCGCGAGGTAGGACATCGCTGTGTACGATGTGGTTGGGTTTGGAAAACAATAACAACAACAACAATGGCATGAGCAGGTTGGGGATACCATCTAAAGGGGAGTGGGTGTCCGTGTTTGATGGGAAACTGTGTATGTGTCTGTGTATGTGTATATGCTGGAGCCTCTGTTATGTCTGGTATATACTGCTACGGTTGTGGGCTTAAAGTTACAATTATCAATAATATTATTTCATTACATAAAAATATTCATGGAGACACTATATAAAAGCATGGGTGTTGGGTGCCCAGCCATTTTGTACTAATTACACGATATTGGACGTTTGTTCTTATTCGGTAGTGAGGTTACCTGTTGTGGTATCTGCAGTCGCTGTGGTTGTAGTTGTAGTTGTAGTTGTTCCACCAGGCGTGGCACCGATCCTGGGGACAATATCAATGAGGAAATCAAACATATCACTCTGTTTCAATGCCTCCGCAATATCTGCTTTCTGTAATGTACGTCTTTTATTCTTTTCAGATATACACCAAGCACGCATGGTTAACTCCGTAATAAAGATTTCACAAGCTTTAGCAAAAATAATAGGAGCCTCTGCACTAATCATTCTAACCTCTTCATCGGTTTTCATCACTTTTCTGATCCTTGCAAACGGTAATGAATGTGATTTGAAATCATCTCTGTGTGTAGACCCCGGTTCATTTGTTTGTTCGATCTCATTGATCAATTCTTGCCAATATTGGATCATAATCTCTCTATAATGACCAGAGAGACCCTGTCCAACATTTCTAAATACATCAAACTCCTCTGCCAATTCTTCATCAGCCATATTCTCGGCGGTACCATCACTACCTTTAGGTAATGACTGATCCCTATTATGGCCAACAAGTTCCTCCGAGGGACTCCCCGAGGGTTCATTCGCATGACCCATCTGGTTAATACGTTCCAACTGTTCCCTATTGTTTTCTTCCATTATCCTTAGTTGTTATGATCGGGTATATTCACTTATAATCCTTTTATTCCTTTTGAAATTCTTCTCTCTTTTGGAGCTTCTTATTTCATTGCACAGTTAATAATTCTTTTTATTTTTTAGGAAATTTTAAATTTTTGAACTTTTAAAAGAATTCAGCACAAGTTTTTAGAACTACTAGAAGATAAAAGGATACTTAAAACATTGACAAGACAGATACAGAAAGGAACATTAAAGGAAGGCAACGTTGAATATGAAACAATTCCAGTCCTTTGGTTCTACAGAGAACGCTATGTTGCCAAATAAGCATCGGAGACAAGCAGCTACAGATATGTATGCCGAACCCGAGAACTTCCTCGAGATCGAAGTCATTAATCCCAAAACTCACAGACTATCTACATCAGGGGGTTCTGAGATGTTCACCGATTACGAGATTGTATGTCGTACTAATTTACCATCCTTCGGTACTACTTCTGTCATTAGAACCCGTAGACGGTATTCGGACTTTGAGTTCTTCAAGAAGTGTCTTGTTAAGGAGATTGCACTCGCGAGTCACCCGCCAGTAACTGTGCCTAGTCTTCCAGGGAAGATTATCCTGAGCAATCGATTCAGTGACGAGGTCATCGAGGAGAGAAGAAAAGGTCTCAGCAAGTGGCTACAGTCTGTAGCAGGTCATCCCTTGTTACAATCGGGATCTCATGTTCTAGTCAGGTTTATAGAAGAACCAAAATTTATGGGCTAAAACAATTATTTGATCCATTCGCTGGAAAGAAAATAATAATAGTTATAATAATACACACATGCATACATACAAGCATCTATATAATGAATAAAATACACGACACACTCTTTTTTTTAATTCTCCAACTACTTCATCTTTCTTCATCCTTCTGTCCTACATACTCTTGTTTCCTTTTCTATGTATTTCTTGTTTTGATTTCAATTTTCTTTTTGGTGCAACTTGAAATTTCATTTCCATTGAAATATAAGATCTAATTTCGCCTGAACACGTAATGCAAAAGAAACCGTTTTGATAAAGGTTTTTAAATTTAATAAGGCAAAAGGTTAAAGTGAAAGGCCTGTGTGTGTGCATATATTTATATACTCTGGTTTGAAGAACGAGAAATCCAGCTTTTTTGTTGTCATTTTTTGCGTTTAGTATTAGCTATCATCAACATTTTTTACTGTTTCATCTGTCGCTATGCTAGTCAAGAAGTCCACATTATTATCGGTAGATGCATTCTCCAGAGCCGAAGAAGATGTTAGGATTAGAACTAGAACCGGTGCCTTTGTTACCGTTGGTTGTTTTGTTGTTACTGCGATATTGATTCTCAATGAATGGTTTCAATTCCATACTATTGTCACTAGACCTACCCTTGTGATGGATCGTGAGAGAAATGTTAAACTTGAATTAAATTTAGATATTACATTTCCCCATATTTCCTGTGATATATTAAATTTCGATATTATCGATGACTCAGGGTATTTACAATATGATGATGATATTCTGGCTGGCAACGGGTTTGTTAAGATTAGATTAGATGGTTCGGGTAAAGAATTAGAGACTATGGATTATAGATTAAAAGATCAAACTGCCCAATATCCTATTGATGACGCAAATTATTGTGGTTCTTGTTACGATGCATTGGATCAAAGTCATAATACCGATGAAGGTATCAAATTGGAAGATCGAGTATGTTGTCAAACTTGTGAAGATGTTAGACAAGCTTATATGAAGAAAGGTTGGACAATTTTTGATGGGAAATCTATTGAACAATGTGATAAGGAAGGTTTCCATGAAAAGATTAATAAACATATAAATGAAGGGTGTCGTGTGAAAGGAACAACATTTTTGAATAGAATTGGTGGTAATATCCATTTTGTTCCAGGTGAAGCATTTCAAAATGTTAATGGACATTATCATGATACTCAATTATATGATATTAAGACTCAATTAAATTTTAATCATATTATTAACCATCTAAGTTTTGGGAAGCCAGTACAGAACAAACAAGAAAGTTTGAGAAGTTTGAAATTGGAGACTAATCCATTGGATGGTACACAAGTGTTAAGACGTCATGATACTCACTCAAGAGTATTTACATATTTTGCAAAGATTGTACCAACAAGATATGAATATATGGATGGTATTGTTGTAGAAACAGCACAATTCTCTACGAAATTTCAAGAAAAACCAATTAATGGTGGTAAAGCTTTTGATGATCCAAAGATTAAATTCCAAAGAGGTGGTATCCCAGGTTTATTTATCTATTTGGATATGTCACCATTAAAGGTCATCAATAGAGAACAACATGCAATCTCTTGGTCAGGTTTCCTTTTGAATTGTGTTACAAGTATTGGTGGTATTCTTGCCGTTGGTACTATCCTTGATAAAATATTGTATAAGACACAAAGGACATTCTTCAACGGGAAGAAAGAATGAATCACTATACCTCTCTGTTTTTGAGTTTCCTTAACAACAGATATATATTGTGTAATATTAAAAGAACAAAAAAACAAAAAAACATTTCTTTCTTGACATTTATGGAAAGAATAAATAAATAAAGTTGATATACAAGTTAATAAATAAGTAAGAACTTCAAAATTTCTTCTTGAAGACTTAGCGGTCCTAAGTTATGGTATATTTTGGTCCATCACTACCTTCAGGGACGGTCCAATTGATTTCTTGTGTTGGGGACTTGATATCACAAGTTTTACAATGAATACAATTCTGTGAGTTGATTTTAAATTTTACACCATATTTTGATGATTCGTCCTTAACGAACTCGTAGACACCTGCAGGACAAAATCTCTCCTCGATACCTTTATAAATAGGATAGGACTCCTCGGTAAATTTCTCTAGATCTTGATCTTTACCAATACGTAAATGGCATTGTTCATTATCGTCATGATAAGTACCTGTCCTTGATATGGAAGTTAATATATCAAAAGATAATACACCATCTGGCTTCGGATAATTCTTGGGTTTAAACGCTTTGGCTGGTTTGGTCATGCTAGAATCACTCTTACCAAATTTGAAAGTCCAAGGAGCTTTACCCTTTAACAGTAGAGTGTCAATACCGGAATACATCATACCACCAAATAACCCAGCTTTTGTATTGAAGGATGGTCTGATATTACGAACTTCATGCAATTCATCATATACCCAAGATTTCTTTAATGAGTTCTCGTATGACTCAATGTTTATTAAAGGTTCCTCTGAAATATCTACATTTTCTTCACCTTTCTCTTCAACGATACTTTCAAATGAAGGTAATTTACTGATTTCGTCGTAACAGCTCTGAGCTGCTAGCATTGCACTCTTCATAGCAGTATGAGTACCTTTAATCTTTGGTACATTCATGAAACCTGCAGATGCACCGATTATCACACCACCTGGGAAATTTAATTTCGGGATAGCTTGAATGCCACCTTCATTTAGTGCACGAGCACCATATGCAATACATTTACCATCCTTTAGGACTTTGGCATAAAAGGGATGATGTTTTAGTTTTTGAAATTCTTGGTAAGGGGAGACATATGGGTTTTCATAGTCTAGACCAACAACTAAACCAACACTGACAAGATTATCTCCAAAATGATATTGAAATCCACCACCGTATAGATCCTTAGATAATGGATAACCCATTGTATGTGCTACCATTCCCTTTTGAAAATTCTCAGGTTTGACTTCCCATACTTCCTTAAGACCTAACCCATAGGATTGGTTGCCTCTTCCTTCTCGTAGATTAAATTTCTGTAAGATTTGTTTTGTTACAGAACCATGACAACCTTCTGCTAATACAATTTGCTTAGAATGGAATTCTAATCCTCTTTCGAATGAATCCTTTGGTTTCCCATTCTTATCAATTCCTAGGTCTTTTGTAGCTACACCAATTACACCATCTTTGTTCTTGTTATATATAATATCGGATACACTTACGCCAGTATAGAGTTCAACTCCAAGCTCTTCTGCCTTTTCACCAAGCCATCTCACCACAGTACTCAATGACCCGACATAGTTTTTCCCTGTATTGGTCAACCCTGGCGTTAATGGTAAAGGTATTGATCCTGTCGGAGTCAATAACTTAAATTGGTCCTTATTAACGGGATCTAAAATTACTCCATTATCTTTCTTATTATCAAGACAATTTTGTTTGAAATTTGGGAATAGTTCCATCATTGCACGAGGCTCCAAGATCATACCTGACAAAGTGTGAGATCCCAGATCTCCTGCTTTCTCAAGCACCACAACACGGTATTTGTTATCTTTATCCAGTTGTTTGAATCTGATTGCTGCTGTTAACCCAGCTGGTCCAGCTCCAACAATACATAAGTCGACGAAATCTTTCACCCTTGGTACTGCAGTTACACTACTCATATAGCGTCTTAGCACAGTTAGCTTCATTATATATTATTCTTTTAAAAAAATTCAGGTAGTTAACGATATATTATCATTTACTAGCATCAAAAAAACAAACAGTAATAGAACAGATAAAATTATTTAAACAAATATTCATATTCCTTTAAAAAAATGTTATTAGATTTATTGCTTAGCTGTCTCTATATATATCTGAAAAGTTTCATAGAATCTCCTCACCTAACTGAGAGGAGTCAAGTATTGCATCTTCCCTTTGTCAATGTCCGTGAGACAACAACAAACAAAAGCTTCATCGCCTAAAGAGCCGAAAGGTGCGACGCGCTAGCTAGTAACTATTAAATAATGAATGATGCAAAGAAACCGTTAAATTTATCAGTTCCAAGAAGATATGGAAGAAACGATACGCCCGAACGGTTGATTTGACAAATATAGTATTTAATTAAGAATATATTTATATGCGTTGATATAGTTAATGAGTACCCTTTGGTATTTCATTACCGAAACTTTACGATTTGTTTAGCTGCTAACAAAAATCAGCTCTTTCTATACGTTATAATACTCTATATAATATTTTGTTTAAATAAAGATCGTAATGTGTTGGGAATGAATGATATTCAGTCAGATTATTAACTGAAAAGAAACGCAACCTGAAACTTTAACAAAAGAAGTTTTATAGGCATAATGTATATATGTGTATGTGTGTCCTTGAACTTGATTTAATGGAAGATCGGTGATTGAGCTAATTAGTGATTAAATGATACTGTCCAACTCCTCCAAGCTGATTGACTCTGGAGATTGGATATCTTTAGTTAAAAATCCTTCTCTCACAATCTTTAGCCAGGCATTGTCTTCTGTTGTACCGTCCTCGGGTATACTTTCAGAATCCAACTTCGGAGTACAAGGTGTTTGGTGGAACATAGCAATTAAGCTGTTGTTACCGTTATGCGGAATATGATTTGAAATGGTTGACCTTATACCAGACTTTGGAAGTAGTTTAGAGATCCTTGGTGCCGCAGCAACAGCAGTAATATAAGTAGATTGTTTGTTTGAAGATGCAGAAACGCCGGTAGTATTACCAGTAGTTATAGTTGTGTTATTACTGTTGTTGTTATTGGCCCCGTCAAGTAGAGTTGGAGTCATGGTTGTTGAACGAGAAGGATTTCCTGAAGGATCATTAGAGTTCTGATTGTTGTTCATTTTTTGTTTTTTGTTCTGTGGTGTTGTTAAATTTTTGTTATTTACAACACCATTGTTACTATCAGAACTACTTTCGTTCTTCATATTTTCGTTACTCCTTTTTTTTGTGTCATTAGATTCTGTTTGTTTGTTCATTAAGTCATTAGATTTTTGTTTCGTTTGTTTTTTCTTGCTGTTATCACCACTCGTCATAGTAGACTTATTTGGTGTATTTTGGTTTAATGTTACAGACACAGGAGACGAAGAATATGGAATGTTGAAACCAGGACTTAAGGAGAATCCAGTATTGGTAGACATGCTGATGTTACCTTTATTCATCACATTATCCATTGTTAGACCGTTTGGAGAAGAATTTGTTGCGTTCCCATCAAAGAAAGAAGATGGATCGGTATTTTGAGATTCTTGTTTAGCCTCATTATCCTGGGCCATTTGTTGTTTTAGTTGGTTTGTAACCTTCTTAGCATGTTCTTTGTAATCTGGGGCCAAGATACCTCTGTAGATATAAAGCATTCTTCTTGGGGAAGAGTTAGACCATTCCCTAGAGATAGCATATTTCATTGTTTTTTCGCCCTTTTCGATTTTCTTGACATAAGCGTTTAATTTGGCTGAGATCAAGTTGGATAATTTGGTTGATAAATCAGACATCTCAGGGTGTTTGGCAAGTAGGATATCACATAACTGTTTCACAGTGAGCCCATTCTGTTCGACATCACTTTCCCATAAGATAACAAAGACAGCAAAAAGTACATCGTCATTTAATGGTGGTGCTCTATCCTCGGGAGCTGGACGCTCACCTGTGACAGGGATCAACTTGGAGACCTCCAATAAAGGATTCTCTTTCTTAGACGAGACACTGTCCTTCTTAGTCTTGTTGTTACCAGATGATTTACCGTTATGAGAACTTGAATCGTCGCCGTTGCTATTGTTCCTTTTTTTTGAAGGAGATCCTTGGTGACCGTTTGCGTTTGGGTTCATCGCCGGATTAACATCCAGTAGATCTACAGTCTCCGAACCTGGAAACGAAGTGATAATGTTAGTATTAGAAGCAAGACTTCTTGCGTTAGCATTCAAATTTATGGCACTTAACTGGAAGATTGGAGAAGTGCTATTATGCAGCATCTCATTTTCCATAGTTGGAATTTGTAAAGGTCTAGAATTAGTTAGAGCCATATTTGAATAAGAGAGAAGTTGAGATAAGGTTAATAAGTTTTATATCTCTTTACTCCAACAGAGAGGTCTCGATAATGTAGAGTCTGGGGAGTTGTCTTTAACTTCTTTCTTAATCGGATGAGGAAAATTAACTAAAATATCCTCAGATTTAAAAAGGTTTTCTTTTTATTAGGTTATATATACCAATAAAATCCTTAAGATTAAATAAATAATTCGTTGTTGTTAGTAGCACCCTTATAAATAAATTAAAGAATACTATATCCCCTGAAAAATAAGAAAATAATTTAGCAATATTGACACTATATTTTAAAGGTTAATTTTAATTTTTCTTTCACTGATGACTATTTTTTTTAAGATAGGGCCCTTTAGGGGAAACTGGCGAAAAAAAAAGACAGAAAAAAAAATAAGGTAAAAACGGAGTTTAACAAACGAAAAAAGAATTGATACCAGTATAGTTGTCTTAGTGTGAGCTTCCTATTAATAATGAAAGGATATCACGATCTATGTCAAGCAGTACTAGCAAAAGTAAAAAAAAGTTTTGATTATCAGGGTTATTAAATAACTATCCTGAGATAATATCTATCACAAATTTGATTGTAGCTGTGAAAAGGGTCTAGTCTTACTTTCCTTCTTTATACTTAGAAATAGTGCAAGATATAATTACAAAGAAACCTCTTCTTTTGAAACATGAAATGAAAAGAGAAATATTGAAATAAAATAGGCCTTATTTACTAAGAGAAGGGTAACTAACAGTAGTAATATTGAATCAAAAAGTTCCAAACAGTTTAGTTTGTCAAATCATGATACTAATCAATTCAGTTTGACGCTTGTAGGGCATCTGCCCCTAAAGGGAAGTGCATCATTGTAATTTTTCAGAAAATTCAGTCTAAAATTTTTTGCGTGGCCGGAGTACCAAATTATTGCGCTTCGTCAAAAAAAAGTAAAATCTGCGAAAAAAATAAATTTTTGTCAAAAATAGAATATATATCATTTCAACATCCGTACATTTGCGCGCAGTCACAAAACTTTCCTCTTTTTCGGAAGTTTTCACGAAACGAAATTTTCAAACGAGATAGCAATCGATGATTTGATCTATTCACCGTTCCTACAGAAAAACCATGAAATGACATCCTATAGAATAGTGTGTCAGATTCCTTATCAGCACATTACATCTTGTTGATGAATAATAATTGAAAAACAGTACTTTAAAAAAGCCAGTAAAAAAAGATGTAACGTTTTCTTATGGTAAAAGTTTGTATAACTTTTGTGCAAAGATTATTGCTTAGAAGCATTTGTTTTTAATGAAGCTCTATTCACAACATATTACAAAAGTATTAATGCTTTTAACATTGTCACTTGAAAGTAAAAGAAAATAATAATCTGTTCAACGATTGATTTTGGGTGGCAAATGAAATGAATAATTTAAAAGGGAAAAGTTATGAAGCATATTTCATCACTCTTTATATATGTGCAAACGAAGACTAAAATAAGAAGAGAGGACGAATAAAAATATAAAAAAAAATGAGAGAGTATGAGCACACAACTGAAGCAAACACCCAACAATATATTGGTAGAGAATACGTTCATCGAGAGAGGCGAATCATCATATCGTGTCAGTTCTGAAGACGAACCGTATTGAAAAAGAAGAAGGGAGGAGGACAAAATGAGGATTAACTGATTGTGAGATGAGCAACCAGGGAAAAAAATTTCGACGAAGAAAAGAATTTTCTTCGTCGATAAAATGCAGCCTTTCTTTTTTCCCACCACTGTTATCCTTACTTAACGCAGCGGACACAAGCAACAAGGGAATTAATATCCTGTCATTTAAAGAACTAAAATGAAAATTTTCTTCTCGATTATGGGTTTATCCATTGATCACTTGCTGCTTGAATAAAAAGAAAAAGTAATGAAAAAATTTCATCATTTGAGCAAGCACGCGGGGAGCGTCCTACCAAAGGTCACTTATTAATGCCAGTTCTCTGTAGGTTTTCATTATAAAATGACGGTTCTTTGAACTTCTCTACCTATCATTCTTACAGTTACAAAAATATTATTTCAGTTTCTCTGTTTATTTGCGTTTAATCAAGTCAATGAACTCGTTCATTAAGTAATCGCAGAATAATATCCGTACAAATTATGAGAATTTACTGTGTTCGGCGTTTGTTGCACGATTTTAAAATTATGTTTTGTGCGGGAATATAATATATTTATATATGTTTTGGCGACGTTGATTATCCCTCCTTTTTAATGTTAACTTAATATCACGTAGCAACCAACAGTGTTTAGCGTTTTCAAAAAAAAAAGAGTTCGTACAGAGATTTCCATGCCAGATTATTTCATTTTTAGTTTTTTTCACTCCCTCGCCTTTTTTTTACTTCTTGGAAAAGTCTGTGTGAACTTCTCTGAGAAGTCAAAAGATAAACATTTTAATTTTTCAAATTCAAAAAAGCAGCTAAAGTTTCGCGGAGCACACTGAAAAATGTCCTCCCCTACAACGTTTAGGTAAGAAACAAGAAAGCAAAAACAATTTGCCTTTCCAAAATGAAATTTTTCTCCCCCGGACAATTCTGAATACCAAAAATAAACTGAAAAAAAAGAGATTTTCGACGAGTACCGTTTTTGGCACATTTTTTTTCTCGAACGCCCCGTTTCTTTTTTTCTATTTCACTTCGGTCTCCTCATTTGTTACAGATTTCTTACGCCCGTAAAACCCAAAGAAGAAAAGAGAAAAATAAATAAGGGTTCTTCTTTTTTTTTTTGACCGAGACCACTCGAGATTTTTAGGGGTACCCCCTAAAATAGCCGCCGAACTATAAATAATTTTCGTACAACATGATGATCTAAAAATAAACAAAAAAATACATAATTAGTAATATTTTTAAACAGGGCATATTTTACAAACCTGTGTTCAACCTATTTCCGTAAGATTTATCGATGTTTTTAAATATATGATCTTTAGAACAATATTTTCGCTCGAGCCTTTTTAGTCTTCTTTTTTACGAAAGTGAGAGAGTTTCTAGAACTTTTAGTATCAACTAAATATTTTTTATGTTAATGTATTTATTATACTTATGTGCGTGTTTATTTACAAACTCGTTTGAATTCATTAGTATGTGTACCATCTGAGACTTCCTCGTGATACCGTTTCTTCAAATAAATTGGAGTAGTTGGTGTTAGAGGCATGATGACATCTCTGTGTGTAGCATTTCTCCTCTTTGGTTTCATATCAGGAGTAATACTTGTAGCAACAGATTGGTTATATTGTGTAGATGAAGATGATGATGACACTGCCTTCGAAGTGCCACTTGTAGATTGTTGCTTATCGCCATTTTCAATGATAGATGCAATGTAATCGTTCATGATTTTTTCTTCTTTGAATCTTTTGATAAATGTAATGAATTTAGACAATTTACCATCATCATATTTTAATTTAAAGCTTGCTGGAATGATTTCATTCCCAGCAAAGACGATATCCAATAAAGATTCTTGTTCTTTTGAAATTTTGAACCATTTCCCATTTTGAGCAAATTGTTCAATCATTAATGCAATAGTAGTAGCGTCCTTAGCTAAATAAGATGCAGACATCTGGTATGCAATTTCAGGCTTGAATTCGCATAATTCACAGAGCATAATTGCAAGGATTTTAATTTCGTTAATGTTTAATGTTTTATCCATTAAATTTAAAGTCTTTTCAAAAAGAATCATATCAATAAATGAATCTGCTGTTGGACTTGAATTAATAGACCAATTTAATGATTGTAAAATTTGAAATTCAGTTGAAATAAATTGTTTAGAAGTATATTGCATGCAACAAAGATTTTCTAGAATTTTTGTACTTGGAATATTTTTCTTAACATCAAAAAATTTTGCACTTATCCAAAGACAAGTTAAAGCAATTAATTGATAATTTGTATTTTTTAATATGAATTTTGAAGTATATCTATCAACTAAATTAAAGGTTTGAAATAAAGTTGATGTTGTAAGTGATAATCTTGAATGACAACACATTAAAAATTCAAAAATTAAATATCTCATATCAGAATTAATATATGGTTGTGATTTAAAACAAGATAAATTTTTAGCATTATTTTGAGTCGATCTGTTAAATTTTTCTAAAACATATAAATGATTAGAAAGATCTCTATGATATTCTTTAATTGTCATTTGATGATTCATTAATTCTCTCTTGACTAGATTTGGATTCATGGATTTTATATACGAATTATGTCTTCTAATTTTTGACATCTCGTAAAGATTGACCACCTTATCCAAACATCTTTTGGATTCTTTAACGGACATATTTTAAGTACGGAAAAAAAGTAATGAGGTTGTGTTTTGGTGAAGGGGGGGGAGTTCTACTTGTGTATAATTGTGATAAAAAAAATAAAGTAGAGATGCTATTTTGTTGGGATGAAAGCTAATTCAATGTGTAGTTAAAAATTTTTTTCGTTTTTGAATGATAATAATCTTTTTAAAAGTTTTTTGAAGTTTTTGTAATGGAGTAATATATAATATATTAGCACCAAAAGAAAATGAATAAGTTTTTAAGTTGAATATTCGTAGTAAATTGGAAATATGAATATTTTTTTAAGAATGCAATAAAATGTGGAGGGGTTGTTGAATTAGATGTAAAATATTTGTAAAGACGTATGCAAAAAGAAAATGTTATGATTTAAATGTGAAAAATATGGAATATTTGGACAAATAACCGTTTCTCGATAAAAAAAAATAAAATATGCAAATAGTAGAGATACTAAAATAAATGAGAGAAAGATTCTTAATAGTTCAGCAGAATAATAATGATATTATTGTTAGCAGAAATGGAATCACAAAAGGGAGAAAATGTTTTGTGTGTATGTTTAAACTTCTTTTTTTAATATCACTTCAAGTTAATAATAGGTTAAGAATGCTAAAATGTAAACCAGAATAAACGTTCATAAATGAGAGTGAGAAGATGTAAAAAGTTGGGGATGGATGAAACAGTCAGTAATGGAAAAAAAAAGAAGAGAAAGAATGAATGAATGAATGAAATTGAGTATATATATTTATGTATATATAAAATGCTCTTATATCTCGAAAGAAGTCTTTGAATGCAAAATATATATATATATCACTTGATTCGTTAAAAAGTTCCCACTAATAACCAGTAAAAGAAAGAAAGAAAAGATGATATATTTCTTACAAAAAGGACAGAAATGTAAACTCAATCAATCAATCTAGATCGTCTTAATTATAAAAATATTCAAAAATATTAATGTAATTAAATATTAAAGCTATGAAAGAAATAAAGAAAATGATTAAAACTTACTTTATATTAAGATCATATTACTTATAAATGAATTTTCCAATTTATTTCAGCTTATTATTTTTTTTTTTTCAGAATGATAATGATACAATATAGTTTTCACTCACACTATTAACAATAATGATAAAAAAAAAAAATTAAATGAAACCAGATTGAGTGAGGGCAAGATTAGGAAATAAATTTCCTAGTATGTACGTATGCAAGTTGTGAAGAAGAGCTCAGCCTAATAGAATAAAAAATTTAACATAGCTTTTCCATTCAAACTAATTAGGTCCTCTCTCAATCAGCAATTTTTCTCTCCCACTGCAGAAACAGTTAAAAAAAATAATAATAATAATAATATTTTGAGGCGTGGAGAGACCAAAAAAACATAGTATTATTATTATTATTATATTACGAAGGGAATAATAAGATAGCGAGATGCATAAATATTGATGATAGTAGTAGTGTGAAGGGATTAAAGAGATAACACAATAATAGTACAATACAACGAGGATAATAATACCGGGTTCTTCGTAATTGAATAAGAAAAAGAAAAACTTGCTGCAAGAATATAGTAAAATAGTGTTATTATAATACGGGGGTGGACAAATAACAAGAGTAGTAAAGAATTCTAAGAAATATGTACATTTTTTCTGGTTGAAGGAACCCTCTAAATATAATTATAATATGAGTATTATAATAATTTAATTACTGGTTAGAGGGATGTCGTTCTTTTGTTGCTTAGAATCCAATTTTTTTAGAGGTCAAGAAGACAGACTAGGAAAAAATATTTAAAAATAGGCAGAGAGAGAGAGAGAGAGAGGAAGGAGAGCTAATTAAATGCTTGGGTATTCTTCCTGATTTTTGCAGTCGTCGCAGTAAATTTCTCGTATCATGTCGTGTCATCGTATCATATTGGCGTAACTTATTGAAGCAAGTTGCAAAAACCAAAAGAAATTATGAAAATTTATTCATTATTGTGTGAGAATTTTGTATGAGAGAGCATTACATATTAGGAAATTTTTTCAATATCACAGAGAAGAAAAAAAGGGTAACCCAAATTGGGGAAAAACCAGCGAGATGGTTAGTGAAAAATGAAAAATAACTGCTTAGTTTTTTCTCTTCTGCAAGAAAAATAGAGGCGGTGAGAAAGTAAGAGAGAGAGAAATTTTTCACTGCAAAAAAAAAAATCAAAAAGATAATTGATATATGGTATGTTACCGCACACACAAAAGGGCACTTTATAGTGTCTTTTCTTCTGTCCGTGGGAGAGAAAGAGAAGGATGGATGACCTCTACTCCCTATTCTGCGCAGTTACTGTCTTCCTTCGGGTACGCTCAGAATATAGTGTAGAGAATCAAGTGATATAAATATTTTTCATTGATTGTCGGTAATTTCTTATGTAATTAATAATAAATTCAACTACTGTGTGTTCAATATGAAATACTTTTCACTTTTGTCTGTGTAGTGGCGGTACTAAGTAAGTGAGAAAGGTATGTAATTAGGCTGAGAGGACGTAAAGAATTGGGTTGTCTTTTGTTAGTTTTTTTTGTTAGGTTAAAATTGTTTTGAGGATTGAAGTATTAATAATTCAATGGGAAATATCATGTCTACAGCGAAATATAACTATATATTTGATTACTGCTAGTCTTTTACTTGAATAAGCACAATTATGCAACAAGAAAAATTTTGGTTTTTTTTTATCTTATCTTAACCCTTAATTTATTATGATCTTAAGTTTTATTTCAGGGCTTGAATTCAATTTTGTGTTGTTATTGATTGAACAAAATAACTTATTACATTTTATTGTAAAGAAACCTACAAATTATTTAAGAGTCCTTCTATTGATTTTAGTATTAGGGCATTCTTTATTTTAATAAGTATATATCTAAGATAAATGAAAGTGGTAACCATAATAATAGTTCATACAATCAATCTTTTTAAATTTCGCTTGTTGTTGCTAATTTTTGAGTTATTGAACTTAAACTGTCTAGCCTGATATTTCAATTATTAGAATAATAAGTGAAATATCAAGTAGGTACCCGAAGTTCCGAGATTATTGTTATATCTTTATGTATAGATAGATGCAGAGTTTGGAATTCGGAAGCTGGAAATTATTTGCGATAGCATCAATAGTTTTCTTGTTGATAGTGTGTATTTATTTTGCAGTTTGTGGTCTTTTTACCACTAAATGGGGGAACATGTATACAAGAACAGTGTCGTAAGTAGTTAATTTGTTGATAAATATTTCAATTGCAAACATCATCAGTAAGAATTTTTTTTCTTTTTCTACCTCGAAAAATAATAAGAATAGTAAGAGACAACTAATTGAAGAATGTATGAACTTGTAGATTGCTAAGCAATTTTGTTGAAGTCATCATGCCTTAACCGATATTGACTTCTTTATACGGTCCTTGGAGATAATCAATTCATTTCTTTGTTCTTTTGTTACTCTTTCCGGTCGGCGGTAAAGATCGGATTCATCGTATTTTCACTTCATGTAGATATATATAACTTTGACACACTAAGAATTTGTAGTGGTACTATTATCTGCGTATTTATTCTTCAAACGAGGAAGGCAACGCCTCTCACTATTATAGTAAAGACTATATATAAATATATTTATATATTTTTAAAGATAAAAATTCTTTATTTCAGAGTATTTTTCGAGTTTTTGCAGAATTAGGACATAATTCCGCATTTGGAAATTTCGCCCAATATTTGAGTGGCTTGAAGCATTTTACTCAATTGGGAAACTGAGGTGCAAGTGAAATATAATACAAAAAGAAGAAATTCGCTGTCTTTTCCTCAATTTCATTAATATTTTTTTTGTTTTTGGTCTCTCCGGGTCCGCTTTTTTTTATGGAGGGGTGATACATCTAATTATAGTGTTTGTACGGTGTTTTCTGTACGGCTCCCCTAATTTTATTCTACTGATTTTTGTCTCTCTCTCTATTATATTTATATTGTGTTTTTTTGATATGGGTACCAGGAACTAGAAGTGAGTGTTTGTTGAAACTCATTTTAATGACCGACTAAGATTTGTTATCGATAAAACTCAAGTTCAGTGAAATAGATAGTCATTTTATTTTGATAATATATTGCATAAAGAAGATATTTTACAACAAACAAAAGCATTTCAAAATTTGAAATAGAATATAAGAAGGTAAGTAGAGCACATGTATTAATGTTTTTTTTCTTATTTTATGTATTATTCTTATTGTGTTGTTTGTTGAGTTAGTATTATCTTCATTCATGAAAGAGCCTCGATATATATATATATATATGTATGTATATATATAAAGCGTGTGTGGGTACGCACTTTTAATTGAGTCTCATTTGAGAATTCCTTCGTTATTTTGATAAGAGAACATAATGTATAAGTAGATATGCATGTCACTATAGAAACATATTATTTAATAGACTCCTGTGTGAGCATTTTCCTTTCGAATTTTGTTTAATTATAGAACGCTTTCTTTTGCTCTATTTGTGTATATATTTATTGTCTTGATTAAAATTTGTAACCTCGTGTTTTGTCTTTTTTGGTTGCCTACGCTTCCAAGTTTTTTGTCTACTGAAGAGTAATATACTTGAAGGAATTTTTAAAGTTTATTCACTCTATTATTTTCACTTTCATAATTGTGCTTGATTATGCATCGTATTGTAACAGTGAAAATACTTTCTCAAGAATTGTCGGTAATATTAAAGAACATTTGCAAAATAGTAATTTTAGATAAATATTCATCTTAAAAGGGGGGTTTAAACGGCACCTCTTTTAAAAAACTTTGGTCTAGAACATAGACCAATATGAAGCATTTTAGGTATGTTAATGTAAAAATTAAGATGTTTATTAAACCTTTTAACAATTTTTAATATAAGATATGGGACAACAGATTTGTGACGACATCACTAATTATTGTGTATAAAAATTGTGTAAATCCTGACGTATTAATGATTGATAAGGAAAAATGTCCAAGCAGGGGAGGGATGTTGTTTTATGATTAGAGGTTAATACCGATAAAATAAAATAAAAAAGCAACCTCGATTTCTTCTTTGTAATAATTACACACTTAGATATCGAAGGAAGATACCTTTTGAAACATTGTTAATCCTATATATATTTTTGTTATTATTTAAGCTTGTTCACAAATTCAGTATTTTATTTACTGTCACTTGAATGAGATGATTCGTGGAGTATGATGTTGCAAGCGTTACTATGAATATTTCCGGACCCAAAAAAAATTAGTTACAACAGGGCAAGAATACGAAAATAAATGGCATGTCCCGAGAAGAAAAGGAAGACGCGCGTTCTCGATGAAACGAAAAACCAATGAAGTTAGAAAATTCTAAACATTAAGGATTAGTTTCGAACAGGAATAATACCTTTTTTTTATCGTAAAAAAGTAAAAATGCATATGCATGTAAAACGAATCGGACTTCTGGTAAGCTGATATTTTGTAGTTTAGAAACTTCTCTTAGATTTGTAGAAGTGAATCATAAGTAATACATAGTGAAACAAGTTTCTTTTACACCCCTTGTGAAGAGTTCAAAACGGTTAAGCGTTATGTTAAATAGAACAGGACTACTCAAGAATTCCTTGAGACAGTTCTCGACTTCGATACGAAGTCTACAGACAGCAAATGGATCCACTTTGACGTTTAATTACAATCAGAATGATTTAGCTGAAGAGAATAAGAATCAGAATAAACAAGAACAAAAGAGACCTATCCATCCACTTTCGGAACTAGGGGATAGACTTAATCAAGAATTGAAAGATCAAAAAGATATTAATGATGTATATACAGATTTTAAAGATAGTATCATGAAATTTAAGAAATCTAATTATGCAGAATCTAGATTACAGAAATCGTTTGGTTTAAATGGCTTAATCTCAAGATTAATCCAAACATCCATTACAAGCAAAAATTCTAATATTGACCCATATGAAATTTTAACTAATGTTTGTGACTCACATCTAGCGAGACCTCAACATTTTGAAATTGTAATGGAATACTTCTTATCACATAAATTACCTCAGGATGTAATGAGTCTGTGGATCAAATATTTATCTTTAATCACAGAAAATCCAGATCTTACTATGGCATTCCGTGGTAGAGATCCACATAAGAATATCGTTGCACTAACTACGGTTGCGTATTTGTTGTTACCAAATAATGATCCAGATATGACTGTCTTAAACCAAATTCTTCAAGTCAAGGACGTCGATGATGTTACTGGTAATGTAACTACATTCGATAATACCATTCCAATAAATTTAATAACACCAACGATCTTACAAAGAGTCAATAAAAAGGATCAATCTGTTGCGTTAAAGAATTTTGAAAAATTATTTATTAAATATGTTAGTAATAATGTCGGGTGGTTGAATAAAGAATTAGATAATTCCTTCGATTTAAGAATAATTCAAAATTATTATAATTTATACAAGAATAATATTGATAATATTGACAATAGTGAGTTTAATCCCGATATTCTAGCCAACTTTATGAATACATTTGTTACTTTGAAGAGACCCAATCAAGCAGTTAAATGTTACAATGATTTTAAGCCAATCTTCAAAGATGATTTAGAAAAGATTACAAAACTGAATAATGCTTTGTTGATTACTGTAGCAGAATTACCTGCAAATTCCAAAGTGTACAAATTAACTAGGATTCAAGCAATTTGGAATTCATTAATAAAAAATAATGAGAGTATCGATGCTGGTTCTTATATTTCATTGTTTAAAGCATTGTTCCTATCTAAAAATCTTGAAGAATTAGAAATCGTTTGGGAAGAAGAAGTTCCTGAAGTAATGAAGAAGGAACAAGATGTCCTAGAGGCTTATTTGGATTCGGTGTTGAGATTGAAAAACTCTGTAACATTACAAGAAATTGAACAAAAATTACCGCAGGATTTAAAGAATATTAACTTGATTAATAGTGTTCTTTTGAAAAATATACAATCTCCAGATTTTAAAATGGATTCTTTTGATGGAATCTATGATAAATATTTTGGCATTGGTAAGATGTCAAATGGTATGTCAAAACAATTGCCAAACACTGAGACACTTGCCATTAAGATGTTAGCATCATACACTGCTTCGAATGATAAAACAAGTTTTAATTTTATTAAATCCATTAATATTGATCAAAGATCAGATTTTAATAGATTCCTTAAAGTGGTAGAAGATTTCATTAATGTTTCGCCAAATATTACTCCCGTACGTGCATTGTTTACAGAAATACAACAACCTTTAAACTCAAGAAAATATAAATTGTTTATAACAGCTGAGTTCATGAAAAAGGAAGGTTCATCAACTGAAGCAGAAGCATTATTGAGATATTATTTAGATAAAGCAGAGATTAAAACTGATGGTAAATCATCTTTAAAAGCTCAATTTATTAGAGAGTTATTAGATTCTCTTACAATTGGTTTCTGTCAACTTTCCTTAAGGAAAAAAAGTTTCCAATTTGTTTCAAAGATCAATGAATATTATAGATCAATGAAGGAAGTAAATCCATCGATCGGTAACTCTACATTAGTGACAATTCTCCATACATATGCCATGTTATGTCGTTATTCTAAACAAAAACTAAACCCTAATGAGATAACAATTATTCAATCTTTCTTAGGTGATTTACAGAAACAGAATTTCCATGTAAATCAAGCAGATATTAGAATCCTAACATCTGCCGGACTTAAGGTACCCGAAACACTAATTAAGTCAAAACCTTCAAAGAAAAACTCAGAAGAAAACGATACGACAAGCAATGAAGGAATTAAATCTGACCTCTAGATCACATTATATAGAAATTTTATTCTTAGATAAGACACATGTAAATATAAATCATATCCTTGTTTAATCATCAAGTGTAAATTAATAATATATATATATATATATATATATATATATACTTACAAAGACCAATCATAAAAAGAGAAGTTGCAACAACTATGGTCTTAGCCATTAACCTTACTCACCAAATTAGACTGTCAATGGGTGGTTAATCACCCCCACCGCTTATGATTGCATTATTATTAGCCATTCTAATCTCGGTGTTTGTTGAAAGAAAAGCGACGGCGAATTTTTCAAAACTTCAAAATTTGTTGATGCGCTAACTTACACGGTCTAATTTTGGGCGGTGTTGATTTCTTTGAAATTTTTTTTTTTTCTTGATTTAGACACAGGAGGGATGTCATAAATTTCTTACAAATTGTTAAAACTCGGTAATCAATACATGCCTAGGATACAAATTCCTTCCATTGGACAAGAGTGGCGTATACATGAGCTCAGATATAAGATCTGATATCTAATACTAATTACTTTAGATAGCGGTCTATATATATTTTGTCTAAACGAAAGTTAGTTCTGTTTTTGTTTTCGTATTTTTTTGGATCCACATATCAACACGAACGCAAGGGAATACTTTGTTTGATCCCTCATATAGTCATCTCAAAACAGGATCATAAGATATAGATAACATTAATAAAGGACTATTTATCTCCATTCTTTTGTGTACAGGAATCATATTCTTAAAAATTTTGGTCTGCGTGTCATTTGTACCAGCTTAAGATATTAACAATTAGAAGGCACTATAAAAGAACACTAAGTTAAAATGCTGTCGGTGGTGAATCCATCTACTGATAACAGTCGCAAACTTTCTACAGAGAATCAGAAGGTAGAAAGGGTGATAGCGAAAGAATTAGCTAGGCAGGAATCATCAGGAGCAAATCAATCTACAATAAAATTAGTTGGTCTTGAAATTAAGACTATTACTAGTGATGATATACAACTGATTCAAAATGTCGATAGACTTTCACTAAGAAAGAATCAATTAGTAGCACTTCCTAAGTGTTTTGCGACTTTAAAGAATCTACGTTATTTAGATCTTAACTCGAATAATTTGAGAGATATACCACATATTTTACAACAATGTCCACAGTTAGAAATTTTAGATTTATCTGGTAATAGGATTAAGACATTACCATTAGATATATCTCCTTTCTGGAATCAAAATTTAAAAGTCTTATCATTGAAAAATAATAGATTAACTTCCATAAATGATTTACGAATAATATTGGCACTGCCGAAGCTTAATATTTTAGAAATTGAAGGTAACAATATTCCAAGAGAAGAATTAGACATGGTTCAAGCATATACACCTATAACATCAGCGATACCCAAGGATGAATACTGGGCTATGGCGCTGCGAAGATACTTCGAAGATCATCCAGATAGAAACACCCTTCCTAGTTCATCAACTACTCAACAAAATAATCAGGATTCTACAAGTAAACTTTCAAGAGCCTCCAAGAGGATGGGGTTTATTAATACTACCAGAAGTGGATCCATGTCATCACCATTACAACATTCACCTAAAAATTCATCAAACGATACAGCAACCACTGCATCGTATCAACCTGTAGATACTGCTCAATCAAGCCGAAGAACACATCCAGCAGCTAATAACGAAGATAATAATCTTAGAAATAGTGGTGGTGTCGCAAGTAGTAGTAGTAATACCAACAATTTAAGTCTTCCAACTCCAACTACATCAATGCTAAGTCATTCCCCTAATTCATCTCATGGTCAAAACAGTAGTGGGACAGAATTATACAATCACACAAAATATAACGATTACTTCAAGAGATTGTCTATTTTACCCGAGGAGACTATGGTTAATGAAGAAACAAGAATTTCTCAAGCAGAATTAGTGGCAGCTTGTAGAAAATTGCTCTTTGGGTTCACTGAATGCCAACAAGCTGTGAGAAAAATTGCATCGTTTTGTAAAGAAGCATCTATTGCTGTTAATATTGTATCTCTATTGTATTCTGTGAGAACCCATATAGATAACCTGGTTGAAATATTAGAACAAATTGAAAATGAAGAATCTCCGAGTGATCAAGGTTTGATCAAAATTTGCATTACTATCATATCATCATTCAAACAAATTATTACACTGTTACGCAAGAATTTTACAACGTTTTTTGAAGAGGATGACTTATGTTTTATCCGTATGTTCTATATGACATTACTATGTTCATACACAGAAATATACAACGCATGGAGTTTCATTAGTCCTGAATTCCACTGGAGAACATCAAAACAACAAAGAAAAAAATATCCATTAAAAACAGAAGATTCTTCTTCAGCGTTATCATTTGTTGCATCTTCTACTTACAAACCTAACCCTACCAATGCAAGCATTAATGAAGAGAAAAATCCATTTGAACAAAATTTGGCGAATTTTAATAACTCAAAGCATAATATTACCCGAGTTCGTAGTAATACTTTACAAAACAAACTTGTATCAAATTTGCCATCAACTTTAGCACACACAAACTCTTCTAATAGTGAGGGTTCCTTTAATAGCAGTACAGTCAATGAATTATCGTCTAGTACTGAACATCCAAATACACAACTTAAAAATAGCTCAACATCACATGCATCTACTTCTTTCTCACATACTGATGGTATATCCAGAGAAAGATCAAACGACAACTCACCAAGTTCGCACCATAATGTATATAGCCAAGAGATGTCTCGTTCTGCATCCATTAGTAAAGTGCAAAGATCCGAAAGTGTTTCAGAAAGGGAGAGATTATCATCATCTCCAGCAGGTAGTACCATGTTACGTACTGCATCTGTAAGTTCTCAACACGCATCTATGAAGAAGTCTTCGGGTAGCAATATACTAGTCAATAAAGATATGTCAGTTAGAAATAAGGCAGATATAATCGGAGAGCTTGCCACTGAATCAAATCACAAGACTTCATCAGAAATAGATCGATCCCAAACAACTTCTGGGAATGAAAATGATAAAGCCACAAATGGTGGATCCATTTTAATGCAAAGAAGCGATAGTAATAACAAAGCTGTAGAAGTCACTGAAAGAAGAAGTCAAGATTCCAGTGTACACAGTAATAATACGACAATAGTGGAAGCAACCACAACAGGTGAAGCTGAGCAAAATATTGATCGTCAACTATATGAAATGTTAATCAATGTTACAAGAATGGTGAGTGTAGTTTATGATCAATTGACTAATGAAATCTCAAGAATCGCTATGGCTAGTACAACTGGTCAACAAAAGCTAACCGATGAATTATTATTAAGAATACGTGGTTTGACAGATACATGTTGTCAAGCATTAGATTTATCAAAGACATTGAATGAAAGATTACAATTATTGGTTAACGATGATCCAAAGATTGTTGAACCATATTTAAGTGACAATGAAAAGTTGATTACATGGGAGAGTATTAACGCATTTTTGAAATCTATTATATCTATTCTTGCAAGTACAAAGATTGTTATGACCGATTTACCTAATTTAAATGAAATCAGACCTCATTTAGCATCTTTGGCCAAAATCACAAAAGATGTTACAGTCATCTTAGATTTAAGTTCGTATAAAGCCGTATCAGTAACAGCATCTCAATTACAAAAACAACAACAAGTACAAATTCAACAACAACAACAACAACAACAACAACAACAACAACAACAATTGCATCAACAACAGCAGCAGCAACAGATTAACAGTCATACGCACGTTCCTCTGTTGACGCCACAACCATTACCTAACAATACACAAAACAGTTACCCATTCGAATGAGTGAATCTCTTTAAAACTTTTCAAAAGTTTAGTAATTCGCTTATATTGTTATATATTTATTAATATATGTATGTATGTATGTATGTATCGGTTAATTAAGACTTTGGCTAATCATGATATAAATTTTGTTTTTATATATTTAGAAGACAGAAAAAAAATGCAGGAGAAGTTTATGTACATATGACTATAAGAAATGGATTGGAGTAATGACTATTTATTGTTACAATGCAAATTATGGGCTATGAATAAGTAACTGAGGAAAAAAAAAAGTGGAAGTATATGTCAATATTATTATTGTTGTTGTTGTTATTAGTATGCACAATAATCTAGACTTTGTTCATATATTTTACTCAATTCGAAATGATATCCATGAATATTATTTTTTTCGAAATATTGAGGTAATCTCATTCTTGTTCTTTCAGCAATAGCCATAAATCTTATCCTATCTGTTGAATTTAAGATAACTTTATTTTCATTTTGTCCTGCAATTAAAGATCTAAATATACGATCTAATATACGAAATAATTTAAATATTTTTGGGATTGTTGCAGCATCTGGATCATCATCATCTAATGGATCATCAGTTATTTCAAATTTTTCAATATAATCCATTAAATCATCGGCAATTTTAATAATAAATGAGGCTTGACCAAAATTATGAGATTGATTAGGAATTTTTTCATTTGATAATTTAGTGTTATCACCTTCAAGTAAATTTTCAAAATCATCAAATTTTTCTAATTGTAAAAGATAATCAGTATGTGGCATATTATCAATAGAATACCAAATAAAATCTAACAATGATTTAATGTCATGTAATAAAGTCGTCAATGATAAATAACCTTTTTCACTATTTAAACCTCTTGATTGAACAAATTTTCTTTGAATTTCCATTAATCTTGCATCGACGTAAGTGATAAATTTAGATTGTTGACTCATTGATAATTTTCTATGTTTTTTAACATCATTGATTGGAACATCAATCGTTTGGATTTCTTTCTTTACTGAATTATTGCTATCATTAGCTCCAGAAAATGGTGATTTAAAATTTATACGAGGTTGATAATCATGTGCACTATCAAAATCTTCATGTTGTCTTTCAGTAGTGAAATCATCATCTTCTTCAGAAATTAAAGTCCTCTTATGATTTGAAGTATTTGCAGCAGCAAGACAAGCGGCTTGATTTGGAATATCTGTAAATGATGGTGTTTCATCAATTCCTGGATCTAAATTTAAATCATCGATTTCTTTTTCATCTAATTCAATTAAATTATCTAAATCCATATTAGCATCAGGTCCCACATGTAATGGTGTCTCTGGTTCAGGTACTGTACTGGACATATTTTCTAAAGCGTGTGTGTGTGTGTGTGTGTGTTGTGTTACGAGTAATTAATTGTTTTGTTTTGTTTTGTTTTGTTTTGTACTTGAGTGTTTTTTATTTTTAAATTTAAAGTTTAACTGTCTTAAAAATAAGGGCATCACCAAATTTAACTAAAATTATTCACATTTTATTTATATAGGAATTTCTTAAAATTTATATATGAAAATTCGTCAATTTCAATTTTAACTTTTATGTGTGTGGTGGTGCAAAAGCCACTTAGAAACTTTACATTTTCATTACTAACAATTTCGAGTAAATTTGGGACTATGTCGCCAAAGAGTTGTGCGAGAGGTTCTGTGCAAATCGGAAGAAAAACAAACAACAAACAAAAAAAGGGGGGGAAGACGAAGAGGAGAGAGAAAAAAGGGAGAAAGGAAAGGTAGGGTTGGATGTTAGGGTTTGTGTGCGTTTTCCAGGGTTTGTCTTAGGGCTGGAGTGAGGGTTTGGGATACTATTTTAGGGTTGCGTGTTAGGGTTTGTTGGGAGGTGTGGTTAGGGTTTCGTAGGCAGTGATCATGGCCTTTTTGGCTTTTTGGTTCTGCAGAAAAAGAGATTTCATGTGTATGCAGCCTTGGAAGCATAATTACTGCGTGGTGTGTGGCGGGTAATTCGGTGCGATAAACAGTAGATTACCCTCATTTAGCAAAACTAAAACTATTTCTTCTTCTTTGAGGTAGGAGGAGGGGAAACGGAACGGAACCGCGATATAAACAGATGTATTCTTTTTAAATGGCGGCTAAGACCCTGGGCGGCTAAAAAGTATTAACACCCAAGGTAAACGGTTGTAGTTCTTTTTAAATCGGTAACACACTTGGATAAGTTAAAAGACCACCTCCTTGAGAGCTCATTGTTTAACTATTACCAAAATTGAAGTGGTGGTTTGGTCTGTTCAAAAACAAGAATTTACAACAATAAAAAAAACAAAATTATTCAGATTATGTCTAGAATACTTGGATGCCTTGAATTAGTCAATGTATCCTCATTAAAATTATCTCATTTGAAAGAGGTGAATGGAATCACACAAGATGATCTGGTTGATAATACTATTCCAATAAGGTCTCATCATGTTTTGAAAATTGGGAGAAACGGTATAGAGACAGATCTAATTATTGATCATCCGGCTGTATCTGCAATTCATTGTATCTTTTGGTGTGTCCTATTCGATGAAGAAAGTTTCCCAATGTGCTACATAAAGGATGTTTCTTTAAATGGAACTAAGATTAATAACGTCCTTTTACAAAGAGATACAAGTTACTTATTGAAAGATAATGATATTATAAGTATTGAATGTGACTCTGGTATAATTTGTTCCTTAAAATTTATAGAGACAATAACAAGAAAATTGAATGTTGATTTATTAAAACAATTAAATGTAGAACATAGTATAGATGATTGGAAAATTTCAACTAGAGTAGTTGGAAATGGTACTTTTGGTCATGTTCTTGTTTGTGAAAATGAAAAAATTAATAATTTTACTCAAAAACATTTCACATTACCAAAAAATTATGCCGTTAAAATTATTAAATTAAAACCAAACAAATTAAACAAAGAAGCTAAAATCTTATTACAATTAAATCATCCAAATATTATTAAAGTTTATCATACTCATATGGATTTAAATAATAACTTATTTATCTTTCAAGATTTAATATCTGGTGGTGATTTATTTTCATATTTAGCCAAGACAGATTGTCTTACTGCAATACCAGAAACTGAATCCTTATTGATTGTTTATCAAATTTTATTGGCTCTTAGATACTTACATAAGAGAGGTGTGGTTCATAGAGATCTTAAATTGGATAATATTTTATTAGCATCCCCAGAACCTTGTACAAGGATTACTTTGGCAGATTTTGGTATCGCCAAACATTTAACATCCACAAAGACTAGAATGCATACCGTTGTTGGTACCCCAGAATATTGTGCTCCAGAGGTAGGATTTAAAGCCAACAGGGAAATGTATCAAACTTTTTCTAGGGCTGCAACTTTATCAGATAAAGATGTTGGCTACAGTAATAAATGTGATTTATGGTCTTTGGGAGTCATTACTCATATTATGCTTACAGGTATTTCTCCGTTTTATGGTGATGGAACTGAAAAATCTATTATTGAAAATGCAATGAGAGGTAATATTAATTATAATATTAAACATTGGGAAAAGATAAGTTCAACAGCAAAAGAATTTGTGAAAAATTTATTACAAGTAGATGTTAGACAAAGGTTCGATAGTAATCAAGCAATTAATCATCCATGGATTGAAACTCATCGGAGTCAATTAGATCAAATTTATCAGAAAAAAATATTACAACAAGGTGCATCGAAAAGGCCAACTACTTCTCTCTCCAAAACACCTGGAAACCAAATAAAACCATATTTGGTTCAGGATACTAATGATTCCATTGAAAAAACAAAAATGAATTGGAAACGCAAGTTGCCAAAGACTATAGTGGTCTCCAATAAAAAGCACAAATTAAACACATTGCATAAATATACTAATAAGCAAAAAATATAAATTCAAGTCAGAAAAAATATTTTGTACAAGGAATAAGAACATTTATCAGCTAATCATATGTAAACGTTCAAATCAAAATAATTTATCTTCAAGTTGTTCCTAAAGGGGAATATTAGTGACATTTGGTTACTGATATTCCCCGTCATATATTTTGTCTAAACTGATCAGAGTAACATACAACTAATTAAGCGGCCGAAAAAAAGTGAGAACCAAAAAAGCAAAATAATAATAACCTCAATAAAAAACAATACTAAGTAGGGAAGACAATATTAATGAGCACTGAAGGGAACAGTAACCAAATGAAGTAAATTAAGTAGATTATAACCTGGCTTGACTAATTATATTAGACCTGCTACGTACCCACGTTTCCGAATCTTGCAAAATAGAAAAAGAAGGTATTGTCTATAATATTGAAAATTACAAATTAGTAACCCCAAGATCCGTTTATTTTGGTCTTCTATTGTCTTTTCGAATGGATATGATATGAATAGAGTTATAAAACGATATATAACAGGTAACTTAGAGAAAACGTTATACGATGCGTTTGTGGCGGACACCAGATCATTAAATAAGTCATCTAAACTATATAGCCCTCAAAATATTTTTAACAATAAAAGTGAAGGTGTACGTAGTTCAAAGAATTACCAAAAGAATCGTACAATTACGGATAAATGGTTACAAGATGCATTAAATACAAGAGTCGAAATCAAGGGTCCAAAAGTTGTATCATTACAATTACCAATCATACTAAAAACTCTACAGAGGTTGAGGACGACTAATAACACACATTTATATTTTAAATTAATGAAAAGGTTGAATTCAACTAAGATCAATTGGGTCACCACAAATTATGCTACTTCTATTAAGGAACAATACGAAGATAACATACCACCTGAATTTTATCACGAGTTATCAAGCATGCTCTATAAAATTAGTTTAAGACTTAGACATTTTAAGGATGAAGATGATATTAATGCATTATCGAAATTTACTTTAAATTTAATTTCTCAATATATTGTATTATTAGAGAAAAGAAAGACGAAATTACATGTAAATTTTTGGAAAAATGTTATATCTGTTATATTAAAATCTAAATCTTTAATCTATAAGGAAGAAATATTAACGTTAATTAAAAGATTGAATTTGTCCTCCGAGGAAGTCAATTTTGGTGAAATATTGAAGGAATATACTAATTTATACTTTTATTTAGAAACGGATCAGTTATTAGAACTAGAAAATTATGTGAAAGGTTGTTTGGTTCTAAAGGGGTCGGATATGTCTGGTATACTTGAAGAAAGCCAATTGAAGATATTTTCTCCTTTATTAGTTCGAACATTACAAAAATATATCATGTGTGGTATGGAGGAGTCCTATGACCACTTAGCTAAGTTAATGGTTCGTAACTTTTCCACTATTCTAGATGAGCATGATATTGCAACAATAGACAATCTGTGTAAGAATGAGGCGCTGACTGCATTTTCTACTTATTTGGGATTAACTTCCTTCGCTAATGAAGATATAGCATTTGATACTCTGCGAGAGTCCCTTTTAATAGAACAGGGTTCGTTCTTAAATATATTGCGCAAATTACAGGAAAACAACATAGATCCTTATAGCAGTACGTATCTAGGGAAGCTTGATTTTGTTCTATTCAAAGTGGAAGGGAAGGAAAGACCAAGACTTGAACATTGGGAAAAAGAATTTCCACCTATATTAAGTTATTTCGCTAATACTAATACGCCTCTCCCAATTAAAAAATTTTTTGTAAATACATTAATGCAGCATTTAGTTGGTGACAGATACGTTGGTTATGTTATAGCCGTTCTGCAGACCCTTTATGTCCGATTTAAGTTTGACGTTCCTCTTGGAGAATGTCAGGAGGATTATTCACTCACCTCAACTGGGTTTCATCCTTTATTTAAACTGATAGAACATAGTTCATATGCAACTATGTGCTCATTTAGGCTATTTGAACATATGCTTAAACTACAGAAAAATGGAAAATTCAAATTTCAACCTGAGGATTTCAATTATCTTTTTATCAGTGCTAGTGACATAAATGATAATATGTTATTCAATTATTATTTATTACATTATTTAGAACTATATGGACACCAAAACTGTAATGTGGAAACAAAGGATTGGGTTCTACCAGATAAATTGATATGGATTACTAAAAAAGATTTTAAATTTGGTATTAGTGAGGAATCATTAGAAATCATTAAAAATGTATATGTTGAGAATGGTGGTAAACAATTAACACAAGATAATGGTGGAGGGATTTATAGCTTATTCTCCGATGACAAGTATAAAACTGCAAAGAAGGAGAATAAAAATCAAACTAAGCCATTCAAAAGTAAATTACAAGATGTTTTACGTAATAGTAATTTAACGAAGGAGGGTTATTCTACCGAAATTGATTTCCGCTATGCTGATTCATTAGCTAATTTATTGGAATATATTGAACCAGTGCGGGATCTAAATTAAAGAGGCTAGATAGAAGGGGGGGGTCATTATACTTGTTTTCATTATATATTCTATAAATACCTAATAATAATAAAAGAATTATTCATGTATATAATAATTCGAAACATTTAGATTGTCCTTTGAAAAATTGGATTTTATCAGTATTTTCAAATGTTCAATTGGTACGGAGTCCTTTCTTTCCAAATATATCTGAGTCAGAGATTGAAGTGTAACCCTTATAATTGAAGATTTGTCCTTCTGATCACTAGATTTTTCAAGGACATGAAATAACTTTTCAATAACACTGTTGATAAATGAAAGATCAGGACCATTTGAGTTTGCGTTTGAATATGCAATTGCTAAATATGGAAGAAATTTTACGAGCGTGGTTTTTAATGTAGTGGAGCCCTTTATGATCAATAAATTATGTATCTTTATTAAGATCCCATTCCAATTATTGGTATCAAAAATAACATTTGAAGATATCAATCTTATAATAAAATTGATACATAAGAGTGCTTTTTTGATAATTTTAGATCTTTCTAATTCATTTTTTTCACGAATAATAACGGCTGCTGATGGGATAGAATTGATGAGTTCATGAAATATTAAAATTTTATCATCTGTAGATTTTACAGTTTCTTCATACCAAATGATAAAGTCATCTATAGAATCTGTGATTTGTTGGTCTGTTGAGTGGAATGCACCACCTCTTGCTGCATAATGTTGCCAGAATTCAATCTTTTCATGTTTAAATTGTTCTGACTTAACAGATTCTCTCGAGAAAAATTTATCCTTCAACTTGAGTATATTTAAATTATGTCTTTCCTCATGATATTCAAATTGCGGTAATACATTTTTTTGTAATATACTCAATGATAATAAGCTAATTTCTTCAGATGGTTCTGCCAGTAAAAATAAAAGTTGAATGGCAATTTTTTCTTGTACATCACTGGGGAGATCATTAAAATGTTTATCTACCAGTATACATGCCTCTTCTCTTACTAGTCTTCCAACATCACCTTGTTCAGTAGTAGTATGATCATCCAAGAAGTCATGTATCATATCAATAAACATGTTGTCATGATTCGTTGGTAATAACATGTCATGGAAAATAACAGAAGTATTATCATTGGTGATCGTTTTAATCATTGATGCTTTACATTGGCATGACATTGTTTCTTTATATCTCAAAAATAATGTGAAAAATTCCTTTGTAGGTAAGGAAGGTAAAGACGCACAGGCTAGCTCATTATTAAAGGAAATATATTTATGATATAGTTGAAAGAATTTTTTTCTTGTTTTCTCATCGTTATTAAATATCGATAAATCATTGGAACCATTTGATAAAACTTTTAAAATTTCAATGAATAATTTACTGAAATCATCATACCATATACATGAACTTTTGGTTTGAATACTTCCAATAATTTCTTTAAATAAAAAAATTGACATTTCATCATCGAATGTGATCCCATTGGATTTATTTAGATATAGTTTCCAATATTTCATTATTGATAATAATTTGAAAAAATCTTCATTATTTTTCGTTACGTGCCATTGTGATGAGATTACTTTGTCGTATAGGTCAGATAGTACGTGTTTATCAATATATAAATATTCGTTTAATTCTGTTATTAAATACAATAATCTTGCACATTTTGATGGAAAGTTAAAATTAGATTTATCGTTTAATAACGTATTTATCATATCAGAGATAATATTGTTACTTTTGTTGTTATTATTATTAGTACAGTCAGTTGATTTAATAGTGTTCATGAACACATGTAATGATTCAATAGATAATTTAACAATTTGATAATCTAAATTTGAAAGAATATTATAATTAATAAACCAATCAATAACTTTATTAAAAAATAATGATGAATTAAAAATTGTATTAAGTGAAATTAAATTTCTTTTATAAGATAAGTTTAAATCACTAAATTTTAATTCAATTAATTTCATAATAGTCAAATTATCTAAAATTAATAATGATTTATCTTGATTATAATTTTGATTAAATCCATTTATAATGTAATTGATTCTACCTAAATACTCTTGCAATGCAGCATTTGAAGATTTTCTAATAATAAAATCTTTATCGAATAAAGAATTCATTAATAAATTAATAAAAATATTATCATTTAAGGATTTTATTAATAAAATATCATTTTTTGTATTTGTTATAATATTTTTTTTAAAAAATTTATTTCTAACCAATGACCAACAAATAAAATTTGTGGCATCTTTAATTTGATTACCTCTTAAAGATACACCACATTTACTATTACTAATATTATTATTATTTAATAATTGAAATTTAAATGTTATTGGTAAAATAATATTAATAATGTTTAGTAAATTTGATAATGGCAAATGATTTAAGATAAAATCTGATAATTCTGCAATAATAATTAATTGACTATGTAATTGATCAATATTAATAAAATTTTTATCAATTTGAATTAATTTAATAGTCTTTTCAATTATTTTATTAACTAAATCTTTTGCAATATCAATTTCCATATATTTTGTGATTAAATTAATTAATTTTTGAAAAGAATGAGCAATTGAAAATCTAAATTCTGTAAAATTTGAATTTAAATTTAATAAATACCAAGATATAATATCTTCTAATGATGACCAATTTTGAAAATATAATTCAATAAAAAATAATTTTGGTAAAATTTTTATTATAATCATATAAAATTCTTCNAATTTTTGTCTTAATTTATAATATAATTCTGCAAAAATATTTGCAATAATTGATTGATAAACCTTATTTTTATTAAAATATTTTAAATTAATTAATTTAATAATATTATTATCTAAATTATCATGATCAAATTTAAATGGTGATAAAAGAATTGTATACAACCATGATAATAATAAATAATTCATATACCAATTATTTTTATTATTATTATTATTCTCATTATTAATTGAATTATAATTTAAAATATTCAATATATCATGTAATAAATGAATATCAACTTTTAAATAACATGATAGTTTTTTCCAATTAAAAATTTTTGAAAAATTATAATAAATTTGACTCAAATAAATAATAAATAATTCATTTTTTTGAAAATTATTATTCTTAATTAAAGGTAAAAGAGTCTCAGTAATTAAACTAATAAATATAGTTAAATTCTTATCTAATGGAGAAGGATCTTGTTCAAACTTATTAATATTCTCATTTATCTTAGAGACTAAAGTTTTATAAGGAAATGAATTCCTATTATTATTAGATTGAATAAATGTTATTAATTCTATTAAGTCATTCTTAATTGATTGTATTATAGTTGGTATACTTGCATCGCTCATGGAATATATATCTTTTTGTCCCTGTTCAATATATATATATATAATATTAATGAAACCTTTCTATTCCTCTTTAAAGTTCGGCGGCTAAAATTAGTATACTATGAGTGAGTCTTTTGCAAACAAAATATTGATTATCAAGCCAAGTTTCCTTTCCCACCAAAGAAAAAGTGAGACTAGTCAAAGTTCAACATGCTATTTTCTTTTGGCCACAATTTTTTTTAAATCAATTGAACTCTTTGGCGTTATTAATTGAACGGCTGAATTTGGGAAAGAAAGAAAAAATACGCGTTCGGTTTCGTGCCATATGATATATCCGGGTAGCGTCCATTTGCTAATAAGTTGACGAAGAAAGAATGCGGCTGAATACAATCTTTCAAAAAACACAATTCCGTTCGGCCGTGTCAAAAACTGAAAAAAAATTGTGAGTGTGTGGCGGCACAACGGGCGGAGGGTGAAGAAGAGGAAGGGGAAGAGATAAGCTATTTATCAATTTGAGATAACGGCGGCTGTTTGTTTGTCACAGCTACGTTATCTCCGTACCGTTTTTTTTACAGAACGTATATTGTAAATTTATAGAATTGATAAATGATAGATTAGGGTTTGATAAAGCCACAAGGAGGTCCGCTGAATGATATCGCTGGGTTATTCTTATTGGGCTCCTTCAAGCTCTTGAAAATATTGGGGGGAGGTACTGAAAAGAGTTGTGCTGCAGTAGATTTGTTACATATAATTTAAAAAAAAACTTGAGGGGGGGAGAGAATGAAAGCATAATTGAGGGTATCTTTCTCTTTATTGGGGTGGTAATATTATTATATGTACGTCTTGTTTATTTGCCCCCCCCCAAGCGAGGATATTATAGCTGATAAGTTACGTATTTCGTTATCTCAATAATAAAAAAGTATAGAGAGAACGCTTGATGTCATTCAAAAAATTGATCATTCAGCGTATCATAGTTTTATTTAATAGAGAAGACATTTTATCGCTTATAAGTAATTTATATATGCTGAAAAAGTTTGTGAATCATTAATCTATGAAAGGAGAAATTAAAGAAAAACCTGAACTATTTATCAATCGGAGTTCGCTTTCCACCTTGTGACGCACTCTATCTCTGATATCATATTTTGTTTTCTTCAGGTAGTAATCGTTACGTTGCGATAAATAAAACACAAATTTTAGGAGTTGGATATCCGAGGTTATCAATAGTATGATCAGATTAACATATACTCTCACATCTTTTCAATATAATTGACGCTAATTATCACTAGTATTACAATAATATGTAAGGGATACATCGTATCCAATATATGAAGCGATAGTCATTTATTGAAAATACATATGTACTCTTTTGTAAATCGAAATCTTATGCTACTTTAGAGAAGGAGATTACGGAAATATATCTACGACTGATATACGGCTTATATTGAAATACGACATTTTTTATTACTATGACCCACTAATAATTAGCGGCTCCCTCCCTCCCCCTCCCCCAACTCCCCTTCTTCCTGTACCTCTTTCTCCCCACGTAATTCCGTTATTCGATTATTTTGTCTATCTATTTAATTTTGTTATGTAAGTTGCTGTACTTTAATTTCTGTTGATTAATTAAAAGAAAAAATTACTGATCAACACCCTCTTTTTTCTCTCTTTGTATTGTTTTATTTTATTTAGAGAGAGAGAAGAAAAGACGTAATATTTGAATTGTTGTTGTGTTTTTTGGTCAACTATGAGTAACTGCAAGGGTATTTTCTTAACAACATGATCATGATGATGATGGTGATACCATAGGCTTAAAGGGACAATTTGTTTTTTAATTAAATTACGGTCTTATTGTCATAGTCAGCCCTATGTTTTCAGAATTCTGCATCTATTGTTAATTCTTAATATAATATTATAACAAGTATATATATATATATATATATATATACAAGTATTTCCACTATCCAAATTTTGATAAAATCTATATATTTTTATCTTATCTTTCTTGAAATATATCTTTTCCTCTATCAAATACTAATCCTTATTAGTGTTGTATTTTTTATTTTTTTACAATTGTACCTACCGGTTGCTATTATATTATATTAAATTTGTTTTAAGAATAAAGATAGTACTATTAGTACCTTTTATTTTTGACACAGTTCTTTCTTTTTATTTCATAAATCCATAATCTCCGCTATAAGAAACCTCATTGTTTTGCATCTATTTATATATAAAAACGACATATATTTTTAATACTTACTCGTATTTTAATTGATTAGCATAAAGAAAATACATTCCTTTATTTTTTTCTTCTTTTCCCTTTAATTATTATTAGTACTAATAATAAGAAAAAAAAATTTATTTTTAAGAACGTTCTTTCTTTCTTTTTAATAATAACTATAATAATAATCATCACCAAAATATGAAACGTCGTAATTTGTTCGGTTTGGTTCGTGTCCGAAGCGATGATGATGACTCGTATTCTCAAAATGGCAGTAGCAGTGCTACAACAGCAGATCAATCGCAAAATATTAATAAAAAAAATGATATACAGATAGATGTTACATCATATACAAGAGATAAATATGATGATATTAATAAAAATGGTAGTGATGGTGAAACACCAGACTCAATTGATTTAGAAAAATCAGATTTAGAACCTACAGAACAAGTCTTACAACAAGGTTTAAGTTCAAGAGCAGTTCAATTTATTGCTTTAGGTGGTGCTATTGGTACTGGTCTTTTTGTTGGTACAAGTTCAGGTTTAACTCAATGTGGTCCAGCAGGTTTATTAACTTCTTATATTATTATGGCATCTGTTCTTTATCCTATTATGAATGCATTTGGTGAAATGGTATGTTATTTACCAGGTGGTAGAGGTAGAAGTTCTCAAGGTTCCGCAGCTTATTTAGTAGCTAAATATGTCGATAGATCCCTTGGCTTTGCAACAAGTTGGAATTATTATTATTGTTATGCAATTTTAGGTGCTGCTGAATGTACCGCTGCCGCTGGGGTTGTCGAATATTGGACTACTAAGATTCCAAAAGCTGGTTTGATTTCTATATATATCTTCGTCATTGTGTTATTAAATTTCGGTCCAGTGAAAATATATGGTGAAACAGAATTTTGGTTTGCAATTACTAAAATTGTTTGTATTCTTGGTTTAATCATCTTATGTTTCGTCTTATTTTGGGGTGGTGGTCCTAAACATGATAGATTGGGATTCCGTTATTGGAAAGGTGATTTAGCATTTGCTAATCATTCCGCTCCAGGAAATACAGGTAGATTTTTAGATGTTTATACCGGTATCATTAAAGCAGGTTTCGCTTATATCTTAGGTCCAGAATTGGTCTCCTTAACAAGTTCTGAATGTCAAGATCAAAGAAGAAATATTGCGAAGGCCTCCAAAAGATTTGTTTACCGTTTAATTATTTTTTACTGTTTTAGTGTCTTAGGTATTAGTGTGATTGTATCTCGTAAAGATCCAACTTTATTGACTGCGCTAAGTGCTAATAAAGCAGGTGCTGCATCCTCACCTTTTGTCATTGGGATTATTAATGCAGGGATCCCAGTTTTGCCTCATATTATTAATGCATGTATTATGTTAAGTGCTTGGTCTGCAGGTAACGCATACATGTTCGCTGCCTCTAGATCCTTATTGACCATGGCAAATGAAGAAGGTGCTCCAAAGATCTTTGGTAGAATCAATAGATTAGGGACCCCGTATGTTGCCGTCGGGTTCACTACTTTATGGTTTTGTCTGGCTTATCTAAATGTTAGCTCTTCTTCTGCAGATGTCTTTGCTTGGTTATCCAATATCAGTACTATCTCTGGTTTTATCGGTTGGGGGGTCTCTTGTATTGCTTATTTGAGATTCCGCAAAGCTATTTTCTATAATGGTCTCTACGATAGATTACCATTCAAGGGACCATTGATGCCGTATGCTATTTGGTATGCTTTGGCATGGGTTATAATCTTATCCTTAACTAATGGTTATCAGACATTCATGCACGGTTATTGGAGTGTCTCTGATTTCATTGCAGCTTATATTACATTGCCTGTCTTTTTCACATTATTAATTGGACATAAACTATATACCAGAACATTCTTCACATGGAAATGGTATAAACCAGTGGAACAAATTGACGTTATTACTGGGCTTGACGAAATTGAAGAAATTACAAAAGAAATCGATGAAAACAGAGTTCCACCTTCTTCAATATGGGAAAAATTTATCGACTGGCTTGTTTAAATATTATTCTTTCTTTTTATTTTGTTTTTTCCCTACTTTTAACACATAATGCCCACTTTATTTCGTTCATTCATTTCGTAAGAACATTCCTATCAACCTTACCTGTTATTTTTGCTCCATTAAGCAACAAAGAAAACAATATTCTTTCATCCGTGTTTCATCAACAATGTACACCTATATGACGTTAACATAATGACGTTTTCATTATTAATATTCAAACTATTTCCTCTTTATATTCTTGAATTTACGTACTAAATTATAACATTAGAAAACCCTTTATTTTCAATTCGGACTTTTCTCAAAGAATAAATTTATATTTTTTTCTATTTGGGTCACATTCGAGAAGGAGCTTCACCGCTATGTCAAGTAAACAAAAAATCAATAATGATTTAATTTAAGAATATATAATTTTCTTTTTTACACAATCTAAAAATGACTTTAAATATTTTTAAATATCGTATTCAATATCCAATTTTCTTTCGGTTCGAAATGTGTGTCTATTCCGATTCATTAATGGAATGATAAACTTTATTAAAATAATTTCCCATTCAGTAAATCCTTCTGCATTCCCATATTTATGAGCCATTAAATTTAAAGTGACAGAAATCATATCTGCTAACCTGAGAACAAAATGCACTCTATCAGAATCGCAAAGCTTGTTTAAGTATTTCTTAAAAAAATGGAGATCCCTTTCATGAGGTCCCTTTTCCTTAATCGTTTCTCGTACCCAATCGTTGACCATTGAACATATCTTTTCGAAATTTGTTTCATTTTGGAATTTTATTGGAACAAAAATGCTATCACTATTCATAAAATGTGAATTCATATTTCGAATTGCATTTTCTCTTCTTTGTAATTCTTCTTTCATTCTCTTCAATTTAGAATCATTTACCTTTCGAGTAATTTTCAAGTCATGTTGAACATCCTTTCTAATCTGTGTAGGTAATTCTTGAAAAAATTGTTGCTGAAATGCATTTCGTTGATTAGACTCCAATTGATCCTCTCGTTCCTTCACTGGAGACCGTTTCAATCTTTTATATTTTCTATGTGGATCATTAGACTCTACATTATGTAACGGGCTCTCAATCGAACGTGATGAAGGAGAGGGTGTTGTGGTAACTTGATCCTTTTGAAACAACAGAGAGAGACCCTTCTTCACATTAGAATTCTTTGGATCATCAGGATCAACTAATTTATTAAATTGAATCGAGATACCCCTTAACTCTACAGGTGGTACAGGCAAAGTTCTAAACATGTGTTTTAATTCAGTAGCAATGATTCCACCATCATTTGTAGGCACACCTAATCTACTAGAAGTAGTAAATGGATCACATCTACCCATTCCCATATATTTAGGTGGGTCTACAGGGGCATCTACACAACGTTTCATTAATTTTAAAGTGATTGATGAGGTCAATTTATTATACTCAGCTAATTTCTTATTCACCAAATAATCCGAACAGATGTCAAGGAATTTATCTATCTCAACCATATCTTTAAATCTAATCCCCCAATTGATATCAATAGATATTGATTTTCTTTGAAACATATTAATTGGATCATATATTATCCTTGCAGATTCCTCATCATCTTCCCCCCTGAGTGCAAGATACACTTTTTCACCGAGTTTATTACCAAGAATAGATTGTAAAGAGATAATATCTTGACAGGTTTGTCTTAAATCTTGTAAAGTCTTTACCTTTGGATATTTATAACGTAATTTCTTCAACGTTGATCTTCCTACACCTGGTAGATCATCCAATTTAAAAGAACCCCAAAATTGATTCATATCATTTAAATCTTGGCTTTCATTATCATTATCAAACATGAATACTCCATTAGGTTTGGCCATCTTTAATGCAAGTCTTGCTAATACAAGGGAATCACTAACACCGATACTTACGATACAACCAGATGTTTCATGTTTAATTCTTTGTCTCACTGCATTACATAACTGTAGCAACGTTTGCTTATTTTCCATTGCATTCTTTGACATTACACATATTGCTTCATCTATTGATACAGGAAGAACATAATAAAATTGTTCAATACTTTGTAAGATAGTGTAGAATGCTTTTGAACCATTATCAATATTTTCAAACTCATAAGGAAGAGTTGTAAGTTTAATACCGTTAGGTAACATCTTTTCAGCTGTACCTACCCACATACCATTTTTAATACCTAATTTTCTTGCTGCATAATTACAACTTGCAATATCTGAATTTTTAACACCATGACAAACAACGATTGGATCTTTATCAAAATCTAATGTAGGGAATTTTTTCTTATCTCTAAATAAATATGCAACGGTAGCGAAAAAACAATCAAAATCTATATGTAATATTGTATAACTTGAATTTGAATGTGTTAAAAGTGGAATATCTTGATATAATTCAATAAATTTTTGTCTTAAGGAAGCCTTCCATTCTGAAAGATGATGCAATCTAGAATGTTTAAAATAATCTATCAAGAAATTCGGATCATTACAATTTGGTGGTGTCTTATTTGCAGATGATGAAGAAATTTTTAAAATTGAAGGTTGTTCAATATCTGATTTTATGATAGAATATTCTTGCCATGGTACAATTTTTTGTTGTTTAATACAATCAACTAACCATTGAGGATTAATTACTTTATAATTTTTAAATTCTAATCTTTTTTTTGGTGGTAAAGAGCTTGCGATAATATGAGTTGCTGAACCCTTTGAAGATAAATGATGTAAAAAATTACCACCATTTAATACAACCATATCATGAATTTGTAGTCTACCAGGTATAGTATGACCATTAACATAAATTGTTAAACCTTTTAATAATTGTGATGTTTGTTTACCTATAGTTTCATATTGTTTTCTAAATTTAATATCTTGTTCAGCTTGTTTAATTTTCTTATTATAAAAATAAGAATATCGTCCTGTAGAGTTTTCTTCTGTAACTTTATTATCTTTATTTGACATATACTTATTATGAGTAGTACTATTATTATTAATAGTTAATGTATTTTCAAACTAACACGAACAATATACGTAATTACAAAAGAAATAAGTATGTATATTGATTAGAACGTTTAGCTATCTATGACGGTTGTTAATCAAAAAATTAAGTAAGTAAAGTATATTATATTTTTAACTTTTTTCCGAAAATCCATTATTAACTAAGCGATGAGTGAAAAAAAATTCCTCAATATAACAAACAAAAGTTAATTACTGAGAACCATATAGAATATAATCACGGGTGTTATAAAACTTTATTCTTTATACAACCGTTGTCTACCAAATATAACAAACCTTACTGATAAACAGAGAGATAATTAAAATAAAAAAAATACAATTAACACGTCAAATAATTTTAAGAATACTCCGAATTTTACAATAGGAGTATCAATCATTGTAATCTCCGTCCCCTATTTTCCAAGCAGAAAAATATATATAAAAAATTGTGAGACAACTCTGGTACAAAGAAGAGACAATCACGACAGATAATAAATAACAATAGGCGAAACAACATATACATGCCTTAATTATCGGAATAAATCACAAACAAAACAAATAAAGACTAACAAACAATACGAAATCGCGTCATTTTCGTACTTATTGCCAAATGAAAACAAACAAGTATGTACAATAGGCTGAAGTTTACCACACGTTTCGTAATAAGCAGTTAACAATAAAATTAGTTAAAGTTCAACCCTATTTTTTTATTGGCAATCCCTTTCATGTACTGTTATCTCTTGTTGAACATGTATCTTCTGTTAAAAAAGAGATAAACGGTTCTTGTAATGTCAACATGTGAAAGAAGACGGCTATAACGAAAAAACCATTAAATGTACTAATCACTATTACTTCTTGCACAGCCAATCTTAGTGGGGCAAAACAGGTAACATCAACAATTTCAAAGAAATGAATTCTTCTTCTTCTTTTTTTGATTTTGGGACAAAAAAAATCACAAAGATTTGACCCTCTTTATGTCTCTTTTAGGAAATGCTTTACACGGGTCTTATCCTATAGTTGTAAGAAGTGCCAGTAGAAAACAATATAATATTACTTAGATAGATACTTGAACAGATCACGCGTACTTCTCTACGGCCATTTTTTTTGTCCCATTTTTTTGCGTTGTTTTTTCAATAAAAATATAATACAATTATGCCTCTATCCCTTTGCGGACATTGCTTTATTGGGACAAAAAAATAATAATAACAATAACTATATAAAACTAACAGCGCGGTGGGTGGGTGTTGAGTGACTTTAGATGCACAGCTTATTTTATTTCTTGATTGGATTTTTGCCCACTTCAATTTCTGAACAAAATACCAATTTTGACACACGCGCTTTCTTGGTGCGGACTCTCCTGAACAAATACAACACACAGCCCCAAACACAACAATAGAAAAAGATTGTTCTTTTCCGGGAATAAATTTAGGGCCCAAATGATCTATTTTTTTTCTTTCTATTTTGTCCCTCCCTCATTTTCTTCCCGGGGAGACGAAACAGTTTCTATCTCGATTGCTTTCTTTCTGGTACATTCCAGAGATATCTGTGTTTCTAAACAGCGTTAAAAAGGACACCGTTGACCCTCCCTCTCCCATGTGCAGCATATTCTCTGACCCGCGTGGGCTTTTTTATCTTTCTTCTCGAATTAAAATTCAAGTCAGCAAGCAGTAATCTGCACACAAAAAAGACAGCTTTTATTATTGCTTTCATAGACAAGCCAAAAAGCAACGGGTCATAATTGTTCCGTTTAGGTAAACAGCATTCCAATTATCCACAGAAAACGCAGTAGAAAGAGACTTATATATATATATGCCTAAACTTGTTTTCTTTCCGTTCAATGGGAAAATTAATTATCTTCAAAGAAAATTGAAGAGGCAAGCAAGCAAGCATGCAAGCACGGTTTCAGTTTGTTGTATTTCGGAAATTCAACAACAGGCGTGAAAATAGTTGTGATCAGTTTTTAGGTGTAATTTAGCGTTACTTAATACCTGTGAAAAATGATTAGGGCAAACAGTTAACCCATAACGTTTATCCTAAAGGACAGTTCTTTTACACTTTATGATCTGTGGTTTCTTTGTTGTTGGGCTCCCTCGTTCTTTAATTTTAACTATTTTCTATTATTATAAATTTTTGTTTTATCTTGGTATTTTTATTTTTGTTTTTTGGTTAACTGTAAACCAAGGTTGCATTCATATATATATGTTGTACGTTTTTCTTTACTAAAGGATTTATCAAAAATATATTTGTCTCTTTCTATTTTTTTTTTCACATCTTGATTTATTTTGTCCCTTCTTGTCCCTACTTCCCAATATCTATCCTTCTTATACTATTATATATATCTCTTGCTTCTAAACATAATCAATCATCTCTCTATACATTACTATAAGTGGTTAAAACAGCAGCAGAAAAAAAACTAGAAATTCTTTATCTCTAATTTTTTTTTTAAATTAACGAAACTTATATACATATCTAACACACACACATTTATTGAAACTAATAATGAACACTAACGTTGACGTTACTTCAGAAACTGCAGCTCCATTTGATAACTGGATGCTCCTGCAAGATACTAAGCCACAATTAGATGGTGAAGATAGTTGGTCTGCTTCATCCGCTTCTTCATCAACTTGGTTTGAACCATTAGAGACACTTTTATCTTCTGCTTCATCTCCTTCTACTGATGATCAATTCAGTCCGTATTCTGCATCAAGTATGCCTGTTCTTATTAAACAAGAAACAATGGACGATGAAGATGATAATGTTTTATTATCTTCAGCTAGTGGTATTCCAGCTACAACCCCTACCGCTACCACTACCGCTACAACTTTATCAAAACCGATAAAGAAAGGTAGAACAACAAGAAAAAGATTAACAGCTTATCAAAAACAAGCACATAATAAAATTGAAAAAAGATATAGAATTAATATTAATACTAAAATTGCCAGATTACAACAAATTATTCCTTGGGTGGCAACTGAACAAACTTCTTTTGAAGTCTCAGGAAATGGTACTAATAAAAATAACTCATCAACAACAAATGCTCCATCAACTAAATTAAATAAAAGCATGATCTTAGAGAAAGCAGTTGATTATATTTTATATTTACAAAATAATGAACGTCTACATGATATGGAAGTTATGAGTTTAAGAAATGAATTAGAAACTCTAAAAGCTGCTAAAAATTAATCATTTCGTAACAAATATTATTCTATTATCTTTCAAGAAATTTCCTATTTTTTTTTCTGCCTACTACACTACACCTTTAATTATGATACACAAGATAAACACACAATTTTTTTTTAATTATTATTACAATTACTTTCCACATTCCCTCTCTCTCTAACATATTTTCTCTCTTTTTTCAATTATTTTTAATTACTGCACCTTTATCTGATATTATTCCAATACAAAAACAAACGATTCCATGATTATTAACTTCACATATATTATTATTACTATTTCCTGATTCCATTTTTTCCCTCACTCTTTCGTATTTCAACAAACTCCAACTTTTTTCCCCCACTAATTAATTATTATCTATTCCTTTAAGACGAAAAAAAGAACAGGAAAAGTAATAGTAATAATATTACGACACTATCCAATTTTATAAACAAATTATACCTTTCATTTTCACAAAGGTAATTAATTATATAAAGAGTTACTATTATTTGAGAATGAGAGAGGAATAGCATTTTAAACATCACATTTTTAACGAAAAAAACAACAAATATACTACTACTACTACTACTGCAATCTTATATTTTCAGAGAGAACATATGAACTGGTTTCTATTTAGATTAAAAAAAAGATAAATTCTCTCTGACTACAGGTAGTCACATAAAATAATAAAAAAAAGCTAAACAACTACACTTTTTTAAAAACTTATTCATTAAACATTAACACTTTTTTTTTAAAAACATTTTTTTTTATTCACCTAATTTTGGTATAGATTAAATATCTTCCCATCTTATATATTTAGATAAATGTCTATAGATATTACAATATATGAATATCCTTAATTATTATCACATCTTTATATAGAAAACAACCAAACAATAGAATTGAATCCAATCAATTATATTTATTAATCAGCATTTATAAACACCCACTTCTAATCATTGTAGTACTTTAGTGATTATTCAGCAAATATAGAGAAAAAAGGTGCTGATAAATCACAATATAATTCAAAGACCTTTTTAGTTTCTAAATCTGCTTGCGCGCCTCGCTAACTTCGTTTTTCTTTCCCGTTCCCACGCAAAAAACATAAAAAAACATTATTACCAGCATCACGACGCGCGCACCACTTTTTTTTTCCCTTTTGGAGTCTAATTGACTGAATTTCTTCTATGAGCTGAGCTGAGCTGCTTGGTGTACCGAAGTAAATATATTCACTGCCTAAGCAGACCTTACCTAAAATTTTTCACTACATTCTGAACAAAATTTAGATTTAATATGAATAAAAACATATATATACGCGTTGATTGCACATCTCTTGATTCATATATTCAGTGTATTACGTACCCCTTAGTTTCTTTAATTATAATATTATTATTATTATTATTTACAGTTTACTATTTTTCCGTTATTTCCCATCAGTGATAGAGTTATCTAACTAACAGAATCTTTAACATAACATTGCATTCTCTCTTTTTTCCTATTCACGATGACAGGAACAGCTGCTTTATACATGAATGAACCTTCTACAAATTTTATGGAAAATTATGATGCTTACTATACACAGAATCATGATCAACCATTAGTATTAGACAGACATATTTTATTCGGAACCGCGGACTCTATTATTAATCATCCAGATACATTAACTGCTAATAATATTCGTTTTTTCATCGGGATAGATATCCCAACTAATCAGATGGCACAATTATATAACTCCGAAATTATATCCGGATTATATGGTTCAAGAGAAGATATAGTCATGGTGAATTTTGATTCACAATTCATAGAAGATTTTGTAGTATCGGACTTAGAGACTTTAAATACAAATTTACAAAATGATCCATTATTAGTATCATATCTATGGAATAATTCACAATTATTGAAAATGATGTCTGAACAACTAGCGAAAAATAATGATGACACTTCAAAGATTCTACATAGATATGTCAATATCTATAAGAGATGTAACAGTTTTACAGTGAACCACATTGAAAAATTTCAAACTTTCAATGATTTATTGACATTATTCCAAATGACAAACGCCGAAGGGAAAGTACTTGTCTTTAGTGATTCTACAACTAACGAAAATATGTTGACTTTACTAATATCGACTATGTTGAAGAGAGATACTTCAATGAAAGTTCAACAAGCATATCAATTCATAACGAGTCTCATGGATACTCCAGCTGACAATGTTAGAGTTGAAAGAATTTTTTTGTGTAGTGGTTTAACAAACTATGTTGAATCTGTAAAGAAATTTAACGCAATAAATGGAAGAAGACAATTGATTACAAACAATTATAACTCTGCTACTTCCCCATATGCTCAGGCCAACATGACTAAAAGATCTATGCGTTATACTGATTCTTCTAACATTGCTGCCTCCAATACTACAACTACTACTAATAATGACTATGCGGCACAGACAGCTACCGGTAAGAGAGCTCGTTCTGATTAATGATCTGCTATCACAATATATTCATTGCATCTGCACCACCAACATCCCCCTTATTAAATTGATATAAGATATCTATTTTTTCCTCTTGCGAAGGGGAAAGCCTCTCTTTTTTTTTTTTTTGATATATAAAAAAAAGGAAATGCTTCCTCTCCTAGATATATACATATATAAGCATACTAATATCTAATAATGAACTGTATTCTAATTAATATAAATAAACATATGTTTTTTTTAAAAGAACAATAATCTTAATTGATCAAATGTGACGTTATTTGATTATCGCAAATATTTATTAATGACATCTAACTGCACGTACATCGCGACAATTTAAAATTTTTTTCATTTCCCTTACCGTCCTGGAAAAGTTTGAAGAGCGACGAAAGAAAAAAAAAAGACAAAAAATTAATTTTAATGGTGAAAAATTCGATCCATCGATGCCACCTGAAAGTAATATTACTTATTAATTAACTATTTTAAGAAAGAAAGTTTTGATACATTTATTCATATTACGAGTGATCTTGGTTAATATATATTTACTTTGATAATTTGCTAAAGAGTGCAATACTATTGTTTGCGTGTGAAAGATGGCTAAGAAAAGTAAGAAGAACCAGGATAATTACTGGGATGAAGATTTTGAAGAGGATATGCCTCAAGGTGAAGAAGTAGGTGAAGCCACTACTACAGAAAACACTCCTGCTCCAGAAGATTCTAATGCTCCAACAGAAGCTGGTGCCGAGGATGTCGTTGAGGATTTCATGTCTGCTTTGAAGAGTTCCAAGAAGAAGCAAGCTAAGAAAGCTGAAGATGAAGAGAATAAACCAAAATTGAAATCTAAGAAGGAAAAGGAAAAGGAAAAGAAAGAGAAAGAAAAGCAAAAAAAGAAGGAACAAGCTGCAAAGAAGAAAGCTCAACAACAAGCTCAGAAGGAACAAAATAAGGAGTTGAACAAGAAGAACGCTGAAAAGCTTGCTGCTGAAAAAGCTGCTGAAAAACAAAAGAAAGATGATTCTCCAGCAGCAACTTCTGCTCCAAAGGCTAAGAAGGGTGGTAAGAAAGTTCCAGCTGGTTTAGCTGCTTTAAAGAAGCAACTGGAATTGAAGAAACAATTAGAGGAAGAAGATAGATTAGCTAGAGAAGAAGAAGAAAGACTAGAGAAAGAAGAAGAAGACAGACTGGCTAAGGAAGCCGAAAGCAAAGAACAAGAACAAGCTGCCAAGAGAGAAAGAGAAAAGGCCAAGAAAGATAGATTAAAGGCCGAAGGTAAACTATTAACCAGAAAGCAAAAGGAGGAGAAAAAGTTAATGGAAAGAAGACGTGCTGCTCTATTAGCCTCTGGTAACGTTAAAGTTGCTGGTTTGGAAAAGAAGGAAAATGGTGATGATTCCACTTCAAAGCCAAAGAAGGTTGTCTATGGTAAGAAGAAGAAGAGAACCACCGATAACGACGAAACTTCCACTAAGAGTGCTGCCACTGCAAAGAAGAGCGAAACTACCGTAAAGGCTGCTAACGAAGAAGAAGAAGTTTTGATCGATGATTGGGAAAACCTTGATCTAGGTGAAGATGAGGAAGAAGTTCCTGAAACTAATGAAGCTTCTCCAGAATCTACTACTGAAACTGAAGCTACTTCTGAACCTTCCGTATCTGTCACCAAGGGCAAGCCAGCTGAAAAAATTGAAGAGATTCCAAGAGCATCTGTATCCAAGACTAAAGAGAGTGACCTACGTTCTCCAATTTGTTGTATCTTGGGTCATGTCGATACTGGTAAGACTAAGTTATTAGATAAGATCAGACAAACTAACGTTCAGGGTGGTGAAGCCGGTGGTATTACCCAACAAATCGGTGCTACTTATTTCCCTATTGATGCTATTGAACAAAAAACTGCTACTATGACCAAGTATGAAAAACAAACTCTTGATGTCCCAGGTCTATTGGTTATCGATACCCCAGGTCACGAATCTTTCTCCAATTTACGTTCCAGAGGTTCCTCTTTGTGTAACATTGCCATTTTGGTCATTGATATCATGCATGGTCTAGAACAACAGACTATTGAATCTATTAGACTTTTGAGAGATAGAAAAGCTCCGTTCATTGTTGCATTAAACAAAATTGATAGATTATACGACTGGAAAGAAACTCCAAATAATAACTTCAGAGACTCTTTCGAGAGTCAATCTAGAGCTGTTAAGGATGAATTTGAAACTAGATTGAACTCTATTCAAATTGAATTGGCTGAACAAGGTTTGAACTCCGAATTGTACTTCAAGAACAAGAACATGGCTAAATACGTTTCCATTGTTCCAACTTCTGCTGTCACCGGTGAAGGTGTTCCCGATTTATTGTGGTTATTATTAGAATTGACCCAAAAGAGAATGTCTAAACAATTAATGTACCTATCTCATGTCGAAGCTACCGTCCTTGAAGTCAAGGTCGTCGAAGGTTTCGGTACCACTATTGATGTTATTCTATCTAATGGTTATCTAAGGGAAGGTGACAGAATTGTGCTGTGTGGTCTAAATGGTCCAATTGTTACAACCATCAGAGCCCTATTGACACCACAACCATTACGTGAATTACGTTTGAAATCTGAATATGTCCATCATAAAGAAGTCAAGGCAGCATTAGGTGTTAAAATCGCTGCTAACGATCTAGAAAAGGCCGTTTCTGGTTCTAGATTATTAGTTGTCGGACCAGAGGATGATGAAGAAGAACTTTGTGACGATGTTATGGACGATATTACTGGTCTCCTAGACTCCGTCGATACATCCGGTAAGGGTGTTGTTGTTCAAGCCTCCACTTTGGGTTCTCTAGAAGCTTTGCTGGATTTCTTGAAGGATATGAAGATTCCAGTTATGTCTATTGGTTTAGGTCCAGTATACAAGCGTGATATCATGAAGGCTAGTACTATGTTGGAAAAGGCTCCAGAATATGCTGTCATGCTATGTTTCGATGTTAAGGTCGACAAGGAAGCTGAACAATATGCTGAACAAGAAGGTATTAAGATCTTCAACGCTGATATTATCTACCATTTATTCGATGCCTTTACTGCTTACCAAGAAAAACTATTGGAACAACGTCGTCATGATTTCCTAGATTTCGCTATTTTCCCATGTGTTCTGCAAACCCTACAAATCATTAACAAGCGTGGTCCAATGATCATTGGTGTTGACGTTCTCGAAGGTACGCTGAAGGTTGGTACTCCAATTTGTGCTGTAAGATTTGATCCTCAAACCAAGGAAAGAAATATTCTTGTATTAGGTAAAGTTATATCTCTAGAAATTAACCATCAACCTGCAACCGAGGTTAAGAAGGGTCAAACAGCTGCTGGTGTTGCTGTCCGTTTGGAAGACCCATCTGGTCAACAACCTATCTGGGGTAGACATGTTGACGAGAGTGATACATTGTACTCTATGATTTCTAGAAGATCCATTGATACATTGAAGGATCCAGCATTCAGAGATCAAGTTCAAAGATCCGACTGGCTATTAATCAAGAAATTGAAGCCAGTTTTCGGTATTGAATGATCAAAAAATTCTAATGAGGAACATATTCTATCAATAAACTGCGGTAGAAAAAAATAATAATTCATTTTTACAACGTATATAACTCCCACCTTTGTCTTTTATAACATGTATATTGGTTTTAATTTGTATATCTAATTTTAACACATTGGTCTTTTAAGCAAAAAACGATACGGATATTATTCAAATAACATTTCTTCAATAACTATATACTGTTTCACAAATGTATACACACAATAACGATAATTATATATTTCAATCTTGTATGATATGAATATCAAAATGAGTATTAGAAGGTTGTTCAACCCCATCTTTTAAAGTTAGTTCTGGAATCTTGTAATCACCGAAGTTTTGCTTCCTGTAACTAATGGGCTTAATCTCTGTAATGTTATCCATGCGTTCCAAGACTTCTTTTTCTGCTTGCATGTATACTTCAGTACTCTCTGAATCTACTCTAAATATAACAACTGGTGGTAAGACGGTAAATCCTGGATAAAACAACATCCCATGATTAATTGGGAAAAGTATATCATTAATGTCACCATTGATTCCCCTTTCAGAAAAATGTTGTTCCCTGCCACCTGCGGTAATTATACAAAATGCACGTTTACCAGCCATTACACCCTCACCATATCTATCACCAGCTCTTTTTTGATTATGTTCGCCAATATTGTAAGCATACCCACTTGTAAACACTCTGTCAAACCATCCTTTCAAGATTGCGGGCATTGTGAACCACCATAATGGGAATTGGAAAATTACAACATCAGCCCAATTCAATTTTTCTTGTTCAGTGAGAACGTCTTCAGTTAATTGATCATCTTCATAGGCTTTTGTAGAACTTAAAACGACTTTCAATCTGGTACCCTTTTCATGGTTCAAGAAATCGTCCTCATCAACAATACCTTTCCATTTCATACGATATAAATCACTAACTTTTACTGTATGCCCATTTTCTTCCAAACGTCTGATAGCAGCATTCAATAAAGAGTAGTTAAATGACCTTTTATCTGGATGTGCAAAAACAAAGAGTATCTTCATCGTTTAGATATAGTGAATTTGAAGTGCTAAATGCAATTGATTAAAACACTAGGAATCTGAATGAGCATAGTTTTACTTGTTGACTAGAACTAAACGATGTAAGAACATCTATTTATATAAATTCTTGGTTTTGTCCTAAATACGCAATCTTCAATTTTCACAATTATCTTCTCAAAATCGAGCAAAATAACAACAATTCCCTCTTCTGATAATCCCTTGAAGTCGCCATTATTACTAATCACGTACTGAATACAGTTGCGTAATTACTGATCTAAGTTAGAATTTACCGGCGCAGTACTCTTCTACCGGCTTTCTTAGTGAAATGAACTAAAGAAATATCAAGAGCGTTCTTAGGTAGAAAGTTCTTCAACACTATGACTTTACGTCATAAAATCATATTACTATTTTTGAGATGGCACTAGTACAGTCGCTACCACCACATCTGAGCACATATATACCAATGAAAACTATATGAAACCGGAATATAGAACACTGGACTATTTATTTAAAAGAGGATTTAACTTTTAGCCTTACCTTTTGATTAAGAATTTATTATAAAATAGGATATAAAGAAATATAGAAACAATAATAGTTGAATAACTTAGTCTTTCTTGATATGAATATCAAAATGAGTTTGACCTGGTTGTTCCAAACCTTCCTTCAAAGTCATCTCTGGAATATTGTAATCACCGAAGTTTTGCTTCCTGTAATTAATGGGCTCAACGGTAGATAGGTTATCCATACGTTCCAAAACGGCCTTTTCAGCATTGGCATAAACTTCTTCACGTTTTGAATCAGTTCTGTATGTAACAACAGGAGGTAAAACTGTGAAACCTGGATAGAATAACATACCGTGATTAATTGGGAACAAGATGTCATCAATTGAACCATTGATACCCCTTTTAGAGTAATGGTCGTTGCTACCACCGGTAGTGACCATACAGAAAGCACGTTTACCTTCCATGGTACCTTCACCATATCTATCACCGTAGTGGGTTTCGTCATGAACACCAACACCGTAGGCAAAACCACAAGCGAAGACTCTATCGAACCAACCCTTTAAGATAGCTGGCATACTGAACCACCAGACGGGGAATTGGAAAATAACAGTGTCAGCCCATTTCAATTTTTCTTGTTCTTCAACGACATCATCAGTCAATTTGTTTCCAGCATTAGCAATGAAAGAGGCTTCAGCAACTTTTAATCTAGAACCTTTTTCATGGTTTAGGAAATCCTCTTCATCGACATTACTCTTCCAGTTCATATTGTATAAGTCACTGACTTTGACCTCGTTACCTTGAGCCTCTAGATGTTTGACAGCAGCATCCAAAAGAGAATGGTTGAATGAGGTTTTTTCTGGGTGAGCGAAAACGAATAGAACTTTCATTGTGTATATTTGTGTTTTTTTGAGTTAAGAATAATATTAGTTGAATTTAAACTTCAATTGTTTTGATACTATTGATGTTATTAGTTTGTTGATATTTTTCTATTATAATTGAACAAAAAAATATTAAAATAACAAACCTCGAAAAAAATTGTTAATCTGGTGGGAAACATCTTCCCTATTTATATGAAATAAAATCAAATAGTGTTAATCACCAATCTTTAATTGATTTACGATGACTTTAAATTGATTTCATAGAGAGGGACATGATTTGTAATTATTTAATCTTAATATATTATGCAATGTTTCTTTTCCCAGTAAAAACTGTTCCGTCGCTTACTTAATATGTTATATAGTGACTGTACGGCAATTTCTTGAGATCAGTTGATTTTTGTTCGATAACGGAAGGAAGAACTGAGAGCCGAGCCGAACCGCTCCGTTATTGCTTTCCCAATTAGAAGGGGAAAAAACATGAGATTTCACAGTCTTAATTAGCGTTTTAACACAAGTGAACTATATTAATGATGACGTTGCATTTGTTATTTACATAAAGTTCAATAAGCTTTAAACATGAGTTTGTTTATTTTGACACAGGAAGACTCCCATACAGTTATCAAAATGCTTATCAACATCAGTTGATTCAATGATCAGGTTGGTATTAATCTTTCCTCTTTAGGAGCCTTACGTATAGCGGCGTTACAAATTCTCAATAGTCACTCCACATCTTATGAATGAATTTGTAAGAATTAGCCAAACACAAACGTATTACAATTGATATTCATTACTTGATGACCTTTTTAAGGACATGCAGGTTGCTGAGCCACCCTTTTACATATATAGCTGATATATACGTAAGAATTGAGTTCAGAGCTATTATTTTTATTGCACTGTATATCTCAAAAACTTTTTTGCGATCATGTGATAGTCACATGACCAACAATTGTTGAAAAAAAATTTTTCTTTTTCGATGCAAGTTGCGAAATTTCATAATTCAAGCTGATGAGCAATGGTAACTTGAATGTCATCGCATCAGTCTTATATTTGATATGAACTAAAGTTCTAGTACTTGAATTGTAATTAAATAGCATATTAAATGTCACTATTTGAGTGTTTGCACTACTTTTTTAAACTTAGACAGAAACGACAACCATTGCATTTTGAATATAACTTATTATATCATGTCTCAAGTTAAAAGATCAGCTGAGGACATCGCTGTAGCTAAATTCATCAAGAAACATAAGAAACAAATCAAGAACCCTGTCGAAGATGGTGTTTCCAATTGCATAACCCGTGTTCCTATTACACTATACCTATCCTTGGCTCCAATATATTTACAGAACCCTGAACAAGGTATCATGAAACAACATCTAAATCCAATGGTCATGAAATACAATAATAAAGTCAACGGTATAATTTTAGGATACGATAACCTTGAAATAGTGGACGCTAATCCACTTGCAGAGGAATCATCCAGCACGACCAAACTTTTGAAAATTACTCCTGATACACCATATTCTTTCACCTGGTGTACAGTTGAACTTTTTGTCTGGCAACCACAAGTTGGCGATATCCTTGAAGGTTATGTATTCATCCAATCCGCCTCTCATATTGGTTTATTAATCCATGATGCCTTCAATGCTAGTATCAAGAAGAACAATATACCATCTGATTGGACTTTTATTCGTAATGAAGAACAAGTCACCGAGGATACTGAAAATCAAGATGAATCAAATACTGAAAATCAACCAAAGGTACATAAACCTCATTCTATGGGTTACTGGGTCGATGCAAATGGTGAACAAATTGATGGTAAATTACAATTTACTGTAAGGAATATATTCACTACAGGTAGAGTTGTATCTGTGGAGGGTACTCTTCTGGAGGACAGTTTTATGGAAAACAATGCCCATCGTTCTCAAGTTGCTAATTTACCAGTTGTATCAAACAAAAAGATCGTTTTCGATGAAGAAGTTGAATCTGAAAACAAAGAAAGTCACAAAGAGTTAGAGTTGCCGGAAGTCAAAGAAAATGATGGTTCTGAGATTGTTTATGAAGAAAATACAAGTTCTAGTGACGATAGCAGTGACAGTGATAGCGATTGAGAACAACAATAACAAAAAAATCAACAGCAACTACAACAATATCAACCTTCAATCCTTTCCATTTTGTCATATTTAAATAATAACCGTACTGTATCATAGATTTATATAGATTTTTTCTTTAATAAATTCAATTAAGTATATATATATTTTTCTTAATTTGAATTTATCAAGTGTTGCGATACTTGAACAAATAAAATTAATTATAGATTATCCGATATATATAAAATGAATATTAAAAAAAAAATATAAGAATTATAAACAATGACATGTGAGAGTTAATAAATTCTCTTTCCCGTTCATAAAAATTTCGAAAAATTCTTATCTTTTAACCAACCTACGTTTTCAAATGCTGCGAATAACCTTGATGCTTTGTTAACATCAATTCTACAAGCCTTTTGAGCGTCTGTCCTTCTAAATGGTAAACCTTTCTTTAATCGATAGACCTTCTCTAAAAAGAAACGCCTCTTTGAGTCCAGATAAAGATCACAAGGTAATCGTAAAACCTGTGCAAGAATCAATTCTGCAGGATGCAGTTGATCCTTCAATGGGTCATGAGATAAATCCATTGGTGAACCTTTCCATTCAATTTTAAGACATTTCATATTTCCTTCAGGAAGGGTATCAACAGATGGAGCATAATCTGGTAACTTTTCCCATGACATATTAGGTGTATAGTTAGAGTTTCCAACAAGGACTGTGGCAGAGGCTAACGGCGAAGATAACTGTAATCGAGGTTTTTTACGCAGAGGAGTCCTTGGCTTGGTGACTGTTGGTTCTACAAAAAGATCTCTCTTAACATGATCAATAGAAGAATCTTCAGAAACAGAATATTCTTTAGCGACTACACGTCTTGTTCTATATTTTCTTTCAATATCTGAATTGAGATGGTTTCTATTAGCCTTTCTAAATTTATTCACATTCGAATGAGTTATTGTTGCAACTTTAGTAGGGCTCTCTAATTTGAACATCTTATAACCTTGTAAAAAATTATTTATGGATTGACAATAACGACTAGTAGTTTGAGTTTCTTGCCAACTTGGTAAAACTTTAATATTTTCTTCTATTGTACTAATTGGTTTCTGACATTTCAATTGTGGAGATTGAGGTGGAGAAGGAATCGATCGGTCATCCATGATACCGTCTATATAATTGTTAGAAATACCACTACCAGTACCATTGGAACTGCTGCTTCCTTCATGAAAATGAGAAAAACGATTACTGTTTGAAATATCTTGCGATGCCCATTGAACTCTACTATTCAAAGAAATTAATAATGCATCAGCTTTAGATCTTGAGTTAAAATCCTGGTTCAATTCCAAATGTTCGGGTCTAGGCGAGTTTGATTCCATGTTTGTTTTTAATAATATTCTATTGATTGCCTTATTTATCAAAAAGTCCGAATTTAAATAATACGTTAATCAATTGAAGATGTAAAATTAATTTAACTTCAATTCTAATCAACTAATTATAAATGTACGTATACATATAAAGCAAGAAACCATATCAATTAACAAACAAAAAGGTAACCACTATTTTCTAAAGATAAAAAATGGGTAAAATTTGCTTATATACTTTTGATTCACATTACTTATTGGAAAGAAAAGAAAGAACGAAAAAAAAAAATTAACAAACAATAAAAAATATTAAGAATAACAAAGGGCATCACCACACGCCATTCGAAATTATTTATTTGCTATACATTAACTTTGCTATAATGGCTCATCTCATTTAATCCTTACCATGAATAAGCGTCAGAAACGTCAGAAGTGCAAGAGTATCATCATCATCATATTGTAATTTTCTTCAAAGAATTTAGTATTGTTAATTATTCTATTGGTTTGCGGTAAGTCATTTCTTCCAGTAATGCTGAAATAATCAAAAAAGAAATAGATTGTGATGAGCATGATTGTAATGTCTGGGTGCGCATGCTATGTGCATCTTGTCACCCTTCATACAGAAAATAGCGCAGAAAAGTGTAACCAAAAAAGAAACGAGAGCTGCAGCAGCTAGGTGAAAGTAAAAAAAAAGAAATAAGAAAAGCAATTCTCGGAATTTTCTATACTCAGAAAGGCTCGCAGAACTGGTATGTTTTTTATCCGGGGGGAGAAGGGCTTGAATGGGAAGAAGGACAGAAAACTACAAAGAAATGATGCAGCATATCAAAAATGAGAAGAGAAAACTATTTAATTTGGTGTTGCAGTAGTTTCTGAGAGGAAGCATAGGGCAGGAAATCTCTTAAGGTTTTTCGTGCTCTATCATATATCCGCAAACGGCAATAGCATTAATTTCTTTTTATTGTTATTTTTTATATGGACAGCAATATTTACATCGAGCGAATATTCAATAACTGAATAATCCAATTCAAGAGGTCAAACCAAGGACAAACTATGATGGATCTTTTTCTGGAGATCTGGGGGTCATACGCAAAATAAAGTAGAACTCACAGTAGGAAAGTCAAAAAGAAAAACGATACTGAAGCTAGGTTAAACTAATGGATTGGCGGGGTTGTATGCAACGTCGAAAAAATCTTTAATCAGATCATCAATCTCATTACTTAAGGAGAAATCGTGTGTATAGTTTGTATTGACTTGGTTGACTACTTGAGTATCTAAGGGGATCTCATTATCTACTTCGGCACCTTGAAGTCTCTTTGGAAGTAAATATTCGGGATACATGTTGTTAAAGAATATATCACTGAAATACTCAACTAGTCTTGTCCACGTGCTATGCATAGCTTGACTCTTCGCATCCTTTAATTCAAGTAATTTCTTTAAACAGTTGATAACCAATAGACATGCATATAATTGGAATAAAGTAGATCTCTCGAAGTTACCAAATTTATTCTTAAAGTTATCGAATAATGTCTTTAAATCTGCAATGATTTCAATGACCACAGTCTTGGACTCTAACGAATCCTCTATAAATGGTTTGTTGAAAGTTAATCTGACAATATAATAGTAATACCAGAAATATGAAATTGTAGGGTCAATTGACACATCTGGATCCTTAATAAGCTCCTTCGACCACTGTAAAAACTCCGGCAATGATTGTCTCCAATTGTAAACCTGTGTATTAAATTTATCTAGATATCGTATCTTAGAATTAGTATCATCACTCTCAATAAATATCTTGCTTGTAAAAATTTGAACAATTCTTGATAAAATAATAAGATTCTTTAGTGGTAATGAAACTTGTAGAACATGTTTCCCTACAAATCTAAACTCTTCCGTACCAACAACTTCAGGTAATTCATTAGACTCAGGGATAGTAGAATTACTAACACTCAGGGATGCAGTTCTACCCAACATCAACGAAATGAAATGATCTGCGATATAACAACCCCAATAAATACGAGAGCGAATTTCAAGTTCACTCGTCGTTAAATGACCTTTCGTGTCATCAGTATACCAAACTTTTGGATCTAATTGGAATCCCATATCGTAACCTACTCTAATAGCAAGACCTGAAAAATACCACGCCTGTTGATTTTGACCTTTACCTAATTCATAAAAAGCTAAACAAAATAATGCTTGCACAGTGGTTATCCGTGCAATACTATTTTCATCGAAAACTAATGCTAATAACATTGATTTACTCTTCTCATAATATACCTCCGACATATTTTGTAAGTCAGGAGCTAACCTGCAACCAACTGCACACATGGCATATATTAATTCAATAGAACAATAATGAGAGCTAGCATAATTATCCTTAGCATCGTTGAAGAACCCATATAGAAAACTCTCTCTATGAACAAATATAAAGTGACCAGGATACAGCCATCTATAGAACTTAGAAAGAGCTTTTAGAATCAATGGGTCACTGTTTATGAGGTTGGCATGAGTCGGATCAGAAGGTCTCTTAATTATTGTAGTCTTCAAATCCGATATACGTTGTTTATTTAGTCTATTTGTTTCTTCAATATCTCGTGAATGGGATGATGCAGATCCATCTGAAGACACAAGAGAATTTACAGATGTTAAGGATGACACAGATATTGGTTTAGTTGGCCTATAAGTTACAGGACCTTCTGGATAGAAACTGCCTTTCACTAAAGGTTTTCTCCTCGATAGATCAACGGTACTATTACCATTTCGAAAGAGTAAAGGTGGTAACGAAGTTTTCATATCGACGAGAGAGGGTAATTTTATGGATTTCTTTTCTATTTTGGGTAGCATATGTTGATGCTGGTTAACTTGAGAATCACCGCGGACACCAAATGATACGAGAGGTGAGGTTACCTCCTCACTATGATTGATTTTAGTAGCGTCTTTAGATAATTCGTTTGCTACATCTCCAGATAATACGTCATTAACCATCATGCTACGTAACATTTGTTCATTATCCGGATATACTTTCTCGACTAGTTTCTTTAAGTTGGTTTCCAATGTCGCAATGTGAGTCTCTAACGATTTAACATATCCTGAAGTATATCTTTTCTTTCTTAAGTCTTCTTCATTAACGTTACATTCTATTTTCAAACGTGAACAACTACTGCATGGAAAGCCAAGGTCACATTTCTTTCGTCTTCTTCTGCAGTTTGTGCACGCTAATCTCTTCTTTCCAGATGAACCCATCTCAACAGGTCTAACATAATTATTATCCATATTACTGCTGGTTCCTGTTCCTGTTTGTGAGTTGCCTCGGCTTCCTTTTGTTTGTTGAGTCATATATCCGGCGTATATTCGAAGTATTTAATTCTAATCTCTAATATCAGTCTCCGGGTTATAGCAGTATCAAGTTTTGTACTATCGTAGTCACTGTCCTCTAATTTGAAAAAATAGAACCTGGAGTCACTTGTGCTATTCCTTGTTCCTCAATAACAGGTTTGTTGTTCTTGATGCTCAAAGTCCAACTTTTATCGATGACCTTTAGAAAAATTTATGTAAACACAACTGACTCGCCGCGGCGGAAATAAAAATTTTGTCTAACAATCATAGTCGTGTTCCTACTATTTCTAATACTGAAAATGATAGATTATGCTTGTGGCAATATATATCTATGAACGAATACCTAGTCTATATATTGGACCCAGTATATAACAATTATAACGTAATGCACTATTTAGTTTTGCAATTATCTGATCACAACTCGTCATGTTCTATTAGTTGATCATCCTCCATAGCGATATCATATGCTTCTTCTTGGAAAATAACAGAATGCTTAGTATTCAATTCTTCTCTTGATTTTTCGAGCTTTGGTAGCCAATCTATTATATATTTATCATGTTCCTGTAAATTAATTTCCGCTTTTGTCTTCAGCATTCCTAAAGGAACTTCAATTTGCAAATTATTTATCAAATCTTGGTCTATATTCAACAGTGAATTTATGTCAGTCGAGAGTCTTTGATAATGGAGTCTGAGCTTATCACCCGCATGTAATTCTCTGACACGGTTCAAATTAATTATAAATCCTGGTTCGACAGAGTAAAACGAAAGTCCATTATCCTCTAGCATTTTTTTCCAATAGCCTTCATTCCAATAACCACCTCCTTTCATTTTGAATAAGCTAAACGATGCCCTACTATTTTTAGTTTCTTCCAAAAGTTTAACAGGGTCCAAGAGAGGCGTAGTAGGTGACATGTAGACAACATGATCAATATTTTTCGGAAATAAAACATCAACAAATAGCAACTTTGACACTGCTATTTTTCTATTACGGAATCTCTGTGGTCTTAACCAATTAGGCCATTCGTATTTTAGTAAGTTAATATGAGCACCCAATTCAGAACTATTTTCGTTAAAATTTGCAATAAAATCTTTGAATGATCTAGAAAGGAAAGGAGAATCAAGAACCCAAAATGTGGTTTTTTTCTCGGTCTTTGAATAATCAATTCTAGATAGTATACCTAAAATCATTTTTTTGAATGGTTCTTCTTCACCATTATTCATCAACACTGTGAAAATGTTGATGCTACTTTCATTATCAGTATCTGTAGTTGTTTCACTCAATTTTCTGACTTTAACAAATAACTTGTGTGGCGAAAAATCTAAAACATTAAAGGTTGGTGTGGTCTTAAAATCAGAGGAACCGTATGACGATATACCAATGATTTCATAATCAGTGCTATCATGACCTATCCTAACAGTAAAGTTTTTTCCTAAGTTTGCCAAATGGAATTGACCGTAACCAAATGTTTGCATTGTTATTGTGTGGTCAATAACATCACCACTCGAGCTAACAAGTTCCAAAGATACTCCGCCAACGCCGTCGACGGTACCCTCTGAAATTGAATCCTTTTCACCAAATACGTGAATATCCAGTAATATATCCTGGATATCGTTTGTTTCTGTCAGGGTGAAAATTCTAGGAGCATCTACATCAACATCGAACAATTTCGATATTTTATCATCAATTAATTCATGGTCGACAGGATCAGTAATGTACACTCTTTCGATAGGAGTGATTGTCAACTTTTCGGTTGGGAATAATACAATCTTTATTCTAACAAAGTTAAAATGTTCGAACCTAGACAACAAATTAATTAATTTCTGGGACCTTTCCTCTAACGGATCAACTACTAGTAAAAGTTCAATAACATCGGTGTTACTATAAGGACTACCAAATATAGTGAAATCGTTTTCCTTGAAGAAATGTGCTAGGTCCATTCGAGGTAGGATTGTCTCCGTAGTATACTCAATCCCATAGTCACCAAGCTGTTTGGAATGGTAGTACATTTTGGTTAAAATAGATGATATAATTTCTACAGCGTCGGAACTTATTGGTGAATTTGAAAAAGATGGAAATACCTTTTCTAAGGATGCAATGGAATCAAGAGTTCTCACAGCCTCCTTTTGTATTAGATCATCGAATTCCCTTTTAGATATAATTTCGCCCTCTTCAAATTGAATAAACCTACCGTTAAGAACAAAAAAGGACTGTCTTTCAAGGTATAAGGTCGGAATTTGTGGTAGCCATCTTTTTAAAGTATTAGAATCGATATTACGCAAAATTTTTGATTCAGAGTGCGAAGACTTCTTATCTGTTTTAGTCATTGCTATCTTTTTCAGTAGTTTCAAGACATGTTCTCTTGAATCTAATTTTTTAAGATTTTTCCATTGGGCAGATTTAATATCACCTGTATGGATTAATCTAACTCTTACCCCTTTAAACTTTGTTTTTAGCAGATTATATACTCTGCGAATAGTGTCATTTAAATCAAAATCATCAACAACTGTTATGGTGTGCAATACGTTGTAATTATGGTCAAAAGTATATGTAATTACTCTATCTTGTTCAATCTCTGATAACGCCTCTAAAACTTCAGAGGAATATAACGCATCCGCATAATATTCTGGCATATATTTCAGGTGCCTGCTACTTGCAGACTTGAGGTGTAGAATACCTCTCACATCAACAAACCCAGAACTGCTCTTATCTTGTCTTGACGATTGAGCATTTAATTGTTGTCTAATAAAATCTGCATCCTTTTTCACAACATTGGATATTAAATAATTCCACGTATTTCTTCTAAAAGGATATACCTCACCATTAACAATTAAACTTGTTTCATATATTTGTAAGTCACGAACTTGCTTGGCATAATTAGGCATTTTCATAACAGAAGCCAAGGTAGGATCCTTGAACTTCAAATTTGTTCCTTTTTCTTGTAACATTTCCAAGAATTTTGATAACTCCTCAATATCGTATCTTTTCAAATCATAGATCTTATTGATAATTTTGGCAGTTTCACTTTCATCCTCCTGTGTATTCATCGAGGTTGCTCTGAAATTATTTTCAGAATTGAATGGCAACAAACCAATTCTCTGAGGGTAGCCTTGATCTACAATTGTAAGTGCACGATTTAGTCCTGCAAGTGCAGCTTTATTATTAGGATCGTCAAGTTTATTAAAATCAATCACAAATATAACTTCATTCCAATTCTGTTTATATTCAGGCAACTCACCAAATGTTGACTTCTCAAAGAAGACTGAGACATCTTCACTCAATTCACTATATTGCTTATCACTAGAAATATCATTAAAATATATTACTGTATCTGAAAACCCAGGTATTCTATGCAAATCAATTTTGATAGGTTGTGATGCTTGTAAATGAGGTAACGAGATGGTTGAAAACTCATTTAGAAGAGCTCTAGAATTCTTCATTGGGTATTTTGAATCAATAGATTCTACTACTTGTGATAATTTTTGTAGACTATTATATTCCTTATCAATCATATTCAGCAGAGTGTATTCATTCAGAGTAGAAAGTTTTAAATGCTGACCATTTAGAAACAGTCCCAAGAGATTGTAGTCAATACCTCTCTTAGCCAGAATTTTGTTATATGAGAGTATTTTTTCTTCTTCTTTGGGATGCAAATCCATTTCTACAAGTTGTGACACATACAATGGGAAATTATTTATGATTGAACTAGCATATGACAATACATCGGATACATTCTTAGTATTATAATAATGATTTGCAATTAATGAAGTGACTTTTAAATCTAATTTTTCCAAATCTTTCTTGGATAGATGTAATAATTTACCACCAGGGGTAATGAAATCGTTAGGTGTATCCAATGGGAAATGGGGATTGGTTAATAGGAGTGATAAATCTGAGTTATCTGTTAGGGATAAAGATAATGGGAACTCATTATTTAATTTTGCTGGAGTATTCAATTTACAAGTAGCTCTCCAAAGAAATCTAAATTTCCCATCACCTTGAACTGCTTCAGCATATAGATTTCTATGGAAATCCTCAAACTGGTCATCAGCTGGACAACCATAGAAAATTATTAAGGGAGCATCCTTCTTGGTACCTATAACTAATTCAGAGGGAGATACAACCATATACTTATCAGGAATATTTGCTTGTTTGGTTAATTCCTTTGATTTTAGATAGAAGACATCATCAGGCTTATTATAACTTTTACCGTTTAACATGAAATAACTGGAACCATCTAAGTTTGTTGTTAACGAAGATGTCGAGGATTCTGTTGTGATGCCCATAGGATACAAATTGTAATACATTTCGAACATATTAGCTAAATCATTTTTCTTATACATTATGCTTAGTAACTTTGAAATCGCTATATTTGTAGGCAATTCATCGATCTCTAATCCCAAGGCAAATGCATCATCAACTAGATCTAGAGAGTCCAAACCTGTCACGAATGGGTATAATTCATTAAATATACTCAATTTGGAGTCATCGAATCGTAGTACATGTTTCAATGCCGACAATATCCTTAGGGAATCAGGAATACCATACTTATTTGATAAGGTAATACCGTTTACTAATGAAAGTGATATAACAATATAAAACCAAAACATTATGGCAGTCATACCCTTGAATAGAGCATTCATAATTGAAATGATGTTATTGGTATTTTTACCGTTTCAAACCTCTGTTTCTCTATTCAGAATAGCTTGTACTTTCGTTATAGGAAATATAAAATTTCATTTCTTACTTAATATGTTTTACATACATAAGTTCTTGAAGCGGCCCTTATTATTAATCCCATTAGATTACTTCATTAAGTAAATAAATTATAAAGAAAACTTATAAAATCAACAAAATTAAGAATATTAGTTCTGGTCCATATAAATATGACGAAACTACAAACTAGATCCTTAGATTTAGGAAATGTCGATGCAATCTTAACAAGGGTCCAACAAAGCACTTACAGAAAACTTTAAAAGTAAAAAATAAAAGTATATTGACTACGAGTTTACTCACACAATTAAATTATTGCTCAAACACTTATAAATATCACAAAAGATCTCGAAATAGTCTTTATTTATCTTAATGGCTCTATATGCTCTTACTTATTAAACCATTTATTCCTATGGACAGATGAAACAGAAGGCAATATATGGGTTCGTGTCTAGTGATGCACTCGTCTAAGATGACTTTTTATATAATAAATTCCTTTTTGACAGCAAAAAATTTGAAAAAAAAAATAAAAATTGAGCGCATCGCGTCGGGTTTTTTTTGCTTTTTGCCAGTGATGAGTTCTTTGGTAACAGTAATCTCTGAAAAATTTAGTTCATCAAATTTCCAAATCAAGTGGTTGCAGAGAGCACTATTAACAATTACTTTGCTTACTGAGCTATCTTCTTCACTTCTATCTTTGTTTGCTTTTCTAACTTTTCTTTTTATTGTGCAGGCATATCTACTTTCTATTCCAGCGATCTGTATTCTATCGTGTTTTCTGTCTCTGTATCTTTTTAGTAATACTTTTCTTTCTTTTAAGTTAGATATACAGTTTTTATTTTATTAATATTTAAGTTTAAAAAATTTATTATTTAAGAAACTTATTCATAATAACGATATATTTTCTTTCTTTCCTTTCAAGACGATTCTACAACAGTTGTTTAAGAGGTCAGATATCTCGTCCATTCACAGATTTAAGACAGTTTTCTCTACTAGACACACATATACCATGTCTTCATCTCTAGGTGACAAACAAAAGTGGACCGCTACTAACGTCCGTAACACTTTCTTAGACTATTTCAAGTCTAAAGACCATAAGTTTGTTGCTTCTTCTCCAGTGGTTCCATTCGATGATCCAACTTTATTGTTTGCCAACGCTGGTATGAACCAATATAAACCAATCTTTCTAGGTACTGTCGATCCATCTTCCGATTTTTACACTTTGAAACGTGCTTACAATTCACAAAAATGTATTAGAGCCGGTGGTAAACATAACGATTTAGAAGATGTCGGTAAAGATTCTTACCATCATACTTTCTTTGAAATGTTGGGTAATTGGTCCTTCGGTGACTATTTCAAGGCTGAAGCTGTCGATTTTGCTTGGACTCTTCTAACTGAAGTCTATGGTATTCCAAAGGATAGACTATATGTTACCTATTTCGAAGGTGATGCCAAGCAAGGTCTTGAACCAGATATCGAAGCTCTAGAATTATGGAAGAATGCTGGTGTACCAGAAGACCATATCCTACCAGGTAACGCTAAGGATAACTTCTGGGAAATGGGTGACCAAGGTCCATGTGGTCCATGTTCTGAAATCCATTACGACAGAATTGGTGGCAGAAACGCCTCTTCTTTGGTTAACCAAGATGACCCAGATGTGTTAGAAGTATGGAATCTGGTTTTCATGCAATACAATAGAGAAGCAGATGGTTCTCTAAAATCTTTACCATCTAAGCATATCGATACAGGTATGGGTTTCGAAAGACTGGTTTCTGTTCTACAAGATGTTAGATCTAATTATGATACTGATGTTTTCCAACCTTTGTTTACCAGAATTCAAGAGATCACTCAAGTGAGACCATACCAAGGTAAGTTTGGTGAAGAGGATACCGATAACATTGATACTGCTTACAGAGTGTTAGCTGATCATGTGCGTACTTTGACATTCGCTTTATCCGATGGTGGTGTTCCAAACAATGAAGGTAGAGGTTACGTCTTAAGACGTATTCTAAGAAGAGGTGCTCGTTACGCTCGTAAATACATGAACTACCCAATCGGTAACTTTTTCTCCACTTTGGCTCCAACATTGATCGATCAAGTTAAGGATATATTCCCAGAGGTCTCTAAGGACCCATCTTTCTTATTCGAAATTTTAGATGAAGAAGAAGCTTCTTTTGCTAAGACTCTAGATCGTGGTGAAAGACTATTCGAAAAATACGCCAAGGCTGCTGCTGAAACTGAAAGTAAGACTCTAGATGGTAAGCAAGTTTGGAGATTATATGACACTTACGGTTTCCCAGTGGATTTAACCGAATTGATGGCTGAAGAACAAGGTCTAAAGATCGATTCTGTCGGTTTTGAAAAGGCAAAGCAAGAATCCTACGAGGCCTCCAAGAGAGGTGGTAAGAAGGGTAACGATGATTTGATTAAGTTGAACGTCCATGAATTGAACGAGCTGAACCAAAACAACGTCGCTAAGACTGATGACCATTTCAAGTACGGTTTCGACGATGTTGAAAGTAAAATCTTGAAGCTACATGATGGTGAGAAGTTTGTCAATGAAATCACTGAATCTGGTAAGAAGTATGGTGTCCTTCTAGACAAGACATGTTTCTATGCTGAACAAGGTGGTCAAGAATATGATACTGGTAAGATTGTTATTGATGATGTTGCTGAATTCAATGTCGATAACGTCCAACTATACAACGGTTTCGTCTTCCATACAGGTACTCTAGAGGAAGGTAAACTATCTGTCGGTGACTCCATCATTGCCTCTTATGACGAACTACGTCGTTTCCCAATTAAGAACAATCACACAGGTACTCATATCTTGAACTTTGCTCTAAAAGATGTTCTAGGTAACGATGTCGACCAAAAGGGTTCCCTTGTTGCTCCAGAAAAGCTTAGATTTGATTTCTCTCACAAAAAGGCTCTCTCTATGGACGAACTACGTAAGGTTGAAGAAATCTGTAACCAACAAATTAAGGACAACTTACCAGTTTACTACAAGGATGTTCCATTAGAATTAGCTAAGTCTATTTCTTCTGTTCGTGCTGTTTTCGGTGAAACTTACCCAGATCCAGTTCGTGTTGTCTCTATTGGTAAACCAGTTGATGACTTATTGAAGGACCCAACTAATGCTGAATGGGAAAACTTCTCCGTTGAATTCTGTGGTGGTACCCACGTTTCCAAGACTTCCGATATTAAATACTACATCATCTTAGAAGAAAATGGTATTGCTAAGGGTATCAGAAGAATTGTTGCAGTTACTGGTTCTGAAGCTTTCGAAGCTCAAAGAATTGCTGATGAATTTGATGCTGAATTAATTGCTGCCGAGAAGCTACCATTCTCTCCTCTAAAGGAAAAGAAGCTAAAGGAATTAGGTGTTAGATTAGGTCAATTGTCTATTTCTGTTATCTCAAAGCATGAATTAAAGGAAAAGTTTACTAAGATTGAAAAAGTCGTTAAGGATGAAGTTAAGACCAGAGCTAAGGCTGAAACAAAACAAACTTTAGATGAAGTTAAGGCTTATTTCACCGAAAACCCAGAGGCTAAGTACTTCGTCAAATTTATCGATATCCCAACTAACGCAAAGGCCATTACAGAAGCCGTCAATTACATGAAGACTTCCGCTAAGGACAAATCTATGTATCTATTCACAGGTAACGATCCAGAAGGTAGATTGGCTCATGGTTGTTACATTTCTGACGATGCTTTGACCACTGGTGTCGAAGGTCCAGCTTTAGCTAAGGAGGTTTCTAATATCATTGGTGGTAAGGCTGGTGGTAAGGGTAATGTCTTCCAAGGTATGGGTGATAAACCAACAGAGGTTAATAAGGCTGTTGAAGAAGTCACAAAGCTGTTGAGTGAAAAGTTATGATTAGATAACTTTTCAATATCCTTTCATTAAATTCGCTTGTATAATTTTATTTAACTTAATGTATATGTATTTAGAGCATCTTATGATGTATTAATAGATTCAAGGAACTATGCTCTTAAAATGAAGAAAAGGTTTAAATATAATAAATCTTTAATTTTATTTAAATTTAATATTTATTAGATAAGTAATGCAGTTAATGAGAGGAGAGATGTTGAGGGGAAATATTCTCCTAATATGCGTTCTATGTACAATTTATATGAATAGTGAATAAATCAATAAAGTTTGGAAATATGTGACTATTTCTCCTTGTCACTTGTCAACCATTTCCAAACTATGTCCTTCTCTTCTTGAGTCCATATGTTATTTTCAGTTCTTGATTTCCCGAACCATACGTAGCGACACCAATCTTTGACCCTTGTCCATGTAGAATCTCCATTGATCTTGGTAGTGGTATCCATTTTGAATGGAGTTACTGTAGGCTTCTTTCTTTTCCATATCGATGTTGCGTTTGTTGCAGTCTTAGCTACTGGTTCAGCCTGTGTCTTAGCGCCAGTAACTAAATCAGCAGTTTTGGTTGAATTTAACATTGTAACTTTTGTGACTGTTTTTAAAGCTCTAAAATTTGCCTTTGTTACCAGTAAAGCAAATAACATCGAGAATACAACAACGCCTGCAAATCCTACGTATGACTCTTCTATAAAGTTCTTTAAATTCATACCATAGAATGCTGGTAACAGTGTTGCTACAGTGACACCCAATGTATAGATTGTAACTTTCAATTCCAGGAGCATTAAAGAATTTCTGTTTGCATCAAGAATGATATTAACGATCTCCTCAGTTGACTTAATGTCCTGAATTAAGGATTCAGAGTGTTGAACGAATTCATCACATTGGGTATAATATGTCTCGAGAAGCATCTCTATATCTGTAATATCAACTTCCTCGGTGGGGCTCTGAGTTTCCTTTTTAGGGTCGTGATGGTGAATATCGGTACCTTGTGTAATTGATTGTTTATATTTAGATCCTGATAAATACATTGCTGCCATATCTTCATCACTCTCTAGCAATTCATCTAGAACGTCTCTAATCAAAAAGGCCTTTTGATAAAACAAAGTAAGAAATTTCGATTTAATTAGAAGATCTCTTAATTTTTCTCTATTAATTTGATTTTCTAATTCATTTAAAATGTTAGTACATGATTCTTCTTGTTGTTTAAATTCTGTCTCCAACGTACTCATAACGTTTATAAAGATACTTTCTAATGCATTATGTTCATAGGATTGTTTATATGCGGTATTTCCAGTATTTTGTGAAAGTTTAGACTCTAAATCATACATTAAGACACCTAATTTAATAGCTGATGATGGATCAGCTGTATCAAATACATATATTTTATCCTTTTCAATCAATGCTTTAATGTGTAAAAGATTCACTAGGATACATGTCTCTTTCACCAAAATATTCGGAATTATATCTACAGAAGATGTATCTATCTTTCTCAAGTCTCGAGGATAGAGGTTATGATCTCTAAGAAATCTCCATTTTGGAAATTTTTCAGAGACTGCCACAACAGTCCCTTTAGAATCAAAAACAGTACCAGAAACTTGTGAATCATTAGGTTTAATAGGTTGTAAAGAAAGTAATTGTCGTTGTAATGGAGGTATAGAAGATTGTTGGTTTTTTAATAGATGAGAAGAAAGTTGTAAATGACGCCGTATGGAGAACGGTCCCCATCGGAGACTCCTTTGGCAGTTCAATAATGGCAATCTGTACTGTAGAAATGACATTATTGTGATCAGATTTCCTCCACTGGATTATATTAATATTTGAAAGTTAACTAATAAATGCAACAAACTGTTCTGGGAGAAAATAAAATAATTCAACATTGTATTTAAATGTATTACTTGTTGAACATTGGCTTGATTTAAAGATATGTATGTGTGGGTATGTCTTTTCCAATTAATTTATTTTGAAATTGTAAAAAGATTCCCGTACTGCGGAGCTTCCGAAGGAAGAAAGCGTTGTGCACTGAAATTTCATAGGCATGGTGTAACATCATAGAAACACCTTAATGGAAGAAGTGCTTAAATGCTGTAGATAGAGTGAAAAATAATGTATCTGTTTATTATGTTATATTACATACGTGAAAAGCTATATGTATATATTTATTGTTATGATATGGGGGTTTCAGTTTAATGCGTACTTCAGTTCATCGAGTAACCTATGCATTCTTCTTTATATCAAAAAAATACATTGATTAAGTTAAATGTTGAACTAGATTGGAATAAAAAAAAAAATAGGTTAAAGTAAACAAGAAAATGAAACGACGTAGTGAGGAAGTAACCTCATGTAACTCATGTTGAATCATTGTATTGGTAAAGCTCGGGGGGCTGGGAAAGAAAGGATGGATGAGGAGGTTGGGATATAAACCAAAAAAAAAATAGGGAAAAAAATATTCTGATTCAATCAAAGAATTTTCTGGTCTTGGTGACACCGAACATTTCCAATCTAATAGCAGGTAGAGCTTCCTCACTTAGTAATTTCAATCTTTCTTCTAATGTATTGTTCAATTCGATTTTCTTGGCAGCATCTGTAACAATCGCACCACCAATATCTTCCTTTGCTAAAGCATCTTCAGTATCGATTATAATATTGATATCTCTCTTGGAGATTTCTTTGTATTCCTTTACTAAACTTGGAATTAATTCATTAGCCAATTGCTTATCAGCAGGAGTAACTCTCACTAGAGCGGAATCTTCTAGTAATTTCAAAAGGCCTTCAAGTATTAAAGATTGTAAGATAGGCTTATATTGTTGCTTGTTCTTAGTGATCTTAACTAGAGCATCTTTAGTTTCTTCAAAGATTTCATTTAAAGATTCTTGTCTTTGTGTTAAAACCTTTAATCTAGTCTTATTAGCAATAGTAGATTTAGTAATTTGTTGCTTCAAATTAGCTTTCTTTAATTTATCGGCGGAGTTAGCATCAATGTTAGCGGTTTCGGAACGTACAATGCTAGTCTTTTCAATTTCATACTCTTGGTTAGCCTTCAATTCAATTTCTCTAGCTTTTTCTTCAGCTTCTTTTCTAATAAATTGTTGCATCTTGTTCAACTCATCGTTGACTTGGTTTGGGGTCAAAGAAGTAATAATAGACGAGGACATATTGTTGTGTTTTCTCTCTGGTGTGTATGTGTTTCAGAACTGATTCTTCTAGTTATATATACACAAAGTAAACACGAACCAACTAAGTTATAACTTATTTATACCACGTTTAAAATTAAATAAGAGCTGTTGTATAGCCCTCTCTGTCTGTTGTCTTATTATATTATATAGAAGATGCGAATAACTGAAATTTCCAGAGGGCAAAAAAGAGGCAGCCAAAATTTCAACTTTTTTTTGTTTGTTTTTTTGGCTTTGAATTTTGCAGCCAAATTGGGTTACCCGGACTTCAAATTTTGGGGGAAAAACGGATGACGAAGTGAAAGGGAAAAATAAACAAATCAATAAGAAGAAGAAGATGATGTTTACTACTTGAGAAGGGGTGGCGGCTATTGGATAAATCGCATTTTGCAACACAGATCCAAAGAGTCATCGACTTGCTAATTATTTTTATGAGCATATAGTATATTATTATGAGAAGGAGTGGAGTGCTGCGATCGTACTTGTCACATGGACGACGTTTGATTGATATGCGCAACTCCAAATGTGGATTATTCATCACATCCATAAAGAGATATTCTCAATTTAAGGAACAGCCCAGGCTTAATCCAGTAGGTATCCAGTACTTGTCCGAGTCATTACAGAGACAGGTGTTTGGTAGTGAGAATACGAAAGTAAGTAAGACATTGACTGGTTTAAGTGGACAAGAGAAACAAGTCTTATTGAGTTTATCAAGACAATTATTAAAGACTCATGATCTTTTAGATAAGAAGACTACTGTGATAGAGCCAATATCTTTTCAAGTTCCAAAATTACAAGGTGCATCCCTCGACGAACATTTCCAAAAATTAGGACATTTTGCCTCTGAGCCTTATAAGACTATGGCTTTGCAAAAATATAAATCTATTGTTAAGAGACCAAATAAATGGATAAAACAATCTGGTTGGACACGGTATGCTCCTGGTGAGATCCCTAAACGTGTGCCATATCCTACTGAGGATATATTGACATTTGATGTTGAAACATTATATAAAATTTCACATTTTGCTACATTAGCCACTGCATTATCTGATAAAGCATGGTATGTATGGTGTTCTCCGTACATTTGTGATGAGAGTGATTCTTATAAACATCTGATACCGTTAGATACGGTAAATAAAACGCAGTTGGTGATTGGACATAATGTTGGGTATGATAGAGCACGAGTACTGGAAGAATATAACTTTAAACAATCAAAAGCATTTTTCTTAGATACTCAATCACTTCATATTGCATCATCAGGGTTATGTTCAAGACAAAGACCAATGTTTATGAAGAAAAAAAATATGATTAAAAATATGGAAGATGAAGATGAAGGTTTAGATAACGTTAATCTTAAAAATAATATTATTAGTGAATTAGATGAACAGGATCCCTGGTTGAATGTATCTACTATGAACTCATTGGCTGATGTGGCGTCGTTCCATTGTGGTATCAAGATGGATAAATCTCCGAGGGATTATTTTAGTTCAACTGATAAAAATGAAATCATCAATAATTTTCAAATGTTAGTAGACTACTGTGCAACAGATGTTGAAGTAACAAGTAAAGTATTTGATAAAGTATTTCCATTATTTTTAAAAAAATGTCCTCATCCTGTATCCTTTGGTGCTCTTAAATCATTAAGTAGTTGTATTTTACCAACTAATCATAATGATTGGACTAAATATGTTAAAGGTGCAGAATCATTATATCAATCATCAAAACTGGAAATTGAAGAGAAAATAATACAGATAGTTGAAGAGACAGTAAAACTTAAAGATTATCAAACGAATGAACAAAATAGACAAAAGATTGAGAATGATCCATGGTTAAAGCAATTAGATTGGACTATTAAACCATTGAGGTTGACAAAAAAGGGTGTCCCTATTAAGAGACAAAAATTACCCGGGTATCCTGAATGGTATCGTTCGTTATTTCCCAACAATACCACTATAAAACCACAAATAACTTTAAGATCAAGAAATATTCCAATTTTCTTTAAATTATCATGGGAATCAAAACCGGTGGTATGGACCAAAGAATCGGGCTGGTGTTTCCCAGTACATAAAGATGAATTAGAGACTTTTAAATCTAAGAATTATATTTCAGTGCATGATAAAGTGACCGCAGAATATCAAGAGGATTTTAAATGCCCAAATGAACTTCTATTCAAAGTTCCACATCCAAATGGACCTTCTTCGAATTGTACTACATTGTTAAGTAAACCATATATCCATTTCTTTGACAAACAAGTATTGAAATCAGAATCAGAGTTTGCACATGCGGCTCTACAGATCAATTCATCGGGATCTTATTGGATGTCAGCTAGAGAAAGAATAATGTCACAGTTTGTTGTCAAGGGATCGGAATTCCCAACGGAATTCAAGGCTTTAGCTACAACCACTTCTGAGAAAGATATGAAGAATGGTAACAGTTCTGGTGATCTTGGTATCATATTACCAAAAATTGTTCCGATGGGTACAGTCACTAGAAGAGCAGTTGAAAATACATGGCTAACAGCCTCAAATGCAAAAAAAAATAGAATTGGTTCAGAATTAAAGGCACAAGTAAAAGCACCACCTGGATACTGCTTCGTTGGAGCAGATGTAGACAGTGAAGAATTATGGATTGCATCCTTAGTGGGTGACTCCGTGTTTAATTTGCATGGTGGTACTGCGATCGGTTGGATGTGTCTAGAAGGTACAAAGAGTGCAGGTACCGATCTTCACACAAAAACAGCTAAGATTCTAGGTTGTTCTCGTAATGAGGCCAAGATTTTCAATTATGGGAGAATATATGGTGCAGGTGCTAAATTTGCAGGTCAACTGTTGAAACAATTCAACCCATCCTTGACAGATGAAGAAGTGAAAAAGGTTGCTAATAATTTATATGAAAATACCAAGGGTAAGAAACGACGATCAAAGATATTTGAACAATTTTGGTACGGTGGATCTGAATCAGTATTATTTAATAAATTAGAAAATATTGCAGAACAAGATGTACCACGAACGCCCGTCTTGGGCTGTAGCATAACGTCATCATTAATGAAAAAAAATTTAAAGGCTAATTCTTTCTTACCTTCAAGAATTAATTGGGCCATTCAATCATCAGGTGTAGATTATTTGCACTTGTTATGTTGTTCCATGAATTATTTGATAGAAAAATATTCTTTGAATGCAAGATTATGTATTTCCATCCATGATGAGATTCGATATTTAGCCACAGAGGAAGATAAATATAAAGTAGCAATGGCATTACAGATAAGTAATCTTTGGACAAGAGCTATATTTTGTGAACAAATGGGGATTGATGATTTACCTCAGAATTGCGCTTTTTTCTCTGCTGTCGATATTGACAATGTGTTGAGAAAGGAAGTAGATATGGATTGTATAACACCATCTAACCCAATACCCATACCTCATGGTGAATCCTTAGGAATCCAGGCTCTCTTATCTAAACAAGAATCAGTTCTTGGAAATGGTAATGAGGAGCTCGATATCTCCGATTTCCCTTACACAGCACGTGAACCAGTATTTGAACATTATAATAAATCGTACACTAAAGAATTTATTAAATATTTCATTCGAATGCAAGTACAAACAAATAAGTCGGAAATATCAAAACTGGAGAGGGAATACATTAGAGAGGTAACATCGAAGCAATTCTCTAAGGATGGTTTGAGAGTCGAGTATGACTTCAACGATTATGCCAAGGATATTGAGGAAGGGAGAAAGAAGAAAATCAATATTATGGCAAAATCATTCATTGCAAATAGGGCTGAATTAGATGATCAGCACTACGAATCATTTAAGACCGACCATAATCAATCACCAAAAAGCACAACTGGACCAATTCAAGACACCCACAGTAACGATAAAGATAACAAGATCTTCTCCATGAAGAAACCACAAACTTTGGATTATTCTACATTGCATGAACTTGCACATACAGGTAACAATCCTGTGAATCAAAAGGATCTGACAGCAAAAACGACGCCAGCTTCTTCCAGATCCTTTAAAGTAAAAAGCAAGAAACCATTCAAGCCATATGTCGAGGAAAAAGGATATAATGCATTTTATCAATCAATACGTTAGAACTTAACACATCCCTCCCCCCGGAAACTAGTAGGTAAAGAAGCGACGCTATTTTTAAACTACTAAATTACAAATTGTAAATGAACTGTTTCCTAATATTTCCTCTTTTGATATTGTAAAATATGCTTCTCCAATTACATCATATTCTATGGCAGGCCCTTTCGTGTTGTTTTTTGTCGTTCTATTCTCTAAGATATTCTACATAGACATACATATATATATTCATGATACACATATATCAAGGACAATTACCTAATAATGAAATTGTACAAACTACTCGTCTTGAGAATACATTTAAGGTCAGCTTTTATCTATCTATTTATTTATTTGTTATGTACGTCAACAGGTACCTCATTAAACAAAATTTCCGATCAAAATCGGACAAATACGTGAATGCGAAATTTAGCTTAAATATATGAACGTATATATAGGAGAAAATCTGTGGTAGAGAACAAAGGGTAAATACTATTAAGGAGCCATAACGACAAGAAACAGGCAAGTTAGAAGTATATCACTTGACTACTATACATATAGACCAATCTTCAACTTATACTAAAGCATATACGCTGTCGTTTTTTTTATTTTTGAGGGGATTTTACGGAGTGAGAGATATTATAGATTTACCCGTCAACCTCGCAATATTCATTATAGATATTGATAAAGAACAAACAATTACGTGATTTAGTCTATACAAATTCAATTTAATATATAATCACATTATCCTAGAATAGCATTATTACAAAAATCCCAGTAATGTCGTTTGATTGGTTAAACGTACCAGGTCTGAATATAGAGAACACTGGAACTGATTCGAAGCAAAATGAGCCTGTGGTACCACCCAGTGTCTCCTTTGATTTTGGTCTCCCACCTCCAATCCACGATGCAGGTACAATGACACGAGACTCTAGAAGTATAAGCGATACAGCTCTGGATATGGAGGTTTCTAATAGTTATAACAATGCCAACAATTCTTCCAATGCATTTTTAAATGTGAATCCACCTCAGCATGCAGCTAGTAATAATGATATAACTACTATACAAGAGCATAAAGAATTGACTCAATATAAAGAAACCGCAGACGATCTTAAGGTACCGTTATCATTGTCACAGAATCAACTGACACATGAAGAGATACGAACCTATTTAAGATGGTACAAATATATTCTAGCAAGATCCCATACAAAGTTAGTAAGACTGCAAGATGTTTTTAGATTTTTAGGTAATTTCACAATTAATGAAGAACTAAAAGCACGTATTATGGCCATTTTCAGAAGTTGCAAGAGTGCATTAAATATTGGTCAGTTTTTTGCGGTTTTAAGATTAATATCAAGGGCTATGATAGAAGGTGTACTACCCTACAGACGTATGATTTTAGAAAAGGCCCCTATTCCGAAACCTCGTCCTATCTTATCTACCCAAGGTAATGGTGAAATCTATGAAGAGGTGGAAGAAGATGAGGACAACAAGGGGGATACCACTAGCAAAGGTAATGGCTCAGTGGATTTTGATTCTTTTACATCCTTATTACTGACAGGTAAGACAATAAGAAAAAGAGTTAGAAGAAAGATCTTAAATGCCGCCTTCAGAAATAAAAGAGTTAGATTCTCAGAGAGTATTACATTCCAGGATCCACCTACAGATAAGGCACACAATCACGACACACAACACAATAATACTCCTGACGCAAATAATGGACTCGAGGAGCCTATACCACAGGGGCCATTGGATCTTTCGTTACCGATGGATCAACTTTTAAAACAAATGGCAACCCGCAAGCATAATAACACCGCATTAGTCTCGAAACTACCTTCTGAACAACAAGAGACTGAAGAGGAGAGAGAAGAATTGAGAGATATGCAGGATTCTTTATCACACTTCAAACAGATCCAAACCGTAGATGCAGTGACTGGATTGGGGACTCAATTACCTGTCGAAAATACAAATGGTAGGAACGTCCCAAATATGATGGGGGTCAGCAGTACCCCATTACAACCATTGAAACCAACGGCTACCGGTTCTGCCAACCATTTCATGCGCCAGGAAGTGAATCAAGGATTTTCTGCTCCTTCAACTAATGATACTAACGGTGTTTTGACGCCTTTGAAGCCTACAGCAACGGGGTCAGCAAATCATTTTATGCGTCAAGAGATGAACCAAGGCTACATAACTTCCCAAAATACCGAACCGAATGACTCATTGCAACCATTGAAGCCAACGGCAACAGGTTCTGCAAACTACCTCGTACGTAGCCATTTTGAAACAAATGAAAATATTGCACCTACACAACAGGTACAACCTTCATTCAACCAGAATTCTATACCGACAACGGCAATTCCAGCGTTGTCACCTCAGCATACTACCGAAATTCAACCGTTAAAACCTACTGCAACTGGATCGGCAAATTATTTGATGAAACAACAGTTTGCAACTCCAATGACAGCTCCGCATGTAAATAATCCTGCACAAAGTAATCAGAATATGCCAGCTGCTGGTACAAATGGATCAGTTCCTCGATTTCAAGCGACCGCGCCAAATGACCAATTTATGAATTTTCCTCAGCAGCAACAACAACAACAGCCAAATATTCAATATCAAAACAGTGGAACTAGTAACGGTAGTATTTCTCAACAAAACACTTACAGTAATAACAACGTAAGCCAATCTGCCGAGAATGCCCTTCCTCAATTACACCCTCAAAATACATACCCACAGGCCCATGTGACGGGCAACAATCAGAATATTCAGAATATTTCCCACCAACAGCAACAGCAGCAACAATTTGGTTCTTCTAATCTGTTAAACCCAGGCGCCAATGCGGCATCAAATTATTTCCAATCCTTACTAACAGGTTCACATTCTCCTTCCCCCAATGCAAGCCATATACAAGTGTCCAATACAGGGAATAATGGCTTGGGTATGCATCCGCAAGGAAACCAACAAATGTATAGCGGGACCTCTTTGCAGCCCCCTACAAACAATAACAGTAATGATTCTACTGGGTACGGGCAGTATCAAAACGGTCAACCTGCCATATACCAAAATCAGCAAGTGCAACAGCAGCAGAATCAATCAAATAACCCACACTCATATTATCCTGGTCAAATTCAGTCTCCGCCACCTGGATCATATAATTCCACGAGTCAGCATCCAATGCAGAATACCATGCAGACAAGTAATCAAACTCACCTAAATGTTCCTCAGTACTCATATAGCGGTCAACAAAATCATAGTTCTCAACCTAACCCCAATATTTTGGGTGATTACCAGGCAATGCAAAATCAAGTTAACTCATTGCAACAATCTTACAATAGACGTTAAATCCTTAAGTTGTGATTGTGGTATACCCTCTATTGAGAGTTTTTAAGGTTAGTACGAGCTTATTCATCTCTGGTTGCCTAGACATGGGGCAGTAAATTCACAAGCTCAATAGGGCATTAATATAACTTTTATATAATCTGATACAATTTACAAGTGAGACATTTACTTGAGAAATTCATTTATATAAATATTTGATAGTTTAATGAGGTACGATAGAATTATATTATTTGGCACCTTTTTTATATATGCACATATAGAAAAACTGCCTATGTCATAACTAATACATTGATTTTATAGCTTCATCGTAAGTTGGGTAATCAATATAACCTTCAGAAGTTAAGGAATAAAATGTGTCTCTGTCGTAGTTATTTAGTGGTTGACCTTTCTCCAATCTATCAGGGAAATCGGGGTTTGCAATCCAGTATCTACCAAATCCAATCAAAGTTCTTCCATCCTTGATGAATTCTTTAGTAATTTCTGGATATAAAGCCAGATTACCTGCCCTGATTATTAAACCCTTCCAAATAGAGTAAACGAAATCGTTAGTACCATCGTGATACTCACCAACACCTTCAGCTAAGGATGGATCAGTAACACGAGGTTCTACTAAATGTATATATGCAAGGCGCTTACCAGCCTTTGCTCTTTTCTCTAGCTCACCGATAACATGAGAGTATTGTGCAACAATTAATGGTTCAGTGCCACCAGATACGTTACCATATGTACCATATGGGGATAATCTGATACCGATCTTATCTTCACCGATGGCATCAACCAAAGCATCAACAACCTCCAGGGTGAATCTGGATCTGTTTTCAATGGATCCACCGTATTCATCAGTTCTATGGTTTGATTTTGGATCTAAGAATTGGTTTAGTAAGTAACCGTTAGCAGCATGGATCTCGACACCATCGGCACCGGCAGCTAAGGAGTTTTTAGCGGCTTGGATATATTCCTTGATGTATTGTTTGATTTCATCTTTGGTAATACCGTGTTGAGGGTTATTAGACTTTTCAGCCAATTCCTTAGACTGATCATTCATATAAATACCATCAGATGCAGAGTCGTAACGTAGACCATCCCTTGCCAGTGTGTCTGGAGTTGATTGTCTACCCAGAGCCCATAACTGAACCCACACGAACGATTTGTTGTCATGAATCTTATTAAAGATCTTCTCCCATTGAGTAATTTGATCTTCAGACCAAATACCTGGAACGTGATCGTAACCACCAGCCTGTGGTGAAATAAATGTACCTTCTGTAATTAGCATAGTACCTGGTCTCTGAGAACGTTGATCATAATATGTTGCTGCCCAATCTTTATTTGGAATATTACCAGGATAAATTGCTCTTCTCCTTGTCAAAGGAGGGAAGACTGCTCGATGTTTTAATTCAGTGTTACCAACCTTAATTGGCTTGAATAGGTTGGTGTCCTTTAGAGCAATTGGTTTAAAATCTGTTTTAAAAGACATGTTTAACGAAATGGGTTGTGTGTATTTCTAAAAGGGCAATTATACTTAGATAAAAGTTACAGCTGTACAACTGCCGTTTTTTACTAGTTGAATGAAGTTTGTTGTTCAATTATTCTACTAAATAATCATTCAAAATTATTTGAATTAAGAGTAAAAAGTTTTGAGACCACGAAATAATGTCTTTTTATTTATAAGTTAAATAATTGTTCATAAAACAATAATCTTTAATTTTTGTCTTCGAGTTAAAACAAGAAATGCTACCCCTCTTAATTTCTTGGTACTACAGATAAGTTGCATACGGTTCAGTTCAAATAGGTGCCAAGCATTTCAAACAAAGTATAAAAAAAGAGTACAAATTATCTCCGAGAGAACGATCTAGCAAATGCTTTCTAATATCTCGGATTTATGTATATATATTTACATCTGTCAGCATTCACATATTGCTTTTACTGCTGATAGACGTGTGGATTGAGATTGAAAGTGATGGATAAACCAAGCACTTGACCGTATGTCCGAAGGAGATAATTAATGTCTTTGTCAATATAATTTTTAGCTAATGCTGACTAACTTTGTATCGAGTTGTCGTTGCTTTTTTGGAAAAGTTGGCAGGTTAATCCATTGCTAATTTTTCCGATCCGGTCCGATCCGGATAATATCCACTAGTTTGATTACGTAAGGAGAACAGTTATTAAAGTAAGAATTATTAAAACCATTTTATATTTTAATTGTGTAATGTTGATAGGCATTAACTGTTACTGTTATGAGTATACTTTATACGAAGGAAACTGTGGAGAGTGATATATTCATTTAGAATGTAAAAAATCTCAAATAACATTGCAACTTATCAGCTTGTATGGTTCACTGTGGAACTAGCTATAGATTATGAACCACCTTAAAAATGAAAACAATCCTCGTTCGGATAAAGTCTAGAAATAAGGGGCCTTAGAAGGTGTATTTTGATTAGGATATGGTAAAATAAATTGTCATAGTCACGACATTTTCTAATTTATGTAGAACTTACAATATTATCAATATTAACTTTTTATCATTTTATACTTTTTTATATGAAATTATACAAATGTATAATATATGCCTATATGGGATCATAACTTACATGCAGAAACGTTTATAAAGAGGTTTGAAATGAATATTTGTTCATGAAGAAGAAGAAACGGAAGCTTTCGCGTTTTGTAAAGAGTTGATTAAAGAGCCAATTTGTCAGACCAGGAAATATCTAAATTGTTTTCATCCAATATATCATGATAAGCATCGTTGGCACCGAATAATTCCCTTGTAAGTTTATCCATATTTGGTACTTTACCATCACTTAGACTGATATCCAGAATACAATTACTGATACCTTGGAAGACTTCTGCACATTTTTTGGCGAACACCCACTTGGCTCCGAAATGTTCTAGGATCTCTACAATTTGTTGAATTTCGATCTTACTTTCAATTAAATCGATTGCCCATTGGCATAGACAATAGAGAATGGTATTACAAATGGTTAACGTTCTAAACAAAGTGATCCAGTTTAACGGTAATAATTTTTTCCTGTACAGTGTATAGGTATGTTTCCATGCTTTCAGGCAAAAATCACCAAGGATAGACAGTGATTCAATAGGTGGTTTAGGAATTAAAGTAGATGGTCTGTATAATAAAATTTGTAATTGAGCATATCTCATTGCTAGCCAAATACTGGAGCTATGAAATGATATTACTGTCATAGTATCGTCCTTATGTTTTGCATTTTGTGTTTGCATTTTGTTTTTTTCGAATTCATAAACTTCATCCAATTGTAATCTAATATCTGAAATGATTTTCTGTTTTTGTTCATTGGTTAAGTTCATTTTCCCACAACGAACAGCATGTACCTTTTGATAAATAAGCCCGCTCATTTTTCTCAGACTAATCATTGTATTCGTGACATCAATCTCCTCCTTTTCACCTTCATATAATGCATGTGGTAATGGAATAGTAATATCTTCGTCATCGATAGCAGATATCCTACCAAGGACAGTGGCCACAAGTCTCTCGAAACAATAAGCACTCCAAAACACTCTATAGCGAGCCTCTGTATCTGAAGCACTCATGCTTAACTTCTTCTTCGGTGGTAGATCTCTATTCAAACCTAAGCCGATGGTTAGTCTCATAATAATGCCACTAATAGTCCATGATGACCAACCCTTTGGTTCAAAAAAGGAATATATTCCTAATAATAGATGACATTGAATAGTATCCATATTTTGTAAATGGGTTACAGCTTTAAATTTTGTCATTGCCAAATATGCCAAGTGTTCACTTAATTCTTCTTCATCTTTTAAAAGCATACCGGCTCTACGTAAGGTTGTACACCCAATAGCCAGGATCATATAAAGTTTGAATATATATAAATCATCAAAATCTTGGCCCAAAGTTTCAAAATTGTATTCTTTTATCTTGCATAACCTCTTGAAGAAATCAATCTTATTTATCATTGGAAATAATCTGTGGTTATGTCTGAAATATGCAGCAATGAATCTATCCATTAAATTCCTATCAAGAGTCTTGAATGTTCCATTGGAATTCAATTCAGTAGGCTTTTTACCACCTTGAAACACCGAATTAATAGTTTCGATTTCAAAAAATGGTGCCTGGATTGGTGTCGATTCAAGTCTAGGGATAGGTGATGGTGCCCCTATATTAGGTTCTGTTGCATCAAATCCATTAACTCCTAGAGCATGGTTTAATGGATCTGTTCTATTTGTCAGGTTTGTGTTTACTAAAGATGAACCTTGTAATGATCCAGGCGTCGCACGTGGGTCACTTAATAAGTTTGAAATTAACGAACTTGTCTTTGGTGATAGTCCCATTTTATTACTTTCATCTAGTTTCAAAGGTAAAGACATAGGTGAAGCACCTGTTCCCATCGTAGTGGAACCTGGTACGATTGCAGGTAATTGCATATTATTCTGTGTCACAGGTGCTGTGTTTGGTGATAACGGCAGGCCAATAGGAGTCATATACTGTGTTACAGGCACTCCCGGTGATCTAATGTCAACTGTAGAATCATGATTTGAAGGAGAGGTCGCATTTGTCTGTGGTGTTGTTGCAGAATTTCCTTGTGTATTCATTTGCTTATTTTCCACGGAGGACAAGACTGAGATCAACGAGGATACATTATCAAAAGGTTGGGATGAAGAATGTATTGGTTTCATGATCTCGGTTCCTGTAGTATCACGAGGCGATGTATTTGTCCCAGTACCGCTATTCGACGTAGAAGTCGAACCATTTCTTGATCCTGATAGCTTATGTCTCTTACTTGGCGTGAATTCACCTCTCTCTTCAGCCAGTTGAAGTTGTTTCTTTGTCCTTCTAGGAGCTTTACCAGGATAGACACATTCTTTCTTGGACCGAGTGCAATGAGAACATATAGGTAGTTCTCTCGAGCATTTCTTTTTAAGTCTCCTGCATCTTGCGCAGGAGTAAGCCTCTAACTTTGGATCAGAGTCACTTCCTGACATCAACAAATAAATAGAGGGATATGTGTCACTCTTAAAAGAAGAGGTGGGGATAGGGAAAAAGAGGTATAATGTAAACCTTTTCGTTCGGTTAAATGCTAATACTAAAAAATTAGGAACGGTGCTTTGAAATCAAAGTTCCAATTCAAGCCTTGGATTCTAATATATAAAAAAAATGGTATCCCGATATCTTTATCTATCTATGTCTCTTTAAAGAGCCCTATGCTGGAGTTTAATGGAAAATATATGTATATATACCGGAAAGGGTATTTAAAATATATACTATAATGTGTCGTTAAACGTGGCAAAAATATCGGTTGTTATTGTTATTCTTTCGAAACAACAAATTGACTTACACACTTAAGTAAAAAAAGGTTAAAGAAAGTTAGATATAGTATTATTACAAAGATTGACGTAGTTCAATAAATAAAACAGCAGAAGAACGTAATGCAAAGTTCAATAAACTTTGTTTCCTCCTACTTTCTCTATTTGTTTATTCGTTTCCTCATTGTCTCTCAACATAGGGGACCGTCTAAAGAAACAGAGTGTGCTTCCCTTACGTGATGACGATCTTTGCTATGTTTTTTTGTTGTTTTTTTGGGAAAAAAATTTCAGTGAAAAAAACTGAAAAATATCGTGAGGCAATGAGCGGTGTTATAAATAGGCCAGTTTGCATTGTGTCTGTATGGCACGGTCCTATGAACAGAAAGGCCTCCTATTAAAGGAGACTCATGGGTATGGTGCTTCCACTCCCTTTGGAGGTGGGCCATTGATAAATTGAATTAGTTCATATTGGTTGCCCTTCGAACGTGCCTCTTGAGAGTATTTATTCAATTGAATATTTCTTTCGTATTTCTCCTGGGCGGTAATGGATCTTTCCTTTACTTTGTCTTCGTCCCAGGCTTCTGGTTGGAACTTATCCGGATTGGTTGGATCTGAGACGTCAGCTAAAATCGAGAGTAATTCATGATAGTACTCGATCTCTTTCTCGGCTGGGATGTTGTGTCCAGAAGGTAGATGATCGAATGTAGAGTCACTTTGGTTAGGGACTTGTAATTTACCTGTAAATGCTTTTACTATCAAACTGGCTTGCAATTCTGCCAATGGGAATGGCACAACAAGTTGCGGTAACAAAGAAAATGCCAAAGTACTATCCTTTGTGTAAAATATTTGTTCCCATAAATTATTCACATGTGAAGTAGTAGTAGTATTCCCAATAGAACTATCAGTAATCAATAGATCTTGTCTCAATTTCGAGTCAAAGATACTTAGATCGTAAAGAAACCCAGTAGCATAAACTAACTTGTCTATCTTACTTAGAACAATACCATCCTCAAGGGTTACAGTTCTCTCCTTCCAATTGACACTTTTGATTTTATTAACTACTTCAATGGTAGGGTCGTTGTCGTAATATCTCTTGTCATCTTTGCCCGATGCAACACTTTGAAATACTTTCTCGGCTACAGACGCACATTGATTTACGATATCTTGACCTGAACTACCATCACCGATTACTACGACACGCTTCCCCTTAATAAATTCACAGTCGTAGAAATTTCTTGAATGGAATGCATCCTTTTGTGTAAACCATTCATCCAAACCTGGAACATTGGATGGAATCCTTGGTGTTGAAAAATGACCTGTGGCGGCAATAACATAATCAAATTCTTCTACTCTGTGGGTATCTTCATTAGAATGGTCGATGACCTCAAGAGACCATTGTGAGTTCTGTTTATTGACATTAACAATTTCGCTAGAGAGATGTACTTTAACATCTTCGACATCTCTAATGAATTCATTATAGTATCTTTTCAAATATACCCAAACTTCATGTCTTCTTGGATATTTAAACCAATGAGGAGGGAATGGGACACCTTTGTATTGCATGACATGTTTTGGTATATTGGTCTCTAAGTGATCGTACATGACTCTACTAGGTCTGCTATCCCCATGAGGGAAATACCAGATCCCACCAACATTGACATCGTTAGTAAATAAATCGATATCAAATTCACCAGGTGCATTGGCAAGAAATACCCTTGCGGCAGCTAACCCACCAGGTCCACCACCAATAATTGCTAGTCTTTTCTTAGTCATTATAATTCTTATTGTTTGTTTGTGTATTGTACTGATTATATAATAATGTGGTTAGCTAAAAATATATATTTTACGAAAAGAATCAAATGCAGATAGGCTCTTGAAGCATTCTCTTCATCCTTTATATATATATATCATGGTTGCCTTTTCAAGGAACACTTTATGCAACATTGCAAAAAAAAGAAAGCATGTTATTGTCTATCTCTTCGAGATCTAGATAAAATCGTTGTGTGATGGATGGCGTTTATTTAGTCATTCTTCTACATCTTTTTTTTTAATTTTTCATTTTTTTTCTCAAATTTCAGTTGTTTGTCCCCTTTGACTTTCCCACAGTTTGACCATTCCACAGTTGTTCGTATCCCACTGTGAGACAAGGTCACAACATAGAGAAGGGCACTCAATCAATGGTTGAACTAATGTTGCAGTTTGAGCAAAATTGAAGATTCTATTACGATCAGTTCAAGTGGTAAAGACAAAAACACCAAAATGCGATACTTTTAACTAGTGGCATGCTAAAGATCGTTGTTCCATTGGTAAGGCTACTAAGGAGTCATTCCATCTATAATAGCCAAAGGCGGCACCTATAACCACAGCAAGCATCAACCAACCATTATAAGTCATGAATATTAACATCAACATGAATGAGAAACCAACTTGAATTCCGTAATGGAACGTTCTACATAATTTTTCACGACGTGCAATTTGACTTATACTATTATTATTTGTTGTGATAGAGACACGATTTGAACCTGTTGTCTCTGAGGCATATTTAACAAATTTAAATCTAAGATATTCGTAATATGTAGCTAAACTTGCCACTATAAGGCAACTAATAACAAATTGAAATTTTGTTTTAATATGCCACCAATTAAATACGACACATGTATCTTTATAAGACCATGTAAAGGACATGTTCATTGAACAACTCGATTCGTGATCTCCTTGCGGCATATCTCCATGATCCATCATGGCATGATTCATCTTACTATGATCCATTATTAGTGTTAGTTTCGGTTATCTTGTTGTTACCATGTTTCTTGTTTTTACACCTTTTTCTTCCTCCCCTTTCCCTTTTTATATTAACAGGCGCAAGTTTAAAAAAAATTCTACTAATTATATAAAGTTAAGTTACCTTTTTTTTAATATAGATAGATTGTATCATTTTATTAAAACCTATACATTAGAATTATATAATAATCATAAAGAGGCGTTATATTTAAGGGTCAAAGAGTTAATAGATAAGATAGAAAAAATAAAGTAATTTCAGTTTTAAAAAAAGTGATCATTCTTACAAAAAACCACATTTAGTAACTTGATGAAATAATTTTTAATTTATATCAAATTTATAACTTGAAACCGTGGTGGAAGTTAGCACCAGCGTAAGTGCACTTACCAGCAAGTTCTTCTTCGATTCTCAAAAGTTGGTTCAACTTAGCCAATCTTTCGGATCTGGCTGGAGCACCAGTCTTAATTTGACCAGTTCTTAGACCAACAACCAAGTCAGCAATGAAGACATCTTCAGTTTCACCAGATCTGTGGGAAACCATAACACCCCAGTTAGCGGCGTAAGAGTCTTGAGCGGCTTGGATAGATTCGGATAGAGTACCGATTTGGTTAACCTTTAGCAATAGAGCGTCAGCAGCCTTCTTTTCAATGGCAGTGGCAATTCTCTTTGGGTTGGTGACAGTTAAATCATCAGCGACGATTTGGATGTCAGCGGTAGCGTTGAAGTGAGACCAAGCTTCCCAGTCATCTTCAGCAAATGGATCTTCAATGGAGACAATTGGGTACTTCTTCATTAGAGAGTGGTATAGGTCAGCTAGTTGAACACCGGTTAACCACTTAGACTTGTCAGATTGTGGGTTCTTGAAGTCCAAATCGTATAGACCGTCCTTGAAGAATTCGGAAGAGGCACAATCTAGACCGATTTGAACCTTACCGTCGTGACCAGCAGCCTTGATAGCATCGACAATTAAGTCTAGAGCTTCTTCAGCAGTTTGAATGTTTGGAGCAACACCACCTTCGTCACCGACGTTACCAGCAGAAGCACCGTATCTCTTCTTGGTTAGAGACTTTAGGTTGTGGTAAACTTCGGAACCGATTCTTAGAGCTTCAGCGAAGGTCTTAGCACCAGTTGGAGCAATCATGAATTCTTGTAGAGCTAGAGCACCACCAGCGTGAGAACCACCGTTCAAGACGTTTAGGAATGGAACTGGTAGAACGTAGTCACCGGTCTTTTGAGCGGAAAGATCGGCCAAATGTTGGTACAATGGGACGTTCTTTTCAGCAGCAGCGGCTCTGGCAGCAGCCAAAGAGACACCTAGAATGGCGTTAGCACCTAGCTTGGACTTGTTTGGAGTACCATCTAGGTTGATCATGAAGTCATCTAGAGCCTTTTGGTTCTTGACATCTAGGTTAGCCTTGATCAAAGCTGGGGCAATGACATCGTTAACGTTAGCAACGGCCTTTAGAACACCCTTACCTAACCACTTAGCCTTGTCTTCATCTCTCATTTCTAGAGCTTCGTGGATACCGGTGGAAGCACCAGATGGGACGATGGCTCTGAACATACCCTTTTCGGTAGTTAATTCAACTTCGACAGTTGGGTTACCACGGGAGTCGTAGACGGATCTAGCGTAAACTTTAGAAATAGCCATTATGATAGAATTTATATTATAATTTGCTTGGTTTATTAGGAAAAAATAAGAAAAAATAACTAACAAAAAAAATTATTACATAAAATAATAATAAAAGAGAGAAAGAAGTAGAATTGATTACGAATTAAATTAATTGAAACAAAGTTCATGGCTTATATATCAAAATTTTCCAAAGAGAAAAAAAAAATTGAATTTTTAGGAAAATGAAATTAAATTGTTGGTGTGTGTGTTGTAAAGAGGGATAAAAATAAAAAAAATTCAATTTAGATTTAATCTAAGGAAAGGAAAGGACCCCCCAACGTAATCAAAATGCAAGCACACTTAATTGAGGTGAGAAAAGGTGAGAAAGAGGGATTCTACTAATTTACAACAAATTCTACGTATATTAAAATGACAGAACCAACTCAATTGTTGGTGTTATCACTATGAAATTCACAACCTTAAAAGACAGTAACAAGCCATCATCAACTAAGCAATATAAAGATCATCATCATCATCAAACATTGAAACTTTTTTTTTTTCACTCGAGTTTCATTTTGGTTACACTTGTAATTGTCTGCCCACTACGGTTACTGCCATTGGGACGTTACTGCTGCATAAATATTATTATATGGCTACTACTATTATTATTTAACAATTAAGCTGGGTCCTTTTTGGCAATTTAGCGAAAGTAAAGCAAAAACATCACAATACAACACCAAATACCCACACAGCCCATGTTTTCTACGTTTGTGTTGATGAAAAGCTGTTTGTGAATTGAATTTCCCTTGTTTGAGTGAGTGAATTGCATTAAAATTGAGTTAGCTGCCTTTTTCTTTTAAATTCTTGTCTCTGCTGGGAAGAATACTAAAAACATGATTGAGATCGCTGAGAGGACGAGGGCTTCCTTCTTTCTGTGTGTTGTTTCCTTCCTGTGCTGTCTTGTTCTGTGGGATTCCTGATTATGTATTGGTTTTCTTGTCTCTGCGCATAGCGTGTATTCTCTGGGGTTCCAATATCTGTCTCTGTTCTTGTCGCACAGCAGCGAAGAAATTGCACAATTGCACGTAGGGTTTTATACGAATTCCTTAACTATGAAGAAATAACATATATAAATATATATTTGAGTACGTAGGCAAAGCTGAAATAACAGGAAGCCCGCTCGGCAGTGCGTATCCCTATTTTGTTTTTCCCACCTAGGCACACGGGATGTGTGGGTGCACTGTTTCTCCCCTTGGCTTCCTGTTTTTTTTTTTGTTTTTGTTTTTTATTCTCAAGAGACACGTTGTCCTCCAGTTAAAGCATTTAATAATCTCTCATTTAACGGCCAACTATCATTGTTAGTAGCATCATTTTCAAGTTCATTTGTTGTTGTCGTTGTGGTTGTTGAATGAGTTGAAATGTCTAAACCTTCGCAAAATACATTAAAATGTTGTTGAAATCGAATTTGAATAGTCGATAAAAATTGATTTAATTGTCTAATTATTTCAATTGATCTATCTTCATCATATATTTGATTATTTGTATTGGTACTACTGGTTTTGCCTGTTTTGGCAATGTACCGCTCATAGAGATTATAATCTAATTGACATAATTTTGATCTTAATGATGCAATAAATTTACAAAAGATCTGAATTATATCAAACATTTGTAATTGAATATCCATTAATTGTAATAAATTATTATTACCCATAATATTACTTAATTTAATCTCTAATTCATTTTGTAAATCAATTATATTGTCAAATTTACCATTCATTATATTTGACATTTCTTTATCAATCGATTCTCTTATTATTATTTCATTAAGACATTTAATATAATGATTCATTTTCATATGAATAAATCGACTACGTTTAATTATCTTGTAATAAACATCTGTCGGATATCCCGTATATCTCCAAATTTTATTCTTATTAATTTCTAGCCATATTTCATCTAGTAATGTACTATGATATTGAATTAAATTAAAATATCTGGATATCGTTTGATATTGTGTTATATTAACTCTATTAATTATGACATTAATTGGATATGGTATGGATACATCAAATGTTAAATAATGAATATTACTCTTTAATTCATTCTTGGAATTAATTTCATTTAAAATTTTATCTTTATTAATATCTTGTAATAAAGCTGTAGTAAATTTATTCATATTATTATTTTCCTTGTTTTCAATCAATTCATTAAAATTTTCTTCAAATGAATTATATCGTTCATTTGCTTCTAACATATTCTCTCTAAATGAATATTTATCATATGTGACACTTAATAGAGATAAAATAATATCATTATTATTAATCTCTAATTGTTTTTCATCTCTTAAAAATTGAATCAACTTATTATTACTTAAATGACGTTGTTCGAAATTGTGTCTCTTTGTTAATTCATTAAGATTTTTATGTAATAATTTTTGAAAAATTTGTCCATTACAATATCCAAAGAAGCGACGCTGTAAACAAATTAAAATATCTTGAATCTTATAATTTTCATAAAATAATTGTAAACTTAATTCATTTGCACGTTGGTACCATCCATTGATATATAATTCAAATTTTGTACCTTCAAACATATCGATTATTGTGATCGGTAACATAATTTCATTCATTTTATTTGGAATTGGTAATTGTGACATTTGTAAACTTGTTCGGATTAAATTTAATAATTTTCCTGTCATTACTATCTTAAATAATAATTCTTTATTATTACCATTTGCAAATTTATTTAATAATCCATCTTTTTTAACACAATATTGGGTTAACCATATCCTTTCATATTCAATTGGGTTATTAATTATACCATTAAAATGTTTCATTGTATCATTGATCATAAATTCATCATGTGAATCATTTAATATACCTTGACTCATCCATTGATGTAAAGTATCACAATATGATCCACTTATTGCTTCTAATAATTGTTTCATAAATATTACTGCATGTTGATCCCCAAGACAATCATTGATCACCGAAGCTATCACATTGATAATTACTCCACCTTTAGCCACTGGGAAATAATCTCCATCGATAAACACAGAATATTTATCCTCTAAGGTATTATCTTCATTATGCGTATTGTCCATACCAGATGTGCTATGGTTTGATTCGTTGTTGTTGTTGTCATTGATACCTTTTAATTCGGCTAACAAGTTGGAAAACTTAACCCTTTCAGGATCAATTTTATTTCTCATATCCATTTCTTGATCAATTTTATTTTTTATATGATATAGGATTTGCATCTCTTGATGTAATTTACTATTATTTACAATTTGTTTAAATTCTCTCAATGAAAAACGACTATTTTCCATAAATTTAGACTCTAATTCATCCTGAATAAATTTTAAATATACATCATTCAGATAACTTCTAATTTCAAAACCAAGTCGCTGTAAGACAATACCATATTGATTTCCTGACCATTGTTCACTAGCATTTCTTAACATAACATAATATTTCCCTAAATTGACAATCTTACTACAAAAGGACTTCAATGATGCATCCATTTTTTTAACTAATCGAAATTGGGGTTCTTCACCACTATGAGGATCATAATCTTTATTAAAACGAATATATATACCACCAAGACCTCTCATAACACATAACAAATCATAAACAACCAAGGCTTCTTGTGTTCTGATATCTGGTAATTCATTAATGGGGGAACTTTTCAATTTGGGACTTATATGTGAAAATGGCTCATAATTGACGATTCTTGTTAATATAGGATCTGTTGTTTTGATTTCTTCCAGTAAAACCACATCTTCAACTTCTCGAACATCCATGTTGACTTTTGATTGTTCGTAGATTGAAAAGATTTTTTTTTGTTTGATACAATTGAACAACTTTAAAAACGGTCTAACTAGATTTAATTTTTGTTGAGGTTGCTTTTCAATAATGTGCTAACAATGTTAAACCATTACATTAATTTGATGATATCCTTTATCTAAGTTCTTTGCTTTGTTTTGTTTTGTTTACTAGTCATCTCTAAGTTACAATATTGAACGCGCTTCATAACAAATTTCGTGTCGCTTGAACCCTCTTCGTTGATAATGATATCCTATCAAGGTTATTAAATTGCATCGGTATTAAATAAATGAACAAATATTTGAAAGAAGGTACCACTTTTGAATTATTGAAATTATTGCTGTTAAAAGTATTGTTTTTTAAGCCTCTAGATTGGAAAAAATAGGTGAAAATTGTAAGTATTTGAACGATGAGTTTTTTTTATATTTGCGATCAATATTATCACTATCGATTTTATGTTTACTGAAAAGTTATACACATTAAGCTTTTGGATTCATTACAAACTTGAAAAAATAACTATTTTTAGAAAAATTGATGTAAAATTTTATGTAAAATATTTATAGCGCTTCTATATCGGATTCTTCCAAGACCCAATTATCCATTTCTTTCTCCAAATCATCAATCTCCAATTTCACTTGTTTCAACCCACTTAGAGTCTCGATGTAATCGATATCATCTAGGGATCGTTTAACAAATTCCCATTGATCTGTCTCACATGTTTCAACAATTTTCTTCGAACAAGCTGAACAATATTCATATGCTGGCGTCTCTAACTTGACAGATGTAAAAGTATGTAAAAATCCACGGATTTGATGAGGTGTTTCACCCAATATAGTCTCTTCTTGGGTTGATGCATTGGCTCCATTCTGACTCTGAAGTAATGACACTAACAACTCTACAGCTTGTGATGCAGCTAACATGGCAATACCTGGTCTTGTTACTGTGCACATTTGATCCAAAGTCTTATCTGTCAGACTGTCTCTAGGTACTACAACATCTTGACAAAAGTAGCATCCTAATCTTTCCTTTGAATTACCATAATAATTCCCGTGTCTCATCACTAAGTAACTATCAAATCCTAATGCTGCGTTAATAACAATTTTATTATATACATTTCCAAGAATAGTTGGCAACCACCGTGTTTCCCTTGAATCCATTAGAAGGAAAATGGCATCATGATTCTCAAATAAATCAAGTAGAGTTTCATAGTCTTGCTTTTCACTTTCCTCATCCAGAACACTATGTCCTATCATCGGTATATTTAACATAATTCCCTTAGCATTAACTAACGGAAAGATCCTTTTCAAAGCTGTAGCAGCAGTTTCTGCTTTAGGTTTCCCACAATCAGCAAATTCAAATAGTGGTTGACGTACAGGATTTGAATACGAGACAGTACTATTATCAACTAACGTTATATTTCTAACCCCCCATGCTAATAATGCCCTAGAAACATAACATCCTAAAGTTCCGGCTCCCAGAATAAGAACTTTCGTATTTTTAATAATATCTAAATCAATATCTGGGGATACTCTCCATTTCATTAATTTAAGATTTAGATCTACTGACTGTTCCGCAATGACTAACGGATCTATTAAAGAACTTAAATCCATTAGACGTGGAGCTAATTTACCCTGGGTACTTCTTTCCCATCCAGTTACTTTAAGTGTCACTGTATCAGTCTCAATCTGTGACGCTTGCTGAAGATTGTATTCCTGTCCAAAACTCTTATCATCGGGTCTCATAAAATAAACAGTGACCTTTTCAGCTAATGGGTTATGTCTTTTGTAAATAGTTAAGAAATTTTTAGTTAATGTAGATGGAATTCCTTCCATGTTGCTTAAATCTCTTAAACATAGTATTTTCAAATCCTTCGATGCAACTGCGTTGTAACGTTGAATTGAGCCATCGCTAGTAATAACACAAACCCATTGATCCAATTCTTTAGAAAACCATTCTTTTATATCTTGAGAATGCTCTACAGCAACCTTGTGTCCATCAGTTTGAATATTGTGGCTTGTCAGTGAAAAAGATGGTATACATACCCAATAATAAAATTTATACTTTTTTAAATCTGCAAAACTTATAATACTAAAACCGATACATTTATTAATATCTTTAATACCTTGTTCAAATAATTCCTTTCCTCTCTCATTAAGAAATGCCATTTTATCTAATTGTTTGAACTGTTCTAATACATTGAAGTTATAGATGGCACCTCTAATTGGCATACCACCTTCATTCTGTTCCCAATTATTCTCATTGAAGCATTGCTTATTTAAGAAAAGATGAGATTTATCACTGTTTTGTACTCTCGTATTAACATTAACCCTTGCATACAGCGGTATGCTATCAACATTTAATTGAGCAATGTTCAATTTAATATCGGAGAATTCCTTGAAAAAAGTTGTATCTATAAATGACTGTAACGGTGCCACATATTTTGACATCTTTATGCTCCAAATAGTGGTCTAGAACTGATCATTGTTTCCTCCTGTAAACCTTCCAATAAAAAGGGTTTCATAAATGATGGTCCCTTTAGTAATGTTCTTTTAATATTTACTGTGATTAAAGGAACACAACGCGGAGAGCATTGGTAGCAATAATACTAAAAACCTGTATTCATGATCCAATACAAATACGTTATCATATGTGTACATAACAACACAAATATAAAAAAGGTTATATTTCAATGTATCTAATATTTATTAATGTACAATATACATGGGGGTTTGTCAGTTGAATAGAAATATATAAGAAATATAATGCAGAAATGAGGAAGTTAATAAGAATGAGTCTTACTCTTCCATCGGCGTATCTTCCAAAGTCATATCGTCTAACTCGTCTAATAACTCATCAATATTAATTTCTGGGGAATTATCTTCTTCTTCTTGTCCTGCTTGAACTTGTTCTGCTGGTTGCTTTTGACTCTTGTACATGTTAATGTTTTGTCTCAATTCTTCATCTTCTTCTAACTCTTGTAAGAATAACTCGTAATCCTTCTCAGCACGTTCCACTTCTTGTTTTTGAGCTCTTCCACCATAGTCTTGAGATGCTTCAATATCCTTATGTTCTCTAGCCATTCTCTTAAGTTTCCAGTTTCTGTTTTTCTTGGTTCTTCTCTGGTAGTGTTTCTTAACTAAGATAACATCAGGTACGTAATCACTTTGTAAACTATCAAACATTGGAGAGTTATAATTGGAGTTACCAATAAAGTAACCCATGACTGCATCACCAGCATGTAGCACAGCACCCATGTGAGATTTGATGTAGTATACTTGATCGTTAACACCTAAATCTGTTGATCTTGCAACTGTAACATCTGCAAGAACTTTATTACCTCGACTAAAACCTGTAGATTCAACGTCTAATACAACAAATTCCACTAATTGAGAAATCTCAGCTAAGGATGGGAATGCATCTCTCCAGTAGACACTACTTGAAATGTCTGCTGTTTGTAAAGTACATGGATCCAAAAACTGAATACTATTGGAAATTTTGCTACAAAGGACTAATCTGGAGATATTACCTAAATGAGAAGCCAATTTCTTTGGTAAAACAACCAAATCGTCCCTACAGATTGGAGCAATTTCCACAGAGTAAGAGAACTTATAAGTAGATGAACCAGTATGAGTATCTTGAGATATTAATTCTTCAGATTTCTTATATTTAATTGGAACAACTGCCTCTAAGAAATCAATCATCTTTGCAGCATGGTTCTTTTGAGCATAGAAGAAATCCAAACCGTCTCTAGATTCAGTGATGGAGATGGTATCAACGTGTGCATTGTGCTTTAAAATCAATTGTTCTAAGTACAAGAAAGTTCTCTTATGTGGAACCTTTTGTCTGATTTGAACTGTAGCTCTCCAGGTATTTGTTGTGTAAGATCTAGCACAGTCTGGACATTGCATAGCAATGACAACGTACTCGACTTCAAATGTTTGTTGAATGATTGTGTTAGCCATGGCTTCACCTTGAACGGTAAGCTTAACTCTAATACGTCTGGAATGGGGTTCGGTCCAAATAAACGATGCATCCACTAATCTGACTTTACTTAAACCCTTTAGACGACGAAGACAAATAGCCAAAAGCTCTCTAGATTCAAGTTCAGCCTTGATCCATGATGTAGGTGGTTGTAAAAATCTTTCACAGTTTCTACAGAAGGAAATATTAGCTTCTCTTGGTATACCTTCTGTGATATCAACTGTCAACTTGATACAGTCGTAACACATAACCAAACCAGCAGAACCATCTATTGGTGTACCACAGTTACAACATAGAACGGTAGCCCCCATCTGTTGCTGTTGTTGTTGCTGCATCAGTTGATCCTGATTCTGGTAGTGAATGTGATTGTGTTGATCCATCTTGATATGTTGCAGATAGTTATACTGTGGTTCCTTTTTGATTTAGAAAAAATAGGAAAGATGTTAAACTCTGAATATAATTCAATATCAATGTGACCCTGTCTATGCTATATAATAAGTAATATTCAAGACAAACTGACACATGAAGACAAAATATGGTGAGGTCTAGTGGCTAAGTGTTACTTTAATAATCAAAAATATAACTCGATGACCAAAAGTTTTTCTTCCATTCGGTAAGCGATGAGCTCTGAAAATTTTCACGCTGCCATACAAAAAAATAAAAAAAGTGATTAATGATTTCTCACGACCCTTTTACCGGGGTTGGGTCCGATTGCTGATACTGAGGGTATTAGCTCGAGGCCACAGACCCTTTTTACAAATGGATGATCAGGATATACAACTTTATCATTCATTATATATTTGTAATGTTATAATATTTACATGCCAGTTATAAATGCGTCTTCTTTTTTACTTTAGGTATCACTATTTGCGCAATGGGCCATTTTATCTACAAGAACATCGATGTTTTCTTCGTTAATTGCGCTGATAGGAATACTATCCCAACCTTGTAATTCTGCAAAATCTTGAATTTTCATATATTTATTCATGGACTCAGGATTATTCGCATCAATATCTGCTTTGTTACAAACAACAAGTATATTCTTGGTCTTTACTTTATCTAATCCACCAACTTCATTGATTAATATCTTTAAAGTCCCTAAGGGATCCGGTTCATTTAGACCAATGACAAAAACCCAACCTTTAGACCTTTCGATATGTTTCAAAAATTCTAAACCCATGCCTCTATCTAAATGAGCTCCTTCAATAATACCTGGTATGTCTGCAACGGTAAATGTCTTTTCTCCAGGACCTCTCATGATTGTCCCTATTGTTGGACGTAAGGTAGTGAATTCCCAACTTCCAATTCTTGGAGTAGCATTGGATATCTTGTTAAGAATGGTTGACTTACCTGCATTAGGGAAACCTACTAATCCCAGGTCTGCAATGGATTTTAATTCAAACATGAAATAACTTTCAAGACTTTTTCTTCCAATTTTTGCAAAACGTGGATTACGGATAACACTAGTTAAAAAATGCATATTTCCTAACCCACCTTTACCACCTTCTAATAAACACACTGGCTTATCTGTGATTTCATCCAAATCAATACCATATAATGGAATCTTATCCTTTGAAGCTTCCTCAACATTTAGACTTCTATCATATTGGGTAACATTACGGTTCAATTTCTTAAACCAATCCTTAACCTCATGGTAATCCTTTGTCTTATCCTTGAATAACCACCCTTCACCAGTCTCATACTGTTCCCTAAATAGTTGTATATATTTTGGTTTTTTATCTTCTCTTGAACGACCATAACAATCGATATCGATTTCAGTCTCTCGTAATATATCTTTTAGTGATCGTGTACCGTCGTTTTTTATTTCTGTATCAACAAGGGTCCTTACAGTCTTGGGATCCATGCACCAACGAACAACAGTTCCCTTCGGAACAGTAATCAAAATGTTTTTACCACGACTACCATCTAGTTGAGTGGCGGCACCTGCTTGTCCATCTCCAGCAATATATTTTGTCTTCAATTTCGACAGGGAATTCATTCCTTCAACCGCCTGAACGTATATAGATCCACCGTCACCACCATCACCACCATCTGGAGGACCAACTCTCCTATTTGCATCCCTCAAAAATGATACACACCCATTACCACCATTACCACTTCTACACTGTATAATTCTAACATCTACAAAGTTTCCCTGAGTATGATTATGTTTATTATATTGTCTTAAATAATTTATTGATGTAAAATTGGCAATTGGCGATTGAACTTTGATGTATTTGGTTTCAGGTGGAGTAGAAATAATCTTTATGGGGAATCGTTCATTCTTTGTAACATGCTTATCAAATATTAAATTTTTTGTCTCTACATTTGCATCATGGTTTAATTCTGCATTATCATCTAATGTGCCCAACCATTCTTCATTCTCCATTAAAGTTGGCGCATTATCTGGAATATTGGTTGATTTTAGTCTTATAAACGCAGTTCGTAGTTTACTGATCCGTTTTAGAGGTAACATTATAACATATATATACAGACAGTGTTCTCGTTTGCTTTGAACTTTTACCCTTAAAATGTTTGATAATCTACCTTCATTCTCTTTATTTTTTTTTAAAGCAATTGGTGTATTTTCCTAATTATTAAGGAAGATAGAAAATAAAAAAAAAGGTAGTTCGAGATTAACGAATAAGATACAAATATTACTTTTATTGAACGTCTGATTCCATTAGATTTATATATTTGTACTAAACAATACTACTTTGTAAAAAGTCTATGTACATTTTATTTAATTATTTATACGAATGGCCCTTTCTTTACAATGCAAGGGTAAAAACTTTCCATACTAAGATCATTTATTACCGTTAAGTTTTTATACAATTTCGTATTATGCTGAGTTCTCTGATTTTAGCTTATTTTTCAATACTTCCACATTTTGTAACACCTTCCTTATAGAATGTGGACCTTCACCGAACAATAGTAATTCAATATTGTCTAATTCACCCCTCCAATAATTAGCTTCTTTGTTCAATTCTGTTAAATGTCTTTGCAACACATATCTATTTTCAAGGGTATATTTTGCACGAGATAATTTTATACTATTAAAATAATCTTGTAAATCTCCATTCAATGAAGTAAAATTTTTATTTTCATCCCCATAATAATTATCAATAATCTTCTGTAATTCTGCCGGAGGTTTCCAATTATCAAATACAAACTCTGAAATATCTGGATCTGAAATATCTACTTGCTTCACTAGTTCTACTGAAAGTCTATTGAGTAGATTAATATATTCTAAAGAATCTTGATTAATGTTTTCCAAATATGTTACATATTGCTTTAGATCTGGCCATGATTTGGCACCTATAATATATTCTCTATTCTCTATATCCAATTTATTTTCATTTGAAATTTGATGTTCTCTTGCCTGCAATTTACTATACCTCAAGTCTGCTGTAGTATCTACTAATTTATAGTAAGTACCGTGAAGTTCTTCTAGAGACTTTAATAATGCAGCATCACTTGCGCTATCATCAGTCAATTTCCTCAGTATCGTCATCGTGTCTTGTAATATTTCATGACTGGATTGTAGGACCTGGTCTACCTCACATAGAGAGTCAAAATATGTGTTTTCTTTATCATCAGACATAATGAATGCAAAAATATTTTTCAGACCTTGAAAGTTTTCAAAATGAAACGATAGAATAAAAATACAATGGTATAGTCTCCAAACGAGATAGAACTAATGCAATGACTAATAATATTAATGTAGACCTGATTAACTTTGGTTGTTCACAAGCCTCTGCTGTTTCTTGCACCAGTTCTCTTAGATTTGGTGAAAAATTCATCATCTGCTTGCTTGCAATTCATTTATTCTTATTCTTTTTTATTTTTTCATTTCACTGTGAGGACGGTCAACAAACTTTAAGTGCCTGAGGTAACAACAAAAATAAAGTTGAATCACCGGTGTTTATGTATACAAAAGGCGGAAGGACCACCAATCCACTGACACAATAATATTCAAAGTTCTTTTGAACAACTTCGAGTGAAAGAGAGGATAACCTCATATTTGTCTGATTGAATTGTAAATAGATTGGTGAAAGTTTAAATACTTACATATATACATATATTAGGTGCGCAATGAATGAAGCGGCTAGAATGGAAATGATCCAGGATATAAAGGATTCACTACGGAGCTCATCGATCCATTTATCTCAATGGAAGTTATTAAAATCTGCCAAATGGTCGATAGAGGCATTACAAGGTATGGAGGATGTACCATTGGATAGTAGTGATATGAGTCAGGATAATATGATGGATGCCAATTCGTCTAATAATCATGCCAAGACTATCTTTAATGAACGTAAAAATGGACGGATACCGAGAATGAATGATGGCTTTACTGAAGATGAATTTGATAAGTATTTATTAGCATCCTCGTTATTTGATTGTAAAGAATTTGATAGATGTGTTTATTTTTTGGAAAATGTCAGTGAGCCTAGATTAAAATTTTTAAAACTTTATTGCAAATATTTGTCATGGGATAAGAAAACAGTAGAGAGTGTAGAGAATGTTCTTGTTACTGGGAAAGCAAAGGACCCAAACCAATGTAATGATAGTTCGGATTTAGGAAGAGACAATGAACAAAATTCTGATTCGAATGGGTTTACCAGTTATCTGAAATCAAAGAAAGATGGGAGTGTACAACATATGGAAGATGGCCATCAATCTAGCGTGGCCCTTATATTGAAAGAATTGAGAGACTATTTAAACAAGAATGAATTGAATCTTTTGCGTTCAAAAGAAGGTGAATTAGGGGTGGCATTGCTTTATTATTTGAAAGGTGTACTATTACATCAAAATGGCAATAAACCACAAGCACTTACAGCATATGTTAACTCATTAAGTTTATACTCATTTAATTGGACCTGTTGGGTTGAATTACTCGATTGCATATCCAGACCGGATGAATCATTACTAATTTTAAAACATTTGAATGAACAATTCGAATTGAGTGAACAAAATCATTATGGAACCCAACGAATAAATACTGAGAATATCATGCTCAAATTCTTTAAATTATCTTTATTCCAAGAGTTTAGTGGGAATATAGATGAATTTTTGGCGAACTTGGAACTACTCTTATCAATAGCTCCAAACTTTGCATACTTAAAGGTACAGAATGCCTTAGTGTACTACAACCACATGGATTACACGAATTCTGAAAGCATATTCGATCAAATAATAAAACTGGATCCTTACCGATTAGAAGACTTGGATATATATTCAAATATTCTATATGTCATGCAGAAACAATCAAAGCTGGCGTATTTAGCACAATTTGTTTCTCAGATTGATAGATTTCGTCCCGAGACATGTTGTATTATAGCTAATTATTACAGTGCTCGACAAGAACATGAGAAATCAATAATGTATTTCCGAAGGGCATTAATACTAAACAAGAAATCAACAAGTGCATGGACTTTAATGGGCCATGAATTTGTGGAATTAAAAAATTCTCATGCTGCTGTAGAATGTTACCGTCGTGCCGTAGATATTAACAATAGAGATTTTAGAGCTTGGTATGGGCTAGGTCAAGCTTATGAGGTACTCGACATGCATATGTATTCATTGTACTATTTTCAAAAAGCATGTGCTTTGAAACCTCTGGATCGTCGTATGTGGCAAGCTACAGCTGACTGTTATGCTAAATTAAAATATTCTAGTGGTGCAATTAAATGTTACTTGAGAGCATTACAATTATCAACAAATCCAGATCAGGAAGCACAACTATTTTATCGTTTGGCTGAACAATATGAAGAAACTTCTGAGTTAGAGAAATGTAAATCGTACATGATAAAATGTATGGAACTTGAGAGATCTAATGAGGGCCTTGTTACAGATGAGGCGATAAAGGCAAAACTCTGGTTGGCAAAAAATGAATTTCAAAATAAAAATTACGAAGAAGCTTATAATTACGCTATTAGTATCACAAATGGAACGTCACAGGAAGTGGAAGAAGCACGTACAATTGCTAGGAATTGCAGAATGCTTCTTAAATAAATTTTATCTAAAGTAAATAGTTTTATTATCATTCCAGAATTAGTTTCTCGATGACTTCTTATATGAAAGATGAGCTGTATGCGGTGTACGGATTGTGCACTGAAAAAAATAAATTTGTTACCTTATTCAATCCCTAGCGAGATGAGTTCCTTTATGTAAACATAATAGAAGAATATTAATAGCTTGAGGTCAGGGTTTAACCTAAACTTGCGTATAATGTTTCGGTATACACTCTAAGTAATAACCACTAAAAGTATTAAATATTTTGCATATTATTTTAGGCATATTCTCCTGAAAGGAATTTGAGTTTGTTGTGTATTAAATCCTAGGGAATGTCCGAATTACCACCTCCACCACCACCTGGTTTTATATCGGATGAAGAAGATAATGAATTTGAAGAAGATGTAGGTGAAGAAAATGATACAACTTCTGATCTACCTCCTCCTCCTCCTCCTCCTCCTGGGTTTGAGGACGAACTTGAAGATGATTTACCTCCTCCTCCACCAGGATTTGAAGTGTCGGATGTTAACGAGGTATCAGAGGATGAGTTACCACCTCCACCACCACCTGGATTCGAACCTGTCGATGATATGGAAAGAAATGAACTAAACACAGGTATAGAAAAGGATAACAATAAAAAGAGACGATTATCCCTAATCACAACTGACAGCCGTCAAATTAAGAAAAGGAAAAGAATTAGAAGTAGAAAGCCAAAAAAGAGAAACAATGAAGGTACAATTGGATCTAATAAAGTGGAAATGCCTCCTGAACATCTCCGAAAAATTATTGAAACACATTCAGATATGACATCGAAGAGATTTGACAGTGACAAACGTGCGTTCCTAGGTGCTTTAAAATATTTACCGCATGCCGTCTTGAAACTCGTAGAAAACATGCCTCAACCTTGGGAAGAAGTGAAAGAAGTGAAAGTATTATACCATGTATCTGGTGCAATTACCTTTGTTAATGAAAGCCCCCGAGTGATTGAGCCTGTGTATACATCTCAATGGTCTACAGCATGGATTGCGATGAGGAGAGAAAAACGTGATAGAACACACTTTAAGCGAATGAGATTTCCAGCATTTGATGATGACGAACCACCTCTATCGTATTTTGAAAACATCCATCCTACGGAACCACCAGAAGCCGTGACATTAAATCTGGATGATATTGAAGATGAAGCAGTCAAAGAATGGCTTTATGATGCAAAACCGCTAATTGATAAGGAGGGAAAGGTAAATGGGACGTCTTACAAAAAATGGAACTTAGATTTTGCTGAAATGGCAAATTTATACAGACTTTCTACCCCACTAAGAGATGTTGTCAATGATAAAAATTACTACTATTTATTTGATAAAAAAGCCTTCCTGACATCAAAGGCTCTGAATACTGCCATTCCCGGGGGTCCCAAATTTGAACCACTATACCCTAAAGAAGAGGAAGAAGATTATAATGAGTTTAACTCAATTGATAGGATAATATTCAGGACACCCATTAGAAGTGAATATAGAATAGCCTTTCCTCACCTTTACAACTCAAGACCTCGTTCAATCGAATTATCGTGGCACAGCAACCCGATATCATGCTTAGTAAATAATGACGATGATTACGATATACCTGCATACTATTTTGACCCCTCCTTAAACGCCGTGACATTTTTTGATGTAAAATCCGACGTGTCCCATGAAAATCTTCAAGAAGATGAGGATGATCTTTCGTTATCTGAATCCTTTTCACCTCTTATGACTGATCATGACCTATCTACTTCAACGACAAAGGATGCCATATCACTATACAATGCACCTTTCCCATTTAATAGAAGATCCGGGAAAATGGTTAGAGCTCAAGACGTTGCCCTTATAAAAAAATGGTACTTACAACATCCTGATGAAGAATATCCTGTTAAAGTTCGTGTATCGTATCAAAAATTATTAAAGAATCATGTTTTCAACGAATTAAAAAAGAAAAGAGGAACAAATACAAAACACAACACAAAGTTACTAAAAAATTTAAAAAATACAAAATATTTCCAACAAACTACCATAGATTGGGTAGAAGCTGGGCTACAGTTGTGTAAACAGGGTCACAATATGCTGAACCTTATGATACATAAGCGTGGACTTACATACCTTCACTTGGATTATAATTTTAACCTAAAACCAACCAAAACACTAACCACAAAAGAACGTAAAAAGTCAAGGTTTGGTAATGCATTTCATTTAATGAGAGAAATTCTCAAAGTTGTAAAATTATTGGTTGACGCACATATCCAATGTAGACTGGGAAATGTCGACGCATTTCAGTTAGCTGATGGTATTTATTATATCCTAAATCATCTTGGTCAACTAACAGGTATTTACCGTTATAAATACAAAGTTATGCATCAAATTAGGGCCTGTAAAGATTTAAAGCACGTTGTATATTATAGATTCAACAAAATTATTGGCAAAGGTCCTGGTTGTGGATTTTGGCAACCTGCATGGCGTGTTTGGATATTTTTCCTAAGAGGTATCATTCCATTATTGGAAAGATGGCTTGGAAATTTGCTAACACGTCAATTTGAAGGTCGTAATAACGAGGTTGTTAAGTCAACTACTAAACAAAGAACTGATGCTTACTACGATTTAGAACTAAGAGCATCTGTGATGAATGATATACTAGATATGATCCCCGAAGGAATTAGACAAAGTAAGGCGAGAACAATCCTACAACATTTAAGTGAAGCCTGGAGATGTTGGAAAGCCAATATACCGTGGGATGTACCTGGAATGCCTGAACCTATTAAAAACATTATCGAACGTTATATCAAGGCCAAGGCTGACGGCTGGGTATCTTCCGCTCATTACAATCGTGAACGTATAAGAAGAGGTGTGAGGGTTGAAAAAAATGTGGTAAAGAAGAATTTAGGAAGATTGACTAGATTATGGATCAAGAATGAGCAAGAAAGACAGAAAAATATGGAGAAGAACGGTCCAGAAATATCGCCCAATGAAGCTACATCAATCTTTTCTACAATGGTTAAGTGGTTAGAGGCCAGAAACTTTTCACCCGTTCCGTTCCCACCATTAACGTATAAGAATGATACGAAAATATTGGTGCTGGCATTAGAAAATCTAAAGGATAGTTTTGGGTCGAAGGTCCATATGAATTCAAGAGAAAGGGAAGAATTAGCTTTAATCGAAGAAGCCTATGATAATCCTCACGAAACACTGAACAGAATCAAGAAATATTTACTTACCCAGAGAGTATTCAAACCTGTAGATGTGACTATGGTTGACCATTTTCAAACGATTGCCCCTGTTTATTCTGTAGATCCTCTTGAGAAAATTACAGATGCGTACCTAGACCAGTACTTATGGTATGAAGCTGATCAAAGGAAATTATTTCCAAATTGGGTAAAACCAAGTGATGCGGAAATCCCTCCATTATTAGTTTATAAATGGGCCCAAGGTATTAACAATATTACAGATGTTTGGGATGTCTCTAACGGGCAATCAACAGTCATGATGGAGGCCTCTTTAGGCGACCTATGCGAAAAAGTAGATTTTACTTTGCTTAACAGGCTATTAAGATTAATAATAGATCCAAATATGGCTGACTACATTACTGCTAAGAATAATATTATAATAAATTTCAAAGATATGAGCTACATTAACAAATATGGTTTACTGAAAGCACATCAATTTTCTTCTTTTATCTACCAATTTTATGGTCTCGTAATGGATATTTTGATACTAGGCCACGATAGAGCTATGGACTTAGCTGGCCCACCAGAAAGCCCAAATGAATTCATGCAATTCAAGAGTCCAGAGGTTGAGAAACAACACCCAATTAGACTATACTCGCGTTATTTGGATAAGATTAGTATCCTTTTCCATTTTGAGGAAAATGAGGCTGATGAGTTAACTGATGACTTTCTAGCCGAGAACCCTGACCATAATTTCGAGAATGCTGTTGGATACAACAATAAAAAATGCTGGCCCAAAGATGCCAGAATGAGATTAATGCGTCAAGACGTTAACCTAGGTAGAGCAGTGTTTTGGGAAATTCAAGGACACATCCCTAAATCTATTGTAAATATCAACTGGGACGATTCGTTTGTGTCGGTTTATAGCAAGAATAACCCAAATTTATTATTTTCAATGTGTGGTTTTGAGGTTCGTATTCTTCCAAAATTGAGAACAGATGAAGTAATGACAATTACAGAAAGTGCATGGGATCTGATTGACGAAAATTCCAAACTAAGAACTGCAAAAGCTTATCTGAAAGTGTCAGATGAAGAAGTTAAGAATTTTGAAAGTAGAATTAGGGGTATTGTCATGACAGCTGGTAATGGGGCCTTTACGAAAGTAGCAGCTAAGTGGAATACGACTGTAATAGGTTTATTCACATATTTCAGGGAGGCAATATTAACAACAGAATCATTACTAGATATATTAGTTAAAAGTGAGACTGCCATCCAAAATCGTGTAAAGTTGGGTTTAAATTCTAAAATGCCAACACGTTTTCCTCCTGCTGTCTTTTACACACCGAAAGAGCTGGGTGGTCTTGGTATGATAAGTGCTTCGCATATTCTGATTCCAGCTTCTGATTTATCATGGTCAAAACAGACTGATACAGGTATTACCCACTTCCGTGCAGGTATGACACATGACGATGATAAATCCATCCCTACCATTTTCAGGTATATCACAACCTGGGAAAATGAGTTCCTAGACTCACAAAGGGTGTGGGCTGAGTATTCTGCCAAACGTCAACTGGCACTGGAACAAAACCGTAGAATGGCATTCGAGGAGTTGGAAGGTTCCTGGGATAGAGGTATTCCACGTATAAGTACACTATTCCAGAGAGATCGCCATACTCTAGCTTACGATCGTGGTCATAGAATCCGTAGAGAATTCAAGGAAAATACTATCCAAAGAATAAGCACTTTTTGGTGGACAAATGCTAATCATGATGGTAAACTATGGAACCTGAATGCATACAGAACAGATGTAATCCAAGCCTTAGGTGGTATAGAAACAATTTTAGAGCATACATTATTCAAGGGTACTGGGTTTAACTCATGGGAAGGTCTATTTTGGGAAAAGGCTTCTGGTTTTGAAGATTCAATGCAATTTAAGAAACTAACAAATGCCCAACGTACAGGGTTGAGTCAAATCCCAAATCGTCGTTTCACATTATGGTGGTCACCAACTATTAATAGGGCAAATGTATATGTAGGTTTCGTTGTTCAACTCGATCTAACTGGTATATTCCTTCACGGTAAGATCCCTACTCTAAAAATTTCTTTAATCCAAATATTTAGAGCCCATTTATGGCAAAAAATACACGAAAGTGTAGTTTTTGATATCTGTCAAATCCTAGATGGCGAACTTGACTCATTACAAATCGAGTCTGTCACAAAAGAAACTGTTCATCCACGTAAATCATATAAAATGAACTCTTCTGCAGCAGATGTTACCATCGACAGTTTATACCAGTGGGAAGTATCAAAACCATCATTACTTCATGAAGCAAAAGATTCATTCGACGTTACTTCTACAAATAAAATGTGGTTTGATGTACAACTAAGATACGGTGATTACGATTCTCACGACATCTCCCGTTATGTTAGAGCTAAATTCCTAGATTATACAACTGATAATATAAGTATGTACCCTTCTCCGACTGGTGTTATGATTGGTATCGACTTGGCATACAACATGTATGACGCTTATGGTAACTGGTTCAATGGGTTGAAACCACTTGTACAAAACGGGATGAGAACTATAATGAAAGCTAATCCGGCTCTGTATGTATTACGTGAACGTATCAGAAAGGGTTTACAGATCTATCAATCGAACATTCAAGAACCTTTCTTAAGTTCTTCAAACTATAGTGAACTTTTTAACAACGATATTAAGTTATTTGTGGACGATACAAATGTGTATCGTGTTACAGTTCACAAGACCTTTGAAGGTAATGTCGCCACGAAAGCTATTAATGGTTGTATTTTTATGTTAAACCCAAAGACTGGTCATCTATTTTTAAAGATTATCCACACTTCTGTATGGGCCGGTCAAAAGAGATTAAGTCAATTGGCAAAGTGGAAATCTGCGGAAGAGGTCAGTGCCTTGGTTCGGTCATTACCTAAAGAGGAACAACCGAAACAAATCATTGTTACACGTAAGGCAATGCTGGATCCTTTAGAAGTTCACATGCTAGATTTCCCAAATATCGTGATTCGTCCAACGGAATTGAGATTACCTTTTGCTGCGGCAATGGCTATTGATAAACTATCTGATGTCGTAATGAAAGCTACTGAACCTCAGATGGTTCTCTTTAACATTTATGATGACTGGCTAGAAAGAATTTCGTCGTATACCGCATTCTCCAGATTAATACTACTACTTAGAGGCCTAAAGACAGATGAAGAGAAAGCGAAAAGAATTATCCTAGGAGATCCAACGATCCCGATTAAAAAGCACCATTTGTGGCCATCATTCTCCGATGACCAATGGATATCTATTGAATCTCAGATGCGTGATTTGATCTTAGTAGAATATGGTAAGAAGTACAATGTTAACATTTCCGCATTAACTCAGACCGAAATTAAAGATCTTATCTTGGGCCAGAATATTAAGGCACCATCAGTAAAGAGGCAGAAGATGGCGGAACTTGCAGCTGCGAGAGCAGAAGATAGATCTGCCAGTGCTACATCAGTCATGAAGACGAAGATGATCAATGCGCAAGGGGAAGAAATTGTTGCAGTTACGTCCACAAATTACGAAAACCAAGAATTTAATTCGAAGAACGAATGGAGGCAGAACGCAATTGCTAACAGTCTACTATATTTGCGTTTAAAAAATATATATGTTGCTTCTGAGGATTTTGTGGAAGAAAAACCAATCTATGTCTTACCAAATAATATACTAAAGAATTTTATTGAGATTTCGGATGTGAAAATACAAATTGGTGCCTACTTGTACGGTAAAGCTGTTGATGGTCATGCTAACATTAAAGAAATAAAGACGGTGGCGCTAGTTCCACAATTAGCGGACAACAGATCTGTTCAACTTGGAAGACCCCCTATCCCAGGTACCAACTTAGATATTGCTGGTTTAGAATTATTAGGTTGGATTCATACCCAAGGAAAAGACATAAAATTTATGTCTGCAGCTGAAATAAACACTCAAACATCTAATTTTGGAAATAACAACAATAAAGATAACCTAATTGATATCAGTATATATTCTGCACCAGGTAATATTTCACTGGCCGCATACAATCTTTCCGAAGAAGGGTATCAATGGGGCCACAATAATAAAGATATTTTGGACGACGATGCTGAAGGGTTTGAACCAAGTTTCAGCTCTTACGCCCAATTACTTTTATCAGATCGTATAATGGGTAACTTTTTAGTCCCAACAAGCAAGGTTTGGAATTATTTATTCATGGGTACGAGTTTCAATACAGAACTTGAGTATGAGATGAAACTGGGTATTCCAATAGAATTCTACAACGAGTTACATCGTGCAACACACTTTCTGCAGTTTAATAATATCGGAAACAACGAAGAACTAGAAGCAGAGCAGGAGAGTCTATTAGCATAAAGTATTATATAATGATATACATTAGTTTTAAAAATGTACAAAGTATTATTTTATAATGGTTACTGTCGTTTTGATTTACGATGATGTTGATAAAGTAAAAACTTGTAGCCGCGAGGCTTTCGACATATTGAAAGCATCGAGAGGGACGGGTGAAAAAATCAATTGGTAAGGTTTTATCGTTGACACTAATGCAAAAGTCTTCAACTTTAACAATTCATCATCATGAAAAGTACCATCACGAGGTTTACAATTGTTGTTAGGAAGTATACCAAACTCAAAAACTTCGTATTTAACGAAATTACAAGAACTTATATATAATTAAAATATACATGAGCAGACATTCAAGCGGTGCTTCTCGTAGAGCCCGTTCTAGAGGTAGAACCACGAAGAGCACACGACCAAGACGATATCCAAGAGATATACCAGTAGTGTCATCCTCATTGTACGATAGGATAAATATACCAGTAACTAATGCAAATGAGACCAGATCCTTCGGCACCCCTGAGATTCTGAAACAACTGACACCTGCTTTTGAAGATGCAATTTACAATCTACTAAGGAAAGGATTTACGTTCGGCGATCTTGTTCACCTGTTCAAAGTCGACAGATATACGCTCAGAAATGTTTTCGAGAGGTTAAATTTAAATATCATCATTCAAAGAAGTAATAGATCATTTGAGCACCAGCAATATCTTGCCGAAAGAGCTACTTTAGAGAATACCACTTTGCATGACTCAACTACGCGATTAAGAGCAACCGCTGCCCAATTTCAAACCGACTATAATGCTAATGGAAGAGACACAACCAACACTGTGCGGGCGATCCCTATACAGGTTGATTCTGATCGTTCACGTTCAAACCCGTCTATAGCAAGTGATGCATTGCAGCTCCCTTCAGGTCCATCGAAGGAGAAACTATACAGAAATATAAACGATTTACGAATACCACCAGCAAACATGAATAGAACTACTGTCAATGCAACCACTAAATCTGATAAAAACGAAAATCCATCAAATGGAGCAGCTATAATATGTGAGTCAGAGACAAATAATACCCTAGATACAACAACGCAAAAAGGTACCCTGCAAATATCGGAGGTTGTAAATTCATCGAAAGCTATTCCAGAAGAGGCCAACATTCTACAACAAAAGAGTTCATCTGAAGAGGCAACGGACCTGAGCGTATCAGATCCAAGCCTAAAACAGTCTATAGAAGTAACAAAACCAACGGTATCAGAGACAATAGATTCAACCATACCAAAGGTAACAGGCTCGACGATACCAGAGGTAACAGAGCCAACATTAATAGGATCAATTGCACCGCTAGAGATAGCAGAGCCAATAATATTAGATCAAGCAGGATCGGTGATACCTGAACAAACTCCTCAATTATCTACATTACAGCAACTACCTCGTCAGTATAAAGTGGCAAAACAATTCACAGCGAATGTATCTGAAATGGGACAGCAGGAACTGACCCAAGGAACTTTAAATATTTCTTTAGGCAAAGCAGAGAAAGCAGATAACAAGAATGCTACTAATACTATAATGTCTATTACTGACGCAGATAAGATAACAAATGAGGGCACCTTGATTACTACTGACAGTGCTCCTGTTACTACAGGCGTAAACACGTCATTTCAGCGTCCTACTGAACATACTCCTATACAGGAAATATTCGCACCTTCTATTGAAGATTCGACCAGAAAGGAGGTGCCTGAAGTTCCTACCATTCACGCTAGAGCGGAAGGAACATCTGTATCTCCTATCGAAAAAACATCAATTGAACAAAGACCTTCAATTCATACTGCAAGTATTTTTATAGAAGAAGCACCTGTACATCCTACTGTAAATACTTCAGTAGAAGAAACATCTATTCCGTTAGCTTCAAGCTCTGCAGAAGAGGCTAAACTTGCACTCCCCTCAGAAAACGTAAAGGTGGAAGCTTTATATTCATTTTCAGCCGAACACTCCACACCAGAAGAAGTGTATACGCCTCCTGTTTTAAATAATACAGAGGAAGAAGTACCTCGTACTCCTACTGGTGCACTACACCAGAACATTGATGACCATACATCTACTTCTGTGGTTGAGGACAACGATGAAGATATCAACATCTATCCAGACCTTTCCCCAAAAGAAGTGAAATCTAATAGATTTGTTGATGTTTTGTTAGAAAAGTCTGAAGATGTACCTCAATTAAAAGCTAAAAATATGAAGATAGAGACAGAAAATCTGATAGCAAATAGTTCTTCCGAATTGATGAACGCAACTCATTCCGCGACATTTTTGGCACCAGATGATCCTCACAACCAACTTTTAAAGGCACCAACATATCCGGCTACAACAGTAGAATCTGAGGATACTGAGGTACAACTTGAAGGAGAACCAGAGGATACGCATATGGGGCAAGAACTAGTAGGACTCATGACGGTACAAGAACCAAAAAATTTAAAACTGTCAAATAATCCGCGGGATATTATGCTAGAGCAAGATCAAGAAATATCGGAACCCTATCAGTCATCAGATGATATTGAGCCAGTTCAAAATATTGAACGTTTGGAACCATACCAGTCATCTGATAATACCGAGGAGGTAGCATTTTTAAGCGATAATAATAACCTGATTGAGAGCCCAAGTATGAAATCTCTAGATACGTCGGGAATAGATACACCTCCTGGAAATAATGTAGATAGCGTACATGGTGCTATACCGAAAGGGTCGCATTTTAGGTTCCTTAAAACTGAGGAGCCTTCAAATCTTAATGCTATTCAACTAGACAATAATAGTCCAACAACAGTATTCACAGAAGATAAGGATGAAGGTACCGGAAAAAACCAGGACCTTCAAACAGAAATCAAGAGTGTAATAGACGCTAATGACCCTGACAGAATTAAATTTTTCAATACTGCAAACGCCGTGCAACAAAATATGCAGAATGCTATAAAACAACTTAGCCCGCTATGGGCCCAAAATAAACAGCACGTTAACTTCTTTTCTACCAGGAGTGATTTTAAACAATTTATCAATAGGTTTCGTAAGAGTGCAAGAGATATCCAAGCTTTCTGCAACATATTAGATTATGATTATGCTCATTTACACAAGGAGACAAATCCAAAACCTACAGTTTTAACAGGGGTCTCTCCAAAACCATCGAACCATATTGTGCCTCAAAATTCCCAAATTGTTAAAGTAGGGTCTACCAATGACGCAAAACATAAAACAGAGCGCATCAAGAAATCAACAGTCAAGGATATACCTGTCAAGAATATAAAATCGAATCCTGCCAAATCAGGTAGATGCAGTGTATTTGACATTAGTGGTATTTTCAATGAGCCAAGTGCAAAGAAAAGGGTAAGTCATACAGAAATAGATAGGCAAAGTGGGACTTCTAATACGAAACCGACGAGTCACAAACCAGATTCTTCAAATAAGAAGGGGAAAGAAGGGGTTAGAGGCGACACAACTACAAAAAATATTCCTAATACAATCCATGGTGACATAAATGAACCAAAAAAATCTAAGGTCAATAATAATGCCAATAACGGGAGGAAACCAAGCTTGACTAAAGAAACTAAAGGAACAGAAAATCTTAAAAATAGCAAAGATGTTCCAACCAACACACCGAGTGTGCAAAAAAACCCAAATAATATTCCTATTGATAAAAACAGTAAATTGCCTGGCTTTTCTCAAGGTAGTGATGGAAATATGAGAACAAATTCTCAAAATTTTCCAGAGGCTATTTTCGAAAAAAATACAAGTAAGGCTACTGGGAGTCATTCAAATGGCTCAATTGGAAACGAAAGTACTATGTACCATAACAATCCCCTTTTAAGAAACAAACATAACCCAAGCAATGTGTCAAACTCTGTCCCACTTCCAATTGGACCCGGCAGGTTACCTGGCTTAACTCCCAGACCAACAGGAAGATATTCGCCAAACAGGAGAACAGCTAACTCTATAAGGGATAATAAAAGACGAACTCAACCATTAACATTCCCAAGTAGTTATCCACCTCAACAAAATGCGACTAATTTAGGCACACGCTCGCCTGAGAAGAACAACCTTAAAACATTACCGGGATCGGCACAACATAATGATTATTACAACAATTTAAACCTACCATCTGGGCCATCTAGAAAAGTGCCGGAACCCCAAATACACAGTCGCAGATCGTTACCGATAAACTCTATGACACAATCACCACTCAAAAGAACATTTAATGGCCCACAAGGTACTGTAGAGGAAAATGATACATCTACACTTTCAAAGAGGCCTCATCTTGACCATGCACCGGTGCCTCAACATGAATGGGATAACAAAGATGAATCCAAAATTGTAGATAACAGTTTTATTCAATTATCAAAAGTATGTATAAGATAGTATTATCTTCCCTTGCAAATATTCCATTTTTTCATTTACTAACATTAACTTTTTTTATGTGAACAGTCTAAGCCAAGTTCATTCAAACCATACCATTCAATGCTACCACGTTGAACACGCATCATATTATTTTACATTCAAGCAATCTTACATAAATCACTAAAAAAAACTATCTTACGCAACCTCTTGTCAACAATCGCATCTTAAATGAATCATTGAAACTAACATATTTCGTAGATTTCAAACGTAATTTCAAAAATTTGAGGTCATCGCAAAATATTTTGCACGGGTAGTACTGTGGGTTACACGCGAAAAAATGAAAAAATACACCATAACGTATATAATATATATAATATATGCAAATATATAATTAGACACAATAATGAAAATACGTGAAATAATGATAATAAGTGGTTTATAATCAACAGATCACAGAATCATCACGGTTTGGTTGTGCAATTTATGCGTACACTTAAGGAAACGAATTATCAAAATCTAAACGTTTAAGAACACCATTTACTAAAATTATTACTGAATTTTGCAGTTTGATAAAAAAAAAAATCTTACCTAGTGATTGTGTGTTAGTCTCACATGTCTGAAAATCAAGAGAAGAGGAGGAAAATTGAACTAAATTCCAACGCTACAGATCAACACACCATAACCGATGCTAATATATCTACAACAGTACTAGGTGATAGCATTGTAAAACCAAAGAAACGTACAGTCAAATATCGCTTCGAGGAATTGAAGAGAAAACCAATTAAAAATAATGAAGAACCTGTTGTCCTAAAATCAATTCCCCAATCACAAGTTTTAAATACAGCTTTCAGTAAGAATCGCAGGGAAATTGATGCCAGGAAAGTTTTACAACCGGCTCATAAGGCCCTCAGAAGGGTACCCTCATACAAATCTAAGACCGAAGAAACCAAGGATGGAATTAAGAAAGAAAGAGAAACTGATGAGATGTCAGATCATGTTATATGGAAATATAGTCCTATATATAAAGGGACACCAGAGAGATCAACCAATAGTTCTCCAGATAGAGAAAAGGAATATGTTCCTAATCTATCGAATCCACCTTCAACACCAACAGTTTCTAATAAGTTAAGATCCGTACTTAATTTTACGTATTTGAATGATTCGAATGAAAATATACAAATTCCAATTGAAATTACTGAGGGGATGAGTGATATTCAAAAATCTAAACAAAACGAAAGAAACTCTTCAAAAGATTTATTGAGGAATATAGATGATATCCTAACTGAAATGAGAGAGGATACAGATCTTCGATTGAACTCTGAAAGAATAAATGGACTGCCATCATCACCAGGAACGTTAGATCGTCCTGAGACATTATTATTAGAAAATGCAGTAGTGAAGATCGAGGAATCTAAGAACAGATCAACTATAGAAAACATTCAACCTCAAAGAAACGATTTCCAAGAGAGCGAAGTAACTAACAAGACAGATATTCCAAACACCATGAATATAGACAGTATACCGAAAAATAAAGTTCGATCAACATTGAAAGATGCGGTTATCACGATAACTCAGCAAAAAATATCCGAAGAAGGATCTAACTCAAAACAACCTATTGATAACAAATCAATTGAAAACGACGACGGTGATTTAGATAATGACGAAGACGATGAAGTGTTATTTGATATCATTTCTCAACAGAAACCGAATACAAAGTATGATTCGAAACCAAAACCAAATGAACCGACTATAACGGAAAGTGATGAAATGCTAGATGATTCACTTCTGGATATATTCGATGACCTTGAACAAAATTCTCAGGTCCCAAAGGAGGAACCAGTTTGTGATAAAACAAACACCGTTCCGCAACCAGGTTATCCTAATGGTGAGAACAATAAAACAATTAACGAGTACTCTGAAAGGGCTAAATGTGCTAATGAAAAGAAAGGGGTATGTCGATTGGTTGTTCTTTCAATTCGTGAAATGACACTTCCAAAGATCGGCATTCAGAAAATTTTAACTTGTATAGATAGCAAAGGGTCTAAGGTACCAGTAATTCTTCGTAATCCGTGGGTCTATCTAGATATCTATGAAGGTGATGTTATCCATATTATAGAGGGTAAGAATTTTGCAAATAAAAGGTTACTATCACAGGATAAAGATCCCCAAACACTTGTCGAAAACGATAATTTATTAATTCTGCATCCTGACTTATTACTCTCAGCAACAACCATCGGGTCCTCTACAAAATGTTTAAGATGCAGTGTTATTGATAACATGTTCCAGGATATAAGAAATGAACAAAGTATTAGTATGACGATAGGAAATATAGTACATGAGTTATTACAAGACGCATTCAAATACAAACTTACACATAAAAAACTTACAATAGATTATTTTACAGAGAGATTAAATGAACTGTTAGACACATATTCCTTTGCTATCCTAGTATGTAATGAAAATGTCGATGATGTGAAGAACACAATCATGGAAACACATGTCCAAAAAATATTGAGCTTTGTGAACAAATTTGTAACATCTGATAATTTCGAAAGATATGTTCCAATCGCTAATACGAAAAAAAGCCAACCCATCTCTCTCCCAGACATTATCGATATCGAAGAGAATATATGGTCTCCATCATTTGGGCTGAAGGGTTTTTTGGATGTAACAGTCGATGCAAATACAGAAAATAAACACCAAATTGTACCCTTAGAAATCAAAACAGGAAAATATAAGAGTCAAGCACATGAAGTCCAAGGATTAATTTATACGCTGCTTCTCAGTGACCGATATGATATATTTACTGATTTCTTCCTATTGATGTACACTTGGGAGGAAGGAATGGTCAAATATAGAAGGTTACCTGACAAAATCAGACATATATTGATGACAAGAAATAAAGTAGCATCTGCCTTAAACTACCGTCTTTCAGAAATAAAGAGTAGAGGACAAACAATATTTCCTGTGCCGACAGTGGAAGAGAATCCTTCAAATTGTACTTATTGTTATAACAAAGCTGTGTCAATGATTTTGTTCAAACTCGTGGAAAATGGTGATGCTGAAGGATGCAGGATTCCTAAAGAAGAGTATGAGCAATTAACAGCTCACTTACAAACTGACACTAGGAAATACAGAGAATTTTTCCTAAAATATAATGATCTTGTTACAAAAGAGGAATCCAGTGTCTGTGCTTCTAATCAAGATCTATTTCTGATGACTGGGGAGGCTAGAGAGTCACACAATGGCCATTGCGTTCATAACTTAAAAGTATGTAATATTACAAAGGATGAAGAAATCGAAGGACAATATTTATATCAATTCAAGAGACGAGATACAGCTACACAAAAGCATTATTCAATTTTACAATCACAAATATCTCTTGGAGATAGGGTCATAGTTAGTGACGAAAAAGGCCATTTTTCAATAACCTCAGGAAATATCATCGAGTTAACTGATGATTCGGTAACAGTCTCAACCAAACGAAAGCTATTAAACAACAAAATATCATCTGGGCGAAACAATGAATCTAAAATAGAAAGTGTAATAGACCCCACAATAAAGGAGTCTGATATCATATCCACGCAAAATGAGGTTACTTATAGAATTGACAAATATGATATACAGCAACCTTTATCGGGTGCAAGATTTAATCTTCTGAATCTTTTCCTTCCTCCCATCAAAAAGGGCACATTTGTACTTAATGAGAAGACCAACGAACAACGACTGTTAAAGTTGTCTGAAGGTGGTGATGAAAGAATGAAAAAATTTCTTGTGGATAATATTGCACCACAGTTTCTATCAAAGAACAGTAAACCATTCCTTCAGAATTATCTTCCTGGGGACTCTACTTTTAATGAGGATCAACACAAGGCTTTAAATCTCTGCCTTAGAGCGGAAGACTATGCGTTAATTCTGGGTATGCCTGGCACTGGTAAAACTACGTTAATTGCAGAGATTATTAAAATATTAGTCAAGAACGGTAAAAAAATATTACTAACGTCTTATACACACTCTGCTGTGGATAATATTCTTTTAAAACTTACCGATGCTGATATTAAAACTATTCGGTTAGGTTCAGAGAGAAAGATACACCCTGAGACTAGAAAATACATGGTAGATTATACATTGGCTAAGAGTTACAATGAATTTTTGAGCATAATTAATGAAACCTCATTAGTGGCCACCACTTGTTTAGGTATTAACGATTTGCTATTTTCTTATAAAGAAAAGGATTTTGATTATGTAATACTTGATGAAGCTAGTCAAGTTTCTTTACCAGTTGCATTGGGACCCCTTCGTTTTGGTGAGAAATTTATAATGGTTGGTGATCATAACCAATTACCGCCACTTGTGAAAAATGAAAGTGCTAGACTTGGTGGACTGGAAGATTCTTTATTTAAGATACTGAGTGAAAAACATCCTGAAAGTATGTCAGAATTAACATTACAATATCGTATGTGTGGTGATATTATGAAACTATCCAATTTTTTAATATATGATAATAAATTGAAATGCGGAACAGAACAAGTTGGTAATCAATCATTAAATATTCCAAATCTTTCATTTATTTCGAAATATAAATTGCTAGTTACTCAACGAGATTGGTTAGTTGATATTATGGATCCTCAAAGAAGGGTTGTGTTTGCGGATTATGATAGAAATTCAAGTATCATTGAAAATATTGAAGGTGATAATATTATTAATGAAGGTGAATGTAAATTAATTTGTCAAATGGTCGATGGTCTAATTTTATCTGGTGTACCATGTAATAGGATTGGTGTTATGACACTTTATAGAGCACAATTAAGATTATTACAAAATTCGTTTAAAGATGAAAAATATGATGGGTTAGAAGTTCTAACGGCGGATCAATTTCAAGGTAGAGATAAAGATTGTATTTTAATCTCCATGGTAAGAAGTAATGATGATTTAAATGGTGGCTCGCTATTAAAAGAAGTAAGGAGAGTTAATGTTGCAATGACTAGAGCTAAATCCAAATTAATTATCTTAGGATCCAAGGATACTATTAGTTCAATTAGTGGCATAAAAGAATTTATCAGTATGTTACATCGTAACGGCTGGATATACAAATTACCTGCTGATTGTCTGAATATTTATAATTTCGAGAAGGCATTCTAGAAATGTAACCAAAAAGCAACAGCAATTCTATACACTTTGACCCAAGATATTTACATATATATAGATATACATGCATACAAAAAAACAACAACACATAATATTGAAACGTAATATGGAATTTTACACATAAAAACGTAATATATATAATATATATTCATGAATTTGTTTAGTTAGAATTTGGTAGTGACTGTTTCAAAAGCAAGATCATCCACAAACCAACTTACCTTATTATCAAAGAGTTCATTCACAACAGCGGATGGCATTGAAGTGTCCTTTAAATCAAAAATATGATGCATTGTTTCTTGTTTAGAAGAACCCATAGTAACAAAACAAATTGCACCAGCATCCTCCATAACAGGTAAAGTAATAGTAATTCTATCACTTGGTGGTTTTGGAGAGTCTCGACACCACATAACTTTTTTAACCTTTTCTTGAATTAAATATTTGTGATGATCCCCTGGAAACAAAGAACAAGTATGACCATCTGGACCACAACCTAGTAATAATAAATCCAATTTATTTGGTAGCAATTCTTCATATTCGGAAGCGATCTTTTCATAAGCTTCGGCTCCTGCATCCACTAAAGAATCATCAATTGGGTAAACTCTTGGTAATACAGATAATTTGTCAAGAACAGCATCCTTAAATGCACAATAATTACTGTCTCTATGATCTAATGGAACAATACGTTCATCAACAAAATAGACGTTCCATTTATCCCATTTAATCTTTGGTGCAATCGTAGAATCATCTACTAAACCCTTTTCAAGGACATTAATTAAAGAACCACCACTAATAGCAACATTGAAGAACTTTGCGTTCTTTAGAGCATCTTCTTGTTTTTGTAATATGTATTCACCAAGTTTATGAGGTAAATTTTCCTCGATGGTATACTTGTGGACGTTGACCATTATTATAATGTCGTGAATGTTTTTTTTTGGTCTTTCTTCCTACTGAAATGGATATAACCCTGTACTAAATGGTATATATATATATAGATATATGAAGACACACACACAGAGGCGTTCGAGTAAAATTTAAACTAGACTTTATATATAGTTGTAGCTACAAGCTTTCTTCCAGCTGTGAGTCCCCTTTTTCTCTCCCTTTTAAAAAATTACTCCTTTATTACCTGAAATTTTCCACTTTCTCTATGTGAGAATTATTCGGTGCATTATGTAATAGAAAAACCGAATCTCAGCTGACAAAAGTGAAAAAAAATACACAGAAACGCTATTTAATGTGTTCATGAAGCAGTGAATTGTGTATACATGTCCATAGTGAAAAGTACGGCCTCAAGTATTGAATCGCAACATGGTAATCTTGATCTTATTAAATGCTATCAAATATTTTTAGTTAAATATGTGTGTGTGTTACCCGCACAACCCGTAAGAATTTTTTTGAATTTTTTTTGAGAAAAAAATGAGATTTGTTTACTTTGAAGAGGAAAGGGAGAGACAGATGAGGTTTGGGATAAGAAGTGCATAAGAGTTGGATCCAGTTCACTAGTAGGCCCTTGTGTGGTTCAGATCGTCGAGCATTATAATATTTGCGTATATATATTTAAATAGAGGCCAGAGTTTCGACTAGAGATAATATTGAAAAGCAAAAAAAGTATGGCGGTTTGCAAAGTTTGTAAAGGTACGGAGTTTGTTCGAGATCATTCGAATGCTAATAATGATTTAGTTTGTAAGAACTGTGGTGTTGTTTCTGAAGATAATCCTATTGTGTCTGAAGTGACGTTTGGTGAGACAAGTGCGGGTGCCGCTGTCGTCCAAGGTTCGTTTATTAGTGCTGGCCAAAGTCATGCATCTTTCTTATCACATGGTGGGTCCAGTGCATTAGAATCTCGTGAAGCTACTTTAAATAACGCTAGAAGGAAATTAAGAGCAGTATCACATGCGTTACGTATCCCGGAATATATCACTGATGCAGCATTTCAATGGTATAAATTGGCTTTAGCTAATAATTTTGTTCAAGGGCGTCGATCTCAAAATGTAATCGCCACATGTTTATATGTTGCATGTAGAAAGGAAAAGACGCACCATATGTTAATTGACTTTTCATCACGATTACAAGTGAGTGTATATTCCATTGGTGCTACATTTTTAAAGATGGTTAAAAAATTACATATAACGAAATTACCGCTGGCGGATCCATCTTTATTTATACAACATTTTGCAGAAAAATTGAATCTTGGTGATAAAATGATTAAAGTTGTAAAGGATGCCGTTAAATTATCGCAAAGGATGTCAGATGATTGGATGTATGAAGGGAGACGTCCTGCAGGTATCGCAGGTGCATGTGTATTATTAGCTTGCCGTATGAATAATTTACGTCGTACACATTCTGAAATTGTTGCTGTATCACATGTAGCAGAAAATACTATACAACAAAGATTAAATGAATTTAAAAAGAGTAAAGCATCAAAGATGTCTATCAAGGAGTTCCGTGAAGATGATTCGAAGGATTCCGAATCACGTCCTCCATCATTTCATAAGAATCGTCAAAATGAGAAGAGAATAAAGACTCAATTAGCTAAAGTTGAAGCTAAAGAGACAAGTGAAGAAGCATTAAATAGAAATCCAATTTTATCACAATTTATGACGGCTCAGGATTTATCATCAAAGGAAGTTTTATTTTATTTGAAACAATTTACTAAGAAAAGAGAAAATACAGTGAAACGAATTAAAGCTACACATGGTATTGATGATGAAGATATGTTAGTACAGGATGGATTTACCAAAAAAGTCACACCAATGGAAAATCATAGTAGTGATGAATCCTCGAATGAAGATGCTGATAATATTTCTAGATTAGATCGTCGGTCACGTCGTAAGAGACGCAGATTACACGAGGATGATATCGAAGTGAAAGTAGAAGAAGATGAAAACGAGGAGGAGGTAGAAGTATCGGAGGTAGGTACACGTAATTGGAGAACAAGAGGACAAAAAAAATTATTTGTTGCTCAAGAAGAAATAAATAAAGAAAGACGAGAACAAATCGAAGAAGATGAACTTGCTGTAGGCAGAAGTGGACATTTTCAAGATGAAATCGATGGTTATTCATTAGAGACAGATCCTTATCGTCCACGTAATTTACATTTATTGCCTACAACACAATCGATGTTAGAATCAATTGCCGATGATCCTGATAATTTAGAAGATGTAGATGATGAAGAGTTAGATGCTGTGATTCTTGATGAAGATGCTGTAAGACTTAAAGAACGCATTTGGGTTGGTATCAATGAAGAATACTTATTAGAACAAGAAAACAAGAGATTAAAAGAAGAAGCTGATCAATTGGCAGGGAATACAAGTAATAAGAAAAGACGTGCAGGTAATGGTAATAATCGTGGACGTAAACGGAATAATGCACAAGATTTACCTGTTGTTCATACCGCAGTTGGTGTAATGTCTCAATTAGAAGATAAATCCGGATTACAGGCTGCATTACGTGCCGCTGAAGAAAGTGGTGATTTAACCACAGCAGACAGTGTTAAAAATATGTTACAGAAGGCAAGTTTTTCACGTAAAATTAATTATGATGCAATTGATGGGTTATTCAATCAACCAAAATCGAAATAAGAAGGAAAAAAAGGTGAATATTTCATGTATTTATATGTATATATCTTTTATTAATTTGTCTTATTTACTGTTTTTTCAGCTGTACCATTGACGATGTACTTACACATTTCTGTCATAGTATCACCAGACCGTATTCTGAAATCTGCAATACGTAAAAGATGGAAACCTGCGGTCATTGCCAAAAATGCATTAACAGCAGCCAACAAATTATTTTTTGGAGTAATAACAAATGACCAACGAGTCCAAATAGCTGCAGTAGCTAATAATGAAAGATTTTGAGCACCTGAAACCTTTTCAACTGGCCTCCTTGCATCGGAGAGCCCTGCAACAACAAGTCCCCATTTTAAAGTTGGGGCCCAAAAATGTACAGTTCTTGGACCTGTTTCACTTTGCCAAAATCTTCTAAATGCAAACCGTACTGTCGACATAATAATAATATAATTTTTCAGAAATTTAAGTATATGTATATATCTGCCTGGTAAGTAAATTTATCGAAAACTGACTTTCTTTCAATTGAAATATCTAGTTCTTTCTAGCGATGGGTATACGTATATATATATATATATATACACTTGATAAAGTTCTGTTACTTAACTTTCGACCTGTATTCCAAAAGAAATATAGCAGATTGAGTTCTTTTAACCTTCCTTATGGTACCTGTCTCTCTCTCTATATATATATATTGAGGTGTCAAAATTTTTCAAAATTCGCCGTGAATTGTTGATTATGAGTCGTTTTTTCAGCCTGCACGCGTGACTCTTCTCCCTCTGCACGCTGCCAAAGCGGAAAGAGAATTTCGGGTGTCGTGCGGAGTGATGTGGGTGAGGTCAAACAATGGCTTGCCCTCACGACTGGATTGGGTGTTGGCTGTTATAACGTGTTGCAGTGGGAGGCTGCTGCTGCTGCTGGTGACGGTTCTGTTAGCAATGGGCAGCCACAGGTCGTTTCCCGTTCTGAATTTGCGTGGGAGATAGAGCTCGGCGGCTAAAAGTCTGTGTCTGTGATCACTATGCACGGTGGAGTGTTTTTTGCGGAGGCTGCACAATGTCGTGGTGTACGGCACGCTTAATTAAATTATTTTTCATTTTTTTAGTTTTTCAGCCAGAAAAAAGTGAAAAGAGAGGATTTGGTGATAATAGGGGCATTGGGATACAATGGAGCTGAACTTGAGGAAATAGATGGTATATAGAAAGCAGTTTGAATTGGGCAAAAAGCGATATTATCTTAATATATCTGGCAGTTTATCAGATCTGTGAGCGGTTCCCTTTAATCTACCTTTGAACGGTGTACACAACACACCTTATTTGATTACTATCTCTAACCCTTTATTTTTCTAGCATTCATCACCATGACTACCTATGTGAAATTGGTTAAAGGTGCCACTAAGATTAAGATGGCGCCCCCAAAACAAAAATATATTGATCCTATCTTATTAGGTACATCACAAGATCAAGATTTTAATGAAATTATACGAGCTTTAAGACCACGTATTAGAGATTCTGCTTTTACTGTTGCTTTTAAATCTTTAATTGTAATTCATTTAATGATCCGTGAAGGTGATAGAGATGTTACAATTCGTTTTTTCTCTAAAAATTTAGAATTTTTTGATATTTCTAATTCTTTCAGATCAACAAATGGTAAATTTGAAGGTCAAGTCTTAGATAAATATTGTTCATATTTAAAATTAAGATCAAATGAATTTAATTTAATTCAAGTTGATTACGTTAGAGATGGTTACAATTCATTAAGAAGTATAATTAATGATAAAAATAATAGCTCATTAAATAAAGCATTAAATCATGTCGAATCATTAGAGACACAAATTACAGAATTATTAAGAAATAAATACTCAATTGGAGATTTATCAAATGATTTATTACTTTTTGCATTTAAATTATTAGTATTTGATTTATTGGCATTATATAATGCATTAAATGAAGGTATTATAACATTATTGGAATCATTTTTTGAATTATCACATAGTAATGCAGAAAGAACACTTAATTTATATAAAAAATTTGTGAATTTAACTGAAAATGTTGTGCGTTATTTAAAGACTGGTAAAGCTGTTGGTTTAAAAATTCCTGTAATTAAGCATATTACGACAAAATTAGTTAGATCATTAGAAGAACATTTAAGAGAGGATAATATTACACATAATACATTTAATGATGAAAATATAGTAACAAATGATATTGGAAATTCGCCAACAAAAGGATTAGCTCAAAAAAGATTAGATGAAATTAGAGAACAAAAGAGACAATTACAAGAACAATTAGCACATCCGCAATTATTAATTAATGCTACTGGTAATAATAATCCAATGATGATGAATCAAGCTGCTACTTTACCAACATTGCCTACCATGAATATAACCGAACAACAACAATTACAGCAGCAACAATTACAACAACAGCAATTGCAACAACAACAACAGCAATTGCAACAACAACAACTGCAACAACAACAACTGCAACAACAACAGTTGCAGCAACAGCAACAAATGCCAATGATGCCTCAAATTACTACGAATAATCCATTTATGAACGAAATGCGTACACAGGTACCGCAATCATTTACACAAATTCCATTGCAATCATCTGTACAAACACCTTTACAATATTCAAATACTACACCTATGATGATGGGACAAAATGGAGTTACTACAGTACAATTGCCTCAACAGACACCTGTAACATTACCACAACAGATTTCAATATCTGAACAACAACCACAACAAAGTGGCAATAAGAATCCATTTTCTATGAATAATATACAACCACAAGAACAAAATAATCCATTCTCTCAAAAAAATTACAACGAACAGATCCCAGCAACAACAAATAATGTGACAGCTAACAACGCTGTGAACAATAATCCATTCTCATTACCAACTCAGAATCATGCTTTACAAACTGCGATGACTGCACCTGTATCAATTAATCAAACTGGACCACAATTTACCCAGCAATTCAACCCTCAGCAGTTCAATACTCAGCAGTTCAACCCTCAACAGCAGCAGCAGCAGCAGCCCCAACAGCAACAAGAGTTCAGCCTTATCGACTTCTAACATAGCACATCTATAGATTATAACAATAACAAATTTAGTATATATGTACAAATTTTTCAATAATAAATTTTATAAAAATTGAGTGAAATGATTCTTATTTTGACAGTTTTTTAATCACTAAGTGGTTAGACTCCGTTAGACCGTTTCTTCATGCGGAGAAAGTTAAAGCCGAAACGGACAGAGGGGGAAAAGACAGCCAACAATTGACAGATTGAAAAATATTTTCGTTATTTCAAACAAGAGTCATCCTTTATTTTTTTCTTTCTTTAATATAAATAGACAACAACTAGAACCAAAAGACAGAAATAAATGTTTTTCCCATGTGGTAAGTGAACTCTGTTAGATTCTTTAGTATTTATCTCTACGTTATTTATACCCTTTACTTTAAATAGCATTGATCGAAATTTCTGTTAACGATGAACTCCGATTGCAGTACAAACGTGCTGTATAAACTGGCCGATAAAACGCAGTTACTTCCTTTACAAAATAAATTAAACAGAGCTAATGATACACTCCGTCAAACTAAACATTCACAATATAATAATCAGTTCCCTCAAGAGACTCAATTTCCTGGATCGTCCTCTTCCGCGGTTTCAAATGGTAATACTATAGTGGGTAGTTCGTTACAAGATATACCAACTGATAATACTTTAGGTTGGAGGGATGAATTTCTTCAAAATCAAACTATACCTTTACAAAAAACGATTCCTAAATTCGATCGATTGTTAACAAATCTGGAGGTGGATTCTTCTTTGAGGTTCGGAGATAATAACCTTGGTCCCGCGCAGACGGCATCGATTTTACATTCAGCCGCACCTAATAATTATACCACAACTAATAATTTAAAATATCAGACTTATGATTATTATAATATAGATCATGAAATTCAACAAAAAATACAAATGGAACCTAGAAACATGATGTGTCCTCCAGATGCATTACAAGACGAGTTTGAAGAACTGGAGAAAGAGTTGGAGGATTTGGATTTAGATGCAGTAATGACAACCACTTCTACAACATTGTCAGACTCCCAAGAAAATTGTCTAATTGATGAAAGACAATTATTTAGAGATACTGCAACTGAATTATATACACTCACCGTAGATAATCCCAAATACATTTCAAACGGAACACAATCGAAAATGGTTAACTCAAAATTTATGAATATGATGAAAATGATAAGTAATGGTTCTGTGAATTTGAATAATACTCAAACAGAGTTATGTTCAACAACTAGTAAAGAACCAATGGGTAATAAATATATAAATATTCCTGAAAATATATACAATTAATTTAATGCATAATTTTTTTTTTAAATAATCATGACTTCTAAAAGAAAATACAGCTTCTGTATTGTAAAAATTGGTGTTAACTAAGTTAAAATTCCTTCATTTCAACATTTCTGCGTATAGACTCTTGATTATTGTCCTTTGTATCACCAATGAATTGTAATTTATTCCCTTGACTCTTTTGAGTTGTTTTAAATTGTTTCATTGCATTATTATTGTTATAAATAGATTGATTCGAACCAGCTCTTTCATTAAGATAAGATGATTTATCACTAACATTTTCATTCTCATATTCCTCATCTTCACCAATACCAAGAAGACCAGACCGTACAGTATCAACGAAACTCCATAAAGATTTCGATAAACTTGGATTTACAGAAGATGAATTAGCCTCAAGAATAGTATTTTCAACTGGCATAGTATTCCTACCTGACGAATTACTAGTGTTAAATACGTTTGCCCCCTTTGTTCTATCTAATTTTTCTGGAGAATCGTTATCTGTTTCACTATCCCAATTTAAGGATTTTTCCAATTCATTCTGTAATATTTGATCAAACTGGTTGAACATAGCAAATGGTTTATTCCACGCAGATTCTTCAGGTTTCGATGAGGGAGGTTCAATTCTACATTCTGGTGAAATAGGTACCTCTTTCGTCTTATTACTTGTTGGAGTTCCATTTTTTTTAGGTCTTAATGTCCTTGTGCCACGACGATGTAAACTATTTACATTCTTCTTTTCTGATATCGGAGATGTATGATTTGCCACAGAAGAAGGTTGTTGAACATCAGGAGCCGATATTGGAACACTCTGTATCTGTGATGGTGGAACATTACCCGAGCCAGGTGTTGTTGTACTACTCTGAGCATTAACATTTTCACTTAAATGTTTTGTAACTTGTGTTTTCAATTGTTGTAATTCTTTAGCATGCTGATCATAAAGTTTTTGTTGTTGGCTTAATTGTTTCTTCAAATCTTCAATTTTTTGTTTACTTTCAAATAAATCCATCTCTTTACTAGCTAAACTTTTCAATAGACTATTAATATCCATGGTATCTAAATTCGCCGAACTAGATGCCAAAGAACTACTTCTGGAATGAACTGAAAGTTGAACATGCTCAGGATCTATTATATTTGAATTACCAATACTATATTTCCTAATTGGAACATCATCATTTGATTTTACTAGATTATCATCTGATACATTGGATTTATTAATAAAGGTCTCAGGTGATATCGGTGCCATAACTGGTTGTATAAGTGATCTTCTCTTATTCAACATAACACTTCTTCTCTTTGGGACAGTAACTCTTGTATGAAGTACAGGCTCTAAAGGTTTTACATCAAGTGGCCGCTCAGAAGCTATATCTTTGTTCGATACTAAATTCATATTTAGTTCTTTATTATATGTTGATTCAGAATCTTTCAATGGATGATCAACTATTCGCGTTGGAGTGATCTGACGTTGTAAATTAAATTTGGAAGTATTACTTATTATTGGTGATTTGGGACTAGAGGTAACAGAGTTGTCCTTCGGGAGATCATTATCTTGACGATTATTTGATACAGATATCTGCGTGCTTGTGTCGATATTTAATCTTTTATCTGTCTCGTCTATAAATTCATCAAATTGATTCATTGTACACGTTACTTGGTGATATCGTTGTCCTTGATACTATAAAAAATTGTACCGTATAACCAGTTATATACCTCCGTGTAATCAAAACAGAAACAAAGGAATAATTTCTTTGTTCTTCTGATCACTAAAACTGAACTCGTTAATCCCAATTATATAACTCAATTCATACAGGTTGATCATCTCCACAATTTAGGCACTTCATCGTGCTTCCAAGCTCTTTACCTTTTTTCTTCGCGTCTGACAGTCTGGCCTATGTCACTTTTTTTATTTTGTTTCGTGAACAATGGAGAAAGAACCTTAAATATATTTGTCTATGAATACCTGATGCAATTTAAAACCTCAAAGCTTAAAAATAATGGAATATAGTTTGTAATCTTCTTAAGAGAAATTAAATGGACTACTTTGCCACTGGTGATCATCCGATGTCAGTGGCATGAAAGTCTGTATAGGTAAAATATCTTGTTGTATGTTGATAACCCTGCAGGTATCATCAGAATCCATAATAATATCTTGATAAGGTTGCACACCAGAAATATCAAATTGTGTATTCCCGTTTAACTCACTCGTTAATATGATCTCTGGGTGTATATCATCATCTAAATTATTAGCATTCTGGGATTCCGTGCACATCGTTAAGGGAATTATATCAAGTTTGCATTTAACGTCCCTTGACATCGGAGAAACTGAATCAAATTTTCGTTTCAACGTACTCACTTTATAACTTTCATTAACTTTGTTTATATCATTTAGTAACTGATTGTACTCTTCTTCTTCAATTACCTTAACATTCTCATTAAGAATTCCCATATTTTTTCGATGAACATCAGATATTTTGTATTTATCACAAAATTCACTTATAGACACGACTTCTAACCCTATAGTTGTATTCATTGCCAAAGGTTCCTGTTTTCTATATGGATTGTTTTAAAACTAGCTTAAAAGTGATTGAAAGTTCTTATAATATTAGCCGCTTTCCCTTTTCGGGGTCCCTCTTTTAATTTTGCCGTCTGGTTTCTCCCAATTTTCATCTCCAACATAATATGCATATATATATATATATATAAGAAAGATATGTTCACAAATGAATAATATGTAAATTATTTCTCCCACATAATCAATTAAATATACCATTAATTTAACAGTCATCGCCTCGATTATTTAACAGTATTCCTCGTCTAATGCATCCTCAATACAAAGCTCTCATCAATACCCCAAGAATTAGATGGGCGTCATTATTAATCTTTGGAGGAATGACGGCAAGAAAGTATGTTCCATCATTGAAGACAAAAGTTAAATACATACATCTGAGAGATGAAGATATTTTATTTATTATTGGTCTATCATTTATTTAATATTATTGATGTCATATATCTATACATAATTATGTAATGTCACATATTTGTATTTACATTTCAATAATTATAATATTTATTATTATTCAGATTACAAGATTTATTACTATTAACCAACATTCTATTTTCAATCCCTCGGGATTGAATCAAATAAAACATTTTTGCTATGTTTATAATCAATGCTTAAGTTGAAGATGCTATCCACGCACCAATCCCAATTGGTTATAAATATACCTTCTTTGGCGTGAAGAGGATCTGCCTCCATAATTGCATCTCTGAATTTTTTCATTTGTGCAGGTTTCGATGCTACTAATATGTACTTTGGAGGTTTAATAGAAGTACCATCTTCTAGTTTCACTTTCCTTAAACTTCCATTTTTTGAACCATCTTTGTGATTTATTTCAAATTTTTCGAAATTTTTTATTGAATTATTATCTAAGATATTAATATTTTGGATACCATGCTCTTTCAAGATTGAGGATATCACTATTGGTCCACCAGAAATATCACGAACTAGATTAATACTAAAGATCCCGGCTCTTTCGAATAATTTTTTAGTTTTACTTACTCTGTCAAGCAATTCTCTCGAGATATCTGGTACAATAAAATTATCAATATCAATAAATTGATCCCAATCAAAAGGTAGCTCAGAATTAACCTCCTTTAATAATTTAAAAATAAAATCAGGAGTTACTGCGTATCGAAGATTTGGGAAACTTAATACCTTAAGAAACTTCGATGTTCGTAATCTTTTGGGTGCAATAATGCAATTTACTATATTTTCGTTATCACCATAATCGTCTGAAAACAGTGTGATACCCATTATGTTCAAAATTGTTTTATCTAACAAGGATAACCCACTTAAATCACAACCTGTATTAACTGCATATATGTTAAATATGTGACGTCTGACAGTTTTCCCATTTTCTTCAATGTAATAATCGCATCTTTCAAGTTTATCCTTTGCCTTGTTTGTCATCTCTTTTCTTTCTTTAATCATAGCCTTTTCTTGAGGTAACATTGCAACTTTCCCATTTTTACCCTTTTTATGCTTTTGATATTCATTTAATGATTCCATATCACTATGTAAACGTTTAGCTGCCTGCGCAGCAGCTGCTCGTCTACTTCCACCACTACTCATCAACTCTGATGATTCCCTTTGTAAAATAGGTGAAAGATTAGAAGATTGACGTGAAGTACCAAGCGCACTTAATGTTTTAGATGGAACAGCCATATTATTATGAGAATGATCTTTATTACTATTGTCAGGGGTCGAAGATGTATTTTGATGTGCAATTTTGGAAACTTTATCATTCTTTTCATCTTCATCAGAAGATATTTCCTTAAATAAGTTAACTGCATTGGTATATTTAAGAGCTTTCTCTTTCTGTTTAGTAGTTGCCGCCTCAAGAGTTCGTTTTCCAATTAGAGAGGTATCAATTATATCACTAGCCTCGAAAAAAGTTTCGTTCGTAGAAGTTACGGTATCATTTCTTGTTGGTTTACTGACTAGTCCATTTGTTTGACGCTTGGTATCATTATTCTCGTCGCTAATTTTAGTTGTAGATCCCAACGACTCCTCTGAATTCTCAGATTCCTTTTTATTAGGGCGGAGATCCTCTGGAGGTTCTTGAGTCTGTAATAAAGATTCATCATCAATCTTAGCATTGTTTGGTTCCAAAAATGTCATTTGTCCAAGGTTTAACATAACGTCATTTTTAATTTTATCATATTCATGAAACTCTATTTGATCAGGATCAACATTTGAATTCTGTTTATAACATGTTTCTAACCATAGATGATTCACCACAACACAATGACCCCATTTTTTAGCTGTAATGAATTTTTTACCCATTGGAAGTTGTGAGATCAAATGTGTATTTTTATTCGAAAGTTGCGTTGTACTTATTCCACCCATTAAATTAACTAATCTTTGAATATACGTTCGTTGTGGACCAAAATAATTGGTAAATGTCATAATGCATGAATTCTTATTAAAAACTTTTGATGGGAAAGGTGCAAATATTATTTTCCCTTTCTTATATTCACTCGTAATAAATTCATTTTGAGACCACATATTAAACAACCATATTAAATTACCAATATTTTTCCCATTAATCTTATAATTTGTTGTAGATGATGTTAATAAATCATATTCTTTCGATTTAGTAGTATATCCAAGAAAACAATCAAAGGAATCAGAATGATTCAAGACATCAGAATCATTTAATTGATGATATATTTCACCCCCATAATACTCTATAATTTGTTGTAGAATAATATATGCATGTGATGACATTGATATATCCATCCCAATTAAGAATTTTCTATTCTTTAAAAAATTATCGCCTGAATCTTCAAAAGTCATGTCACAAACATGTTCCCATGCATCAGTTATTCTATCCTGATTCATTGAATTATCATTTAAATCAATTAAATGTTCATCACATGAAACATTTTTGCTTTCCTTAAAACATTGAATTAGCCATGTTGGATACACAAATGTCATGGAAGAAGATGCAGGTAATTTCTGAACCACAACAGAGACAAGTTTATCATCAGAATCATTAGCAATTACATGTGTAGTTCTAGTAGTAATTGATTCAACATAAGTACCACCTAAGGATTGTACCATTTCTGAATAGAAAAGTCGTTCAGCGGGACCTCTACAACATTCTGGCGAGACAAACACTTGGGCATCCCTCAGACAATGTCTAAGGTCTGGGGAGAATAAGTTAGTCTTGATATGTCTTTTATTCTTAATAGATTGTACTAACCATCCTGTCTTCACTACTGGGATTAAAAAATCGAATGCGGCTACGGAGTAAAACGGGAAATTGGTCGTCTCACTGATAATAAAATGTATACCTCGCCTTCCATAATTCTCCACAAACCAATCCTTCATATTATTCATATATATATTGGTGTCAGGTGTGTAAGTATAAACATTTTCAGCACCATTATCTTTCAATTGTTGAATTGATGACTGGACAGCCGCATCGTCTAGACGTTCACTCTTAATAATCAAAAAATTCAGTTCGACAAATATGCCAGCCATTCTGTCAAAATATGCTATTCTCTGATCAATTTTGAAATATTTTAATACCTAAGTCGATGAGTATACTAAGTGTAATCCTTTTATTATCAATCATTAGTCTATGTACTTATCGTTATATCGTTTCAGTTGTCTTTTCTTTGTTTACATCTTCTAATAATTTTTCAGTGCTAACGCGACAAAAAACCCACAGAGAAGCGATGAGAGCGGTTTTGATTCATTCTCTCTCTATATATTTTCAGTGGGAAAGAAAAGGATTTCGATTTCCACGCAAAAAACGCGTTTTGGTTTTCACTTTGCGTGTGCGTTTGTGTGGGAGAGAAAGAGACAGAGAGAGAGGAGACCTGGGCGGCAATGATCTGAAAAAAGAAACTGGAAGGAGGAGGACTTTAAAGGAACATTCATTTTATCAATAATAAAAACATGAATTTACAAGAACGAATGAAACCACTTCGAAGGATTTAGTAGCTACTGATTAATAACCTGGTACTCATGGAGATCACTAGGAGATATAAATTGAGACGTAATTCCCATATTGGCTGTATGCAGGACACCATTGTAATTGACATCAATAACTCTAATTTGGTTTTGATGATCGAACAAAGTGTAAACAATGGCAGTCTAGATTCAGATACTAAAAATAAAGAGATAAGGGAAATGATTCAGAATGAGCTAATGATTGTATTAGATATCTTAGCCAAGGAAATCATTACAGAACGTAACGTTAACATTAATATAAGCTTATTCAAGAAGGGTGTTCCACTGTGGTATTGGAATAGTATTCTAAATAAGGTGCTCTCTGAAAATTTTATATCCTTGTTTGACCATTGTAATTTTATTATAACATTACAATCAAATGCAGATAGACAATATTATCAGGATAATAGTTCAATGCTAAATAAGTTCCAAGCGGCTATCACTAATGAAGAGGTACCACAGGAAGAAGACGAGGAGAACGAATTGTTAATAAAACTTGCTTTACTTCAGATATGCAATGAGAATAATTTAACTGATGAAGATATTGAACTTGTGATAACAAATTACCATTCTTTAGAAGAAATAATAAATGATTATTAAGAATAAAATGTATATAGCTGAATATTGGGTATAAAGAATTATAAAAAGGAGAGGATAATTGATTTTATTTAAAAAGGAAAATAAGCCGAAGAGAATTTTTTTTAATGAATATGCTTTTTTGTGTACGATGCTAGCTTGTTGGTAATATACATAGAGTGCCATTTCTTTCTTTAATTTAGTTTTTTACTTTAGATATTGGTTTTTGTTTCTTCTTTCTAAGTACTTCCTTTTAGTTATTAGTGTTTTAATGCAGATTTTAAGAAGCAAAAAAAAATGCCTTTTTTTTTCAATTAATAGTCAGAGAGGAAGTCCAACATCGGTTCATCACTATCTATCTTCTTTGATTCTCCGAATGCTAGTTTGGTTGGATTTGATTTTGCTAATAAAAATTTTGTCTTATGATCATTTAATTTTTGAGAACAAGGTGAAAGTAATGTATCAGTTGGTGATGCAAATTTATCTCTAAGTTTCAACTGAATATTCTTCTGGGTGGCACCTCCCTTCGAAGGCCATTGTCCCAAGTTCTTTTTTGATTTGAAGACAGATCTATGCAAAGAACCAGACGTATAACTGGTCCTTTTCATATTGCCCATGTCAGAACTACTGGTTACATTCTTACCGTTAATGCTACCCTTCCTTGGGGATACTTTATTTTTAAATCCTTCCCTCTGGAATGTTGGTGAAACATTTTGTCCCTTACCCTCTGTATTGACATCAGCCATTGTCACTACTGTTGCAGTTTTAGAAAAATTTACTGATGATGACGATTGTTGGGATGCTGGCATTTTTCAGAGAACTTAAAATAATACTATTATTAGTAATAATAAAAGGTGGTGGAAATTCTGTTTGTCTAAATCTACCACTAATAACAAAAGTATAAGACAGTAATTGAGATCAATGTGTTTCCTATATAGTAACAATTGGTTCTTTCTTATATCTACAAGAGAGGATGAAAAAGAAAATGTATCTTTCCAGGTGTGATTGTGGAACTTTAAAAAAATTAAAAGATTCTTATTCCAATCGCCAAGCTAAACCTGTTGCAAGAACACGAAATATTTCCAAAAAATACTTTGTATCGGAATACAGATCCATTACCTACAATAAATTTTGTTTTTTGTTAGGTCTCAGCTCAAACAATTAACCTTTGTGAAACTTTTTTCATTTCTAATTAAGTCTTAAACAGGAAATGATTGATTTTGTTTACAAATTACCCGTTTAGGAATAGTAATGAGAAAAATGGGAGTAACTTATGAACCCTAATCACGTGATATGCCCTAACGTTTTTGCTGTTTAACCCTAGGGCTTTGAATGTTTTGAATTTTCTTTTTTTTTTCGGTTCGCATTGTTACGATTTAGAAGGTATGCCATACCATTTTACTTTTTTTTTTTTCACTAAAAATTTAAACATAGCCACTAGCTTTATGAGCAACATAGAAAACATAATAACAGTGATACTGTATTACAACATAATTAAAGATCTACAATTGCATTTTATGTTTAAAAAATCATTCTCATCATACGCATAAATTGAAATACTTGTTAGATTGCTACTTTTTCTTTACTAAATTTTAACAAAGAAAACCCGTTGATTTCCTTTTATTCATTTTAATCCCTTTTGCATCTTCTCATAATCAACAAAGATAAATGTTGTCTATACGACATAAAAGGCCTATTTCTTTTTTGTCGGTAATCATTTGCATTATATTGGCGAGATTATGTCTAGGTTCTTCCTCATCTAGTCCATATGAAACATGGCCTGAAGTTAGTGTAGAGGAACAAAATGCGATAAGATCCGAAAGAGATATTCAAAATAATATAACGATAGATCAATTACCATACGTAGGTGTCAACCTACAATCAGTATTATTTAATAATGAAACATATGAAGAAGTTTCGGAGATTGATACAACTACAAGTTTGAATGGAACTGATACCCTTAATAATTTTGCATCCATGTTAAATCAAGGAATTGGAAGTTTTATATTAGATATTGAAAATAAAAACCATACATGGTATATTTTAGATACCAACATACAAGTTAAAGATTTCCTTTCAACACTAGAGAATTTCTTAGATCAGAGTAACAGTAATTTATCTGCCAATGTATTATTGTTTTTGTTAAGAATTCATGTGAATAGTTTAGATGATGACGATAGCGTTACTGAAAATGATAGAACGATAATACGAGATACATTAAATCATACAACTTTGAATTATACAATGACAAGGCAACTTTCTTTGGAACTCAGTGGAAATGAAAGGGCTAAGAGTGTTAGTAATAATACTCAGTTGACAAATTTAAATTTAACAGCATTAATCGAACAAAATTTTAATACAAATTACATTTATAAACCATCAAATCTTCTGGAAGACAATAATCTAAATTTGTCTACCAGTATTCTTAATATATCTTCATCAGCAACTTCGTCATTAGAATGGCCAACATTGGAAAAGTTCTTATATACAAAGCACAATAGAATTGTCATTACAGAATTAACTTCGATGTTAAACGATAGTTTGAGCTCATATGTGTTTCCAAACACTATTTTACATTTAGATAGATATAATTCAACGCTAACGTGTCCCACAAATGCAGAAGAGTTTAAAAATATAAGTTCTATCCAATGGAGGCTTCTTGAGGCTCCATTTGATTACAACGGTATTCAACAATATATGCGTTGTGGGTTTTCACCAATAATAACTAATAGGTTCAGCATTTTAAATATTACAGAGATTACGCCATTGATAAATAGAGGTATTATATGGTCATGGAAGAAAAATGAACCAAGATTGTCGAATTCAAGATTACTTATGGGTAAAGATTCAATGCAAGCATATAATTGTGCCATGTTAAAATTTACTTCATCTAATGGGTCAGCTTATTGGCAAGTTGATAATTGTTATTCTACTCGAACCATGGTTTGTAAAAATAAATTCGATCCATTTATATGGACACTCTCAAAGGAAAAACATAAATATTTCACATATTATAACGATAATGATGATGTATTTTGTCCTGATAATTATACATTTTCCTTACCAATTACTCAGTTGGAACAAAGGTCTTTAGATCTTTATCTAGAAAGTCTAGACACACCAAATTTTAATCTATGGATCAATTTGAATTCTATTGCAGTGAGTAATTGTTGGTTAATTGGTGATAGAAGTTATATGTGTCCATATTCTCGTTCAGTATCAAAGAGAAATTTTGTTTCTATGTTAGTTCCTGTCGTAATTATTGCAGCCGTATTATTGGTTTGTGTCCTGTATTTAAGCTTGTTAAATGTTCCAATTCATGATAATCGTAAGAATTGGAGAAGAGTTGTTAATAAGATCTCTAAATCAGAGATGGAAGGTGTTCCATCGTAATTTATTTTAACTTTGAAAAAAAGAAAGAGAAGAAGGATCAGAAGGAGAACTGATCCTGTTTCCGTAATCATTTTGCATAACTCTCCATCGCATTATATATATAAACATATATTAATATACCCATAAAAAATACATAAATATATGTTGTTGTTGTTTTTTGTTTATTTGTTTTATTAAGAAAGAATATATAAAATAATAACAATAGCTGAAGAAAATAAGTTTTCTTAAGATGATGGTAACACTTTGATAACACGTCTAGTTAGCCTTCTTCTCTTAAACGTGGAATCTATTAGGAACTCATTATCAACGGATAAATCCAAATTTCTATCTGAGGCCCAATCATGAATATTGTAATCGATTTCCCATTCACTATTTGGATCAAACAACCATTGATCAGGTGCCTGCACTTGAGACAAATCTTTCACACCAGGTGGAGGGGTTTGGGCTCTCCTATATTCATCTGTTGGATTAAATAAAGATTTTGAATAGATGAAGAATTTCCATGTCGTTGGGATTAATCCTTGTCTATATATTTCAAAGATCTCCACATAACGAATTGAAGGTGGTTGATCTAATATCACGTCATATTTTATAGTTGATGTGGTTAATGTCGTCGTTGATATTTCTTGTTTATCGTGTGATTGGAACCAATGCAACTGTTTCAAACGGGGTAATAATTTTGGATGTGTTATAATAGCTGTTAACCATAGAGTACAACTACATAATAAACTCCAATTAATGAAAGGTGATAGACATTTGAATGCAATACAAGATAATAACAATCCTACTAATAATAATGTTGTAATTCGTTCATCCTTAAAAGCTGCAGTCTCATTTAAGAAACTTGATAATGAATCCATCATATGTAATTGACTTGTGGTCAAATTTTGAAAATCTCTTAGATTAAGAACTACTTGCATTCCATGAGTAATCTCTTGTGGCGTTGTGTTTAGGCTATTAGTAGTAGTAGCAGTAGTGTATGATGATGGTTCATGTTTAAAAAGATCGTTAATCAAAGACTTCCCTATTTTTTCTCTATGAGATTGTCTTGAGTGAGTCCCATCAAAATATTTTAAATTATATTGTTTAATAATGATCCCTAATGATAAATATAATAAAGGTAATAGTATTAAATACATTGGATTATAACAAATCTTGGTTAAGATCAATAATATGATAATCATCGTAGAGGGTTGTCTCCACGTTAAGATTCTAACCATAGTATCTTGAAATTCGAATACATTTTCCATTCTTTCTGATAATTTATGAACATTTGATGCTAATATTGCTACTGAAACCTCTTGATCCACCACATCGGGCAAAATATGTTCTCTTGCAGGTAAAGGTTCGGGAACCAGTCTGCTGATTAGTTTATCTAAGAATAAAGCAAGAAATGGTTCTTCATCTTCCACAGTAGGTTTCATATCGGTAGTCTTGTCAATATATTTTTGTAACTCTTCCATTGCTACAAAATCTGTCTTTGTATCATCACCATCCTTATTTTTACCGTCTAGTTGTTGTTGCTTGTTCTTTAATTTAGTTAAGGACACATTAACTAGCGAACTAGCCATTTTCGTCAATAATTCTTTATTCCAAACTGATTTGTTGCTAGCACTCTCATTCTCTTCAACCATTGAAATTTCTTCATTAGTGGAATCGATATCATTAAAAGCAGCTAATAACTCTTCGGCGTTAAGCATGGAATCTAACAGTTCGATATATTTCAATCTAAAATATTCCTTCATCTACGACAGATAATCATACATACATACATATATATATAGAGAGAGAGAGAGAGTTCTACAATCTAAGTTTATTATTAAAATAAGGATGTAATTTCTCCCATTTTGCATCTTCTTGTTTAACGTTTTTATAGATTTAAAGGATACTTTAGACGCAACGCAACGCAACGCATCGCTAACGCTAACGCTTCCCTCCACACAATGGAGGGTAACACACACACACACACACACACACACACAAACAACGTTCCCACAGCACTGCTTCACAAAGACAACTCATCTCTCCTATCTTGATATATGTCGAACCCTTCCAAGGTCTGCCGACATTAGCAAAGGTTTCGTTATCTCAACTAACAATAGAAGACTGGTGAAGGCCCATTTGTGGCCAGGCCTCTCTCTCCCTTCTCTCGATAGAGGGAGAGAGACAACGGTCCTTCTACGGCCGTTTCTGCGCCCGACGCGTTACCCCCTTCACACAAAGAACTACATAATGAAACGTTACGCGTCGAGTCTTTCACGGCGGACATCGCGCATGAAATTTGTTTTCCTTATTGAGGCAAAAGAGATGAAAAATGAAAAAAATGTGAAAAATTAAATTTTCTCTTTTTGGTTTTAATATAAATAAAACTGGTAAACTGGGAGGGATAGATGGATGACGTTTTGTATCGATTGATATTGGTTTCTAATTACTTCTGATAGCGTGTTAAACGGACGTGATCTCTAGATATTTCAGTCGGCTGAAGAAGGGACTAAAGAAGAAAAGTTCGTAGATATATATATATATGTGTTAGAAGAATTAGAGGTAGTGTAAAAAAATGGATATGTTTACTACTCGTGCCAACTCGATGACAGTGACAGCTGTCACTACAGCTTTTGCTACTACATCTACAAGTGCATCCCGATCATACCATTATGTTAAAAGAGACGATAGTGATTCGTCGTCGGCATCCTCTACAAGTAGTTCGAAGAATGCTAAATGTACCGGTACTAAAGCACAATGTCAAAAACCAACAGATCATGATATGTCTGTTACTATTGGTGTCGCAGTTGCGGTCCCCGTTGTTGTAATAATACTTTTCTTAGGTATTATTCTTTATTTTGTCTATCGTCGTGGTAAGAAAGAAGCTTTGGAAGATAATGATCCAGATTTTGATGGTGACGAATTTTTAACGGGATATTATCCAACTCATCCAACTTATGATAATCCAATTGAAACAAAACAAGTATTTCATGAACAGTACGATCAAACACAACTTCAACAGAATAATACAAACCCATTCAATGATAATAATACTACTAATAATTATAGTATTAATAATCCCAATTCAAATATTCAACCATGGGAAGTTAATCCATTTCATATCCCTGGAAGTGGATCAGATATTCATTCGTTGCGAACATTTGCTAGAGAAATTAAAATGGATGGTGATCATGGTTATAATTTAGCATCAATGTCACGTCATGCTTCACAATCTTCCTTGGATTTGCTCTCATCAGCTACAAATAATACTTCACCTTTAGAGAAACAGGATGTAATTCAATCACCACCGCAACAAGAAGAAGAAAGTCATCGATTATCTCAACCTGTAGAACAAGTGACAAGGTTCGATGAGGATGGGGAACCGATAACTCCAGCAGAAGAAGAGAATATTCGTCGTATGAGAAGTATCTATAAAGTCTATCTAGATAGAAACGATACAATTATACGACAATCTCCAGAGAAGTCCGTAGTAGCGGAAGAGCCTATGACAAATGTATCTCGTTTAGAGGTTCAACCACCGCAACCATCGCTTCCCACAGAAGAAAATGACGGATCAATGGGGAATCTCGGCGGTTATGACGATACAGGTAATAATAACCGGGCCACTCATTATAGAGTTGCGTCATCGATTTATTCGGAGTTACCAAATAAACCCGCTAGTGTAATGTATCAACAAGAACCATTACCTCAATATCCTCAGTACATGCCTCAACAACAGCAACAACAACAATATTTACCACAACAGCAACAACAGATGCAGTACATGCCTCAACAATCATATATTCTACAACAACGTAATCATCCACAAACTTTAGAAAGTATTGGAGAATTACCTCCACCTGCAAGGTTAGCCTATAGTGCTTCATCGCATTCATTAACATCATTCCGTCAACCTTCAAAGCAAACATTTGCATTACAAACTGCAAGACTTAATGGGACAGCACTAAATCCAATGGATCATCCCGAAATGTTTTATTCCCAATCTGATGAACCTTACGTATCTCAACAGCAATATGGTAACGATTTGCAAAGTATGACTACTAATAATACCATGGGTACAACATCTCATGTACATCCTTATCAAATGCGTAATAGTATAGTGATGACAAATCCTTCTGAATTACAATCATCGTCTAGATCCTATAGACCTGCAGGTTCTTTCAGAAAATTTAATGATCCAATGAACACTACTAATAACAATTCAAGAAATAATAGTTTGGTTACATCAAATAATACTTATCAACAATATGTTCAATCAAGAGTTAGTGGGATCCTTGAAGAATCAGATGTCTTACAACCACCAAGTGTTCCAGGTATTTTACCTCATAGTGGTTCAAGTGAAGATTTACGTAAGCAACTAGGTTCATCACATAATTTTAATGTACCTATGTAAAAAAAACACTAATGAACAATATACTTATATTATTTTTTATATATATATCATAAAATTACTTATTTTTTTATGCCAAATCGAAATCATCAATAGCATTTCTATATTTCATTACAGTACGTTTGATCTTTGAATTATCAACCCATGTAACATAATCTTCCATATTACGAGTTACCATATATGCAGGATCATTAATTAAATTTGGGCCAACTCTAATATGACCTTGTTCGATATATTTAACTGCATCAGCAATCGTTTCAGCCATCTTTAATCTATGCAATATAACAGATAACCGACGTCTACACATTGCGCTCACTGTAACTTTATTTTCCAAATCAGATATCTTGGATTTTGTGGATAATATTCCCATGTTATATAGTTTCTCTAATAGTAATTTTTCTTGTTTATGACGAAATGGATCTGTTGGTGGTAATAAAGATAATTTATGAGCTAATTTACGTATGTCACCACAGATACGATTATATTTATGATAATCTTCTCTATTTTGAATGTGATACGTACCCATCACCTGTGTATCCCTGTGGTTTTGATCTTGTTTCCAATCATAGAAATCAACTTTCTTAAGTAGTTTGGATTCATGATGTTTAAGTTTACGAGCCATTCTGTTTGTATATGTATGTATGTATGATGTTCAGCTATCTTCGCCCAAATGAGAGTATTTATATTCTGCTCAGCTGCCTTGTGCTAATATAAGTAACGGAATAGTATATATCGTCTTATACTCTAACCTCCCGTCCAGTTTAAAGAGTTGTTAAACTAAAAGATAGTTTCTGTCACCTTTATCGATGACTTGAAATTTTTCAGAAGAAAAAAAAATTTCAATGTGTGAAAAAGTTACCCTCCTTTCATTATTTTTCAATTTTTTGATTTTTGCTTCGAAAAGGGAACCAGTCTCATATCTCCGTAACAAATGGATTTAAAACAGCTGTAATTAGAACTATAAGCTATACCAAGGCTCAATGATTTCATACCGTTTCCAACACAAATATATTAGATAGGTAGATAAATATATAACTACACAATGTCATTAATACAGAAGAGGCTGTTTTCTTTGACTTCAAGGGTTCGCTCTCATGTCGGTGCATCCGTTATATATTCGAACCCAGAGACACAAATATCCCTAAGGGCACTCGACCCACCACGATTGATTCAGAAGGGTAGAAAATTTCTCAAATTATCACAGGAGGTTACTGTATTAGGTCCCAAAGGGCAAGTCGTTATGGATGTCCCTGATTTTGCACGTATTGTTACAGATGAAGAAACGCATCGTATTCATGTCTCTGTAGATGATGATTCAAATAAGATTCAAAAAGCTATGTGGGGAACACTTAGAGCCCATATGAATAATCATGTTGTTGGAGTTAATGAAGGTCATCTTGCTATTTTAAGATTTGTCGGTACCGGGTATAGAGCACAAGTAGATAAAGATGGAAAATACGTCGGAGTTAAAGTTGGTGCGTCTATACCACAGGGACTAGATGTACCAGAAGGAATTACGGTAAAATCTCCAACTCCAACCACTTTAATCATTGAAGGTTGTGATAAACAACAAGTATTTCTGTTTGCTGCCAAATTAAGAGATTTCCACCCTCCAGAACCTTATAAAGGTAAAGGTATTTATGTGAATGATGAAACTATTAAGATTAAGAACAAGAAAATAAAATGATCTAAATGAAATTCTCTCTTCGGTTGAAGAAAAAAAAACAATGCCTGTATTTAAGATACACTTGTAAATAAGTAAAAGTAAATAAACATATTTATATTTTTTATATACGATATCATTCATAAATTTTATGTCATCCATTTCCAACGTTATACTTAATTAAGGTGTCTCTTCGTCATAAAAATAATCAGTTGGATCTGCTCCGATTTCTTTAGACTGAATAATGAAATCACTCACAGTATTTGTAAATATTGCTACATTGTTGTAATTTTTCATTAATGCATTGAGAAAACTTTCTATTTGTGTTACTGTCAAATTAGGAAATGCAGTCGTTAAAAGTTTTGTGATATACTCATTTAAATATATCGTGTTGGAGAAATTACCTGAAATTCCTTCTGTATTAACTAAGGAAACAGGGATTCTATTATCGTATGATAACATTAGTAAATTTCTGAATAATAAAGCTTGTTTGGCAAATGCTGGTTGGTGATCAGAATCTGTTATCGCATACAATATCTCATTGATTAACTTTAAATAATATATCTCGTAGAATTTGGCTTGGAACTCTGTATTATCGTTTAACCTGTCGACATTATTTAACATATCAATGGCGATTTGTAATCCAGTTTCTTCAATTTCTCTATTGTGATGTTTAAAAGACCAACATATCGTATCAAAAAACATATTAAAAAAGCCATCTGTTGGAAATTCTATCAGGACAGGAAAATTTTTATATGTGATGGTCCTTAATAATTGATAAAAATATAATCTATGATCCGGAAAATTATCAGTGTCATTCTTTATCATTTCTAAACTGGATAAAAATGTATTTTCGATTATTATAACCACTATATCCGGATATCTTTGACCACAATTTAAAATTACGCTGTTGGCGTATAACAACACTTCAGGTTCCTTGAAATTTATGGGCTCGGAGTTATAATCTTTCATGCTGATATCCAAGAATAACTTCAACAGAGGTGAAAGATATTTATCAAATTCTACCCCATTTAAATCCGAAATGAAAAGTTTTTGTAAGAGCAATATTTTTTTTTTGATTGAACGACATGCTCTAATTTTAGAAGTATCATTAGCTTGTACATTCAGATTTTTTATTTCATTTTGAATACATTCTGAGGCTACCCCATATAATCCAACCAGATCTAAGTGAATCTGTTCCAATTGTGAGGCAAAATGTCGTCCAATAGATTCACATACAGCTATGTTAACGTCTAATATTTTGGCAAGAGCTTTAAATTTATCATCTGTATCTACCTCTAATTGAATATTCAATATCGATTTCCAAGTTGCATTTGGAAATTTCATTAAATCAGAAAGTAATCGATATCTGAGATCATAATTTCTTTCTTCTTTAACAATAGATGCACATGATTTATAAAAAGAGGTGAGTTGAGATTGTGTTAAATCACTTGTGATATCACTCATATTGTCAATGATGCTTTTAATCAATGGTATATTTGTTGTGGCATCCTCCGGTTTGTTTATCACAAACTGGTATTTACATCTACTCACAATCTTCGAAAAAGTATCGCATGCCATATCTTGGATCCCTTCATTGGCATCATGCATACATTGGAATAATTTACCTATTATTTGTAGTAAAAACTGCCAATGGTTCTTCATAAATCTGGGGTACTGGCCAACAATATACATTACATTAGAATCAAATAGAGCTCTATCGTTAGAGTTAGTAATACGAGCATCCTTGATCATTGTTAATTTATCTAAAATGCTTTTTATGAAGATATTTTCGCTCTCTTCACTAATTGTAGATGGGATTGAACCAATCGACCAACATAGGCAATTTAGATTATCCCATGCCCAACCATTTTGATTATCTTCTTCGCCATCAGTGTACATTTTTAACATGCTCATCTGTCTCTCTAATTCTTCCATAATAATACGTTCAGTATCATCAAAGTCCAGATAGGTTAAATATACTAATGTTTCTTTTTCGGAATAATATAAATCCAACATTTCACTATCATTTACCACCTCTCTGACAACCTCTCCAGAATCGATATCTTTAACCACTATTATTTCTTCAGGTCTTATCATTTTCTCTGTAATTATTATTTTTCTTAATTGCGAACATATTTCTTCATAAATATGTTTCTTTAGTGGTATTTGTTTTAATATTTGTGGATTCATTGCACCAGATCCTTTCATTTCAAATGACAATTCTAACGATGGAAGAAGATCGGCTATTGGATATTGCTGTATCTCTACAAAGAGAGCGGAGGTTAGTTCATGCCAATAATCTAGACAGGTTTTAAAAATTTCCGTTTCATCAATTCTGGTTAACTGAACTAAGTATTCATGGGCTGTTAAAAGTACTGTTCTTAACTCAGCATTGTCAACTTCTAACTTTTCTCTATAAACTTTCAAAAATTTTGTCAAATACGTAGTAAGATCTTGGAAGAATTGTTGTCTGACGAAATTTGATGATGCATACGTTAATTTAAGGCCTGAACTAGCAGGAGGGAAATAGGCAGTTAAATTTTTTAAGACATAGATAAATGATTCAACCATTTGGGTAATATGCTGAGGGCTCTTTGGGATTGTAACTGATGTTATTGTAGTTAAACATTTTATCGTAACGTTTCTTGTTTCTGGCCTTTTAATGTAGTTCAAACTTAAAAGTTGTAATATATTAGATTCAAATATGTATTCTGGAGGTATCCATTCTAAATAATCGAGTAAACACTCCAATGCAGATAACTCTAAGGTGGCAGAATATTCATCAATTTTTAATATGTCTATGATGTGCATATATATCTGGAGACATACTTTTGACATCGATTTCTTCATTCTCGTGGCCTTAGCTTGAGTCATATGACCTGAAGAGTAATCAAAGATTTCTTCATATAATAATTTTAGTATTACTAGGTTGTTTTCGCATAAATTAATATCTATTGTGGAGCTTTTAATTAACTCAGGAATGAAATCTGGCCATCTATCCGGCCATTCTTGTTTTAAAATTTCGACCAAAGTTAAGTCACATTTATGAATTAATTGATTATCTGTTAAAGTTCCGTTTCGAGCTTCTTCTTGTACAAGCGATATGATCATTCCAACAATAAAATTCCTTATGCCAACACTCTGTTCTTCCGGTAATGACTTCCATCTTGTCTTAATTAGCTTATCGAGTATGGACAAAGCAATAAATCTTGTGTTGTTATTCTTTGAGAATTGTAAAATTTTATCAGCTTTAGTCCATGAAGCAGGATCATCCTGAAAACTCGTTAATTCTCTTTGTGCATTTTGCTGTGCCTGACCTGTTCCGTTGTAGAATGTGTCGACTATTTCATCAAGAAGATCAATATCGAAATTCGTCCTCAAATTGGATAATGTTGCCATCCTGAAAAAAAATAGCAGTACTTGATATATATCTTGCTATGATCTATACCATAAACGCCATTGAAATTATTCCAAGGGCAGTACAAAAGTCGGTGTAGATGTTATCAATTTAAATGTCATACGGTTAGATTTGAATCTCATTTATTATATTTTTAGGGTGTTTGATATTCCATGTGCCCCTCATTCTCTAGCGCCGCCAGATCGGTGTTATATTGTAAAAACGTTCCTATTGAAGCTTGACACATGCATAGGTCTTAATAACATGAAACAAAACGAAGCTCTTATTAAAAGATGGATATGATCTTGGAAGTAAGAATAGAAGAGCCTCGTCATTATACTCTAAATGGATTATAGTACCAATTTTAACAATTTCTAGTATTTTTTCGAAAAATTGGAAGTTACGGTAGCAATGTCCTCTTAACAATGTAGAGGTTTTCTTCAAAATATAAAAGAACCAGAGTGAAAGAGGCGACTACCCAATTTCCATTCTCTCATACTCCTTATTTAGTATTGCTAATGAAGTTCTATGATCCTTTCTTGAAATCTAGTTCCTCCAAGTACGGAATAGAATAATGAAAGGCGGGATTGAAACCAACTTGAAAGTGAACACCATGTACATACCATATGTATCGCTACACTTCTAGTGATACGTGAGTGATTAAAAAGGTGAATTTCAATTTGTAGTCGTATGTGGCCAATAATTATGTCGAATTATGAATATAATTTTCATATTATCAACTTAGGGAAAATAGAGAGGCTAACCTATATGATTTCGCTATCTACAATACAAATATTGACAGAACTCTCACCTTAGCTATCCGTGAAGGTATCTGTAGGACGTCACTCTTGGCATTTTGGAGTTAGACGATCAATAACAGCAATATTTACAACTTGTATCACTACCTCTGGGGTCCACCATTTCACAATCGTGCCCTCTCATATTTGCATAGTTTTGCTTCTTCTCAGTTGTGTACGATAAGGTATCGTCTTATATTAATCAAGATTTATCATTTTATTTGGCTCCAAGTAAAACAAGTAATCATTGGTCAGGTGTCAGCTATCCCCTTCCTATTAATGGTTCCAATCTTATACAACCTTCATCCTTTCTTATTATGTGTATCTATTGTATTTTAACCAGAAAGAAAGGCTATTCATCTAGTAATTGAGGATATTAAACATAAACAAATGTTAAATTTTATTTTTTCATCAAGTTCTAATATTCAACTTAAGGTCTCAAAAAACACAAAAGCGCAAGTGGTTTAGTGGTAAAATCCAACGTTGCCATCGTTGGGCCCCCGGTTCGATTCCGGGCTTGCGCATTTTCTTTTTGCCCGTCAGCTCCATATCCAATGCCAGCTGTTCAGGCCCTTATCTTTTTAAAGCTATACAGAGCTTAATCAAATAAGCCCGCTGATATTTATGTAAGATAACACAATAGCGATGAGTTATGTTCTAGATTCATTGTTGTTTTTTTACACTATTTTTGTATTGAAAATACATATGATGATGATGATATTAATATACGAGAAAAGCAGATATACTTATATAGTTTATATGGGTTGGGTTAAAATTAAGGAGATAAAAATGTTTTGTTGAGAAGTAGTTTTTAAATCATTAAAATTACCATTCGGCAGCATCAGTGTTTTCCTCAGCCCATTCGGAAGCACCGGTAGCTTCTTCAGTAACTTCTTCAGTTGGTTCTTCACCGTCGGCAACAGCTTCAGCTAGAGCTTCTTCAGTGTTTTGTAGTTCAACTTCTTCTGGGTTTCTGTAGAAGTATAAATCTGGCATGATAGACCATGGTTGAGTTCTGTCAACTAGAGCACCTCTTAGTCTTAGAACTTCTCTGGCCAATAGGTACCAGATTAAACCGATGGAGTGCTTACCTCTGTTGTTACATGGGATAGCGACATCAACGTATTCAGATGGGGAGTCTAAGTCAGTTAGAGCAATAACTGGGATGTTAACGTAAGAAGCTTCCTTGATAGCTTGAGCGTCAGATCTTGGGTCAGTAACAATAACTAATCTTGGTTCCTTGAAAGAACGGGTGATGTAGTTAGTGAAAGAACCTGGGGTGAATCTACCAGCAATTGGAGTGGCACCAGTGTGGGCAGCGTACTTTAGGACAGCTCTTTGACCGTAAGTTCTGGAAGAGATGGCAACAACATCTTCTGGGTTTGGAATGGCAGCGATGATTCTAGCGGCTAGAACAATCTTTTCCCAGGTCTTACCGACGTTGATAACGTGGACACCATCTGGTCTGGCTTCGAAAACGTATGGTTCTTGGTGGACCTAATTTGAAAATAAGATACAAAAAAATGGATTAATGAAATCCAAATTATTATAATTGTTAGTAAATCTTGAATTTGAAAATACTATAAAAAAGTAAACTAGTTGTTGATCTTGTAAGAAAAAACCTTGACAGTTCATGTTCTTAATATATTGTAAATATTGCGTCGGACTATGTTTCATTCATCTTGCGATATCTGTGTTTCCTTTGATAATATACCCAATCATTCTAATATCATAATGGCTTCAATATTCTTTCATCGATAAGTATATTCAGTAGTTCGAATATGAAATTTATGGGTAATTCTCTTTTGCAAAGGATTCTTATCACATTATATCAGTTATTTAGTCATCTTTTGGTCTGTTTTGGTAAAAAAAAACTTCTATCATTAAATTTATATCACATTATCATTTGCATTCTAAATTATCTCTCACTCTTCAATATTAATATATTTCTAATAACTTATTTTGGTTCTTATATCAACTGTAATTATCAAATGTTATAACATACTTGAACGTTTCTAGCACCTAAGTGGGTGTTAGCAGCCAATAGCAATTGGGCGTCTTCTGGGGTTAGATCAAAAGTAGCTGGTAGGGACATTTTGATATCTGATTTTATCTTTGCTTTCTCTTGGTTTGCTTTAATATAAGTTGCTATACATTTAAAGCTTTTATGACCTTATATTTGTTTTCAATATATAGACTATGTTTGTCTGAATTTTCGTCCAGGGCCTAACATCAGGTGAAAAATTTCCCAGTAGAAGCACTAACTTAGTGCCAGAGTCTCCACCCTGGGGACAATTGAGAGTCTCAAAACAGAAACCACCTTCAGTTCCTCTCCCCCTTGATGCTGGGTTCAGCCAAAACGATGCAAAAAGAACAAATTTTCTCGCCTCATAGGCAGGAAACAACATCGTTTTGGCTTGTCGGGCGTAGGGCGGACCAAATATTTTAGGCGGAAAACTGGCCTCAGTGATTGGAACTTATTGTGAGAGGATACAACACAGAAACACACAAGGAGAGAAAAATAATACAAAAAGAGCACCTAAAACAGCAGGGCAAGAACTTACTGTAACCTGGTTGTAGTGCTGTTAAACACCCCTACAAGAACTTCCTTTCTAATAATACTTGTTCAATTTTATCTACTGGATTTCGATTTCTTTCTTTTAAAAAAAATTAGTTTTTCGATTTTTCAAAAATGAAAAAAACGAAAAATGTACGGATGTTCTAATTGGGTGTCTGGGTGCTAAGGGGAATGGAAGTCGTCACATTTTTTGTTTTAGTAAACGCGGAGTAACTTCACCAAAACAAAAAAATTGAAATTTTCAATTTCAAGGTGCATAAACCTTCTTAACTTAACGGAAGTCAACGAACTTTCAGTAAGGGACACCCCATTTGCTAGCGGTTATTTTTATTTTTCTTACTTAGAGATTATTTATAAAAATGTAAATTTATATATATTGGTAAATTCAAAGTTTATTTACTTGACAAATCAGATGAGATCATTTTAACTTGACATTTATTCTATTAGTGGAGATCATTTGCACATTATGATATAAGTGATCACTCAAGATATTAGGCACTCCGATTCAAGGTATATTATATTACTACTCTTTATCGATCTCATATACTTCACTTTGAAAGGAAAATAGACTTATAGTCTTTACTATCATAAACTACATATGTGTATCACAACATCATAAAAAAAGTATAATAAATTATAAAAAAATAGGCATTAACATTGAAGAAATGAGGAATATAAGTGATATAATTCAATTTTGGTCGACTCCGAGAATGCCCTCCTTTGATAATAATGTAGATAAAGAAACAAGAACAAAATTGGTTAATAAATATGCTAAACTTTGTTTTCTCTTCTCTGTAACATTGGTATGCATTATGATACCTTTATGGTATTCTTTATCGGTTACCTTTACATTTTTCAAAATTGAGCATAGATTTAAACACCATATATTTAAGCCAGGAACATGGTACCATCGTTTACCTTTATATCATAATACTTCATTACGGCATTGTATATTTTGGTGCATTGTCTGTACAGTAGCAGTTTTTCATCATACCAGTTATGATCTATTACAAATTACAAAAAGATTAGGAAGAGTCGCAGTAGCATTGATGCCCCCTTTACTCTTCGTGACATTAAGACCTTCCCCATTGCCACAAACTTTATATCTGCGAATTTTACCAATTCATAAATGGATTTCAAGAGTCGTTGTACTAGCGTCTCTTTTGCATAGCATATTTTATGCGTATTTTATGGTCATTAAAGGTGTCTTTTGGATAAAAATTAAAAAATTACCTAATGTATATGGTGTAATCGCAATGGTTTTATTTTTCATTATTGGTATCACCTCAATAAGGAAATTTAGAAGAATTAACTTCCGTCTGTTTTATTATATTCATTACATTTCAACTTGGTTGACAGTAATATTGATTCATTTCCATGCAAGACCAGGTGTTCCATATTATACTGCAATGAACTGTGCAATTTTATTGTATCAATGTGGATATAGAATTATTCATACTAAAATGACCAAAATGATAGTCACTCCAATATCACCAACACTTTCATTACTTGAATTTCCAATGACAGATTTGGTCAAGAAACCAGTTTTACCATCCGGACATGTGAGAATTAGTAGATATGACTCGAATTTTATTAAAAGGATGTTATTCCAATTAGTTCCATTCCAACATCCATATACAATTGCAAGTTTACCTGATGAGGATACTGTTAGACTTATTATAAGAAATGGTCAATTTAAATTGAAGAATGGTGGATCCTATTATGTTACAGGAGCCTTTGAACCAATTATTAATTTTTTGGAGAGACCTAAGAATGTTAAACAATTTCTTGATAACCAAAAGAAAAGAATCAATCCATTTCAAGTTACATCGTTGGGGTTAATTCATTCTCCGTTACATTATGTAGTTAATGCTAGACGTGTACTGATCTGCGTCGGTGGTTCTGCTATAGCCTTTGGTTTGCCATTATTAAGAGTTTTGAATTTCAATGGTATCATTGTAAGATTAATATGGGTTATTCGTGATTTCAGAGATTTAAAACTATTAGAATTTTTCAGAAACAATTTTGAAGGTATGGAGATATATGTTAGTGGTGATTTTGGAAGTGAACAAGATATTCAACTTAATTATGATGATCGAAGAACCGAAACTGCTAATGAACCCTCTTTAATATCAGGGAATAATGAAAATTTTTCATTGTTGGCATCTTCAAACAATAAAACCTATGGCACTACAAGATCAGACTATGTAAATGAACCAGAAGATCATCAAGAAGTAGATGAAATAGATTTTACAAACTCCTTTAGAATTAAAAAGAATAGATCAAGGTCTCAATTACGTCTAGACAATAAATTGAGTGAATCACAACAGAGATATGCTTCAGGAAATGTATTCAGAAAAGATGTCTTATTAAATCCAACAGCTTATAACAACAATGGATGCAACCATGATGGTGATTGCAATGATGATCATGATAATGACGATGAAGCAACACCACACCTCATGGAAGAAGATGAACGAATTAAGATTCCTTCTGGTGTAAAGATATATTGTGGCAGACCCAATCTAGATGAGCGTGATTATGCATGGTGCTTAGAACAGGATTGTGATACCTCTATTGATGATGACGAGTGTTGTCAAAACAGATTTGATGGTTCTCTTAGTGCAAATGTTGAAAAGTTATCCCAAGTATGGGTTGTAGCTGCAGGGCCAGATGGATTAGTAGAGAGTACGCGCCATTGGGCTACAGATGGGGGGTTACATTTTCATGCAGAAAGTTTTGCAGTTTAGGCGGATTTGTATACTAGTGCATTATTATTTAAATATATACATATTTTCAGATAATACATCATAAATAATATTTATAATGAAAGATAAAAGATTAGCTTTTTTTTTTGAAGATATGTGTCATTTACGTTCAGTGTCAAAGCATTCGAAAATAAGACTATAAACATATCCGTTTATGAAACGTGAGAATAATTCTAATATTATTTGTTAAATGTTCTAATAATAGTATTATATGCCTATTTATGTGATTATTTACTTTGTTCTAGCTCTCATCTTTTCAATTCTTTCTTTCAACATTTTTGTAACTTCAGCAGCACGTTTCCAACTTTCTTCATTATCACTATTAATAATTTTTAAATTATTATGGTCTTTATCAATTCCGAAATTTAAATTTAGATTCGACGTTGCTGTAGACTCTATACTAGAATTTAGTCTTAGAGATCCAACACCTCTTCTTAGGTCGTCACTGGATCCTTTTTGACTTAAAGTTCCACCGTTACTAACAGGAGGTAGGCTCTGACTTTCTTTTAAGCTTATAATCTGTTGTTCCAAGGTATTGATTTTTTCATTCAACTTTTTCACTTCATTTAGTTTTTCTTCCAAGTTTGATTCTTTATCAACAATAGTTTTCTTTAAAAATATTTTTTCATCCTTTAGATTCTTATTTTCGCTCAATAACATTTCATTATCCTTTTTTAACTGACTCAATTGCGTTATTAAATCTGTCCTTTCTTTATTTAATACTGTGTTTTCCTTTTTTAGTGTATTCACTGCAGTATTAGGCGTTGATTGAACGTTATTCATTTCATTAATATTATTTTGTTGTCTCTCTAAAATTGCTTTCGGTTCATTCTTTGGTGATATATTATTGGTCTTAGTCAATTTAATATTCTTTAAAGAATGTTCATCATTCCGTATTAAATTATTCGATCTTTTTGGAGATATGTTCTGTAAAGATGTAACTCTTTGGGGTGGTCCTCTTTTAGATGGGATAACTTGTTGTTGATCATTGGTAGATTTATTAAAAGTTGGTAAAGATGTAACTAAATCATTAATCTTATTTCTCTTCATATTATCTAAATGTTCAAGACTATCATTAAAATATCTTTCACCAAATAATTTAATTAAAGTTGCTAGACATTCAAACCCTGCATTTCTAAGTGTTGGTTGTGTATCATTTACAATTTTGATTACAATTGGTAAGATTGAATCAGGATCATTTTCTTGATTTAATCTCTTTAAGATACTCTTTTTATCTAATTGTTTCATATTTTGAAGTAAATCAGTGAAAAGTATCGTACATTCTAATCTAATTTGAGGGATCTTATGTTTCATAGCAAATAAAATCTCGATTAAAAATTCTTCATTTTCTGAAAGTAAAGGATTATAATTGTTGCAAATCATTTTCAAACAATTACGAATTGGTTCGATGGCAGTAGCCTTCTTTTCTTTAGTTCTTGATAATAGTGGACTAAAAACCAAAATACAGTAATTTTTATTTAGATCTTTTTTCCCTAATTTATTAAATATTTGATCTATGGATTCAGTGGATAATGTTACAGCTTGTAAATTTACATCCTTGGAAAGAATTGTTGCATAAACGTCCAATAATGAAGTATAATTTGCCTTGGGGTCAATTTTCTTGATTTTAGTTAAAGTATCGTTATAAAATTCTTCTAAAGCTTCTACTCTATCCTTCCACTTAGATGATTGAGCACGTTCATAAAATTGTTCAGGTAATTTATCTAAGATTGTTTCGACAGGTAATAGTGTGAATGGGTCAATTCTATTTTGTTCTTGACCATTAAAAGATGTAGATAAATCTATTCCGTTATTATTATCGATTGAACTCTTATTATCGCCATCAAGCATTATTGTATCACCATCACCATCAATATTAGCCAGTTCATTTGCCCTTCTGGTGGTTTCAAATGGAGTAAATTGAATTATGTTATCTGTTTGAATATTTTCAAACATTTTGGTTAATTCACGTTGTTGAATATTTTTCAGATTATCAGTAATAAAATCTTGTAAGAATTTATTATAATCGGTATCATCATGAATTATTATATATATTTGTAATATCACGTTAAGTGATTCTGCTCTTACACTTTTATCTGCATGACTTGCTAATTTTGGAATATGTTCTAATACATGATTAAAAAATGTCAACAAATTCTTAATATTAATGATACCATATATTGATAGTAATTTTGAAATAATATTAAGTGTAGCAGACAACAATCTGGGTAATTTTTTCTCTAAAAATGGTATAGAGATATCGATAGTTGTCTCAATAGAATTATCTAAGGAACATAGTGAAAGTATACAACTTGTTGATATTTCTCTTGTATGTTGTCTAGATGATCCTAATCCTTTTTCAATCAATGATGGAATCCATGCATTCAACAATTTATGAGATTTATTTCCTAAATCACTCGTTAATGGTTTCATGAATGTAATCAATGCCTCCAGGGCAATAACAGCTTGTTCATGACTTACTACATTACTATCCAATAAATATGATTCAAAATGTGATGGATCGTTCCAATATTTACGAATTTGTGAATCATTGACATCCACTGCATTATTAAACACTTTGATCAATTCTTGATACCCTAACAATCTACCTTTCCAATTTCTATTATTCAATTTTTCATCAAGGGATAATTTATTAAAATCAATGTCATCGGCAGCACTACTTGTACCTATATTGCTCGTGCTCATAATTTAGTCTAGCACAAGTGTGAGTAATTGTATGTTTTCCCCTTTAAATGATGTATAATATAGGTGTTTACGAATAGACTATACCACATCAAACCCTAAATCTTATAGCAAATAAACTGAAGTTTTGCAATGTTTCTTTATTGTCTTTTGTTTATTTATTTGTGTTTCTGTTTTGAAAGATTCTGATCCGTTTTCGGATTTAAACTGAATTTTTTCGCGTCTGGCGTGTTGGACACGAGAGGGTAACCATCCTGAATAGTACACATCTAATTAAAGGATAATAGTACTGTATTCTGCCAATTGACTCCAAAGTATTGTTGTTTATTAACGATCTTTACTATGAACTATTAAGTTTCAGTTTTTCATTACATGTGGAAAATTATATTTTCCACGAATGGGCCCTCCTGTCGTCTCTAGAGTTTGCAAACGCTTGCTAGCTATACAGGTTACAAACTCAGATAATATTTTACAAATAGAAACAAGATAATGTAGTCGCTACAGTTACATTCCATATTGCTTCAAACTTTGGAAAGTTTTGCAATCTCGTTAGCCAAATTGTGCAAGGTATTTGTTCTTATCAGAACATGAAAATATATTATTTTCTTGACTTCCTTGACTTCCCCCCCCCGCTGTCATTGACTAAATGAACTATCAGATATAAAACAGTTTCTTGTGTGATGTATATACACGGTTGTGACACTGCAGTTACCCAAACTTGTACCATCCCGGAATTTACTCTCTTTGAATAAAAAAAACTTCGTTATTTGACGGATTTGCGTCGTTTCCTTGTTGGTCGAAGTGGCGTGACTCTGCCTTCTGCATTGTGACACTTTGTTGAGTGTGTAGGTCTTCGCTTTTTTTGTTCTTTGAAGTGGTTAAGTTTTGGGATGTTGACTCGTTTCTTGAACAGCGATAGGGGGGCTATCGACGGCTTGTTTCTTCTTATATATATAGATGGTGTTTATTGTATTATCACGGTTTTATAAGTATATTTTTCAACAAGACCAAGGTGCTATATAGAGAAATAAATATATACAGATGGTTAATACAACTCCGATTAATATTGATAGATGGTTAGAAGAAAATCCAGAATTGTTAGCTCCACCGGTTTCTAACTACTGTCTACACATGGATGGTTTTACAGTAATGTTAATTGGTGGTCCAAATGATAGAACAGACTTTCATATAAACCCTACACCAGAATGGTTCTATCAAAAGAAAGGGACTATGCATCTAAGGATTCGTGATCCAGATGATGATCAATTTAAGACTGTAATTATTAATGAAAACGATTCTTACTTGTTGCCTGCAAATGTACCACATGCGCCAATTAGATTTAAGGATACCATTGGAATTGTTGTTGAATTGGAAAATCGTGGTGAGAACCGTGAAGATTCAATGTTATGGTATTGTAAGAATTGTAATGAGATATTGTACAAGAAGTCGTTTATTATGAAAGATTTAGGTAGTCAGGTTAAAGAACAAATTGATTTGTTTAAAAGTAACGCAACTTTAAGAACCTGCGGTAAATGCGGTACAATTAACTAGAATTTAAAAAAAAATTTGAATTTGGATATTTAATGGTTAGATATACACATATATAAGTAACATAGTTCTATATATATATATATATAAATATATGTTGGTCACAACTGTACCGTAGTGATCTAGAGTTGTTTGTGAGATATGAGTAATAATCATGATGAATTGGTAACATCAGGGGATCCGATGCATCCAGCAAATTTAATATGTTCGTTATGTGCTAAATTCTATGAAAAGGATTGGTGTCTTGGAACAGGTGGTGGAATCTCTATTAAGGATCCTCATACTAATCATTACTTTATTGCCCCATCAGGTGTTCAAAAGGAATTAATGAGACCTACGGATTTGTTTGTCGTTGAAGGTACTGACAACAATAAAGAATTGAATGTGGATGATGTAACATTTGTTAGGAAACCTCCTGGTTTGAAACCAAGTGATTGCACACCTCTATTTCTGACTTGTTTCAAAGAATTAGACGTTGGTGCAGTGATTCATACACATTCATCAAATGCTGTACTGGCATCGTTATTATACGATGATTTTTTTGAAATATCACACATTGAACAAATTAAGGCAATGCCCAGTGATAAGTGGGATCCCGTAGCAAATAAATATATAAACTTATTATTTCAAGATACTTTACGTATTCCAATCATCGATAATAAAAACTTCGAGTATGAATTGACAGATGATTTGTTAGAGGTTTGCAAGAAACATCCTCACAGTTGTGCAGTACTTGTAAGACGTCATGGTATATTTGTTTGGGGATCTACAATTGCAAAAGCTAAGATATACAATGAGTCTATTGATTATTTATTAGGTTTAGCTATTCAGATGCGTCAATTAGGTCTTCCAACTGTGAAACCTTCAATATAATGATAAAGATGTCAATAAAACAAACTGTTCTTTGGCAACAACAACAACAAAAAAAAATTAATTTCATTATTTATATATACAAATATATATATATATATGAGCCATTTATTTGGTCAATTTTCGTCTCTTTGTCGTAGAATGTACTTTTTCTTCTGCTACTTTCATCCACACTAAATGTTCATCTTTGACTCTATTCTTAGTATCATGTATCGTTGGTGCTTTAACAATATATCGACTTTCTCCTGCTGTCTCTTGGTCTGTGGGTTCATATAGTCCACATGCTACTATTTCACTTCCTCGCATTAATTGTACATGGCTCAATATATTGCTCTCTGTGTTATCATCATCAATGAATCGATTTGTTAAGTTAGATACTACCAAATTGGTACTTTTATCAAACCCTTCCAACGTCGCTATAAAACATTCTCCACTCGTCGTCACTAGGACAACTTTCTTGTTCAAATATTCCTTCAATAGTGGGGACATATTCACTATTTTCACTCAATTGTACAAGATTGGTTTCCAACTCTTTTCCTCGTGTTTAAATTGATTTCTTTATAGTTTCCTAACTTTAAATAGAAATTTGTTTTCGTTTCAAATTTTCCTTCTTTTAATTTAAAAACCAATTCTTTATCATAAAGAGGAAAGGGGACAAGACTTCTCTGGTTATATAAAGTCGAAACAGAGATAAAGGATAAGCTAACGTAAACAATCCGCTAAATTACTAACATGGATACACAACAAATAGTTGATCGTGATGATGAAATTCCGACAGATGTATCTTCCTCTTCTAGGGATGCATCAATAGGTTACGCCACATCTACCCCTACCAAACAGATAAGAAATGAAGCAGATAAACAAATATTAGAATGGGCATCTAAATTAGAACTAGAGTCTATTGAATTACGTGAAAGATCTACAACATTGTTACAGAATTTGAATGAGAAATATATTAATTTTAACTCAGTGGTTAATAAGTTTGATCAAGTTGAGAAAAGTTTGTTCGTTAAATATACAATTTAAAAAAAAAGCACACACCCTTTCTTAACCTAATTTTGCAAAAGCAATTTTTACTAACTGACACCAATACCTACCATACATATGTATTAGAACTCACGGATAATGTTACATCAATGCTTGAGACTTGTAAAGAAGAGATAACTAATCGAACATACAATATGACACAGGAATTGTGGGAGAAACAGACAGATCGTACATATGAAATGCAAGTTATGAAGACACTTACAGAACAAATGGAAGATGTACAAATATTGTTAACTAATATCTCGAGAGATATGAACAAATTACAAGATAGACAAGCTCAATTAGAGAAACGATTTGTTAAACAGGAGAAGGCCTTGGCTGCCAAGCAAGAGAAGAAACGTAGCATCACTTCGGCTCTCTTAAATGGAACAACACTATCAAATGATGTACCACGTAATAACGTAGGGCCCTTAACTAGATCACAGTCCAAGTTCCTCAAAGAGATAGGTTTCAAACCAACGACGAGAGTTCACAAACCACATTCACTCGCCTCGAGAACTACAGCCAGAACAATCATTCCTTGGGACGAATTGACCATGCCATCGGATAACCCTCCACCAGAGGCAGAGTGTACCACAAATTACCCATCAGAGTTGTAAAAGGGTCTACTTTCTAGAGTTTTATATATGTTTTTATATATCGTTTATATTCTGTATATTACCCATCCCATCGGATCTAATTCCTATAAACTCCGCTCTTAACAAAAATTTGGGTTTCTCCAATTAAAGACAATCAATCGATTCGATTTGTATATAAAGAGAGAAAGAGAGAGAGTTGGGAAGGTAACTAAATATTCTTGTTTCGTTTGGTCCATTTGTTGTGGCTTTTATCAATGGCAAGAATCGTAACAACAACAACAACAACACACAATTAGCTCTGGGTTTCGTTATATTATGTCTGTAGTGTCAAAATTAGAAAAATTGTTAGATCTGAGTAGACTAACACCAACCAAATTCATCACTAGGAATTTACCTGTGGCACCTGTGGGTTCAAAGAGTACGTTTGGTGGTACATTAGTGGCTCAATCTCTTTTAGCATCGATGAATACTGTACCGCGTAATTTTATTCCAAGTTCTTTACATTGTTATTTCATTAGTGGTGGGCATCCAGAACAAATGATTACATACGATGTAGAAAGTTTAAGAGAAGGTAGAAATTTTATTCATAAAGAAGTACGTGCATATCAAGATCAAAAATTGATCTTTCAATCGATGATCTTATTTGCTTCAGGTAGAAATGATTCTGATGATAATAATGGCACAACATTGACCCATTTGAAGACAATTGATTTACCTGATAAGAATCAATATACTTATGCGGCTGATTTGTTTCAAGAAGCTGTTGCTGATAATGAATCTAAGACACGAATGTTTAAAGAATTACCTATTGTGCAAGGCAGAGGTGGTATTACACATATAAACAAAGTCTATAATTCATTTAAGACACAACCTATGGAATATTATTTCCCTAAAAATTTCTTTCATGCTGAAGAAGAAACTCGTAATAATAGTGTCAATTATTATGTAAAGATTAGAAAGGAATCTGTTGAGACATTGACAGCAAATAATTCTTACCACGATGAAAACGACTTAATTTCACCTCACAATGATGAAAGATACAATTACGCAGCATTTGCATACTTATCTGATTCATATCTGCTGTTGGCTTTACCATATTTTTCGAATATGCCTCTATATTCACATAAATTCAGCGTATCCTTGGATCATAGTATTCATTTTCATCAATTACCAAAGGTCAATGATTTAATCTATTTAAACATCGAGAATTCGAGATCAGCAGATCATAGACATCTAATGCAAGGTGAATATTTCGATTCCAATACAGGAAAGATCTTGGCATCGGTGTCTCAAGAAGGATTAGTTATCTACGAGTTCATCAAACAATTACAGGCAAAATTATAAAAATCGCAACAGGTTCGTCTCCCCAAACAACAATACAAGGCAATATAACTGGAAGACTGTTGTAACATATTGTATTTAAAAACTATATTCTCTCCCTCATTTAAAGTAAAACTTGGAAAAAAAAATTATTTATTTCACTATTTTCTTGTTTTCTGCAGGTTTTTCGCTGTGTTTTCAAGATTTTTTACTATTATTATATAAGAACTGTGTATTATATATATATAAAGGAGAACAGGGGAAACAGGGAAACAAACTCGATTATTGACTATCGTTTCTTAAGGATAACTCAAGTTGTTCAGTCATTCTCAACTACATATATATTTAATCTAGCCCAAAATGAGTGATACTGAAAACAAAGAGATTAGTACAGGTTTACCAGAACCATGGACTGTTCGTTACAGTAAATCAAAGAAACGCGAATACTTCTTTGAACCAGAGACTAAGAAATCCCAATGGGAGGCACCAGATGGTACCGACGAGGATAAACTACATACCTATTTGAAAGAGCATCCTTTACGTGTAAGATGTCTCCATATTCTAATCAAACATTCTGGCTCAAGAAGACCTGTATCAAGTAGGATCAATGCTAAGATTACTATTGACAAAGAGGAAGCTATCAAGGAATTACAAGCTATTCATGATAAACTAACTAGTCAAGATGAGAGTAAGAAAGGTCAATTTGAAGCAATTGCAAAAGAGAGATCTGATTGCTCGTCGTTTAAGAGAGGTGGTGATTTGGGTTGGTTCGGTAAAGGTGAAATGCAACCTTCATTTGAGAAAGCAGCTTTTGCACTAACCGTTGGTGAGATCAGTGATATTGTTGAGACAGATAGTGGTGTTCACATAATCAAGAGAGTCGCCTAAATTCATTCATCCATCATCTATAACTTACATAATTTCTCACTTTATACAGAGCAATAATAATAATAATAATATTGAAAAATTATGAGAGCAGGGGATCAGATATACAGAACTTCAACATCAATCCAGAGAGAAAGAAAATCACCAAACCTGCTTTAGAAAATGTACAAAATTCATTGTTTTGTTCAGTCTTAAATACGTTTTGTTCTCATTTATTTTGTACGACGCGCAAATGAACTTTTGACCGTCAAAATTGTCGAAATTCTTCCTTCCAGAACAACAACAACGACATTTGAATCAATAAATCATTAACAATTCTTTAACTAGATTATTTTTAAGTATATACGTTGGTTTTCTTAATAATTGGAAAGTTTCTTAAATTGTAAATAAGAGCAATTGTTATTTTTTTCAATTGCTTTTAGTTGAATCAAGCTGAAAGAACGTAAACGACACGGAAGTACCGCTTTTGATTAAGTATAACTTTATACTCTCTGATAACTGTTTTTAAGAGACATTTTTTAGGCTTACAAGAAGTGTACAATGAGTAACAAAGTCTCTAGAACAGATTCGTTAAAAAAGACTTTATCTAGGTCTAAGTCATCATTGACTAATCTATTTAAGAAGAATAAGAGAAAGCATGCTAGGGATGATGATGAAGATGATGAAGATGAAAATGGTATTAGTAGTAATGATAAGAGTTTAACTAAGATCGATAATGAAGATGAAGATGATACCGACACTTCAAGAAGTCATAAACGTCGCCATGTGGAAGATGCAGCAAAGGAGAAACTTAGACTTATTGCATTTCAAAAGAATGAAAAATTATTAGATGGTAAATTGCCAAAAGAATTGAGGAAATATAGACCACAAGGTTATTCTTTAAATTTACCACCAAAGGATAGACCAATTAGAATTTATGCAGATGGTGTCTTTGATTTATTTCATTTAGGTCATATGAAACAATTAGAACAATGTAAAAAATCATTCCCAAATGTAACATTAATATGTGGTGTTCCAAGTGATAAAGTAACACATAAATTGAAAGGTTTAACAGTCTTAACAGATAAACAACGTTGTGAAACTTTAACTCATTGTAGATGGGTTGATGAAGTTATCGCCAATGCACCATGGTGTGTCACACCAGAATTCTTAAAAGACCATAAGATTGATTATGTAGCTCATGATGATATTCCATATGTGAGTGCGGATTCTGATGATATTTATAAACCAATTAAAGAAATGGGTAAATTTTTAACAACACAAAGAACTAATGGTATTTCTACTAGTGATATTATTACTAAGATTATTAGAGATTATGATAAGTATCTACTAAGAAATTTTGCAAGAGGTGCTACAAGACAAGAATTGAATGTTTCTTGGTTAAAGAAAAATGAATTAGAATTTAAAAAACATATAAAAGATTTTAGAGAATATTTTAAGAAGAATCAAGAAAGTTTAAATGTTAATTCTAAAGATTTATATTTTGAAGTTAGAGAAATCTTATTAAGAAAGACTTTAGGTAATAAATTATACAAGAAACTATTAGGAAATAATAAATTTAATCCAAAGAATATACATTCCCATGAAATTAAAAAATTACAGGATAGATTAAGTGATATAAGTGATAGTTCGAGTCAGAAGGATAATGACGATGAAGATGAAGATGCTGATGAAGAGAGTTCTGAAATAGATGCCGAAGAACGTGAAGCTATCATCAGATCTAAATCACCTCCAAGTGAATTTGCAGACCAATATACTGGTGAAAAAAGAGTAAAATCAAAACAGGCTAATTCACAATATCATGAAGATGAGGATGAAGATGAAAAGACATATAAATTCATAGAGCATGCTCAACAAGACGTTGAAGATGAATAATTATTCAAAAAAAGAAAAATTATCTTATATATATTTGTATTTGTGTGTATACAACATGAAAAAAAGGGAAAAAATGCAAAAATCCATTCTTATAAATTGAAATGATTATTTTAATTTTATCTATTCGTTTATTAATTGATTGATTTGAATTAATTGTATATAGTTTGTATATATTTTTTGTTTCTATATGCTAAATTATTTAGTTTCAGTAGTTGGTTTCTTCTTTTTCTTTGTATCGATTGTCTCCACTTTCACATTTTCCATACCTTTCTCCTTTAACAAAGAATGGATATAAGCTTCAACATCTTCAAGAACATCACCTTGAATGACAACTTCTTCTTTCTTTTCGACATTCTTGGAGACAGAACAACCAGTAGCAAATTTAGATGCAAATGTCTTAGCCAATTTCTTCATATCGATCTCAAAGACCTCTAGACCAGAAATAGCAACAATAAACTTCCTCTTAGTTCTAGCTTCTCTCTTAATGATAACTTTTGATGATAATTTCTTAGCTAATTCTCTTTGTTCTCTGTTTTCTTGTTTAGTTTGTAATTTCAATAGATCCTTCTCTAATTTATTTTCTCTTTCTTCACCAATACTAGATTCACCTAATTTCTTACCAACAGCTGCAACATCATTGGCTTCTTCTTCTTCTTCATCATTTGCACCATATAATTGAGTATAACGTTCAGGATGGTTTTCCTTTAACCAAACTTTACAACGTTTTAATTTACCTGTGAATTCACAGTATTCTGGTGGATAAGAGCATACACCACAGTAAACAACTTCTCTAAGAGACATTCTTATTAGTAATAAATTGGTTGTATTTAATTTCAGGGAAGTTCAATCAAGTGAATCGATTAATGGTATTGTGTTGCAACCTTGTAACTTCTTATAATTGTCTCAGCAACATTTGTAAATTTTATAAATTTGTTCTGTTTCGTTATACGTATATTTTTTTCTCTCTCTTCAAGAAGCTGAAAAATTTAATAATTGTGATAGCAAAAAATCATCGCCATACAAAACAAAATCGATGAGGCTCCTCTCCCTCTCACAAAGGATATGAGCATTGATTCCGTAATAATAATAAATCGAATGCATATATATGTATATTTGTATGGTTGTTCTATGTATATATATATTAAAAAAATTAACTAGCGATTAGATGCATTGGTTATTCTCTTTTGTGCATGATTTCTAAGAGACTCATCCATCAAGTCTCTAATTCTATGTGCACCAGCAATCCCAATGGCTAGTACAGTCTCTAATCTATCTAATGGTATTTTATCCTCAACTTGTAACAATGACAATTTCTCACTCTTCCCCATTACACCTAATGTTACACAACTCATTGCTGCTTCTTCTAATGAATTAACGTCCAATAATGGTGTAGTATCATATAATCCAATGGAGATACCACTAACGTAATCATACATGGCAATACCTGCATCAATACATGCCATTGTTATACCATTGATTAAAGATCCTAAGACTCCACCATCCTGTTGTAGTACATGTATCTCTATATCAATAATAGTACGTGGATATAAATTTAACATTAAGTTTTTTTCAAAAGTTCTCACCAATGCAGTCTGTATCTCTAGGATTCTTCTTTCATTCTTATTACTACCTGTAGTTTTACTTCTTTCAAATTTTGAAAATTTAGTTAAATTTACAGTTATTTGTAATGTAGCCTTCGTTTGATCTAATTGACTTCTTAATGTTGGTTCTGTGGGACCTTTCACTAATGTTATAATCTTATTATTACCTTGTTCTAAATAAGAGGACCCATCGGCGGCGTGGGAGTGCGTATTTATCGATGTTTCAAATCTACGTAGTTCATTCCATCGACGACCATCCATCCTTAAACCTTCAGGTGAATATACTTCGAATCTTGACATTGTTTCAATAAATAGTTAAAAGAGAGAAAATGTTGCGTATGTATGAGGGGGGTGATGTGATGTCAATGCTCCTTGGATCAGGGAGATAGAAATTATTACAAAAGAAGAAGAATAAATGTTCTATACCTCGTTATTAGATATGCTCTATATATATTTAAATATCCAGTGTCTCCGTACTCATCATCAACTTTCTATGTGAAATTTCATTGAAATTTTTTTGAATTTTTCAATTTTTAATTTTTTTGGTGGTGGGAAGTGACGAGATCACTGTGAACGAGCCTCATCGAAAGAATTAACTACCATGAACGGTTCAAGAAGATTTGGATTTGGATGTTTGACGATGTGGTAAACTCTTAGACTTCTTAGAGGCATAATGTCTAGATCTAAGATCAGAAATGAATTGCCCTAAGATCCATGAATTTCCAAGGAAGAAAATTACATTTCCAATGAACAAACCTGGATAAAACACGTTTTTACCTAAAAACTCTAATTTATAACCTTCATTTAACCATGCAGCTTGTGAACCAATCCAAATTGCTAACATAGTTCCCAATCTAAACAGTGATAATTGTGACCCTTCACAATAAAATGGTAAGAAAATTAGATACCAGATGAAATATTGCGAAGTGCAAACTTTATTAAATGTGACGAATGCAAACGTTTGAATAAATAAGACATTGCATAGAACATGTAGATGTCTAGCACGTTTCTTTGTAATTGTACTAAAGGCTGGTAACCATAGGTTATAGAAGCCAATCAATGTTACCATACCAATCTGAGGGATGAACGCATATTTTGATAAAGATGATGATGTAGTGTTAGTCAAAGCAGAATCTAAATATAATAATTGATTCCAAATTGAGAAATTATGTCTATGATCAAATCGATATATGTGATATAGATAAGTTTGATCTAAGAATTCAAAGCCGTACATTTGGAACATTAATAGATTAAGTATAATGATAGTGACTAAAGTAATTAACCCATAATTGAAAATAACAACATATTTATTTTCTTTAATTGAATTGAAAAGATAAATTGTAATAGGTAAAGCATAAATTATTGGATAAATTTTAAAATGAATACTTAACCCAAATAAAATTGAACTAATTAAGAATTGTTTATTTTTTAAAGTCAAAATAACTAACATAATTAAAAAACATAATATAGTTTCAGCATTACCTCTTGTACTGATGGTAATAACCATTGGATTTAATAACCATAATGATGCTAATTTTAATTTTTTTGTAGTTGATAATTTATTAGGTAATAAATGTAATATAATTATACCTGTTAAGATATCAAATATTACGAAAATTAATTTTGACAAATGGAAATTATTAAAATAATGATTAATTATAAATAACCAACTTAATAAAGGTGTATAACGATAAGTTTCTCTTAAATATGGAGACATTCCGTTATAAATATAGTAACCTGCATCATTAAATACATGATAATCAATATCCGTATATTTTACTTTAAAATGATTATCCTGATATATACCATAACTGAAAAATGCAAAACGTATTAGACATGATAATATTAAAAGATAAGTAATTTTCTTCTCCATATTTGCCAAAAAAAAAAAAACACACAAAAACAACAACCCTCAAGGTACTGACTTACCAATTGAGGTATAATTCTAATTCCTTATATCTATATCTGTAGTTAGTTCAAAGGATGTATATATAAAGTCGAACTGTTTTCTTATTCAATTCGGGTTAAAATTTAAATTAAGTATGTGTATATATTTTTAAGTACCAAAAAAAAAACATTTTGACGGAGATTAAAGGATATGATGGTCAGAATAACTATATTGTTGAATCAGGAGGGCAAGGGAATAACAAGGATATAATGAGTAGTGAATTAACATATGATGAAATAGTTGAACATATTGTTCAAAATAAAGAAATTCCAAATTCTATACAAGTGCCGAATATCATTTTAGATGATTCACAACGCAGTGAA